TCGTACTATTTTATACTGCTTTTTTATATTAGTCTATATAAACTTATACTTTACCTGTATAATATGTTAAAGTATTTAGTAGTACTTTATACATACTTTGTATTTAAGTCTATATATACGTCATATATTAACAACTTTATGTCACCACTATGTAACTTTATAAACCAAATTGTACATGATATGATATACATGTCATCGTATGTGAAAATATTCAAAAGTATAATTAAAGGAAGTGTCAGAACAATCTGTTACCGTCTACGTAGGTCCATATTAATCGTATCTTGAAACAATTTATGGCTTAAGACATAACGAATGGCACAAGTTGTAAAAGTAATGTCATAGGGATTAGTGATGTCTTGATTTATTCAGCTTTAAATAGCATCTTCTATGTTTGTCATAAGCATGATGTGTGTGTTCACTTTGAATTACCATAATTAGTACACAGATGTCGACAAGTGTTCTCTTCGTATGTTGTCTTGTAGTTGATGTGTGTTTGCTGTTCGTATGTTGAGTGTAGTTAGTATTCGTATGTTCTCTAAATTGTGTATGTCTTGTGTCCTTTACTCTTTGGTAGTCTAGATACGTTGAGGCCAAATTAGGTGATTTAAAATGTTTCAGCCAATTACTGTGTTATGTTCAGTAAAAACAACTATTGACAGTAAAAAAAGCAGTAAAGAGAAGTTCCAGGTAAGATCAGTACATATAGGCTGTAAGAATGTAGTATGTTAATACACTGAAGGCTGTGTAATTTTTACGAAAGGCCTTGTAAGACAGTAGTATGCTATCTATATTGGTCTATCATACTGTGTGATACGGTAACACATGTGTTTCGTTGCTTAACGTTATGTATATGTTTACATACCATTTAGCAAAAGTTAATACTCAACTTATACTATAACCCGTTTGTTTTTTCAGGCGTTTTTTATTGTGCCAATTAAGTCTTGACATATTGTGATTACCGTCTGTAATTAACAGCTTTGTTTTTTGACACTCGATACAGCGAAATTAAATCAAACTCGTCTTTCGAACGATATATGATCGATCGACACCTGGTCTGTTAACACTATGTATACTATATAAATATACTGATCACTTCCGGTTTTACAGATATATTTGAATATCATCTTGTTTGTATATATAAGGACGATGATATATCTTGGTTTGGGTTGATATAGAATTCTCAATCACTATTGTACTATAGCACGAAATATTGCTGTAACAGGATGTAAACCTTTATTACAACGTGTTCATAGTCCTACTTGACGTTATTGCATGTTTCTACGTCTGGATGTTGAAACTATATCAAAGACATTGTTTTTGTATCAATATAATTGTATAATATATCACTTAAAACTGTAATTTTATACTGACATATTGTATGTTGCTTAAAAATGTATTTTGTAACTGCATATTTTACGGTAATTAAAATCGTATTTTATATTATGTGTTTACATAATTATGTGCTCCTTACTCCAAAAGTTTGCCGTGTGAGGGGGCACAGAACTCAGAACTATTTGAACAACTTTGTAGCCAAATCTGATTTAAAACTGTGTTTTGTGCATATATATTTCTCCGTAAACATTTGTGCTATGTTATAGTATTAATAGATTATGCATGCAAAGCTATATTTGAAAAGTTTCATTTCTTTGAATTTTTAAATTTAAACCCGTTTTATTTTGATTTTGATAATATATTATGCACTTTTTGCTTAATTTTACAGCTTTTGTTTGTGGTATTACTAATATATTACCTTGGTATGGTTAGTTTTGTTTAATGTTACAACTTTAATCTTACCTCAAATTTAGTTTCAGGTGTTTTCAATGACAAATGGTGGTTTATATATGTATGATACGGTAAATTTGGGTTTAGAAACATTGGCAGGTTTTGTGGATGTTAAAGTCAAATTCAGAGTTAGGGACCAGGCTGGGTTAATTTTTAAGTTCATTGGAGGAGAAAAGGTGACACTTTTGAGAAAGATTTTAGGGGAGCGGGGATTGGGTGACGTCTATCAGAAATACCTATAGAGAAATTTTTGTACAGTAATGATATATTACGGTTGTTGATGACTTTTATTTTAAAATATTTTTTTTAATTTTAGAGTAAACTTTTACATAGAAATATTTATATATTATATTCTTTTTTATTTTTCAATTTAAAATTACATTTTGCTATACAAAGTACGATATATTTTTTATAGTTATTACAGTACACAGTGAACTACTGTGTTCTTGACACATCTTATTGTTTCTAATGTTTCCGACAGAATCTTACGGTAGTTTACGTTTCTGCTAATACATACTGACATTGATTACGCTTGTAAATGTTCTTTTTGGTTTTTTTTTACAATTTTTGGTACTTAAAAGTAATTTCATTCTAAATAGTATGTTGTTAGTTAATCAATACCAAATAGTGTACCTACAGGTACAACACTACAATATAATATATTTGACAGTTAGCATGTATGTTTTTAATTTGCAATAGTCTACAGTTTAACATGTTTATACCGCCCCCCCCCCCCCCTCCCCCAAAGATATAGCCGTCTTAGCGGTTTAGTATAATCTAAGTGTTCTCAGAGCTGTCAATTATTCTGAAGACTTTTGTTGTGACGGGTTTTCGTCGAATTTCGAAAAGTTAGATTGTTTTGGCTAAAATACGGCTGTTACTAAACGTATCTTATTACTTGATATATACTTTGACTATCTTGTTATCTTTAGTTAAAATGGTATGTAAAGGTGCACTACTATAATATATGTTTTATAATGGTGTGTATTTTGTTATTACTGTAATATATGGTATGTAAAGACGCCTTGTTACCTAGTTGCTTCTAAAATTGTATTTTACACTCGTTTGAACTCTTAATTAAAATAATTTTTTAAACTGTAAAAAAATATTTTCGTAACGCCTGTAGTAATTTTAGGTATTTTTAGATACTTACTTCATGTTATGTTTGTACAGTTCAAAGTTTAAAAACTACTGTCAAGTAATTACTTGTCTATGTTTACGTTTGTAGCTCTTAACGTTATCCATGACATATTGTTGAGTCCGTGACAAGGTTTTAGTTATCGTATCTTTTGAATATTTATGTCAAATACTAAAAGTTTATAGACAAAGAGAATTTAATGAGCTTTACTACAAGATGTTACATCTTGCAATAGGCAAGATGTCTTATAAAAATAAGAAAAGGCGGTCAAAAACTTAGAATTTTTATTTTTGTAGTTTGTGATATGCTTTCTAATTGTGCGCTTACTTTTTGTCCGAACTATAAGAATTATGGCTGAAAGAAATATTATAGTGCAATAGACTAGCTAAACTTCTTTCAAAATGACTTTTTACTATAGTATGTTACAAATATAAAGCTGGTTATTGACACAATAACTAGTAATGGTCGAATGTAAAATTAGGTTTGTGACATTTGTTAGTGTCATTAACAGCTTATGGCCTTTCACAAGTAGGTGTATGATGGATGGTAATGGCCATGTTTATGTAGTTTTCAAAACAAATGATTTACAGTCACTGCCTTCTGACATTTTCTGATTTTTGGGGCTTTAAAATGAAACCACTATTTTTAATAATTTTAATTTTAAAATGTCATCAAATAGTTATTACATATATAATACTGTATCTTACTGTAGTTTTGTGTTTTCCTTGTATTGTTAAAAAAATAGTACGAGTACTAATAGTACTTTGATACTTATTTTATGTTATGTCATGTTATTTCTTACTCTCTGAACCTTTGAACTATGGCAATTTACATATCCTATGACTCCTTTAACTAATGGCTCACTGCAGTTCGAGTACAATTTCATGCACTATCTAGATACTCGAGAGCATGAATTGATGTTTCTTTTTTGTTGTCACGTACTATACCTCACAAGATACTATGATATGAACTGTACTAAATAGAACTGTAAAGTTACAGTAACTACATTGTGCGTTTTATAGTCTTTGCAGTACCATCTTACTACTTTTATTAGCAGTCATATACCATTTACTACTCCTTTTACCGTACTCTCTTCCAAATACATTTTCATTCAATTGCAAACGAATTGACAGCAGGAAACGTGGTGGTATGTTCCGTGATACGACGATGTTTCCTCGTATCTCTGACAGTTAATCTATATATAACTTTTTAAACTTTAAATTTTAACTTGTTTTTGTTGTTAGGTACTTAACCTTGACAGTAAATAGTACAAGTCTCTGTACTATTGATACTGACGTCGTATCTTCATAGAGGGCGTATACATAACAGAATGACAAAGTTCCTATTTAACATATTATCTTCGTATATAATAGTAATTGTTTTATCACTTTTTTATTATGGTTTTTATTGTTATATTATGTTATGTATAAGAGTAAAGCAGTAAAGATTACCTAAAAACACTCTATATTAGTTATGTTAACATATAGTTATATACAACCATTGTACCGCTCTTAATTGAACATTATCTTGTTTTGCATAAAGCAAATGCCAAAATGCCTATTCCCAAATGTTATGACTCTGTTTACTTATGAATATACGATTGTAAACAAGATGTTATGCAAATACGTTTTTGCATTTCGTATGTTCTGAATGTCGTACGTTGACGGTTAAAGTTGTATAACTGTAGGCTGGTTTTCAGTATGAAGTCTATAAACGTGTGTATTAAGTCTGAACATAAAGTATCCAGTCTGTGCCGTATTTTGAGTTGTTTTTGATTAGATACGACGAGATTACTGTAGTCATTAGGTTTGAAAAGTTTATATGTTTGTTTACTGTACGCCCCGGGTAATTGTAAATAGTATATCATATATGAATATTCATTTTGGTACGTGATACACCATTTTTAAATTTTTAAACTTGCACTCTTTGGTCAAAAAGTTCGTAGAACCATGTTTTTTCGCTCAAAATCTGTCTTTTCGCGCATTTTAGAATATAATTAGGTATTAAAAGCCGAAAATTTAATATTATTTTTGTTTCAGATTGTAAAACGAATCATATGCTCACCTAACACAATATAAAAATGTATAATAATGAAAGCTCAGCGGGCGTAACGGTAATCGACGACTTTAAAGACGATTGTGTGCCAAATCTGCAGTTATTTTTGGTATGTTACACCTTGATTCAAGAGTTATGTTAATTGAAAGTCTATTTTATACGCCAAAAATAAAAATGAAACAATATTTTGTCAAGAAAAACGACATTTTGCAAGCTGAAAAAGCATGTAACAAATTTTTGAGAAAGGAAGACTTGACGCAAAGTTAAATTTCTTTTGGGTCAAGTCTTTCTGTGGAGTAGGAAAATATTTGACAGATACTATCGAGTAGAATTGTTACACTTTTTTAACATTTTAAGGTTAATTTTTACATTTTCAGCCATTTAAATTCATATTTGTTGGTCTCCTCGGTGCCACAATAGCACTATGCTCAATATTCCACAACCTTCTGCTCATCCACACCTTCCAAACCTCATCCACATTAAGAAAACGAAGGTTAACATACCTGAAAAGCGTATGTTTGTGTGACATCTTGACTTCGGTGTCGTATCTTTGGATCATGAGTGGTCAGATATATGCAGAGTACTTTGAATGGGAATGGCTATTCGGTGCCTGGCATTACGTACTCAACTTCACCTTCACCATATCTAATGTCAACATTTGTACGGGTTCGTTTTTACTGGTGGCTGCTACTTTGGAACGGTATTTACAGAGCGTGCCGAGGGAACGGTGTGTTAATCTTATAACTTTTTTGTGATTAGGCTACCTGTGATAATATAGTGTTATTTAACGATGTATTTGCTTGTAAAATTTACATTTTTGAAAAAGGACATTGCTTTTATGATGATATTGTTGTAGTTGTGCTAAAATGGCTAAAACAATGGCAAAGAACCGCTCTTGTGGAGTGGCAATGGCTGTGTTATTGGCGGTAATATTTCGAGGCAGTATCTTCTTTGAAATTGAAGTAAGTTTAGCACTTTATGATAATACCGCCATGTAAAAATGTAGTATAAATTCTTTTTTCATTATCGTTTTATTCTGTAATCGAAAAATGATTTTGAACTTCCAGATTTTCTACCGCAAATGCACAGGTTTGGCAGCTATGGGAGTAAAGCTAAGTGATCTGGCGTTGGAGCCTGGCTACAACACTGTGTGGAGATTCTGGATCCGTCGTCTGGTCACAATATTCTTGCCTTTCTTTATCATGGCTTGGTGTAATGCAATGATAGTGCTGAGCACCCAAAAGAAGGAAAAAGGAACGTTCTTGAGAGCGCTGATCTGGTTCAATGCTGATGGGAAACCGTAGGTCTTAAGGGATTTTTTTGGTATTTTGCAGAGTTTAAAACAGAAATAGAATAAATGCTATAATACTTCTAGAGCGCATAATAAGGTATATTTTTGCAAGTTTGTATAGAGATTAGTTATTGTAAAACTTAGTTATGATTGTTTAATGTTTGGAAATTGCTGAATAATCAAAATTTTACGTCATCTTTTACAGAGTAACTCCATCAGCCCCACGAAGTCGAGTGCGTGCTGCTACTCGAATGTTGATAGCGGCCGTAACTCTGTATCTTTGTGCCAACTTCTTGGATGTCTTCATCTCAACTTGGGAGTACATCGACGCTTCATCGCTACAACAACTGGATGGATTCTACACAATCGCTACGGATGTATCGTCGTTGTTGTCGGTGGTGGCAGCCGCGGCTCGCTTGCCAGTGTACATGATGACGGACAGATTCATCCGGGAGGAGATTCAAGAAAGAGTAAGCAATTTATGGCCTGTCCTACGTAAACTGGTCTACAGGTCTGGCCCCCACGAACCGAGCTCGAAACTGATAAGGACGGCCTGAACTGGCTATCCCGGCGCACGCTAGGATGGCTGGATCATGTGCGGCACTGGAGCGAGCTCAACGAGAAACAACAAGTTATTATTGTGTAGTAAAGCCATGTTTTGTTAGATATGTTATAGATAGGAACATTATGTTAGGTATTATATTATTGTAGTTTGGTATTGGTGTTGTTATCAATGTCGCATATGTATTTTTGCTTAACAGTTTTTAAAATGTCATCAAACGAACCTAAAAACAAACTTTCTATGTACTTTTGACTAAAAAGCTGACATTTTCAATAACTTTTAAGCGAATTATTCCCTATTTTGTTTTGTATTACCCTCATATGCTAACATAACTAACAGTAGATCTTTTAACTTGTACCCCATCATATAATACGGTTAACCCTCTCACTTTATAGTTGTACATATAACTTATTTGTTACTGGTCATGTGTAAATAAAGTTTCTACTATTGGTTATCGTACGATGTTCACTCGGTATACAACTGCACATATCTTTATTTTGTATCATAAATATTTTAAAATATTTTATTTAAAACTTTGTTTTGATGTTTTATAAAGGATTATATCAACTTTTTATTTTTTCGTTTATTTATTCACATTTCTTTCAATTATAATATAACTTGTTACTGAAGTAGAAGACGAGGCATTGAAAAGGTGATGATCAGGGAGGTTGAGACGGCAAATATGGCAAGATAACCTAATTAACAACAAAAAATTGAAGAAATGATTATTTTTTACTCCATCTACTAAAATCTGTATATACACCTTGATGAAACAATCGACAACGCAACGTTTTAGCTATATTATGACCTTTTATTGTAAGATAATAAAGTGTTTTACATTTTTTAGCTTATAATTTATTATCTGTTAATTTAGTATTGAAGTATATTTGTTTCAGTACCGTAAATTTAAGCTTAAATCCTTGCAAAATTAATCCAATATGAAGAACAATATCCGTTCGCTTTTGTATGCTCTTCCCATAACTTAAGATCTTCGCAGCCTCTTAATGTCTCTTCTTATGTTTTGCGGTTTTTTGAGCCGAGTCGAGATGAAAGTGACCTCACTTAGGTCAGGACAACTGTTCGGTGTCACTTTTCCCTTCCGAAATCCTCAAATTCGAACGCTTCGAACACCTGATATTTGAATTTTGAATTCAAAATTTCCAAGTGTTCAGTCGAGAGTAATTAGTAACTGTTTGAGGAGAACAACCTTGACGTACTTTTGTGTTTGTTTTAGACAATTTTAACCTTTTTTTAGGCGAGATAGGGTTAAAAGTGTTAGGTTTGGACTTTTGGGATTTGATTTATTGACTCATAACGATTGGTTAGGAAAATTTTTAAGTTTAAAACGTCTTATTATTGAAAAGTAAGATTAGTTAAGGTTTTTCGGATTTAAACTTGGCCAATTTTAAATTGGACTCACTTTGATTTGTGTAAACTGTAAGGTTTTTTTCTTGAGGCTGTAAGGTTATACATTTTTTTAAAGTTTTGAAGTCTATCATGTCTGTGTTAAGTATCTACTATGTTGTTTCTATTCTCCAGGCGATGATTAATGTAATGTAATTTATTTTTTTTGTTTTCTTAACAAAGCAATACCGTGAATGTTTTGAGAGAATAGTAAGATCAGGAGTAGTCTAACTTTATTTTAGTGCAAATTTATAGCTGAAAAGCTACTCTTTCTGTGATTTTGGAAGAATTTTTAAATTTAAAAACTAGTTTTTAAAATTTTTTGAATACTTTTGTTTTTTTATTGATTGTTTAAGGTATTTTAGTGAAATCAGTTTGTTTTCATACAAATTACAATTTAAAATTCAATATTTTAAACCTTTTGGTAATATATGTTATACATACATAGTAACAATAAACCACTCTTTTTCCCCTATAAACAAGATATAAATTTTTTGATTGCTTTTGGCTATTCCAGGGAATGTTCTTAAATGCACAACATGTTCCCAGTGTACTGTGATGATTAATAGCATTTCAGCAATAACTGTCCTGGGAGAGGCTATAAAAGGTGAGGGAGTGGTCGTCTCTAACTCGGTTTACAGCTTAATTTGGCGCACTATATAGGTATGCAGAAAAATTGAAGGTATGAGTGAAGAAGTGTATAGTTAGCTGGCTATGGGTATTGATAAAATTGCATAACTAGGTATAATAGCTAGCTATACGTATTAATAAAGTATTTATCGCTAACTGTAAAGAAGATAGACAGGTAGATTAAATCAAGGAAGATTACAGAGTAATGCGACATAGGTAACATGATTTTATTCTTAAAGGTAACTTTGCATACCTTGAGTTAATTTGCGTTATCTTGTCATGACTTTCCTTTATTTCGTATTACGCGCTTTTTCCTTATAGATTTTCGAAAAGACGTGTTATCAGTGATGGTCAAAGCGTGATAATACATACGTCAATCTGAAATAAGAACGTTTGTGTAGGTAGATTAATGTAGTTTTATAGCTACAATTTTAAAGATAATATTGAATTTATATTGTTTGAAGTGGTACAATATCTTTTAGTGTAGTTACATTAGGTTTTGCAAATTATATTGTAGTTTACTTACATATTGTATATATAGTAGTTGTAAAAGTAGTATTATGTTTAGTTTTGTAATATATGTTCAGTAAATTAGACCTAGTATACCGTACTCTTTAACTTGTGAGTTATGACATGTGTTATCAGCAGTAAAAAGTATTTTAGCTTTACATTTGTCAGTCACGGTATGTAGTCTACTACTGTAATACGTATAGCAACATATACATACATGCATCATATGATGACGTTGTAAAACCTATTCTTAGCCTTTTTTTATGTAAACTAACTATTAAAGTAATTTGGATACTATTCTGGGTTAATGTCATTCACTTTAATGCGTAATTACGGTCATGTCAGTAGCTTGATATCTCTTATTTACTTATATATACATATGTCTATGTGCGAAGGCGTCAAATTTGCTATATAATGAAGCGGTTTTTCTGTGTTTTGATACATGATGTTTGGGCATGAAGTACTAGAGAACAAGTTGCCTATTAGTGTTGCGTTAGCCATTTCTTTACATTTTTTTATGTTTAGTAAAGTTAAGTTATGATGAAATGTAAAACAATTTGTTGACTATGTAAGTAGTAAATATGTAAAACTTCCTATGTGCTGACTACTCACTGTTTGCTATAACCAAATGTTTATTGTACAAAGGCTGCCGTACAAAAATATACTGTTTATTAATTATACAGTAACTTATTGTTGACAGTTTTCAATTAATGTTAGTTCAGTTTATGTAATCATTGATTTTATCATTTTTATCACTGTTTTTATGAAATGCAGTACAGATTGTTGATCAACATTCACTTCTTTTTGTATTATACTAAACCTTACTTTCATACCTCTCTAACTTGTTGTTACTCTCTTTTTTTTTGCTTCTATTTCCCTATGACACTTTGTAATATCACCTTACTTTCATCTCATTCTACCTTACCATGACATTTTTTATGCGATCACCGTTCCCCAAACATGTAATAATGCTTTACACGAAACAAAACAATAAACCATATTATAAGCTGCGATCGCTGCATATCAAAACTTGCTGTTTACAAAGGTTATGATTCATGTGGAATATTTGTCTGTTTTTTGCCTGTTAAACCCAAAATTAGGCGTTTCAGTCCAGCTGCGGCCTCCTCATTCTTTGGACTGGAATTTAATTTTGTTTCGGCTAATGACATTTGTTTTTATTCCAAGTATCATATTGAGATATGTTTGGTGAGGGGAGGGTAAAGTTGGGGTGTGGGTTTTGTTAGAGGTTTTGAAATTTAATTTTTCAGTTTTTTTTAGTATTATTTTTGAAAGTTTTAGCTGAAAATAACCTTATTCAACGTACTATAATGCAATACGTTGAGTACTATGATATAATACGTGGAGTGAGTCGAAGATACTATTAGATTAGAGAGTTTGCAAAGAGTTTCCGGGTCAGTTTTTGGCGTTTTCTTTATTTTTATTATTTTTATGAGCTTGGTCAAAAAGTAAATACAAACTTTTACAGTTTTGGTTAAAACGGTAGGTAAGAGCCAGGGGCGCCGCTACGGATTTTTTCTGGGGGGGTGGCTACGACCCAAAACGCGTACAGGTGCCTTATTACCTGTGGAATCTTTTTCGGATCGGCTCTGGGGGGGATCGATCCACCCCCCCCCCACCCCCCCCCCACCCCCACCCCCCCCTTAACGACGCCCCTGGTAAGACCATTCATGAAGAAGGCGATGAGCAAAAAATTTTTAAGTGTGGAGGGTACTGTTTTACTCTTTGCCTTGGGAAACAAAAACAAATAGATACAGTACTCTCTCTATAAGCCAAACGAAGGGTCTGACATTTTGTGTTTATTATAGGGGGTGTTGTCTTTACAGAGCGATTTTTAGTCCAAATTGACCTGGCGGGACTAAATGTATTGTTTACTATAAAGAGAGTTGCTTATACAGATGGTTCACTATATAGAGACCCTACTTTAATACTTTTTTTTTCTGAATTGGCTATTTTATATCTCATTTTTAAAAAAAGTTTTTTACCGTGGCTTTAGTAGTTTGTCGAAAAAAGATCAATTTCCGAATAACTAGAACCTTACAAAACAGTACAACAACCCTCGTTTCGTATATTATACTGAAAGCTGTCTTTACTCAGTAAAACCCAACTTTCGGGTTGTTTACCAGCAATTTTTGGGCGATTTTGACGCAGCGATTTGAATAATTTAAAGCGTTCGATCCGGTTTCGCAAAAGGGTACTCAATCTCGTGCTTTAAACTGTCCGACCGACCGAACGGAAGCAGCACAGAGCGACTTTTTTTTGGGGAGGGGCGGGGGGCCCGCAGACTCCGGAAACCCGCTTCAAATTGCCGTGAAAAGACCCTTTTTTATAGCCAAGAAGCCCTTATTATTCTTGCTTTAGGCTTCTAATTTGGAGGTTATCACTAAATTGTCTATTTTAGTTTGGATTGGTTTTGAATTTTGCTTTTTTTCGCAATTTTTTTATATTTCTATTCATATTGTAGATACTGTAGTAGTAGTTAGAATAGTTAGTTGGTTTTGTAAGCATTTCCTTTGACATTTCAATTCTGTTTTAATTACTTTTGTCAATTTAAAAATTCCAAGTATTGCCGCAGGCTAATTTCAATTTGTCAAAAACAAATTTGACAATTCTCAAAAATGTTATAGTAAGCCATATGGTAAGCTAGCTGGGTCTTGTTAAAGATGTTTTTGTCAAATTTAAACAAGTACAAGGTCTTATTTGCTTGAGGGATTTATTACAAGAGTGTTGTGATAGGCGCTCAAGTGTTCGATTGTTTGTATTTTCAATCTTCTCAAAAAAATGACAAAAAGTGTGATTTTAAGAAGTCGAAAACAATTTGTTTCCAAATACTCTATGATCTCTCAGTAGCACATAGTGTTAGGAACGGCAGTGTTAGCTAAAAGTTGATGTTGGACTAAAAATCGCCCGAAAATCGATTTTTTTATTTTTTAAAGTTTTAAACCCAAACCCCTAAAACGTTTTTGCTTGGCTAAAATAAGCCATTTACAGCAAAATTCAGTTCCGTTTTAGGGGAACGATAAGAGTTCAGAGTTTTCACATTGGCAGCTCATGTGGAAGGCGGTCGAGACTGACGTTCGGCATGATTATTGGCCGTCTGAGTTTATTTTCTCAAAATAAACAAAGATTCATAATGTGTGACAAAAGAAAAACACACGTTGGGCTTAATTTGCATAATCCAATTTTGTAGTTATAAGTTTTGCTGGAGGGTTTTAGAAAGTTTGGGAAGTTTTAAGGGGTGATTTTGGCTAAAATCTCGGTTTATTGATATTTTATTAGGTCAAAAAATAAAGAGAATGAGAGTTTATGATAATATCTGGAATTAGTTTTTGCTTTTATAGGCTTCTTTTTCCATCTTTAATATGCTTCTTGTACATATATCCTATTGCTTTAAACCTATTTGTACTGTTTTATCATGACGAACACTCCGAATTCATTAAAATTCAGCCCTAGAATCCTCAACTAGTCTATGTCGCTGCGTTTTGTCATGTTCAAACTGTAGGTCACGCAACAGTCGTAATTGATGTTGGTATGTTTGACCTCGGTATGTTTACGTGATGACCTCGATCCGGGGGGTTTCCGGCCTCACCCAGCACTCGATGGCGCTTCAATTTCCTTTTGTTTTTGGCATTCCTTGTTTTGCCTAATGTCACATAGATTACACTTTGTTCTGGCTGGGAGAGTACTGTAGTTTGAGCACGGCAATTGTACTCTTTCGAGGGAAAACAAACAAATAGCGCTAATTGATAATTAATATAGGATTTTTGTGGCGTTAAAATTAATTTTTAAGGGTTTTTTGAGGAGATCTGAGTGAGTAGTTGACCTACTCATAATATTTAGGTGTACAAAAATTACTGTAACTTTTTTATCATTATTAATTTAAATTATGTCTTAATTGTCCCAAAAATTACTTTTTTATGTCTTTTATTCATAAAAACGTGCCCACACATGGCTACAAAGCCTTCATAATGCCCCCCTCCCCAATTCTTAATTTTTTACGTTTTCGACTAAACTTGGTATAAATTATTTCCCTTCCTAATCTTCGTGAAAACTATCAATATGTCAGGAGTGCTTAACTGGAACCATTTTCAGCGACATTTGAGTGGAGTCTCTCGAGTCCGCTTTTTCAGATGCAAAGCTTCTGAAGTCGGCGCTCTTCTACAATAACAATATTCAAACACTGATTTTTGAACTGTCAGCACTAAGCTATCAGGTACCAGTTCTGGAAGGAAGTTTAATGACCCTCGGCAGTTCCGAAGCGTTTCTTCAGTCATATCAAATCTCGCCTCACAATCACAATGCTCACAAGATACCTGATGACATCGATCTTGAAGGAGGGACGTTAATCAGCGTCGAAGAGGTGGGTTATAATAATATTTTTTATAATAATATATCTTTAATAAACAGGCCTTATAAAAGTTATTTAGATTAGAAAAATTTAAATTCAAAATTTTTTTAACAAAGAAAAAACGTTTTTTTATGCAACAACCTACTACAATATAACGTTACTAAAATACTAGTAAAAGCAAAACTAACTAAAAATTTTGGACAAAAAATGCTGTGAGAGCTCAACTTTTGCAATAACCATATATAACGTTTAAATTCGCCTTTGATGTATTCAAATTCTTATAAAAACTTTTCGTCTTCCGAATTCCCGTAGCGAAATTCCTTGTTTTTTGTTTCGGAAGCCATTTTTTGAATGAAAAAACGTTTCTTAAATTACTTTTTGACTGTTTTGGATTAATTTTGACTGAATACCGAAACAGTATACCATTTAAATATTGCACCAAAAAGACTTCGAAGTTTCGCTCCCAAAAATAATAACGGAAAAATCAAATGTGACACTTTGTTAGCGTAAATTTTAATAAAAAATTAAAAGAATTGAAGAAAAATATTATAATACTACAAGAACTTTGTTTACAGTTCGAAGAGATCGACCCGATTGACAGTTGCAAAGTCTTCGTGACCAGATACAATGTTCAATCAGCTGACGGCACGGAAGAGAGCACCTTCACCAAGAAGAGGAAGATCAGAGTCAATTGTACTGAAAGCGTGCAAAGAATTGAGTATTCTAGAGGCAAGGAATCTAAGTTTGAGGAGGAAACATTGGTTTACAATCCAATTGAGGCTTTGAATGGAAGACAACATCCAAATGACTTGAGGTTGATCCAGAGTTATGGCAACAAGGTAAGTTGAAAATGAGCGTTTGAATCCGTACATTTTGTATTTTTTATATCATAATTGTTCTGAAAACTGATATTATCAAGTTTTATAAGGTTAAATATATAAATCAAAAGTTAAATTGAAAATATATTAATCATGGTCTTTAGGACAACCTGAGCCAAGTATTCCTCAAAACTCAAGACCAGTTGATGCAGATGATCCAACAGAAAAAGGACAACTATGTGGACACATTCCCCGAACTATTCGCCAATCTCAGATCTCAGCCCGCTATTTTGGGCGACAATCCCTCAACATACCAAGAAGTGGTCGTGAATCCAGACGGCTCCACCACAGTACGAACCAAGTCTTCGAAAGCCTTTTCTTCACATTACACTAGACAAGAAACCTATCTGAATGGCGTGAGACAAGATACCAAGTGTAAATTCAGAGCTTTTATGGAGTACGCTGGCCCAGAAGGGGGATTCAAGATCAAAGTCAAGGACAATCCAGATGATGATCTGTCAGAAGACGAAGGGGAAACGGATTCTCTGTCTTTGATCAGCAGATTGAGTCGATCCTGTTTGTCAGATGTTCATGATACCCAGTCAGAAGTGTCTGACGATCGTTCGGCTTTGGTTGTGCATGATAGAAATGTCCCTACGATAAGAAAAGATCCCCTAAAGCGGTATGAGAAGGCATGGCACGCTGTGAATGAGCTCGTGGAGAGTGAGAACAGATACGTACAGAAGTTGTTCTTGTTGGACAGAGTAGGTTATTTTTATTTGTTTGTAAATTGCTACACTAAAAAGCGATAAGTTAAGATTTTTTATTTTAATTACATTTTGTGTATTTATAGTTATGAAAGTTGTCATTACAATTACACTTACTGTATTTTTTTAGTTCCGCGAAGAGATGGAGAAGGAAAAACTGCTGGATAAACGTCAAATGGGACTATTATTTGCCAATACCGCCAGTTTGTACCGTTTCCACAATGACCATCTACTACCTCAGCTCATGGATCGACGGAGGGAGTGGGGTAACACTAGAAAGTAAGTTATATCAGTATACTTTTCCTGTTTTCCTTATGGTTGCTCATCGTAATGTAGACCTAATATTATAATTTTTGTAGGATCAGTGACGTTATCAAAAAGCAAGGGCCGTTTTTGAAGATGTATTCAGAATACACGAACAACTACAAGAATGCTACGAGTGTATTCGAAGAGGCGATGAGACGAAAACGGAAGTTCGAATTCATCGTTCGAAAACTTGAGGTATGGTACTGTTGGTGCAATCAAACTAATCTTTTCGTATATTATGTTTACTGTATTTTAAACTTTCATTTTATTTTAGATATGTCTATTATATTATACTTTATTTAAGAAGCTACCTGAATGCGAGAACATGTCCCTAGTGTCCCACCTGATCTGCCCCGTCCAACGTGTAATGCGGTACCAGTTGCTCCTGAAAGAATACCAGAAATACCTCGAACATTCCGACCCCGACTACGAGGACACGGAACAAGCACTGGAACTTGTAGTAGGTGCTGCATCTCATGCCAACGAGATGATGCGCAAACTCGACCGTTATCGTAACGTACTCGAGGTGCAAGAGATGCTCGGGGGTTCTATCTCTTTGGTATCACCTTCTCGTGAGCTTCTGAAACGCTCCAAACTCTCAAAGATCTCATCGTCGACGGGCAAGTGCGAGGAACGGTTACTGTATGTTTTCAACGATCTCATTCTACTGACTAGCGAGAGGACTATTGGATTGGGTAGCAAATTGAAGTTACGAGCTGTTTTTGATCCTATTTATACTCAGGTAAGGTAATATAAGAGTCAAAGGAGGATAACGTATTATTATTACCTATATTTAATCATTGCTGTGAAATTCCTACTGTAACGTACCATATACCTTTAGATATGCGAAGGCGACAACCTTGAACGTGAACATTCCTTCTACCTTAGAGGTGCTGACCATGCTGGTGGTCCTTCTCGTTGCGTCGAACTCTTCTGTAATACCCACAACGACAAGTCAAGTCTGATTGATACGATTTGGACAGTAATCAGTGATAGTCATCAACGTAAAAACTCGTTTAAGTTGACGGCGATCCCTCCTAATATTGCAAATATGACGGAAGACAAGAAGAGTTGTGCCAGATGTGATGAGGAGTTCCCATGGTACGCGAGGACTGGAGTACAATGTTGTCAATGTCATCGGAAGTACTGTAAACGGTGCTTCAACAACAATGGCAAAAAGTCGCGGATTTGTGACGCTTGTGGCAGTGTTAATGAGGAGGTGGGTTAATCTGGGACATTACCCTAATTTTTCCTTTTACTGGGCAAGGTATTGTACCAATTATCAGAAATTACTATACTTATTTTATTACCTGACTTTCAGAACGACAACAATAATCACAACGTACCTGGCCGGCAGAATGTGTTGGATATACCAGCTGATACATATGACATCATCAAAGCGTCTAACGTCAAACTGAAGTCAAGTTCAGGGAAGATTCTAGAGCGTTACTTTGTATTGAGGAAGAACTTCTGTTTGTACTCTTACAACAACAAGAAGGTAATTATTTGTACTGTTATGTCATGTTCTACTATATTTTACAAAGCTTACTATAAAACAATTAGTGAAATAGCTAAAAATAGAGTTCTAGCTACAATTTCCATTTTCACTAACTTAATATGGCAGTATTAGTACTAATTTTTGTAAAATACGAGAACAGATTGGTGATGTTAACCCCTTCAGGACTCATGTGCCCTTTCCATGTTACCCATCTCTGGCTGCGAAGTGTCACCTGGAAACGAAACTCGAACCTTGCTTATCAAACATCTCAGAAGAACGTATACGGTGTTACTAGAGAATGATACTGACCATACTGAGTGGATGGCAGCTCTGATACTATCAGCTAATGCTATGATACCTGGAGTCGAAAACTAGCTTACCACAACATTGAATACAGTGTAATGTAATTAAAAGTATTCATGATATTCGGCCTCCAACACTACTGCTGTATGCCGAATATACTACTGCTATGTGGAGCCCAACAATGATAACTTCATTGATATCTGTAGAAAGATACCGTCATGTTAAACAACTACGTCATGTACAACATATTTAATACTCATATATATATTTGCTATAGTAACAGTGTTATAAACCTTTCCCTGTGTATAAAGTTACTCAATTATTAATAAAAAAATTAAAATTTGTTGCTGGATTTACATTTCAATAAAAACGTAAACGTCTAGGACCATAGCTAGAGTAGAATCACCTGCAGTCTGTAAAAGCAAATTAATTTTTTAATAATTGACTGAAGTAGTGGTATGTTTTGCAAAATGTTTATTGAAAATGTACAGGATAAAAGCGTGGCCTCCTTTATCTGGCTAGCCATTCACTATTCTCCCCTCCAACCTTGTTCTCCTTATTCTGTCCAACCTCTTTCAAGAATGGCTCGTGATGGTAGAAATCTGAATCCTCATCCATGTAAACAACCTGATCCACATTAACTTTGGCTACATCATCACTCGACTTTGAGTAATTACGAAGCCATGAAGTGTCTGGTGCCTTTTCCGACACGACTGGAGTAGAAACAGTAACATCGTACCTAATCTTATCACAGAGACCATCCACACTGGTCGAAGGTCTTGTATCGACCAACCAGCTCTTGTTCTCTGACTCTTGAATCTCTTTTATGATTCTGCCAAACTTAAATTTGTTGGCTACACGAGGCGACGGTCTGAAGTCATCCAACGAAGCACTGTGACACGACATCTGCTCAGATACCGCGGTATTATTAGCAATTGGAGTCTGACAGTCTTCTCTCAGCCACTGGCAGTTGTCCGATTTAACAATCTGAAGATGATTGATTAGTGTTACAATCGGTCGGTGCAATGAATTAGCTCGCACATTTTACAGTGAGTTTTGTAAATGAAAAAACTTTGTTGTAACGAGACTTATTAACCATAATGACATGAATTGGCATAAAAGTATATTGTAATGAGAAACCTCTAGTAGAGTAAATGCGCTAACAGTTAAACAGTAACAAAGTACCGTTTGTCAATTTTTTACCAAATATTACATATCAAAAGTCATCACATATACCCCAAAGCAATATTATCACCCGCAGATAGATGGTCAGACTTTCCCTACTGCAACAAAGTACACCATCATACAAAGAAGCAATAAACTCGTGTTGAAAGTTTAATTTCCCTTACCTCGTCAATGTGTGTGCCCACAATGGGACTCTTATCAGTCGCCTCCGGGCTGATTATTTCAAAAGAACAGTTCGAGTCCTCGCTTATCGTACTTTGGGCAAGATCTCGTTCAGCTGGCAGTCGCATTACGGTTTTATGAGACAGAAAGTCGTCTTCGTAGATTTCCATGTCCATCGGCAGACTCTCGAGTTGTTGATGCACGTCGGTGAAGATGTTGCCAAAAGTGGCACTAACTAGGCGTGATTCAGATGGATCAAACTCAAAGGCCAGGCTCGGATTGCCTTTTGGCTTCAAACTCAATGCGTTCAGACTAAAACATTATTTTGAAAAAAGTGCACTAATTAAAAACATAAAATTAATATCACGTAACGAAAGCCAGAAAGAAGAGTACAGACCGGTCAAAAAGTGAACACAATACTGTTTATCAAGTTTCAAAATTTGAAAAAGTTCAAAACTTTTAAAAAAAGTTCTAATTTCTGAGAATCCAACAACAACAAAAAAACAATGCCTTTTCAACATTCGAGTTAATTTTCAACACTATTTTCAGCAGTGTTATTCCAGCAGTAAAAATCTTCAATTCGCTTCTTTGACAGATTTTATATATATTTTTGACCAAGGCAATGTAAAACAGCAAGAAGAGTAAATAACAACAATACAGCATCAAAAACGAAAAGCTTACCGAATAAGCATCTTCTCTACCATTTCAAGGCTTTCACACCCTCCAGTCTTGATGGTCTCGAAGCTGTTCTGGCAAGCTCCTAAACCTGAATAACAATAATTGTTCCCTACACATACCTATGGCCTTGCTAATCACATCTTGCTGCTCACTGAAGCTCTCTTCTCTCGCAGCCACAATCTGATCCAACTGACTCAAAAGTTCTTGCTCTCTTGCCCTCAGGCACGAAATTTGATGTTTCACGGCCGCAGCAACATCGCGACGCACTTTTTCAGCGTTCGCGCGCAACTCGGCCTTCATCGATGCGATTCTGGCCACTCCATTCTCCAACAACATCAGCTTTTGGCTTAAACGCTGTTCTACGATCGCCGACATTATCTATCTAGCAGATAATGAAAGTGAGAAGGGGAGTGTATGGTCGAGCCAGTTAAAAAATGCTAGATACGTGACTTATGAGACTATTTTCATGCACAAAGCTTATCAAGACATTAAGCGGAGGGCGTCGACAAAACCAACTCAAAGCAGCTATTTCTTTTATTATAAAGTGACACATGACCCCGACGCGTCAACTCTTACAAAATATCGCCATTTTCTAGAAATGTTTATTCTCACAAATTCACAAGATTAGTAGTTAGGAAAGAACGTTCTCGCGGCTACGGTGGGCACGGGGACTTCCATCGAAATGAGCGTATTGTAGCTGAAATGATGTTGTTATAGAGATAAATTGAAAATGTTTCAAAATATATTTGAAAAGGTAAATTTCATAAGACAGAATACAAAGCTGGTAAAATGGTCATAAAATACTGTACCTTAAATCTCAAGAATTTATTAAAAACGCATAGTAAACTTTGCACTGTGCAGCTTCATTTCACACAGATTTTTAACAAAAAAAGGTATGTTGTTTTCAAAAACTAGACTAAAAACTCACAGAATTTTTCAATCTTTTCCCAAAAGCTTCGAGAACCTGAATAACATAATCTACTTGCTCTGTCGAGTTGATTCCCTCAACGTTACTACGACAAATCAAGGCAGGCATAGTTCGTACACATTTCAGTTGGCTAATACAATCGTCGATCGACTTGGCACACTAAAATTTGACACTTACTTTGACTGTTAATACACAGAAAGACGTTGTAATTTTTATCATTTTAAACAAAAAACTTTAACGTCCTATGTACGGTTAAGATACGTTACGAAGAAAACTTACAAGTTCATAATTCCCAGTCATTTCACAAACACCGTACAAAGCTGATGATTCTTCTCGTTCAACATTATGATTAGTTGCAGGCTAAGATAGGTGTTTTAAGATAAAAAAAAATTAAATCATGATATTAAGGTATTACAGAAGGTACATTTATAAAACAACTTACCGATGTTATACTGGCACCGATCGTTTCCTTTGCCTTAACTTTCTCCAGCACTTCCAGCCGTTTCAGGATGTTATCCAGCGTTTCTGATTGTTTTTGTTCAACGACTTTTGAATTCGAATGGCAAGTCCCGAATTTGCTACTAGCAAAGCTTTCCGAGGCTGATTCTCGTACTTTTGTGTTTTCTTTTGCCATTTTAGACAGTTTACGAGCCTTGGCGGTCAACTAAAGTTACATTGATCAAAAGACTATAATATCAAATAAGTTAACAAAAAAGGATCTTAAATAAACCTGTAGAATTAACTTACATCGTCAATCCGACTATTTATGCTCTCCTTATGAAGTTTCAAATCAGTACTCAACTTATGCATTGCCTTTCTTTTGTTTTCCCTTTGGATCAGAAGCGTCTAAACGAGATCAACCACGTACAAAAAATAAAATACAACAAAATAAAGTATCATACAAAATTCGCGAATTAAAAAACGTCCAATACTGAAAAATAGGTATAAATACCTCCAAGGACTGAATCAAACTCAGCATCGTTACCAAGTAACTGCTCTTCTGCTCATTTATACGATGTTTCTCCTGATTCAGATTCTTCTTTGCACTCGGCGAAGCCGACTTTCCCGGCTGCAGATCCATAGTAAGAATAAGAAGAAAAACCGACTTCGATCAAGTACTCAAAAAATAATAAAGATTGGCAAAAGAAATTTGCAAGTTTAAAATCGACTTTATTTATTCAAATATGTAGTTTTTTATGCCTTTTGTCTTGTGCACAAGCTTGTGTAATCGTACTTGAGTCGTTACATAATCAAAACAACCTCATCTTACACGCTTGAGACCGTTTTGACAGTTCTACTCCTTAGTTATCAACGTCAACAATATTTTATTCGTTTTATTATGAACTGCAAAACTTACCAAATTCGGTTCGACATATTCTTGTTCCTTTCCCCATTCTTCTCGAAAATTCACCCCAAATTCTTTTCGAAATTTTATTCTTCGAAGTTTCAATCACAGTTTGGCGGTAGCAATCCTTCCTCACGGAACTAAACTCGAATTCGAATTTGCGCCAGACAGCCTACGGTAAGTCTCTCTTTCACTGAATGCGCGCACTTTTCAACTCGAATAAAACGAACTGGACGGAATCCGGAGGTCGAGAGGGCTTTCGGGGTGTACACACTCACCGTGATGATTTGGGAAGAGAGAACGGGGAGTGCGTAGGGTGCAGACATCCGTGGCGGTTCGTGCTGTCTGATGACTGAGACCTTCACTAAAAGTTTTTTTCCTTCCCATCGCCGGATTCGTCGAAACCTTTTTTTCGTGCTGTGTGTGATTTTGAGACAGAGCTGTTGATTCGTGCTATTTTTCGTGATTTTTTATATTATCTTTGGTTATTTTTTGAGGAATTAATACGTTCTTTTTCAGTTGTATTCGGGTTCAGTTTATATTATCTACTACTTCTTATATTTATACAATTCACAGTAACAATGGCGTTAAAACGGATTCAGAAAGTAAGTTATTTGTGTTTTTCTTGACTTTTAGGTAATTCTTAAATTATGTTAGAGTTAAGAGATAATTTATTGATTATCACGTCTACAGTGTGGATGTTTAAGTAAAATTTGTAAAATTAAGTTTGACATGACGAATTTGATGTTGTAGTGATGCTCTGGAACGCAATGGAAACATATATTTTACAAAGTTTAAGATTTTGTCTTGAAAAGTATATTTTAAGATGTTTTCCTTACTTATTGGTCACGAGGCTTTTTGCATCGATTTTAAGTGACATTTTCTACGTTTTGTAGTTATCGATTTATGTCTTTATTTTGTATATTGAGGTATTAGATTATAATTAGCGACTTTGACTTTAAAGACCTGGCAACGGTTTTGAATTTGAGCGATTGCATCGTTCAACCGGTTTTCAAGTTTTTAGGATAAGTCAATAAAAAGTTTATTTTTTGTACTTTTTTTTATTGTTTCAGGAGTTACAAGATCTCGGCCGTGACCCTCCAGCTCAATGCAGTGCTGGCCCAGTTGGAGACGATCTATTTCACTGGCAAGCAACGATTATGGGGCCTCCAGAGTCTCCATATCAAGGTGGCGTCTTCTTCCTGACTATCCACTTCCCTACTGATTACCCGTTCAAACCACCAAAGGTTTCGTTTACAACTCGAATTTACCATCCCAATATTAACAGTAATGGCAGTATTTGCTTGGATATTCTGCGTTCCCAGTGGTCACCGGCTCTGACTATTTCAAAAGGTACGATTATTGATTATGTTTGGTGTCTGGTGTATATGTAAGGAGTGGCATATGCGGTTTTACTTAAATAGGCGTGCATATGTTTATTATATGCAAAATTAGTCTAGTGCACAATGAAATTTAAGGCTTTAAAATTGAGAAAGCTAAAAATGTTTAATTATTGCTTTTTTATAAGATTTATCTTTGATAACTGATATGAAGTTTGAAGAAAACGACAAACTTGCTTTTTGAGGGCTTTTTGTCAGCTTTTAATTATAATATAGATTTTTTAATTGTAATCAGTAATATGTTGTATTTCAGTTCTCCTTTCCATTTGCTCCTTGCTCTGTGACCCCAACCCAGATGATCCACTCGTGCCTGAGATTGCTCGCATTTACAAGACAGACAGAGATCGATACAACACCTTGGCAAGGGAATGGACGCAGAAGTACGCCATGTGAGGATGGCTGATGGTTCGATCGGGTTCTTAGTAAGGGGGAGGACACTTTTTCATTCAGCGATCGACTACATTATCTCACAAGTGTTTTTCCTCTATTTTCCCTGTGTTTAAAATCATCTTGTAAGGAGCTCTACCATTGTTACGACATCCTTCCTTCATTGTCGTTCAATAAATCTGTTCTTTAATTAATTTTATATTATATGTTTGTAATACGGAAAAGTAAATATTATTCATAATATAACTTCTATCTGGTTTTGGGAAGACGAACGATGTATTTGGCGATATAAAGGATAGATGTGTGATATCGGTTATAATTCCCTTAATTACTTGTACAGTACCATGCCATACTGAGTTGAAGTTAACAACTGTTTGACATTTAAAAGTAATGTAAATCACGAATGTTCTAACAATTTTCTTAATTTTGGTAACGCGTTGTCTGAAAAAATACGAAATTAAAAAGTAGTAATGAAAATGACAATTGTAGTATAACATGACGGAACTCAAATTTGTACCTTTCAAAATATTCTTTGATCCGGCATTTTGGTCAGTAATCAACAGACGGCGGCTGGATGAGTGGAAACTTGATTGCCCAGAATTGCCTATAAAGGCTTCGTTTGATTACAGTAAGTTTCAAAAAAAGTTCGAAGTTGAAGCGTAGGTTATGACTGGAATCGTCTTAGATGTGATTATGTATTGCTTTAGTAGCCAAGCAGGGACATACTTGTCCATTGTCAATTTCTTTCGATGCTCTGACTGAAGCCAAGGATGGTGAACAAACAGTGACTGGTCGTTTCCAGTTGTTGGGAACATTGAAAGACTTTCAAAGTTTTGGTAGAAAAGAATTGATGAATAAGTTGAAAGAAGAAGTAAGTTGTTTATTGTAATGTCATTTTGTTTTTAGTTATGGAGCAATGTTGTGGGCTTCAAACCAGAGAACTTGAACCTATTTCACATTGTGGCTTTTGCTGTAAGTTTTTACTTTGTATTTTATCTTTATTATATTTGAGGAGACATGATTACATTACATATAATCTTTTACTTTTTTAAATATTTTTTATTATTTTAAGGACTTGAAGCAGTACTCTTACTACTACATGATCTGTGCTCCTGCTCTTGTCTATCCAAAGGGGATCTCTAAAGCAGCTACAACAGGAAAACCTTCCGAACATGATCACGTTCTTGCTTGGAAGTACTTCAAGGAAACGTCAGAAAGTGCATTTTTGCTTTCTGAAAGTACTCACAACATAATTCCAATCAAGAATCTAAAGGAAACTCACGAACCGGTTACTGTAGTCATGGCCAACCCAACTTCGGTATTGGAACACCTTGGATGGACTGCTAGGAACTTGATAGCTTTCATCGCGTTTCACAGGTAAGTAATTAATGTTTTTAATTTTATGTTAAACATGAAAATGGGTAGTTTCACGACATCACGTATGGACTAAAAGGAAAGTTGAGATTGTATTTTTTATTTTTAGACCAGATTGGAGCGTGATAAAGCTGTTGGCTTTGCGGAGTACTGTAGAGTCATCGTTTACTGTAGACGTCTGTTGGGACAAACCAGAAGACAATGGAACTCCGGAGACAGTCGGTTGGCAGAAGCCTGAAGTTATATCGCTGAAAAATGTTTTTGATCCTGTAAAGTAAGTTTTATGCTCAAATGTATAAAGTTAAATTATCCGACTTGAAGATCTTTATAAGTATTGTTACTGTAACGATGAAACTGCATAGTAGTACATAATTTATTTTGAGTTAAAATTGATGTGAATATTTTAAGGCTAATGGAAAGTGCGGTCGACATGAATCTGAAGTTGGTCAGGTGGAGGTTGGTGCCAGAGCTAAAGTTGAACAAGCTTACGGAGTTAAAGATGTTAATAGTCGGCAGTGGGACACTTGGATGTAACTTGGCCAGAAGCTTCTTGGGATGGGGTGTCAAGCATTTTACTTTCATTGACAATTCTGTTGTGTCGTACAACAATCCAGTACGGTAAGTATTGCTCGAAAGCTTTGTTGTACTAAAAATGTTTGGTTGCTTCTTTTGTAATGTTATTTTAGGTTTAAAAATTTGTTATAAACATGTTTAATCATATTGTTTCAGACAATCCTTGTTCACATTTGAAGATGCTAAACAAGGAAACAAGTCTAAATCTGTAACGGCCGCCGACTCGCTGAAGAAAATCTACCCTAGTGTGTGTTCGAGAGGGGTGGATATGAAAATCCCTATGCCTTCTCATCCGATATCAGAAAAAGGTATGATTTATATTTTTATGTTGTTGTTTTAAGTGAGATCATTCCGTAAAATATTGTTCTTAGAACGACAAAACGTTATGGATTCAGTAGAGCAACTTACTAAACTTATACAAGAACATGACGTTGTGTTCTTGGTTATGGACAGCCGAGAATCTCGCTGGTTGCCTACCTTATTATGTACTCATTACGGAAAGGTAAGGATAGAACCTGTTTCTTAGGATTTTAAAATGTTTTAATACGTTGAATTATTGTTTTAAAAATATTGTTATTTAGCTCGCCGTCACCGTTGCTCTTGGCTTTGACACTTTTATGGTTATGCGACACGGTGTCCGTTCTACCGTACCTTCCCCATCAGCAGACCCTTCGGAGGTTTCTGGCTCAGAATTGGGATGTTACTTTTGCAGCGACGTGACAGCGCCAGGAAACTCTTTAGAGGATCGAACTCTAGACCAGAACTGTACCATCACTCGAGCCGGTATCTCGGGCATTGCTTCAGGCATCGCTGTGGAACTTGTAGCTTCACTAACTCAACATGAAAACGGAGTTGGAGCTCCAGCCATGGTCTCCGGGCTAGATGACAATTCGACGGTTTTAGGAGCAACTCCACATCAGGTCAGAGGATTCATGTCACGCTTCCACTTCATGACCCCTACTGTACGAAGATTCCAACAATGTACTGCATGTGGAGATCAAGTGCAAAACGAGTACGCTTCTAATGGGTTCGACTTCTTGACTTCTGTATTCAACGATGGAACAGAACTGGAAAGGGTCTCGGGTCTAAAACAACTTCAAGAATCAGTGGAGAATGTCACTATTGATGACATCGACTTCAACTGCACTGATTCAGAATGATTTTGGGTTTAAATACTCTAAGGTTTTGAAAGTCTGATCAGTTTGGAAGCTGAATCATGACTGGTTCTTTCTAATCTTTACCACTTTACCACGCTTGTAACTTGGGATTTGAAACTTCTTTTTGCATCTGAAGTTTGACTTCAGTTGATGTACACATTCAGATTATTTTGTATACTTTATAACGGGTTTTATTAAATTATTGGAATTAATAGCCGTTCCTACTTCGTTTCATCGCACTTTCTCGGATCTCCTTGCCCAAAGTGTCACAGTCCACTTTGTTGAACTTTTTTATAGCGTTTTTGAACACCTAAATTATACGGTGAGATTAGTCACAAACTTAACATTTATCATACAATATTATGTTGTTATGCTATACATGGTAGTTTTAGGGATTTAAGATGTATTAGGATAGAGAGATTATAACGTATCTTACTTTATCTTGTTGCCACGGTAGCAGTAGCCTTGCTTTCAGAATGTTGTTCATCCTGTTATCCGTCATTATCAGGTAGTTTTGTGGGCCCTTTTTAGACTTTTGTGGACAGTAACATTGAGCGATCTTGTCGTCCGTGACCTGAATAAGGTCTCCAGCATTCAGAAACTTGAAGTGTTCAGCATGTTTGTCTCGTTTCGCTGCTGATTTAGGCTTGAATATCCGCTGAACACGATGAATTTTGAAGGTGGTCCCGTTTAGAACAATGAGCTTGGCTTTGAACACTTCAAAGGCGATATTATATTGGGCAGAATAAAATATTTGAACTAGGAATTTCTTTAAATCAAAATAAAGGAAAAATTCTTAGATTTGACTTTACAATACGATATCTTACCCGTATTCGAGTTACAAAAGTTGTCCAACAAATTCTCGAAGGTGGGAATCTGGACGCAGCTTGCGCATTCTCGCTTCGATTCTGAAGTGAAATTGTTGGAATCGGCAGTGGTAACGGGGGTATTAGTAGTGGTAGTAGAGGTAGTAGTACTAGGTAACACAGCAGCCAACGTACGTGAGTGTTTCACTTCCTCCTGTGCCTGTGGCTTGATACACATGTCATTGTCCTCAGGGAATTTGGAGCACTTCATCATGTCCGGCCAATCGAAACCGTACTGTTTCATGCGCGGCTCGCATCCCTGCAAAGGTTAAGTGGGGATGGAGATGAACTTACTTGTTTCACCTTCTCACACAATGATTTGCATGGGTATATTATCTTGTCCACTTCTGGCAGGCATACTGGAGCGAAAAGGGAACATAGGAACAGCTAAAACTTGATTTTTAGATTCTCATGAGAAATATTTTCGGCACTTTCTAAAAAAACCCCTTTAGATATTATCCCTATTACCTTGATCCGCTTAGTGTGAGCTCTATCACAACTTTGATAATCGCAAAAAATAGAAACTTTGCTACTTTTGTTTTTTATAACAAATTTTAAAGGTCTTTTAACTCTTCCTAACTCAAAATTAGTGGTAATGTTCCTTACTTTAGTTTCTGGATGACAGTGTAATCGCAGCAAGCTGTTCCAAGCATCACTTTGTTGAATAGCTTCGGCTACAGTATCGTGTTCTAATAGGGTAGGCAGTCGCATAGTCGAGTACTGTAATGCAAATTAACATTAAAAATTTTGAAATTAACCTGAGGCATAAAAATTTTTTTGCAAGGTATGTATAACTTTAGGTGATTTTACAGTACTTATAAAAGTTTAAAGTTTTTAATTTTTTTAATTGTCAGATCAACAAATAATTTTTATATAGGTGCTCCGGTCGTATACCAAAACGTAAAAAGTTCATTTTTAATGACAAATAACGGCATTTTTAGTTGATTACCACAATATTACACAAATTACCTGCATTCCGTGACATAACGTGAAGTTTGTCGGTATGGGCACACAACGCGGTCCATCGCTGGTCGAATGCCCAAAAGCTGACCAGTCCTGTGACAGGTAGTGAGCTTGAACCAGGCTCAAAACGGTGAGCAGACTCGCCGCCAGCTTCATCCTCTGTGAAGGCAGACCAGGCCGGACCCGAAAGTTAATGGAAACCTGATCTTGTAACTCGATATAAGGCTTTGAACGGGCCAAGTGTTCTCGATGATGGATAAGGGAGGGCCAGAGACATTATGATCCTCCGGATCTATCATCTTCTATCTGGTCTTGACATCTCTCGTCAAGCGCGGCCCGCTCTTTGATGATGGCCGCCTTTTGGTCTTCTCTAAGGGGGGGGTCGCCTCCAGAAACAAATTCATCTCCGCTCAATTTCTGGGACCGATTGATGGCCTTCCGAATGGAATTACATTCCAAAACTATATTATACTACAGTATGACACCATTCTTGTGCGATTTGCACTATTAAACAGTATAATTCATACCTTTCTAGCTAAAACAAGTAAAGTATTTTGAAAAAAGTCCCAAAAAATTGATAAAATCAAAATTTGCATAAAAAATCAAAAATGAACTACAAAACACTAACAATCAAAACACAAACTGACCATTTGTAGCTTTTGTAAATCAACTGAACGGCTGCTTACAGTAGTTCGGTCTGTCCATCTTGTGCGTAAAGCCTTTTTCAACAAGAGACTCTCACGATGGCCGACGAGAATCGGATTCTGGAGAAGACAATCCGCGAGAAGGTCGAAGTCGACACGGGGCTTCTGGAGAACGCCTACGTCAAGCCTTCCGACTTCTACGCGCCCTACGTGGAGCTACCGTATTATCACGGACTGCTGCGGAACGTTGATGTGGCAGAGTTGTTGGCACGGCCGGGAGAGTTCCTTTTAAGATTTGCCATGCCCACCACACCGACCGGCCCAATGCGCCCTTTCCTGTCAGTTTATCCAGTTGGCTCTAAAAGTAAAGATGAGGTAAGGTTAACTTTATTAAAGCGTATTTTATAAAAAAGGTAATTCAGCTTTTTAAAATATAAAATACTAAAAAAATGTAAAAATGAACTATTATCTATTATATACCTTATATTTTCAAACACCATACTAAGTTTAATGTTATTTTTAGATTGTTCATATTGAAATCACGACGGCCGAAGGCAAATACACAGTAGAAACGGGAGGAACCTTTGACACCGTAGCCCTGCTAGTCACCCATTACCAAACCGAAAAAAAGTCCGTCCACCCAACAGCGTCAGCCTTGTTGAATAAGCCGGCCAAGAGGCATCGATGGCAACTGCGCAACTATTTGCTCAAGATGGAAAGAAAACTTGGCGAAGGCACATTTGGTAAGTTGAGTAAAACATATTATAAGTAGTGCCATATTCTAAGTATTCTCACAAAAAAGTGACAAGATTTTCTTGACCAAGATGTTGGCTTAGAGATTTTAAAAAACTTGAGTTACTGTAGATAAGATTTTAAATTACTGTAGATAGGACTTTAAAGTAAACTTCTTAAATTTTAGCCCAAGTAAATCGCGGGATTCTCCGAGTACGTGCCAAAGAACGAGAAGTTGCCATCAAGATTTGTCGCGAAAATGAGAAAATAACAAAAGAACAGATGCTGAACGAGGTGATGAAGGAGGTCCATATCATGAAGCCGCTACGTCATCGTCATGTCGTTCGCCTTTATGGCGTAGCCATGGATTATGAACCGTAGGTGATTACTGTACTATTTTTTTAATTGATTTCCATACTTATTGTCTTACGAATCAAGCATAGTTAGATAAGTATTGCCGTACCTTTTAGAATAATGATTGTCATGGAACTGGTACGTGGAGGGTCGTTGCAACGGTATCTACGGAAGAATCCTGGCAAAATACCCACTCTTGAGAAACTGGAGCGTATGATACTCGGAGCAGCGTGCGGAATACAGTACATTCACGAAAAAACCTTAATTCATCGAGACATTGCGGCCAGAAACTGCCTGTATTCAAAAGATATTGTAAGTTTACATTGTTTTAACATACACACTTTTGCATTATATACCTCACAACACTAGTTTACAAACTATTTTTAGTGTAAAATCAGTGACTTTGGCCTAGCGTGCGTTGGTGAGTCGTTCAAGCTTAAAGTGGTCTGCAAAGTGCCATTCAAGTCGATGGCACCAGAAGTGTTTTGCACCTTCCGCTACACTCCAAAATCCGACGTATACGCATTTGGAGTAATGATCTGGGAGATATTCATGGACGGCAAGGAACCCTATCCTGACAAACGGCTGCCAGAAGTCAAAGCGATGGTGGTATCTGGAGCTCGACTCACATTCCCAGATACGACACCTCCAGAAATCAAGGAAATGACAAATACTTGTTGCTGGGCCACGAACCCCGATGATCGACTTACGATGGCACAAATCGTAAGAAAACTGGACGAGTTCATTCACAAGTACGTCAACGAGCTGTCAAGGTCAAAGTCGGACAACATAGAGGAAGACGTAGAGCCAGGAGAACCACCTCGAAACTCCGCTGCTCATTTGGCCAATGTTTTGGACAGAAGCAGAGAAACGGCCGATAAAACCGAAGACAAAACTGACCATAAGGATAAGACGGTCGACTGTGAGGTACGAAGTTTTTCCTTATTTTATAATGCTAAAATGACTAATTCAAGACTTTTCTGCTTAGTTCCTGACCGAGGTATTAAGATACAAAAAGGTGCTTAAACTTTACTTCAATACTATGTTTTAGATCTCAACGTACTCGACGATGTCTGTAGTTGGAGAACCATCTCAAGTCGGCTCCCTCAGCTCTCCAGCTCAGTTAAGCAAAAAAGGAAAACCATCTTCAAAACGCAAAAAGAATTGACGTTTCATTGAATAAATATTCGAAATTGAACTTTATTGCTTATACTTGGCTAAAAAGCTTTAAAATTTTTAATTTAAAATTTTAGACAATTTGCATAAAAAATTTAAAAGCTTTTTTGAAATAAAAGTCGATTTTTTCGTATTCGATGGAACTCTTGACCATTTTAATCCTTTGTACTTGGATTAAAGCTCGACAGAATTAATAAACAAACCTAATTTGCATTTTAAAACTTCCTTCACTGTTCAAAAACCAAACATATTCGTTTCGCGCATGTTTAAACGTTTTCCCTTTTTGAAAAGGTTTTACCTTCACTTTTGGTTCATTACGGAAGGTCAAAACAAGCCGATGCGAGCTCGTGACGTCAACAACATCGGAGAGGAAGAAGAAGGGAGTGTTGAAGATTCAGATCGGGAACACTTTGGAAAACAGCTATCGAGTGTTGTTGTCTACGATTCCGCGAATAAAATCTTCATAAATAATTTTCTTGAATATTTCGTGGTTTTTTGAAAATTTAAAAACAGAACTTTTACCCGCCAAAAGCGTTTTATACGGCCGTGGTCAGACAAAATCTTCAAAAAATTATTTTTTATTAAATTTCCAAAACCTTCAATAATAAATTTTCCGTGACATTTTTTTGACATAAAAAAATTTTGAAAAAAGAAATGTTATACACATGTGACTCTTATAATCTCTTTTGGATAAAGTAACTTGTTCTCGTTTGTTTACTTCTGAAACAATTTTGCGTCTTATTTTCGGACAAATTATAAATAATGTATGGCAAGTTCTTTTGAATACCTCATTATGGAATTGTTTTTGTTTTTTGTCGCGACGAATTTACCTAATTTGGGGTGAAGAGCATATAATTAGCGAAGGACTTCAAGTTTTTCAGTGTTAAAATTCAAGGATCTGTTCGCTTTTGTTGTAATTTGGTTTTTACGGCGTAAAATATAATTTTGCTTTGCTATAAAGTTGTTTATAGAATTTATTTACTTATTAGACCTTTAGAAAGTGTAATATATTGTTATATATAACGTATCCATTTTGTTTTTATAGCTTTGCAAGAGTGTTAACGCGATGCTATAATTTTTTTTATTAATTTATGTTAATCTTAAGATTTTAGACATATGAGTATAAATGAAGTTACAACAGACCCCAAAGTAACGCGAACTACTTTCTCACCAGATATCTTGAACAATGAACCTCTTAGCGACTGGATCTACGCTATATGTGTAGTCACGTTTGACTTGGAATTAGGACAGGTGATAGAGGTAAGTTTTTCTAATAATTTAATACCTAAAATCTTTTTCTAATTTTAGGAGCCAAAAATAAACTTTTGTTTAAAAATTTACTTAATTTTTCAGCTGACATATCCCAAAAATGTGTTTCTATCAGAATCAACCAGGACCAACTTATGTTACCTATCCTTCCCGGACTCCAACGCTACTTCAGCTCAAGACACATCGTACCACTTCCGTCTGAAAAGCCCAGGAATCGAGCTTACTGATGGTTTGAACGCGTTTTCCGACCAGGCTCCCATCTCATTAAAGCCGTGTGAGGAATTCTTGTTTGGTTTTGTGCATTTCAGACAACAGAAAAATGTGAATTTGGCCAGAGGGTATTACCAGAAGAGTGTTGTGGTACTGTCACATCTTCCACTTTTTGGTCTCTATCAGTATGTGGTTGATAGTATGGCGTTAATGTTCTTTGAGTCTGGAGAGGCTATTCTTGATGCAGGTAGGCGTGGTTACTCTAATATAACGTAGCGAAGGGAAATGTGTATAATTTATTAAAGTGAATTATAATTAGTGCACCACATGTATAAAGGTATACAATAATTACCAGTAATAACCCACTTAGCAGTTCAACACATCCGAGAATGGCCACAGCCAGTACCAGGCACGATGCTGAACTTACCGTGGATGGGGAACGTACTGCAGTGTCGAATACCATCAAAGACTGACATTCCTCAAGCTCACTTTACTTTTGAGACCAATGTAGGTTGTCTTTATTAAAATATTTTTGTTCTTAGGGATTCAATGATGCTTCGTCAATTATACTACCATCAGTTCACGAGACCAACTTCTACGAAAATACCAAATGTATCGTCACTCATCTTCAAACCTTTTGGGAACTTGTATTGATCGGAGAGGTACGTCTAACTTATTTTTTAAGCATTAAAATTGTCTTTCATATATATTTTTACTATTTTAACTAAAATAGCATGATTTATACCTAAATATTTGACTAAAGCAACGTCTTCATTTATTTTAGCCGCTGGTTGTGTTGGCACCTAGTCCAAACATTTGTGCCAATCTAGTTCAAAGTTTGATCACACTTATTTGGCCATTAGAATTTGGAGGCGATTACCGTCCGATGTTCACCATCCATGACTCGGATTTCAATCAGATAACTTCCGCGGTTCCAATGTGAGTTTCACTTTTTTTTGCATTCTGTTACTCTGGTTGTTCGGAGAGATATATTTTTAATTATTTAATTTGAAATAATTGCATTTTGCATAAGGCATTGCACGATAATATCGTTTATATTATAAAAAATGACCATATTCATCATGAGATTAAACAATATTTTCTAATATGAGAACTTATTTTTGGTAATATTATGACAACCTATTTTAGACCAAGTATGGTACTAGGAGTCACAAACCCTTTCTTTTCGAAAGCCTTGGCTCATTGGCCGCATTTCCTTCGAGTTGGTGATGGATCAAACGACCAAACCTTAATCATGGACAAGTTGTTCAAAAAGCTGTCTGATGGAAAAAGTTTGGATAGTAGGCCAGGGCTGTACAGTACTTATAAACCCTTTTTAAGTGCTGACAAGTCACTGATGAAGAAACTGGTGAACCTTGGAAATCGACCAGACGCTGTGCAAACGGCTATTTTGAGACGACACTTTTTGGAGCTGACACAAAGCTTCATGATCCCATTGGAAAGGTTGGTATTAATATATTTAATAAACTGCATTTTCTTCACATAACACTGTTTTCTATAAAAATGTCTTTAGGTACCTTTCAAGCTTGATGCCATTGAGAAAACAAATCAATCCATTCAAGTCCATCCCCCAAGTCAAGGTTTTCGAAATGGACGAGTTCTTTGCCAACCTCAAGAAGAACGGACCGTTGTTAACATGCGGAGTCAAAGGAGATTGGTGTGGATTATATACCAGATTCATCAGATCCCCGAACTTCAAATCATGGCTTCAGATGAGGCTGAAAGATGTAGAACAACAACTTTCTGTCATCCATCTCGATGTTTTATGTTCAGCTGACTTATCAGTGGATGTGTTAAGAGATCGAAAGCAAGTTGAGATTGTCGATCTTGTACTGAAGTTGAACGAAAAGTTGAGTAACATAGATGAAAAAGACGTTGACAAAAGGATCCGGCTTCAGAAACAGCTAGGTAATGTTATGAATGCTGTTGATGATGACTTGAAGCAAGTTTTGTTGTCTAATGAGAATATCAAGGCACTGTTTACGTGACACTTGATAATGTAAAAGTATAATTGTTTAGTATTGTTATTGCGTAAGAATCTTTGAGGCAGTATAATATCTTTTTCAAGTATTTTCTCAAACTAAATTAGTGCTTTTTTAGATTTTATTGCCTGTATTTAGACTTAAACGTTGTATTATATTGTTTAAACTTGTTATACCTATCGTTCTCCATCTATATCAGAATCTTAACATTTCTTTTTGTATCTACGGGTTTCAATGGGACGTGGACATATACCTTAAAGTATTTGCACTAAATACTATTACTGTTAGGTTATTATCTTTATCAAAACATGTGCAGCTGATAAACGGTGTTACTTAAATAAATATCAATATTCTAACCGAAAGAAAACTTCAACGTTTTGAAAATAAAATTCTGCGTTATAAATATTCTTACAAAGAATAGCATCTAGGTGCTTTATTTTGCCGATTTCCGAAGAAGACTGTTGTTTTCATTAACCCCGATATCATCCTTGACTTCAATGTCTTTGCTAACCTCTACATCTTTGTTAACCTCAAGGTCTTTGTTAACACCGTTCTTTTCCATAACAATGTCAGCATTCACTGCATTCTGGACAGCCCAACTCTGAGCATCGGCCGAAGCCATCGTACCAAAAATGAAGCCAGAAGAGATGACCAACAAGCTGATAATCAACAATATGGTCTGCCACTCTTCCGGAGTACCGTTTACTCTTACCATGTTAACTATCCAAGGACAGGCGATCATTCCCAGTGATCCTATTAACATGGACAGAGACGTTAGAGTACCAGTATGTAATGGTGCCAATGATAACAGTGAGGTGAAGAAGCCGGAAGTTGAAGGTCCCAAAGCTAGGCCTAATAGAACAAACATTACTGCTACAACGTTGACATCATCACAGTCCATGTTGTGTCGAATTATCAGCATTATAATGCCGACTAGGATGCAAGCTGTAAAATGATATTATTTTACAAAAGCTGAGTTTTAGGTGTAGTAATGTACATTAAAACTTACAGAATGATTGTGAGACCCTTACACTAGTTGTTTGTGAGATTTTACCACGTATCTTTAGATCATCAATGAATATGCCCCATAGTATTTTAGTAATAGCTTGCCCTAGATGTGGCAGGGCACTGTAGAACCCGTTCTAGAAGTAAATAATATATACAGTTTTAAAAAAACTAAAAACAACGGTTTATAGTATGCTGAAACCTTGTTATATACTTAACGTATGACAAGGCATAGTAAATGTTAACTCACATTGATAGTTTTGAGCTGGAAGACTTCTTTAAAAAACGATGGTGTATATGACGCAATGAACATCAGTAAAACATGGAAACAGAAACTACTGTACAAACAGGCCAGTAATGGTACACAAGTAATCATTTCTTTCCACGGCATCTTTCGTTTCGTTTTTTGTTTGTATCGTTGGTCATTTATCTTTCCAGACAGGTATGCCTTCTCTTCAGTCGATATTAACTTGGACTTTTGGAAAGTATCCTTGCCCAAAAAGTAACATAGTAAAACCCATAGAGCTCCCATCACTCTTGAAACGTATTTTATGCTTTTAAAATTTTAAAAACAATAGTGAGGTACATTGAAATTTCATTATAGTACTTCAATGTAATTTTAAAAACAGAAAGAAGGCGAATTAATGTAGCAAAAAAGTTTACCACACAAATAAAATACTCCTCTCCATTTGACTGATGATTCACAAAACGCCGCTGAGACAGGTGGTCCAACAATACCAGCCAACTGGAATCCAGAGGTGAAAAGAGACCCAGCTTGTGACAGTTCATTCCGAGGTACCCATCTACTGATAATCCAATTAGAAGCTGGCAATATAAACCCGTCTGCCACTCCATACACAAATCTGGCTGCAAATACTCCACCAAATCCGAAAATGTCAATCAAAAAAGGAATGGCAAAAGTGGTGGATGACATTACTATTACAGCTATCATTAAGGTGTTACGAGGCGAGAAATGATCAGATATATAGCCAGCTGGTATGTTACTGAGTGTACTACCCCAAAAAGAACTAGAGAACAGCAAGTTTTGCATCTGAGGTGACCAGAGCAGGTCTCCCTAAAATATTCTTCATACTTTTATAAATTACATTCCACACTTTTACATAGTAATGTAAAATGTCCCGGAAATAATTTTACAAAATTTTTAATATCAATAATAGTAAATTTTTTGATCAAAAACCTACTACTTTCCCTTTAAACTTACTCCATAGTTGTTGACCACGTTAACATCCGCATTGCTGACGTTTAAGTTAAAACGGTGTAAATTACTGTAACTTGTTTCTCTATCTTTGTTATGAGCCATCATCACGGCAGTCGTATTCACCATACAGGTCATTGTCATACCAAGATTCATCCTCATATACGATGTTATCGACCACCCCAACATCAAGATCAAAACCAAGTGCATTCGATGCGAGCATGGATAGAAGAACACTGTAAATAGAAAGTAAATATTATGTGAAGATTAGAAAGATATATTTCTTCAAAGGTTATGCCCTGTGACGCAAAACAATACCAAGTACAATATAAAACGTAACTGGTTAACATAAAAACTTACAGTCAAATCTCGACATGACTAATTTTTTATCAATTAATAGTCACTCTAGTAAACAAAAACAGTTAAAAAGTAATTTTTATTTACATTCTTAATATTATACAGCAGCGTTGAATGTTGACTGTTTAAAGCTGACCGAACCTGCAATAGGATTTGTTAAAAAGACCAAAAACTACAATAACTTGCAAATACGCCCTTGTCTGTTTATTTCTTGACTAGTTCAATAGAAGCAAATGATAATACCATCGAAAAGAGAGGATTATATTGTACGCCAGGAATAAACAGGCTGATAAGTGAAGGTCGATTTGGTCAAGTAATTCATCATCAATTACTGCAAGCATTGTCTGTCGTTTTACAATTATGACTTAAAATCACAGTATAAGCTTATGAGTTTACAATTTTTAGTTTTTTGTGTTAAAAATCTACACTTTATCAGATACGGTAAATGTTTCAAAAGGCTTTGCAACGAAAATGTTATTTTTGGCATTCTGCACCATTTATTTTATTTTTGGCTTCGGAAATTTTAATTAAAATTCAAAAAATGAAATTTGTTATTCAGAGAGTGTCCAAGGCTTCTGTCTACTTGGTTTCGGATTCAGGGAAAGAATTAGTAAGTTTGCATGTTATACATCAAGATGATCATTATAAAAATATATTTCAAATAGACAGGTTTCAGAAATAGGAAGAGGAATATGCGTTCTTGTCGGTATTTGTGAAGGAGATTCGGATTCTGACATTGAGTATGGAGTTAGGAAGTTGATGAACTTGAGGTTGTTTGATAATCCAGAAACAAACAAACGATGGGATAAAAGTGTCAAAGACCTGGATCTGGAGATATTGTGCATTAGCCAGGTATTTCTTTGGTTTCTGATGTTTATTGTTTTAGTTTACGTTACATGCGCTGCTAAAAGGCAACAAATTGGACTTTCACAGGTCCATGCATACTACAGAAGCTCCTGGATTTTATGAAAAGTTTCTGAATCAATTGAAAAGTGGATACAAAGCTGATAAGGTGAAGGTAAGAGGGATATGCTTGGTTAGAGTTTAATTGACTGCTGTTTTTATTAAATTTTAAGTAGTTGTAGATGGTGTAAATTACAATTAAAAGCTTTAAACATATATTATGAAAAATACTTTTAGGATGGAAAGTTCGGAGCACATATGAGTGTTTGTATCGAAAATGATGGACCTGTTACAATAAACTTGGATTCAAAGGAGAAGTAAAAGGGATATAAAGCCGAGCATCTTGCCTAATTATGAACCTATGTATTGAATTTATTAAGATTGACAATGTTTGTTGGATTATCTGCAAATATACGTTTATACGGGTTATATGTTGTTGTTAACTGTTGTAATAAACATGTGATGATGTAGCTGTTATACTGTGTTTTTTACATGATATTAATTCAAATTTATTACCTTTTTGCTTTAGTTTTATATTCTATTTGAAACGGACTGAAGAATATATTTTTTGTTTTTTAAAAAAAAGTTTGAGTGTTTATTGAACTTCTTCATCCTTCAAACGTTTTTAATTTTCTTGCAGGTATATCGAGAATGGCGGCACGACCGATTAAGGTAAGTATGCATACTGTTATATTATAGCATTTTATTTTAGAATAAATTTTGATTTTGGCGTAGTATTTTCAGGACATAAGGGTTTTGTTATCAATTTTAAGAGCTTAAACTATCTTTTTAGTACAAGTTTTTCTGGTATTTTACAGTTATAACTTGATCAAGGTAAAAATTTACTGTTTGGTTTTATAATTTGTAAGATTTGCATAGCCTTTCACTTGTCTTGAGTGTATGCAAATGCGATCGTTTATCTTATTTTTGAGCGCGCAAAATGCTCCTCTTACGTGAGTGGTGAATATATTTAGACCAAGGTAAGAGAAGCGAGGTACGAATCTCGGTTGTTTTTCGATACTCGAAACGCCGAAATCGGAATCTACGCAGGAATCCCGTTTTATTTGTTTCCGGTGGATATTCATTCCTTTATTGATTTCAGGACTTGGTGGCTCTCGTCACTGGCGGTTCTTCTGGACTGGGCAGGGCCACGGTCGAGTATCTGCACAAGAATGGGGCCAAGGTGGCCTTGTTGGACTTGGACAAGACTGACGGACCTAACGTGGTCAAGGAGCTGGGCGAGAATGCCATCTTCACTCCAGCTGATGTAAGGGTTTGTGTTTGGAATGTTAAATGTAAAAGAATATGTAAAAGCTTGTTATATAAGGTTTATATGTATTACATGGGTAACTTTTTTAAAAATGAACGTAATTTAGGTAAGAAAAGAAGCTGATGTATCAAAGGCGTACGAACAGATCAAGTCTACCTTTGGTCGATTGGATGCCATTGTTAACTGCGCTGGCATTGCCTATGCCTTCAGGACATATAACACTGGAAAGAGGGAAATCAGTCCACTTGACCGTTTCCAACATACTATGGATGTGAGTGTACTATATTATTAATCATTAGGAAAATGTATTGTTTAGAGAAGAGTGGGGATGGTAAAGGATAAGTATAGAAATTTTGACAGTTAGTACATGTGGACCGCAAGGTTATAAGGATTAACAGTTTATTTTTTTATGTTTTTACCTAATTTGAATATGTAAACCTGCATTTTAGGTCAATGTAGTTGGTACGATAAACGTTATTCGTCACGGAATTCACTTGATGATGGACAACAAGTTGGACAACGTTAGTGATACTAGAGGTGTGATCGTTAATACTGCTTCTGTCGCTGCTTTTGATGGCCAGATTGGACAGGTAAGCTTAGATTAGACTTTGTACTCAATTTTAAGTGGGTTTATGCGTAAAAATATAATATTGGTATTTTTTGTGGTGTTTAGTCATAGTTCTTATAAAAACAAGTTGTTCTTACCTACTTTTTTATTTATTTTTTTCTGAAAATGGTTGACCTTACGTTTTTACCTTATGTCGTGGGGCTTTAATCTCCAAAAATGGTTGAAACATTGAACTGGACTCGGAACACATTGTTCACTCGTCCTCTTCGGAATCTGAATACTCGTTTAATGTAATCCGTTTGGCCATTTTATTGTTTTGTTTCAAAAGACGGCTATTTTATTCTCGGGAGAGTTGGCCTTCCTTCTTTTTGCATGGACTGACCACCATTCCGCGCTCATTTTTGTCTTGTTTTAGGTTGCTTATTCGGCTTCGAAGGGCGCTATCACATCCATGACTTTGCCCTTGGCCCGTGAACTAGGCCAATCCAGCATTCGGGTTTGTACCATTGCTCCCGGCGTCTTCGAAACGCCACTTATGTCCAAATTGCCTCCAAAGGTAAGGGTTTTTTGTTTTCAAATTGAGTTAGTTTGAAGAAACGTTTGGGGGTTTTGGGTATTTTAGGTATGATTTAAAAGTTTGAAGCTGTTTTTATATGGTCAAAAAGTTCTTAGAACTGATTGATAATTGGTATAGGACTGTATTGTTCTGATTCAATTGTTTTTTTTGAAAATTTTGAAACGATTTTGTATATTTGATATAGTCTATAGCCTAAGTAAAAGAGGTTGAGTGCACTTTGAGTACAATATAGGTATAAACCGCTTAAACCGTTTGAAAAGCTACGAAAACTCTCAAATTATCACTAGCAAATTAAAACGTAGTAAAAATAGCCGCTGGGCATGGGAATCGCATACTTATAATTGAAACAAGCAGCTGGGAACACGGCAGAAAACCCCAGAAATTTGTATTTTTATTGGGTTCAAATCGAAATTCGGGCTCGGAGTTCAACAACACATGTTGTTTCTTTTTCGAGGTTTTTTGGGCCGCTGAGTCTTCGATCTTGCCTCGTTCTTCTCCCCCCCCCCTTCCCTTACACCGCGGTCGAACGCTACTTTAAAACTATTTTTATTCATCATCGTCGTAGTTTAAAGGCCGATTTTTACAAAAAATTTTATTCAAAAGCGTTATTAGTCCAATTAAAGGCGAGGGTTTGGGAAGAGCCTAGTTTTTTTACAATTTGAGAGAAAAATTTGGAAAGAGACAAAAAGCCGGGGGATCTTTGAAAAGGCTTGGAAGAACAATAAGAAATATAAGACAGGAGTAGGGTTGTTTTCCTTGTCATTTTTGTTTGATAATATTAATAATAAGGTGTTGGTTATTATTTTGTAGGTTTTGAGGCACTTTTTTCAAGTTCTCATGACATTTTTATATTGTTTTAGGTCAAAAAATACCTCCAGAGCTTATGCCCATACCCGGCTCGACTGGGAGACACTACCGAATACGCTCGACTGGTCGAAACTATCATCCAAAATGATTATTTGAACGGCGAGACTATCAGATTGGACGGAGCTCTTAGAATGCCCCCTTAATTTGCATATTTAGAGCCACTAGTTGCCATAACTTTTAAATCTTCCGGTTTTTCCGTTTATTCCGGTTTTGTTTTTATTTATGTTAGGTCTTATCATGTTCATCACATTCTTCATATCTTTCCTACTAAATGTTGTCGTGTTGATTTGAGGTTTACACATTGAATTTTAATAATTTTACTCTGAAATTTTATTATTTTATTGTCAAATCTAATAATTATAATTAATTTTAAGTTGTAATCCTACCTTCAAATGTGAACCCTTCAGTTATAAACGTGAACATTATCTAAATTCGGGAAGACAGTGCCGCGTTGTTGTTATACATCGACCTTGATACCGTTTTCGGAAGTTTTTTCTAATTCTTTACAGGGTTTTTCAGTCTTTTGTTTGTTATCTGGGTAATGTGGAAGGAGTGACGCGATGACAGACGTGATGGCGATTCATCCGACCGGTCGGCTTTCCACAACCTCCACCGGAATCGGGTCCGACGACGATGTGGGTATGCACAGCATTGGCACGGGTACGAGTGAGCGACGATCGCATTCAGCACAAACCGACAGTCCAGTACGTGCATCGCCAAAGTACGAAGCGTTCGTCATGACTGGAGACAAGATTCTGAACTTGAACCCAAAGATATCGCCGAGTTATGCAAAGGTAAGTGTTTTGTTATGTTCTTGTATACCGCTGTGAAAAAAATGATGTAAAAAGCTTTTGTATACAAAAGAAGAATTGTTTTTTAGTTTTTCTATAAAATTTTCGTCTATGTTTTTAAAAAATAGAGAATTTTGTCATTCGTAACATTCGCGATGACCCATTTTTTACAAATTACTCATTGTTTATTACAACAATTCCATGTTCAGGTGCACCGAAACCAACTCCCTCCCACAGTCGAGGTGGACCAGACCACGCCGAAGCGGTGTGGACCCTACGGCGAGCTAGCCAGTCACTCCATCTCACGGATCCCGATTAAGAACCGTCGCTTTCTCGAGCGAAACCTGCCGGAATCCAGTTCGGATCACCATTTGGAGGCGAATCGCGTCGAAAGTGAATCAGAAGTCGTTAGTTCGGTGAGCGACAAAAACAAAATAAATAAATATTAACAATTTTGCAGCCCGCGGAACACAAAGACCCGGTCAACTTTTCGACCTCAACTCTGCCCGAAAGTGGCGGAGCTCAGGAAACCCCCAAACGACGACCCATGAGCAGGTGCGCGGACGAGTAAGTTTTAAACGTTTTCCGAGGGAAATGCCAACCAAGGATTTGGGAGGTTCCATCGAGTTTCGGCTTGCTTTCGTAGTTTTTTTACAAAAATGCATTTTTTTAAATTTTTGAAAAACTGAGTTTTTGGTTTCATAACTAGAAAGAGCTCCCGTGATATGATTCTTTATTTGCTCTTTTCCCAAACTGGTATGAAAACAATTTATGAGAATGGAATAGACAATCGAGAGATAGATGATGTATATTGTAAAAAGGAATGGGATAGACTATGCAAATTGTAATGATATTGTGATTCAGAGACGGAGGCAACATTACAACGGAGGAGACGCTTCGTGAAGACAGTCCCGACAAAGATGATCCCGATGAGAAATCGATCCCAAACCAGGTTTATCGGTCGACAACTTCCATGCCTCGATGCAACGATGTGAATCCACAGAGTTCAGGTAAGGGAACGTTGGGTTGATGTTGGGATTTTGATAATATTTTACTTTTTCATGTATAATATTGTTGTTTATTTAATACTGGGTATTTTTTGAACTGTTTTTTGCTATTTTTGGGATTTCTGACTAAGGGAAATCATGGGGATAGTTGTGTAGTTACAAGTTTTTCGTTTTTTCTTTGAATTTTTTGGCCATTGTGATACTTTTTTGTCATTTTTACAGTTTCGTAAACAATTTGTAACTTTCAGGGGCTTTTGACCAAAATGTTGATTAACATTTTGGTACAAATTTAGTTTTTTTAAATTCCTTTTCAGGTGGTGGGTTTTTGACTGGTTGCCTACAATTTGTTTACGCTTTTCGATTATTTATTCAGGAAATAACTTATCGCATTGTTTCGAGTAATGTAATTAGGGTAGTCATTTGTTGTTACTTTTATGCTCGTTTGAACAATTTACATACTAACTATAATAGTAGTACATTTGAGATGGCAAAAAACTGATGTTAACTGCCTTCAAGTAGAGTTGGTTAACGTAATTAGACTTCATTTTACGATTTTTTATGCGGAAAGTTGTCGTAAACGAATAAAACGTTCAAAAGCGGTGTTTTTGCTAACGAAAGAATTGATGTAACAGCATTAACAAACAGCTTTACATATTTTAAAACTAAATTTTCGCGATTCTTGAAAGTTGTTTTTGAGATCTTTTAAAATTTAACTGTTCTACACTGTTATATGCACCTTTTAAACATATTTTAGTCATCTTTTTGATATCACATTCGAACCCTTTAGTCACTTTTTTGCTTGTGTAAGCTTATTTTGTAGTTTTCTTTGAATATGGTCGCCATTTCTTGTTATATTTGTACATTACACTCGTCTTTTGTTGTTGCAAACGTATCAATGTTATTGTTAACAATTCTGGTTTGCTTAATTGAACTAATTGGAATCGCTTCACCTTCACTTGACTCCACTTATTTCGTTTTGTTTCAGATCAGATATCCATTATGGGGGTGAACGTGGATGCGGAGGCCTTCGGGCGTTTTGTACAAAAGTTATTCAACCAAGATGGCTACACTCGGCTGGACGTCGCTGTTTATTTCACCAAAAGGTAAGATATATTATGATTGTTATTACTATTTTATTATGGATTTTTGGAATAATATTTTTATATTATAAGATAATTTTGATTTTTATTGTTTTTTCTAATTAATGTTGTCAATAAGTACGTAGATAATAGTGTTCGCATAACTATAAAGTGTTCTTTGTACAATTATATTTTTTGGAAGGTAATAAAGCAATTTAAGTCAACAAAAAGTAACGAACACGCTAATGTTTTGGATATTTAAAGTGTTGTAACAAAAACGAGTTGGGAGATTTGAATAAATTATTTTTGTTTCAGCACGGAATTGGCACAGAGAGTGGTAGAGGATTTCATGTTGTTGTTCAACTTTGCTGGTCTTCGAATTGACGCAGCATTACGTGACTTTCTGGAACATGTTTGTCTGACTGGAGAAACTTCAGATCGAACAAGGATCCTGACATTCTTTGCTGACAGATATCAACAATGCAATCCCATTTTGTTCGAGAATGTTGGTAAGTGTTTATTGTTTTATTATTTGATGAATAGGCATAGAATTAATTTTTGAAGTTTAAATTTTAAGTTATATTTACTGGTTTTCAAAATTCTATTAAAAGTTTAATATTTTTTATTTAATTTTATATTGTTTCAGATGCGATCCACGCCCTAGCATGTGCTCTTCTCTTACTAAACACAGACCTTCACAGTGATGTAAGTTAACAACCTTTATTTTATCATTCTTTTTTATAGGTCACGTCGAAGAAGATGACAACCCGAGAGTTTATCAACAACTTGTCCCACACTGGTATTCAATACGATCGAGTTTTGTTGAAAACCTTGTACAATGCCATCAAATCCACACCGTTCCAAAACAATGAACAGTCAACACCAAAGAAGAAGCCGGCTAGAGTCAATTCGATCGCTCAACGTAACATACGGCAAGTACAAGATGCTGTTGACTACTGTCATGGATGGGTGATGAAGAAGGAAGTCTATGATAGGGATGGGAAGAAGAGTAAGTTATTGTGGTTTTTATTGTTTTAAGGGTTATTTATGTTTAATTTTTGCTTTAAAATTTAATTTTAGGCATTGAAAATTAGAAATATTACTATAAAATGTATAATATACTAATTTTAACTTTTTCAGCACCGTTCGGCCGAAGACGCTGGCAAATGCACTTTGCGACAGTCCGGGGCCTGGTCCTTTTCCTCCACAAAAATGAAAAAGGCTTCGAAGGTTCCAAGTTCGACGCTTTTAACAACTGCATCCGACTACATCACTCTCTGGCCGAGAAATGTCACGATTACAAAAAGAAACAGCACGTGTTCCGATTAATCACAGCCAAATTGGGCGAATACCTGATTCAGACCAGTAGCCCAGATGAAATGCAAAGATGGATCAACGCCATCAACTTTGTCGCGGCTTCTCTCTCAACCCCAGTACTACCTGAACCAGTTTCCAACAAAATGGATTTTAATTTTGGCACAAAGCCACTGCCAGATGGAATCAGCACTCTAACTGTGGTAGGTTTGGTTTTGTTTCTGGCATTTAGAAAATATTTGGAAGACCAGTTGTCAATTTATGGTAAAATACGTCTTTCAGCATGATTAAAATTTAAATTTTTTAGTAATTTTAAAAATATGTAATTTCTTGGTTAAAAATCATTGTTTTAGCACGAACAACTTCGGAAACACAAGGAAAAGTTGGAGGAGATGAACATGTTGTTAAGCAAGTTGAGAGAAACAGCTCCATCTATGAAAGCCAAAGGAAAAGTGGTGTACGATTACTTTTACAGAGAACGATTCCTGGACAATGAGGTAAGAATTTCTTTTTTTTGTAATCAGAATACTATTTTTTAATACGACAAGCAGTCTTTCAAGCTTAACATATTTTCAAATTGAAAATATTTTTTAGAATAAAATGAATTGTTTAGAGAAAACGCTACGCCGTTTACGTAGACGTCCTAGAAGACAAATGCGCCACAATCTCCCCGAATGGCAGCGATTCGATCGTGAAAAAGGTTTCAAACGGAACGACACGAACTCACACCGTATCCACTGTGCGTGCCGACGTCGACAGCAACAAGAACGCATCACGACAGTCGAGTATCAACCACAAACTGATGCCGTCGTTCCGCGACGGAATCCCCTCTAACCAGACGATGGAACGATCGGATTCTACAGAAATGGAGAGTCCCATAAGCAGTAGAGCTCCAGTCAGCGCGCTGGCGGAGGCCTACGCCATGGCGAACGGAAAACCCTTGACGATGGAAGCCCAACGTCAGATGGACTCCATTAAACGCCATACCACGAAGGGAGGGGCCGAGCCCGCCCTCTGTGACCCCAGAGACCTGGAAGACTTGGTCCGCCTATCGAACGACCAGTTGGTCCGTGAATAATATAATGATCTCAATTCAAACCTCATGATTCCCGGCTGCCAATACAGTTATAGCCGTATTAACTTATGCTTTTTTAACTAACAAGAAGTGGTCTTGTGCTCGAGTGGTGTTATACAGGTATATTATATTGTTGACATAAGCATCTAACCGTACATAAATTTATTTTATACATTTTTTATTTTATTTTTTTTGGAAATTGTATGAAACATCTTGGTATTTGAAACAACATTTTGTCAATCTTACAATTTGTTGAGCCTCTTCGGTCATGAAGTGTGTAAAGTATCGCTGTTTTGTTTTTTAAAATACTTCTATGTACTTTTTGGCCAAGGCCGTATTGAATGTAATTATAATATACTAGATTGATTTATTAGTTCTTTTATCTTTTCATTTGTTAAAATGCGAAAGAATCAATGGATCGACCTACTATTTGGTGGATAATAATAATGTCTTATTTTGAATCTGAAATTAAAAAAATACTAATGATTCCACCTCATACTGTATCTTATTTTCGTATTACTGTATTTGATTAATAATTTTACATTGTTAATAACATGCAGTATTAATATTAAGTTTACATCACGGTAAACGTGATGTCTGGTGCTTAAACGTACTACGATGCTCATTCTGAATAAACTTTTATGATATCTAAAAAGTAACAACAACAATTATGCGAGTGTGAGAGTGTTAAAAGTGTTTGCGTTCGTAAGAGTGCAACGAGTGTACCCCGCCTTCTTGTTGAGCACTGGCAGTACGGCGCTCGAAGCGAATACGACCGCTGTAGACGCCTTCTCTGTAACGAAGTGTGTGTTTTATGTATTTTAATAGAATCGTATTTCATGTTATTTCATTTTTTATATACGTTAAGCTTTTAAGTTTTATATACGTTAAGCTTTTTAAGTTTAGCATCTAATATTGTTGTTAAAAATTGTATTGGGTAGCTTATTGTGATCATTAATGAAAAGTTAACCTTACTTTTAATAAAGGTGAGATAAAAGCCGCTTAACTTTTTAAAAACTGCTTAAAAATGAACTTACTGAAGATCATATATACTCTTGACGCCAATATCTTGAAAACCATGCTGAACTCCTCGAACAATGTAAGGCACGAACTTGTGAATCGATCCTCTGTCTCTCATCGTAGCTGACACCCCTTGTGCCACCTTAATAGCATCACCGTCGGCTGTGAAGTAGCGGTCTTGAGAAGAAGCATGAGCTTCCATAGCATCCAGAGATCCCATTCCTCTGTATTTCTTCAGTCTGACTCCAGAAGGCCCCCAGAAGTACTCTCCTGGAGCTTCGTTCGTACCGGCTAGAAGCCCACCCATCATTACAGTAGACGCTCCCAAGGCCAGGGCTTTAGTTACGTAGCCAACATCACGGATGCCACCATCTGCTACTACTGGTACACCACGGGAGTGAGCGTATCTGGCAACTTGGTAGACGGCTGAACCTTGAGCTCGACCAACGGCCATAACTGGAAAAGAGTACGGTAATTACAGTAGAATTAACAGAATTATAAATTGTTTAAAAATTTAGCTAATATAAAGAACCGTAAAAAGCGTCATTACCTTCTTGTGTGATGCAAATGGAGCCACTTCCCATTCCAATTCTCAAGGCATCAGCACCAGCATCAATCAGGATCTTGGCCTGTTGCATTGTCACAACATTACCAGCGATAACTTGAGGTCTGTTTGGATACGTAGCCTTGATCCACTGCAACAATTCTACTTGGAATTTGCTGGCACCATTAGAAGAATCCTAAAAACAATCGTCATTTAATTTATACAATATGCACATCCATTTAATTCGTAATAGTACTGCATCTACCAATCATTGGAAGGACTTACAATAACAAGAACATCGACGCCAGCTTGAACCAGCTGATTTACGTATTCCTTGGACGTTTCTCGAGTGTTGATAGCTGCTCCTACCATCAGTTGTCCCTTGGAATCGTATGAACTCAGTGGGAAGTCACGAGCCTTCTTCAAGTCAGTTCTGGCAATCAAAGCTACGAGCTCGTCTTTCTCGTTCACGATCGGAAGTTTACCTATAATCGTTGTCATGTATATAAAAAAACATCACGCCACGTTTTTGCTATTTAAAAATCACAGAAACCCCCAAAATGTAAGTCATTCAATCCTTGGTTTAATACCTAAAATTAGAAAAAGTAAACAAAGCTTACCCTTCTTTTCAGACTCCAGAATCTCATAAGCTTGGTCCAAAGTCAGATTCTCATTTCCCGTAATCAGTTTCTCTCTTGGAATCATAACATCTCCAATGGTAATACTGTCGTATTTGGCTGGTTTGATGAAGTCCACGTCCAAAGAAGTTACCAGACCTAAAAAAATATAGATTATGACAAATAATTCAACTTTTTTTCGTGCTAATTTAGTCAAAAAGTACGTAGAAAAATATAAATTTTCTATATTAAGGGCGATTCTACGAACTTTTTGACCAAAATAGCTACTTTTCCCATAGTTTCAAACACAATCTTCACGGTGTGTGTTTACAAGTGTTTTATGTTATTTTGAGTAATGTTACACTATACCCAAAAATCACCGTGAACATTTCCCAATGTTAGAATTCACCGTACCACCCGTTCCGAAAGTATTAAGTGCCTATGGTAACTGAGAATAGAAGACTGTGCTTCACAACCACAAAAACGATAAAGAATACCCAGTAATTTGCCTCCAACTTCTCCAGAATCCGTCACTGGAGTGCCGGTGAAGCCAAACTTGGCCTTGATTCCCATAAGATCCCTCACGGTGTCGGTAGGCTTGATACAGACCGGATTCGTGATGAATCCTTGTTTGTAGCGCTTCACTTTCGAGACTTCAGCTGCTTGGGTCTGGATGTTGGCGAAGTTACCGTGAATGATCCCGATGCCACCGTGCAACGCCATTCCAATGGCCATCTCGGATTCTGTCACGGTGTCCATGGGCGAAGACACTAGTGGTACCTTCAAGGTAATACCTTTGGTTAACTTGGTGCTCAAAGACACTTCATGTACGGGGAAATCGATGAAGCCGGGGAAGATGTTGAAGTCGCTAAAAACAGATAGTTTAATGTTAGGGCTGTTATATTAACGCCACTATAGCAAAAATACAAATTTGATAAGAAGAAGCCGAAAATAATTATTCGGTTTTGTACGATGAACTCCCTAAAGCAATTTAAAACAATATTACAATGAACGTACTTGTAAGTTGTACCCATTTCGTTTGCAAAGAGCTGTTCGATGGTTTGCCCATCCTTGGCCATCTCTTTCTCAAAATCTACATTCTTCAACAACTTCTCCATGGCTTCTGAAAGAGCACGATATTAAAAATTCAAAAATAAAATCAAAATTAATATTCACGTCTAAATTATATTCTTGAAATGCTATAGAAATTTACTAGAAAACGAATAAGAAAGACAAAGGACAAGGTCATTTTAGGCCGTGTAAAAAGTAAATTGGCGCTTTTATCCCTGGCGCGTCCTTATATTTTTATAGGCCATCCAACTTATTCTACAAATTTCTTGACCAAAGTACCTTTAAACTAAAAATAATTTCTTATATAACAAATAAAATACATTCTCATACATTATGCTATAAAGCACGCGATTATATTGCACTTAACCATGCGTCCCTATCTATTAAATCCATCAAGGTCAAAACTCAAGTATAATATACTAATTTATCAGAATACACGCCATTTATCCGACCCGTTTCCCAGCAACCATCGGGCTCAATGACACCTTGATTAAATAGGGAGAGTAATTTAGACAAAAACTTTACAACATTAAGATTGAGACGGCCGAACGAATTCCAAAACAAACCCGGATGTGCAATATAAAAGGAAAAAAGCAAAAAGTCCCCTATTTTAATACTTAAAGGACAAGTCGAATCACTTTACAAAGAAAGGCAAAGTCTACGTTACAGTCTCACATGAATGCACTCTTTTTATGAGGTAACACGAGTGACACTTCGTCCACAAAATCAATTGTTGAAACGAAATTAATTTGGAAAAAGAAAATTGAGAAAAATTGCAGTTTTGATAAAGATACTTCTCTACCGAGTGTAAAATAAGGTTTTTCATAAGACTTATTGCTTAAAGTTGTAGCTAAATTTGATTTAACTAATATTTTGGCAATTATTTGTTTTAACAAAATTATTTATGATCTTCTAGTTATTATGGATCTTTAACAAGTTTATAAACATAAGATAACATTGTTATGGCTTCTGCTCTAGCTTTGTGCAGTAAAGACGGCACGAACGGACCTTTACATCCGGTGACATTCTCTGACCCAGGTCATTTATTTTTCTTTGACCGGCTACGATATCAAAGATTGACTGGTCGATTTTGTGACACTACTTTAATCATAAACAACAGCACTGAGTTCAAAGCTCATCGCAATGTTTTGGCTGCTTACAGTCCATACTTTGATTCTATATTGACGTTTAACAGAGTCACCAGTGAAAAGATAATATTAAACAAGGACAAGTACAATGAAGATGCGATGGCGCTTATTCTGAATTACATGTACGGCGAGAGCATTGTCATTGACAGAACGAACGTGAGAGATGTTCTGAAGCTGGCCAACGATCTTATCGTAGGTTGTTTACAATATTTTGGTTGTTTTTTTAGGAATTGTGTTGGAAGGGGATATTGTCTTAGGTAATTTGCAAAAATGGACTTTAAAGTTAAAAGAATTTAAAAATTTTGCGGTAAAAGACGGAATTAAAACATAGTGAGAGTTATTACAAAAATGACATTCTGAGAACATTGGCAGAAAAAGAGAAGACATAAAGATAAACTTTAGATCGTTCGAATCAAAAACCATTGTTTGGACTACTTGGAGAAGAATCTGGACGCGGCCAACTGTCTGACCGTCAAAACTCTGGCCGAAACATATTCTGTCCAGAAACTGGTAAACAAAGCCATCGACTTTTTCAAAAGGAACATCGAAACTGTACTTTTACACAATGCAGACATATTGTCTATGGAGTTTAAGGATGTGAATCTGTTACTGCAAAGACATGAGAGTTATATACATCCTGACACTGTGCTTGGGTATGTATAACAGAAGTAGTGCTGTAAAATACGTTGTTTAAGCATGACATTGTTAAAAAAATATTTAAAATGCCAACTAATGTCTACAAGACATAAAATTAGGTAACAAAAATGAAATGTTAATTTACAGTTTGGTCGTACGATGGATTAATTATGACATATCAAAAAGAGAACAGTATTGTGGAAGACTTATGAAAAGAGTAGATGTGACAAAACTAACGCCAATTAAACTCGAAAATGTACTTGACTTTAATCCTTTCTTCTTGAGTGCTGAGAAGACATTGTACACGGTGTTGATGACATTGTATGTTCGAAAAGAGTTTTCAAAACTTAAAAGAATGGCACTAGTTAAAAAAAAGGTTTGAAAACAAAGAATGACTTTTTTACGTTTCATATTGGTCAAAAGATAAATGAAAAGAAGTTAAATAGTAGTTTAGATTTTAAATCAAACATCACAAAAATTAAAATTAGAAAATTTTAGAAAAACGAAGAACTACCTCAATGAAAAGTACATGCCAAAGTTGTTAGAACTACAACAAAAGTATGGTTATCAAGACATTGGCGATGTTGGAAGTGGAGATGAAGAGCTTTCTGATGGAGAAAACTTACAGTAAGTTAATTTACAAGAATTTTTTGAATAAAGTAAGTGTTTTAATAATGTATATTACAGTGAAAGCACGGTAGACGATCATTCACTCAAGTTGCGATTGAAAATAAAGAAGAAGAAGCGCAGTAAGTTTTTGTCTTTATACCTAAACATATAATATATTAATAGCTAATGTTATAACTACTAGAACTCAAGTCAGTCTTCTTTATACCTGAAACCTTTACCATAGTAAGTTTCATGCCTTTTTGGGTTCTTTATGTATTTAATGAGAAAACTTTAGGGCATTCGTATTCAGAAGAAGGGTCTCGGAAGCGAGGACGGCCACGAGTTTATCGACCAGTCGGGAATGAATTGGATCCGGATATTGAGGAAGAGCCAGAAAGTTTATTTTACCAGTTTGAGGATTCTAATGATGGCAATATTGTAAGTATTAACTTTATATTTTGAAAGTACTAATCTTATACTTAACTTTGTAGTAGAAAATCATGATAACATATTTTTAACTACAAAAAATACCGTATTTTAGGGCTTTGAAGAGCCAGATGAAAAAGATCCAGCTGAAGTGTCATTAGAAGATCAAGTAGGTAAAGATTCTGAGAACGAAACTGGCCAGGTATGTTTATATACAGTATAGTTTTACGTTGTGCAAGAATGATTACAGTCAATTGTATGCTTACAGTAATTTATATAATCATATTACAGTACGACTTACCATGTGAACATTGTCCATTCAAAACCAAAAACCGTGATCAACTGACGAGACATATGGCAACAGCACACTCACTTAACGTGCTGTATTACTGTAACATCTGCAACTTTGAATGTCGTTGGAATCGCACCTTCTACGATCATATGCGACAGCACTTCCAGGTATGTGGTATTGTAGTCTAACAAGGGAATGTTACAAACCGCCCATTCGCTTTTTAAAAATGAATGGTACCATGTGAAAGAGCGTAAAAAGTTGACTAAAAATCTATTTTTAAAAACTGCTAATTTTGCTTTACAAGCCCGCTAGCGAGCTTTTAAAGTTTTTACTATCAAAACGGATTTTTTAAACCCGCTTTCTTTTGGCTTCTTTCAAAAAGGAGAAGTAAATGTGTTCGAATGGCCGAGTGGTCAAAGGCGCCGTGATTGCGCAAACAATGGACTTTAGGTTCGATTCTCTTTTTGGGTAAATGATTGTTATTCTTTTTTATTTAAAAGTTACTTAACTTAAATATTCAAAAAAAATTTTTTTGTTGGTAATGGCTTCTTACATCTAATAAAACATAAAAAAGTAAAAACTAAGGTTTTTAAAAATACAATAATCCAAAAGAAAGATAACAACTTATAAGGCCCTTTCAATAATGATTTTAAAACCTCGCTAGCGGGCTTGTAAGGCAAAATTAGCAGTTTTTGAAAATAGATTTTTAGGCAACTTTTTACGCTCTTTCACATGGTACCATTCACTTTTAAAAATCGAATGGGCAGTTTGTAACATTCCCTTGTAAGTACGTATGCATGTTAATCTGATGTGACGTGCTTTTGGTGACTTACAGGGTTACTTAAGTTCAATAAATAGTACATGCTTGAGGGTTCCTTTGCATTATGCTACAGATTACTGTAGTATGAGCTTTGTTAGCGGTAGTACTGTAGGTTTAGAGGTCTTATTGGTTGAGGTTTCAATTTTATAGCAGTATAGTAAATTGCTTGTACACTGTATAAGATTCGGACATGTTACAGTAGAGTAGTATACTTTTTATGCTACTCAACTTTTATACTTGATAGTACGTACTTAATAGTACTGTTCATTTTTATATTCTCTGGCTATTACTTACGTTTCGTCGTTTTACTATGAAAACCCTCCGATATACTGTAATATATGTTTCTTTCGTAATGTTTACCGGTATGTTAAGTCTATTATACTATTTGCGACGTCACATAAGGCATACTTAACGAGGGTGGATTTGTGTACGTTTCTGGTGGAGTTTCCGTTGGAAATAGCATGTAATGCGGATATGGTAACATATGTTTTGTCATCCCCATCCTACGTCAAATGGGATTATCTGTTTTTGTGAAGCACGCCTTTTGCTAGCCGTCTGTTTTCAGTTTACAGTTTAGTACGGTAATGGGTATGGTTCGGTAGTACTGTAGATTTTTGCAATTTAATTTTGTAACGTTTAATAATAATTTGGATTACAGTAGGTAGAATTTGTCTATTGGTTGGTTTATAGTATTTTATATGGTCTTGTTTACAATATATGTATTATCTTGTACTGCAATTTTTTTTAAATTTTGGTATTTCAGACTGTTCCATATCAATGTGAGTTCTGTTCCTACAGTGTAGATCGTATGCACGTTCTTCTGTCACACAGACTCACTCACAGTAAGTTCTTTAATCACAAGTTTCTTTTATATATTATACACCTTTTGTGTTACCTAAATTATGTTTAATACCTATGACAATATAGTTCACGTATTTACCTAATATAATTATATTGCACTTGATTATACTAAAAATACAGATGTTTGTTGTTTATTCAAACCTTAAATAGGTAATCGCAATTGACGTAGGGATTACTATTTTACTGCGAAAGTGTAATACGGTCATGGATAAGCACTACTAGTTAGGTTCGGCATAAGTTATGCCGAACCTAACTAGTATAGAATAAAAGGGTATAAATATAGTTTTTGCTGCATGATTCGTATATTGTTAGCGTATTAGGTTTGCATTATCGTATCTTTTATTCAAAAGTTTAAAAATACTTTTAACTGTGTACTAAATTTAAAAAAAGCTTTTAAGTTGCACTGTGCAGCCATTTTTAAACTTTCATTGTAAAACAGTAGAAAAAGACATACAAGTGTTTCAGCTATATTGTAGTATGATGTATATGACAATTACATTTCAGCTGACGAGAAACCTTACAAGTGTACTGACTGCGACTTCCGATCCAGGTCCAAGACCAATCTGATAGTGCACTATCGAGTTCACAGCGGCGAACGGCCATTTGAATGCAAGATATGCGGTATATACTTTGATTACGTTGTAAATTATGGTTATTGTAGACCTATAAGAATGTTTTCTTTTTGCGGTCAAAAAGTTCATAGAAGAATTTTAGTTTTAACCCTCGGATTCTGACAATCTCAAAAAAAAAACTTATATTATGACAGTTTCCTAATATTAATTTTTACGATAATTTTATGTTGTTTTAGGTAAGCGATTTGCTGTCCGAAGAACGTTGGATCAACACATGGCAACTCATTCCGGAAATCGGTACGTGTAGCTTGGTTACTATAACATACTTCATATATATAGCCATCTTATGTTATTTCCTACCTCAATATACAAAAATCATTTACCATATACACCTTTCAGACCTTTCCAATGCGAAGAATGTTCGTTTACCACCAAGTACCAAAGCCATCTTGTCAGTCACCGTCGTATCCACACTGGAGACCTCTTCAGATGCCAAGAACCTGGTTGTGAATATGTATCGCCGAAGAAGAGTCAGCTGGCTGCTCATCTTCGTACTCATCTGGCAGTACGACCTCATCAATGTAAAACCTGTAATAGGTCTTTCATCGAGAGATCACATTTGGTACGACACGAAAGGATCCATCTCAAGGACAAGCCCTTCAAATGTGATCTGTGTGAGTATGCATCATCCAGAAGAGACAAACTGAAGGAGCACTTCCTAAAGCATCATACTGCGACCAGTAAGAGCAAACAGTACCGGCATAAGGACAAGAAGAAGGGCCATGAAGGGGGAGACTCTCAGAAGACAAAGGTCAGTTTGGGGGATGCTTGGAGTTTGGAACAGTGATTAACATAGCATAATTTTAATACTGTAATATATATAAACTATCACTTTTTTGTTTTATTTGTAATATTGACCTTGAAATTAACTGTAATATCATTTTTTGCAGTTCCTATCCCCCGGCTACATCTTCCGCCCCATCACCCAAGACTTTGACCGCCGTGAACACTCGAACAGCGTTCCAATGGGTGGGTACGATGAAGAGTTAGCCCAGCTTGAAATGCAATGTCATTCCAACCCTTCAATGCTACCTCCAAACCAGATTCAGCGTCAAATGTCAGTGCCAATCGACTTCCGCCATAACCAAGGGATGCCACCCATACCCGAAGGCAGTCCAATGTCACAGACCCCGATCCCAGAGAACATGAACAACATGATGTTCGACGTGGGCATGGTGCATTCACGATCGTATTCGAATGCTGATATGCCACAGAGTAGTTTTAATCAGCTACCGAGCTCATCGATGAGTTTGGACAACTACCCGGTCGATTTCAATCAGCGACCGGTCGATTTGAATCAAAGACAGGTTGATATGAACCAACGAACAGTGGACCTGAACCAAAGACAGCTTGAATTGAATCAAAGACTAGTAGATAACCAACTACCTGTCAGTCAGATCAACAATGACATGAGGAATACGCTATCCAATGAATACGCTGGATACATGGATAACATGGGAGGTCAGATGATGGTGGAACGACCCAGAAGTCAGCCGACTCTACGATACCCTCAGGGCATGGAATACAACAATATGCGGAATCAGCAGCAACCAGGATCTTCGTTATCGTCTCAACCACCCAATCAAGAACGTCCTGATTGGTACTAGGCTTACTTTTAGACCTAACTGGTATTATTTTTAATCTCAATTGGTGTTAGGCTTACTTTTAGCCTTAACTAGAGTTGGCTAACTGGGAACGTGGTCCTCAGTTAAATTTTAAATATTCTGGTTTCCGTATATATTTACAAAAACTGTAGCAACACACTAGCAACTTTTTTTTGAGTCAGTTACAAGCCTAAATAGTATTACTCTTCATGTTCATACAACCCTGAATATTGCATCCATGATCTCGCCTTATCTATCTTGTACATTATCTAACTCTTAGCCAGTATCTAAAATCAGTTAATTCACTCCCAAACATTTGTATAACTGCTAAAGTTCTTGGAAAACCAGCGTAATGCAATCCTGAGTAAATTAAAAATCATTGCGATTTTGCCAAATTTAAATAATTGCACTGTGCTGTCCATGAGAGAACCTTTCAGCCACCCTACTACAATATTGTGATAATTATTTTTTTGATTTTATTCTAAAGGATGATAACGATAAAAAAGTATCCTGTGAGTGTGGCCGAGCTTACTGCATAATTGGTCGGATTCCGGCCTTTCCGATTGGTGGGTTACCTAAAATAAGGTTGAACTTCATGACAACATCCGCGGTTCGCATTCCTTCTGTCATGAATCGTAGTTTCTTGCCATCGGCTGAAATCATATGAGTATTATATGATTGTTCAACATATTTTAGCATTAAAAGCTTTACTTAATAAAAACGCCTTTTTCATTCTATTTAAGTTTTTTCTAAAGAAATAAAATTTTCGTTTTCTTACCTAAATCAGCTTCGAAATAAGCCGGTTTTCCGTCGTTCCTCAACTCTGGTGTTATTTTAACAGCCGGATTTGAGAACTTGGCCCGGGGAGCAGAGCAAGCGTGCCAGAATTGTCTCAGGGCAGTCGTATCGTTGCGAAGAGGATCCATCGAGATTTTTATGGCTTTAACACCTTTCAGATCAAGTCCTCTGACCGCCAGGGATTGGGCTTCCGCCGGCTTCCATCGGACGCCGAATCTGATCTTACTCCACATTTTACACATCTTTACAACTCTGAAACTACAGGGCTTACTAATAATATATATATATATATTACTATTAACGTTAAAAAACGTTTAACAATAACATTACTGTATGTGATGTTGTCATGCTTCACTTTCACACTCTAATTATATAATACTTGCACTTACAAATACCCGAAAACACTTAAAAATGTCATCAAAAGGTGTCACTTTACGTGATGAAATATACGTACCGTATGCAACGGATAATAACACGAAAGAGAGATTAGAACAATAGATTTATTCGAATTTCTGCAAAAATAACAACGGTATGCAACAACAACGGATAATGAATGGCAATGTCAACCACAAGGTCGTTGTAACCTTGCCTTAAGGCCTTAATACTACAAGATGCAACGATTTTAAAATTTCTGATGAAACTTAAAATTATTGGGAAAATTGCTTTTTGAAAGCTTTTAAAAATTATTTTAAAAATTTTGAAACTCTTAAGAAGTAAACAACCGAAAGTGAAAAGAATTACAAGAAAATCGAACCGGTGCTACAATTGATTTTACATTATTCAACAACATTTTTGAGCCCAACTCCAAACCAAAGAACCACTTGATACTCTAGGCCTTGTAGTTAACAACAAGCTGGCCAATAGTCTCCAGGTTCTTCTCCAGCTCTTCCAACGTGCTGTTCTGCAGTTGATGTACCACACCTTCTTTGTAGGCGTCTTCTGCTTCTTCGGCGATCGTTCCAAAGATCTCACATTCAATGTTCTCCCTGAGCTTCTTCTCCGAGTAGTTTCGGGTCTTAAGTCGGTCGTACAATTGGGTATTGTCACATCTCAGCACTACCACAATATCAAACCACCGTTCTGGGAAGAAATCACATGCATGGTAATCTATCACAAGACCTCCTTCGAGGTGAGTTTCGTCGAAGTATTCCTAATAGGTTTTTAAGTTTAAAAAATAAGCAGAAGTTATAAATAGGCACTCAAAAAAAGAAAAATAGCATTTGAAACATGATTTTCTAAATTTATCAACATAAAAATGTACTAAATCGACCTAAAAAGAGTACTAAAATATAAACCATACCTCTAAATGGTCCAATAACTTGTCCTCGTCCAAAATGAAGCTTTTGTAGTCGTTGTCGTATCCAGAATGTAGTTTGAATTCCAAAATCATTTTGTTAATGTCCATGAAAGTTAGTCCACATTTCTCTGCAATTTTCGGAGCGAACGTGCTCTTGCCCGTGCCTGGAACACCAGTGACCAAGATGTTGGGTCTCTTACGAACGTCTTTTGAGGTCTTCATCGTTACCTAATTCGACAAAAAAATAAAGTAATATAACCAAAATTGTTGCCAAAAAACGTCAAAAACACAAGATAGCTAACGATATAAAATCTATTACCTAAAAAGAGTACTAATACTGTACAATAAAGTAACTTCTGGCAAATAACCGGTGACAAAACAGTAAAGTACGACAAGTCAAATATTAGCATCTTTATTTACATTTATCGACCACATTTTTGCGCCCAACTCCAAATCCAAAGGACCAGCTTAATTCTCTAGGCCTTGTATTTATCAACAAGCTGGCCAATAGTCTGCAAATTCTCCTCCAGCTCTTCCCACGTGACGTTCTCTAGTTCATATACCCCACATTCTTGGTAGGTGACTTCTGCGTCATAGGCGATCGTTCCAAAGACTTCACATTCAATGTATCCCTGAGCTTCTTCTCCGAGTAGTTTCGGGTCTTGAGTTGATCGTCCAATTGGGTAAAGTCACATCTCAGCACTACCACAATATCGAACCACCGTTTTGGTAAGAAACCAAATTCATGGTAATTTATCACAAGACCTCCTTCGCGGTGAGTTTCGTCAAAGTATTCCTAAAAGGTTTTTAGGTTTAAAAAATAAGCAGCAAAGTTATAAATAGGCAGTCGAAAATTTAATAGAAAGTCAGCGACATCTGGCAAAAGACAATTTTCTAAACTTAAAAAGTACTAAAATAGAAACCATACCTTTAAATGGTTTTGCAACTGCCTCTTGTCCAAAATGAAGTCTTTGCCGTCGTTGTCGTATCCAGAATGTAGTTTGAATTCCAAAATCATTTTGTTAATGTCCATGAATGTTAGTCCACATTTCTCTGCAATTTTTGGAGCGAACGTGCTCTTGCCCGTGCCTCGAGCCCCAGTGACCAAGATGTTGGGTCTCTTACGAACGTCTTTTGAAGTTCACATCTTTACCTCACCGATGAAAAAATAAAGAAATATAACCACAAAGCTTCAACAACTCAAGGTGGCCACAATTGTAAGTTCTATTAAACAAAAAAAGCACACAAGTTATGCAATAAAGTAAATTCTGGCAAATAACCAGTAACAAGGTAGTAAAGTACGACAACCCAAGTATTAGCGTCTTTATTTACAATTATCGACCGACTTTTCCCAGCTTAAGATCCGTTTTAGGATCGGCTGTAATCGACTGAACATTCACAATCAATTCGTTGATTTTGGTCTGCAGTTCTCGGAACTGATTAACATTTAACAAGTTAATGATTTTAAACGCATGATCCAAGCTTTTATCATCGTTGATGGCAGGTAGATCATCCAGGTTCAAGTAGTCCTAAAACATTCACATTAGGTTTCAAAAGGAAAAAAAATTATTAAATAAATTACTTAAATAACCTTTGAAAGTAAAAGTTTATTACACTTACACATTTCTCTAACGGTCTCTTGCCATTCTTCAGTGCCTCGTCAATGTAGCTCAAAATGGTTTTCAACAAAACTCCATTTTCTTTGTGATCCACTTTTGAAAGCCCCAGAAAGACCAAAAAGTCTTTTAATTTTTCACGAAATTCTCCAGATGACACTGAAAACTTCAATAATAAATATAAATCATCCCAAAAACCTTGCGCAAGTGGTAAACTGTTCGTCTAGTTAGCCTGTATTTTGACTGAAATACTTGTACAAGTTCAGCCAAACCAAGCCTCCTAAACCGTCAAAAAAGTTTTAAAAACTTGCATTGAATGCTTTCCTTCAAATGATTTTCCATTTCCATTACTTTTCCCTTCTGATTATTGATGGTTTCCAAATTCAAAGCTGTTACAGTATTAGCTCCTTCAATTACGTATGCTTTGTCAATGGCAATATCCAGGATCCAGTTTACAAGTTCTTCTTTTATTCCATTAACCACTTCTAATGGACAATTCAGGCTTTCTAGGTACTGAAATATGATTTAAGTTACATATTATAATCATTTTTATAATTAGAAAAACAATATTTCGTTTTGAAAAGACGTGAACTTACTTTAGGTAATTTTTCATTGAATTCGGTTACATCTTCAGTGTAAACAAAGTTTCTTCCTTTACCGTAACACTGCCTGAACACATTTTCTTCCAAATAACATATTAACTTTTGTAGTCCAACATCTTCTGAAATAAAACTTCGTATCAAAAAGCGAATCAAAACATAAATACAATATTAGACGAACAACCAAAACCATAACCTTACCATAGACATTACTGATATTCGGACATCCCAATGCTAGTAACTTTCTCTCCATCGCTAAAACAATAATAATAGTAAAGAAAAGCCTAGTTTAAAAAAGTAATGAAGGTTATTTCAACCATGAGTAATATAATCATCACAACAAACAACAACAATGTTTATAACAATAACATTAACAATTACATTTCCTGCTGACACTTTTTGCTGGCCATTCTTTGAATACGATCGTCCAGACTCGCACATCTTGGGCGGTTCATTAAAGCTATCTTTTTCTAAAACCCTTATAATTGTAATTTATATAACTATAACATAAGAGCTTTTTGAAAACTATTCCAAATCAACTACAACATACCTTAGGCCTAGGTCCATCCCTGATATATTCATCCATGGCTTCGTGACTATCCTCCTGAATAAATCCAGAAAGTTGATACATCATGTTCTTGACGGTCTCACACTTTACTTTCAAATCAGACCAAGTTTTCTCAAGAGTTTGAAAAGCCTTCTTCAAATTAATTTTGTCGAATATCCATTCCAATGGAATGCTGTAGTTACAGTCAAAGAAACATAACGGAGTTTCCTTAGCCAATTGATATTGTGGCCTTGATGGACAAGTCTCCACGTCCAAGAGTTGGTTTATGACCTGTAACAGTTCTTTTAATTCAAAAATATTAAAATTTTAATTTTTAACCTCAATAAATGTAATTAAAATTAATTTGAAGTACTGGTATATCTACCTCAATATCTTCTCCACTGCCCCCAATCTCAAACAACACTCCAACAATACATCTAATCATATGCCATAAGAAACCAGATCCTTTCACTTTCAGTTGATATATCTTGTACACATTGTCAGATTCTTCACTAAAAAAGGTAGTCTATAGCAAGTAAAATATATTTAAAACTGCAAATTCAAAAAAACAAAATAAAAGTTGTTACCTTCTCAATTCGTCCAGTTGGATATCAAAGATTTCGCGTACATAGGTAGTCTCCAACCTTGCTTTATTGTTGTCAATTCGACAAAAATTTCGAAAATCGTGGCTTCCGACCAATAATTTTGATGCTTCTCTCATTTTCTAAAATAACCCATCAATTAACCAGGCTTAACCATCTTAAAAACTATATATAAACTTTTAAAATATAAACCTTGTCTGAGTTTTAAAATCGATATATAAAACACACACTTAATACTTATAGGTATACCTACCTCAATATCAAAGTTGTTTTTCGGAAAGATATAATTATAAACCCGTTCTGTGCAATTAAATCTGGCATTAAAATCTCTGTCGCATGGTGCCCATCCTAATATTCTAATTGAATAAGGCAAAACAGCATTCAGAATCTTGACATAGTCAATCTCAGAAGTCGACTTGATTCTCTTGCTTTGATCTGAATCCTCGCTCCAAAAGACATGTTTTCCATTTACATCGGTAGACCTAAACTTTCATATTGCTTAATTTCTAATAACTTATAGGTCTGCATTACATTATTCATAATAATAAAGCTAAAACATTTGTTATACACAACCTGATTCTTAAATAGGCCATAAAACTGTCAATTTAGCCAGAAAATACTTCCTAAACTTTAAAACACAAAAACAAAAATATCATACCTTACAATGACGCTACAGACTTGTCTGAATCCAGAAACGCCTTTGTCTGTCCTTCCACATCTATTTAGACCACATTCCGATGTTAATATAAGCCTGGAACGGAGCAGAGCGTTTATTAAAACCTGAATAACAATTTATAACTATTTTCTTACTCTTTTTTTCACACAAAATATATCAGAAGCCAGAATAACACGTATGAATCTCAAGAAAATGCTTTTACCCCACATTTAAGTTCCCTACCTAAAACAGCAAAATATAAGTAAAAAACATTACCTCTTCAACAGTATTAGCCATTGTTGGCTGCGGAACAAGACCATCATGCTCCCAACCAAGATACAGAAACATCAAAGCGATCCGACGTTGAGGATACTTTGAATAATCGAAAACTCTGCCCTAAAACAAGATAAGTCCTACTTCATCATATTGATATAACAAAAATACAACAAAAAATAATAAAATAGTCTTACTTTGTCATTTCCATAAGTGGCAGCCATCCTAATCCTAGAAAAACCTTCAAAAATTCGATTTTTCCGCAAAATTTTCCGAAAAATGATTTCACCTATTGCGGAATGCCAAATTTGCCAAAATAGAACATTCTCAAACGGGGAATTTTAGGTTTCGCAGAAAATGTCTCGAAAAGGTGCCATTTTACATTTTCTACAACATTTGAAGTTGTGTTGCAAAAAAATGTCGCAATTTGCGTAAAATTTAATTTTTTAAACATTTAGACTTGTAAAATCAAGAGTAACATGGGACATGTAGCTTAAATCGCGTTTGAGGAAAGTAATCATTTGTTTTGTTACCTATATTTTAGGTCATTTTGAAGCTAAGATTCTCGTGTTTAATCTGATGCATAATTTACTCAGTTTCTCGTTGAATAACTTTGTCATTTTACAGAAACATGCTGGACAAGACCCAATTACGCGCTATCTTCTTGTACGAGTTCAAGATGCAAAGCTCGGTGATAGATGTGGTCAAAAATGTTAATGCTGCATTCGGCGAAGGTACTGCCACTTTGCGTACTGTTCATCGATGGTTTAGACGGTTCCTCAGTGGAGACGAGTCGATGAAAAGCCAAATTATTAACGGCCGAGCTGCTCTAGTTGACGATGTCATTCTGAAGCAGCTCATTGAAGAGGACCCGTACAGAACAGCCAAGGATATCGCCATGGTGTTTGGTGTGAAGTATACTACCATTTGCTTACACATGAAGAAGATTGGCAAGGTGAAGAGCAAGAACAAATGGGTGGATCGAACTGAGAAAGATATTCAGGATTCTGCGAAGTGGGATAATATTTTAGACATTCTACAGACAGTGTTTTGATGTTTAAATTTACTTTATATTGTTATTTTTCACCATTCTTCATTTATTTTGTTGGTTTTAAATTTTTCGAATTTAATAAAACTTCAAAAAGATCAAAAACACGGCTTCTGATCTAAAGTAATGTCTGAAAAACAAACGTATGTCTATCTCCATTTAGGCTTTACCAATTTTCAAATCTTGACTGTTATGAAAGAACTTTATTTACAATATTTATCAACCGGTAAGGTTATTACCCGTGTTTTCACTGTACTTGACTCGTTTCTTTGGTGGTTTTAATGGTGAGATCTGGTATGCTTTTACGTCATCCACCCTTGTTCCGATGACGATCATGTTGCCGAATGTGAGAATGTTATTAAAAGATGGGAAGTGTAATCGTTGCAAGATCTGAACGTGGTTTCCTCTTCTCTCTGCACAAATGATAGCGTCTGAAAGTAATATAGTGTCATAGTAGCTATAGCTTCTGAATTACATTAAGACTTTTTCGTGCGTTTTTGGTTTACATCTGCATAGAATAGTATGTTCTTTTTGTATATGATACAATTCTACCATACCATTACATCACAACATCGAAACTAACAAAAAGATAGGTATAGGCTTACATTGTTGATTGTGCATGACGCTCTTAAACAGCAGTAAGTCCAATTGTTTGTTGTAAGTCAGCCCTGATATTGCTTTTACACCTCTGATTTCTTCGTCAACAATATTTAGAACTAGTCTCCGGTCTTTTATACCTACGGAAACTTTGAAAAGATGATTGTTACCCCCGATAATATAAAGTGCATCTGGGCATAGACATGCGCTCATTGAGAACGATGTGTTTGTGCTGTGGCTGTCTCGCTAAAACAACATATTTTTCCATTAATTATGATCACCTCCTTATAAAATAATGTGAACAGTGTTTTACATATTTTAGCAAACTCATAGATAACATACCATAACGCCATTGGCCAAGTCGATGAGACAAATCTCTCCGGTCAAGTTGAAGACGATACATGCCTTGCGGCGCTGTATCTCACATATCTGGATTGGTAACATGGTGTCGCGGTTTATGGGCGTTGTCCACAGTAACGTTTCGTCGTCATTGTCTTTGAAGCAGTATAAAGGTCCACCATAGGGCAGTACCAACACAAGACCGGCCACAAAGACTGGTGGGTTTCGTATCTTCAAATTGTGACCTAAGTTAATAAACGTGGCGATGTTGCCGGTTTGAACATGCAGTTTAAACACCTTGGCGGTATAACAAACAAAGTAGAAATATCCTTTATGATAGACACATGTTGAAGATAGTGGATTCTCCAACTTGCGTTCGTGCAACTTTTTGCCGTTTATACGTCTTATAACAAGAAGACCATTAGTTGTGCCTAAACATATTTTAGTTTAGTTCAAAAAACTACGTCTTATCAACCAAATATATGTTAATATACGCCAGAGTCTTCTCCAATAGTAATACCTGACTTAGCCCGTTTTTAAAATACTTACCATAGATAATCATACCACCAACAATGAGAGGTGATATCAGAAGACTCCCTCTCTCTCTATATTCCCAAAACATGCTCCCATCCGCACATGTACTTTTTATTATTCCGGCCATATCGACAGCTATGATTTGACTGCAAAGGTTCATTTTTAAACTGTGAAATCTACAGTAAATTCCCTTCAAGCAGAACCCTGACCTTTTGATAAAACATACTACCATTATAACATATTACAACAACCAACAGCTACCGTTGAACCTGTACTTACTTCTTGTACAGTACTGGAGTAGAATCAACACACCTCCTCAACGGACTTTGCCATAACAGTTCGCAGTCGTAACTCGCTTCTTCGAAGGTCCTCACCAACTGTGGTGGTGGTCTTTCGAATATCAACTTCATAATGTCGCCAAGGGTAGTAGCCGAGTCGTACAACATCTTCTGCAGCTCCACCATGTCCTCCCCATACTTGATGTTCATGGCACTTACGAATTGGAATATCTGCTGTGAATTGAAGCCCAACGTCCAGAAGGGATGTGCCCTGCTTTCATCCAGTGACTGGTGGTATTCTAACACCTCGTGGATATCTGTTTCTTCTAGAGAGTTGTCTTCTTGTATGAATTTTAACAGCTCCAAGTCATCTACCTTACCTAAAAGTAACATCGGTTTAGACTCTCCAACTGCAGTTCTCTTTCTATACCAATCATATACTGTAAAATGTGTTGTATCTCAAACAAACATAAAATAACAATAATGTATAGCATTACCTGCTATGTTATGAAAACTCACCGTTTACAGTAAGAGGCAACTCCTCCAAATAATAAGTCTGTCTAACTTTGTATCCTTCCAAGTTTAGTGGAATCGCAGGATCATCAGAAACCAAAAACAAGAAGATCATCTCTTTGAACACCACCATTCTGGCCCTTTCTATATTGCTGTGGCTCAGAGCATATTCTTCTACCTCTCGACTAATCGCTTCGCCTCGGATCTTCGCCTAAAACCAGTACTGTATCATCATAATATTAAAGAATTGGCCAAATTACTGTACTTATAAAAGTGAGCTTACCCTTCCAGTGATGACATACTTCTGAACCCCATCTACAGTAACCTCTTGGAAGTGATCTGAAGTCTGATGATATAAAGTCCTTACGTTATTAACAATACAAACTCGAGTTTCACTTTTTATCACAACTCCATTTGAAGTGAACTCTAAACTGGTATCTGGCAGTGCATTAGAACAATCAGCTACAGTATCCCTGAAAGTATTACGATAAGAGCATACAATCTATTAAACAGTTTAAAAAAACATTAGCTTTTTTGATATTATATTAAAATATAATACTAGTTCAAGAAATTGCTTTGTTTATAAAAATTAAAATTATATAAGAAATGCATTTACCTTTTTCAATGTCGTCAATATACTTTACATCAATATAACTTACACGTCTGGATGAAACTCTGTACAAGATGCCCAAACTGACATCTCGGTAATACCATACAAATTGAACATCCGCGGCCCATCCTCACGCCAGAACTGCTTCACCACTCCAACTGGGAAGGTGTCACCTCCAATTAGAATATACTGTACGATGTCTTGTGTCGAAAACAAATCCTTCATGAAATAATCATCAAACAAGTTTAAAACAGCTGGAGTCACTTGAAAGAACAAAGGCTGCGACGCTATCAGTATATCCTTAATGAGAACTTTCTGTTCGTCCTCCATAAGATATAGTTCGCATTTGCATGTATACCACAGTAAAAATTCAATCATACAAGGATCAAAGCCTAAAGTAGTGCTCCAGAATATCCGAGATTCTTCATTCACTTTCATTAGATCACTGTAAAAGTTATTCATAAGTTTGTAAAGGTTAACAATCATAAGATCGGTCAAAAAGTAGATTTTACCAAAGCAAGTTGATCTAAAAACAAAATAATAATAATATAACTCTTACCGGAAATAGTTTACATTTGACATCACAGAGTCCCGAGTCACCAATACAGTCTTTGGCTTCCCAGTAGACCCGGAAGTCTCGGCTACGTATAAGAATTCAGGCCCGAAGTTGTACAAGTTATCATTGCACTTGATCCGGTAAAGTTCACAATAGTAATCCTTATCAAGCAGTTCCGCGTCTAAAACCTTTGCCGAACTAATTTGTATAATTAGATACTTGACCTTCAACTTAATGCACTTGTAAAAAAGATAATCTTCGTAGGTTTGATCATTAAGTTCATCTTCCTTTACATTAGAACGTGGCTTGATCCATGCTATCACGTTCTTGCTGTCCAGCACACTAAAACAATATTATTACAATTAAAGCAAATTTATTAAAACATAAAAAAATATATGAACTTAAAGTTTATATTAATAAAATTGTAATTGTTTCCTTACCATTTGGCCAACACAGCAGCCATATCAGACTTTGGAAAGCAGATGCCAACAACAGCATTGATATCCTTTATGTTCTCTATTAAGTATTGTCGTCTAAGAGCAAAATTAGGCATATAAATTTTATTAAATTTATCCTTGTATCCATCATACTTGTATATACTCATTTAGTTCGGTGTTATTATAGGTAAATCAATCTGCAATCAAAAACTTAACGTTATCTGTATACCACTTTTGTTGTTTAAAAATTAAATAATAAAGATACAATTTAACTATACATATTACTCCTTTACAACCTTGAAAACAATTTTTCTCCTTTTTTAAATTTTTCTGATTTATTTATTCTTTACTTGCAACATAAGGCCATAAATGCCAATTTGATAAACTCTTCAAACATTTTTCGGAGTCTCATCGCGAGAACAACCAAAAAAGATGACAAAAAATATTTTTTTCTAAAATTATTTTGGTGGTCTGGTCGTGAAATTGTTGTAGTTGAACAAGATAACCTTTAACTATGGTTCAACAGGAAACCAAACTAGCGGCGAGGGTCGATGATAAGGAGAAGAAGCCGGGAGAAACGGTTGCAGCCAAGAAGAAGGATGCCAAAGAGGAAAAAAATGAAATGGTACTGTTTTTAAAGTTTTTATGATATTGTTTTATGTTTTTAGACAGAAGAGGACAAAAAATTGCAAGAGGACTTGAATATGTTGGTGGAGAGACTGTCTGAAGCCAACCAAGACTTATATCAAGGTGCTTTGGAGAGCATGAGGTCATTGATCAGAGCTGCAACTACCTCTATGACTTCGGTACCAAAACCATTGAAGTTCATGTTGCCTCATTATAATAAAATGAAGGAGAACTACGAGAAAATGAGAGACTCACCAGCTAAAGTTAGTTTTTGAAGTTAAAGATTTTAGGTATTAAAATTTTGAAGGGAAAGAGAGCTTTTGCTTTATTTTATTCCAAACTTTGAAAGAGACGATGTTAGCGCGTTTTAAACTTTTTACTAAACGTCGGATTATATTAACTATCTTTTTAAAATAAATATTTTTTGCAGAAGCTATGCGCAGACATAATCTCTGTGTTGGCCATGTGCTCAGAAGACAAGAATGGATGTATCAACTACAGATTGAAGGGAGCTTTTGAGCCTATTGGAGATTGGGGACACGAATATGTTAGACATTTGTCAATGGAAATGGCCGAAGAATGGAGAAATTACTCTGACGGCACAACGAAGAGCCAAGAACGACGAGGAGAGTTACTGACACTTGTCAAGGAGATTGTCGCTCATAATATGAAGCACAATGCTGAGGTTGAAGCTTGTGATTTGTTGGTTGAGATCGAAAGGTTGGATCTGCTACTTGACTTTGTAGAAGGTGAAGATTACAATCGTGTCTGTTTGTATTTGTTGAGGTAAGTGTATTTTTGTTTTTTTTGGATTTAGGTAGTACTTTTGGAGAATTTTAAAAAGTTATTGGGGTAAAAATTATTAATAAATATCAGTATTGTGTTATGTTAAATGTTTTAGGTATACTGCTTGTTTCTTGAAAGGTTCTTGCCGAAATTTTTAGTTTGAGAAAAGGATTTTAATTGTTCTATACTAAATATTACCTAAAATCTTTCAGCTGCGCTCCACTAACTCCAGATCCAGACAATCAAATTTTGATCAAGACTGCGAAGGATTTGTTCTTGAAGTTCAACAAGCCTTTTTGAAGCTTTGCGATGTGCTGTGATTTTGAACGACATCGACATGATCAGAAGCATTTTTTTGAATTGCAAAGATGGGTAAGTTATTTCTGGTATCTTTTATTAAATACGAATTATCACGTCTATGCTAATTTACACGAAAATTATTTAAAATCAATTTTAGGTTGATTCAAAAGCAGATGGCCATTCTTCTAGGACGTCACCAGATCTTCTTGGAGCTCGAGGGAAAACCTAACGGTGAAGTTTTGGCTCCTCTGAACGCCAACACTCACTTGTGCCAATATTTTCATTCTTTGGCTAGAGAGTTGGACATTATGGAGCCAAAAACACCTGAAGGCATCTACAAGTCTCATTTGGAGCAAACAAGACCGTTCTCATCGTCTTCCAGCTCCGACAGTAACCGATTGAACTTGGCAGCTTCTTTTGTCAATGGGTTCGTTAACAGTGGCTTTGGCGTAGATAAGATGTTGGCTGAGACTGAATCTGCTAACAGGTGGTTCTGTAAGAATAGAGAATACGGTACTTTGTCAGCTGCTGCCAGCCAAGGTTTGATCTACCGCTGGGACATCGACAAGGGATTGACCCAATGCGATCGCTTTTTGTATGTCAATGACGACTATATCAGAGTAAGTTTTGTTATTTAACTTGTTTTTACTTTAACATTTAGGTTTTGTGTGCAAATATTTAATTTTTATATTTTAGGCTGGTACTCTTCTTGCTATTGGTATCATTTCATCTGGAGTGCAAGATCCTTGTGATCCCGCTTCAGCTTTGTTGATGGACCATGTTCACAGCGAAAGAATCCCAATGAGAATTGGTTCGGTACTGGGTCTTGGATTGGCTTACGCCAATTCAAAGAGAGAAGCTGTTGTGAAGGAAGAGGAAGGTGGAGTTATCTTCGAGTTGAAGAAGGTTCTGGGTGATTCGAAACCATCAGCTACAAGCGAAGTCAAGGGATTGGCTGGACTTTCTCTTGGATTCATTTTGGTAGGAACTGGAGATCATACTGTAGCCATGGAGATGCTGCAAATTTTGATGGAACGCTCAGAAGCCGAGCTCAACGAACCTAACATGAGATTCTTGGCCTTGGGTATTGCCTTGATCTTTTTGGGAACTCAAGAGAAGAGCGAGGTCTTCGTCGAGAGTTTGAGGTCGTTGCCAGAACCTTTCGGCAGTATGGTGTCAACTTTGGTCGATGTTTGTGCTTATGCTGGTACTGGAAATGTACTTAAGATTCAGAAGCTGCTTCACATTTGTTCCGAACATTACGAAACAGCCGAACCCAAGAAGAAGGTATGTTAATGATACTCGGCATTTTATTTAAATGTACTTTATGAGCTGTCATTGAGTTACAAGATGATTTTCTACTATTAGAATATTGATTGATTTAGGACAAACGCAGTGACAAGGACGACAAGAAGAAGGAAGAAAAGAAACCAGAAAAGCCAGATCTGTCGTCTCAACAAGCTGTTGCTGTTCTAGGTATTGGCCTGATTGCGATGGGAGAAGACGTTGGAAGTCAGATGAGTCTTCGAGTGTTTGGCCACTTGATCAGGTACGGAGAACCTGTCATCAGAAGAGCTGTTCCATTGGCTTTGGCCTTGAGCAGTGTCTCGAACCCTCAATTGAACATCCTGGAGACACTGAGCAAGTTCAGTCACGATGCTGATGCTGACACGGCTCACAACGCCATCTTCGCCTTAGGGTTGGTCGGTGCTGGTACTAACAACGCTCGGTTGGTAGCTATGTTGAGGCAGCTGGCTTCTTACCATCACAAAGACCAAACCTCACTTATGTTGGTCAGATTGGCTCAGGGAATGACACACATGGGTAAAGGTACCATGACTCTGAATCCCTTTCACAGTGACCGTCAACTGATGTGCCCAGCTGCTGTAGCTTCCCTCTTCTCCGTCTGTTTCGCTTTCTTGGATGCCAGCAACAGTAAGCTTTATACTTGAAGTTAACCGATTTTGGTAGTACTTATAGTTGAAAAGAAATAATTAAACAATATATAATTTTGTTACCTTTTAGGTGTGTTAAACAACCGACAACATTACCTTTTGTTCAACCTCGTACTGTCAATGCAACCTCGTTTGTTGATCACATTGGTTGAAGACGAAACTGACCCCAACAAGTTGAAGCAGGTCAATGTGTCCGTCCGAGTTGGTCAAGCCGTTGATGTCGTTGCTCAAGCTGGTAAACCTAAAACAATCACAGGATTCCAAACTCACACGACCCCTGTATTACTAGCTTATGGTGAACGTGCGGAATTGGCTAACGATGAATGTAAGTTTGTAACTATGAAATACCAACTTAAAATGTTACTTTAATATTTTTAAATTTGGATTGAAAAGATTTTAATTTCCATTTTTTAGACATTGCTCTAACCCCGTACTTGGAAGGACTGGTAATACTCAAGAAGAACCCTGACTCAGAAGTGAACAAGCCACAAAAAGCGAAATGATTTGATCTTACTTGTACTACATTAAATATTTATTGTCGATAAAATATGATTGCTAACTGGTATTCAATTGATCTTAAAAAATAAAGTTGTAATTATATAAAGTTAGAAGTTTCTGTTTTTTGGGTACAATACTATAATAGTTTTTGATTAAATGATTTATAGGGTTCGCAAGTTAAAAAGTTACCTAATGGATAACTCGACGTTCTTTCCATGATGGGTATTAAAAAATTGCTTAGTCGATAAATGTTGAATTCGTAAACAAGATCTTGTCGCTTTCAACCGAATTTTGTTAACGTTGCTTAGCAGTTTTGGTCCCGCCGCGAAAACAAATAACGGAAAATAAAATGTTATTTGCCAAAAAGAGATTTGCTGGTCCACGTTTCTTTTGTATTCGGCAACAGAGAAATGAGGTCGGATGTTGTTGTAGCCTTATTGGCTTTATTTTTGTTTGTTCAAGCTCAACAAGATGCTCTTAAAATCACAGCGACACGGAATATTGATATATCTTCACAGATCGTCAAGTCTACAGTAGAACTACAAATTGTAAATGAAGGAAAGTCTGCCGTGTCTTCTGTTTTATATTCGCTAAGTGAAGCCGAAGCCTCTAAAGCCAGCTGGATTCAAGCCAATGTTGAGAAGAGGGATGGAAAGAAGTTGAAGCTTCAGAAGACTACAGTTTCTGGAGCTCCGAAAGATCGAGTCGTCTACAAAATTGAGTTGGCTTCACCATTGGCTGCCGGTCAATCCGTTGTTGTGTTTGTCAAGGCTCAGATTACTCAAGCTTTGAGGCCATTCCCAGCCAAGATTAGTCAGTCAGAAAATCAGTAAGCTTTTGGTTTTATGTTTATTATTTTAGGTATAAACTGTCAAGATTATATTTTTTATACACTTTTTTGGGATAACTTTGGTTTTTTTGCTTTTTCTATGTTTAAAGTTTTTAGCTGAATGTATATATATGCATATTGTTTTAGATTTGTTGTCTACACTGGAGATGCTCAATTGGGACTTCCTTATGTTGTTGACAAGGAAACGACAACTATCAAATACGGCTCTGGAAAGCTGGTTGAGTTCTCTCAGGTAGAATCTTCTAAACAAGGCAGTGGATCTGTCACTTATGGACCTTACACTAAATCTCCAGCTTATGCATCTGTAAGTATTTTTAACATTTTTTGATGTTTAGGGTCGTATCAGTTTGATTTTTAATATTACTTATTGTAGCAAAGTACTTTCTTTATTGTTTAAGTAAATGTATATACTATTCAGAAGCCAATTACTGTGCACTACGAGAACAACTCACCTTTCTTGGTAGTCAAGTCTTTGGAGAGATGGATTGAAGTATCTCATTGGGGTAATGTTGCTGTTGAGGAACATATTGTTATCGAACATCGTGGAGCTCAATTGGTTGGAGAATTCTCTCGTTTGGACTACCAGATGGACAGACGTGGAGCTAGACAACCCGTTGTCAAGTCTTTCAAGGTAACACAACAGTTAAATTTTCATTGTGTAAAGTTAATATATTTTTGATTAATACACAAATTAATATTATAGTTATTTTACATAATGTCTAAAAGTATACTGTTTTAGACCCACTTGCCAGTCTCTGCTCGTGATATCTACTACAGAGATCAAATTGGAAATATTTCCACTTCTACCGTATCGAGGAAGGCCAATCGTGTTGAAGTTGAACTGAAACCAAGATTCCCATTGTTCGGAGGATGGAAGACCGACTACGTGCTTGGCTACAATGTACCTTCAATGACATTCCTATACAACAAAGGCAACGACTACGCTTTGAAAGTGCCATTTGTTGATCACGTTTATGAAAATGTTGTTATCGAGAAGGCTGAGGTCAAGATTGTTCTGCCAGAGGCTGTTGCGTAAGTTATATCTGTTTATAATATGGATTTTATGTTTTAACATGTAAAATACGACGATTTTTTTGGTTTCATAGTTATAGTTTCAAAATTTTTTTTCAGTAATGTCAAGGTTGTGAATCCATTTGACGTGAAGAGAAAGGCTGATGAAGTACACAAGACTTACCTTGACACGACTGGTCGTACTGTAATTGTATTGGAAAAGGAAAATTTGGTCGATAGTCACAGCCAATCTGTTACTGTAAGTTTTTATGATGCTATCACGAATATAGTTTTAAAAAACTAAATTAATGTGTGGTATGATAAGATGATTTTTATTAACTCAACAATTTTAGGTATACTACGAGTTTGAACGTTTCTTGTTATTCAGAGAGCCTCTGATTGCTGTTGTATTTTTCACTGTTGTCTTCTTTACCTTAATCATCTTTTCATGGTGTAACTTCTCTATCAAGGTAAGTAAAAGAGCATAAAAGTTTAAAAAGGGTGTGAAAATATTGGTGATATTACTATAATGATAATACTAATAAGTTTGACTAAACAATAAACTTTCAGGATAAACCAGAAGTCCACTTGAAGAAGGAATGAGCTCAATCATCTAGTTATCTTAAGTTATTGTGTTGTTATTAATTATAATAAGTAGTAAAGTTATTTAATAATTTAAGACTTTGTGAAACGTGTATGAATTCTTATAAATATTTAATTTATATATTGTTTTGTGGGATTTTTTAAATTATAGTGCGTTGTTGACGGTAGCAACGTTGTTCTAGACGTTTTGTATAGACTTTATTCTAAAAATTCGAAGTTTTGACTGTTTTGGATACAGTATCTCAACCTGAAAGATGTTGCGATTTGTAGTTGTAAATGTGGTGTGTTTTGTTACCGTATATTAAGTATGGTGTGTTGTTTTGTTTCCGAGTCACTTTAATGTCTTTTAAAGTGTCTTATCACTCTGAAAACAACAGGAAAATCAGATGAAATTCACACAAATTGTATCGACATCAACTGTTATCAAGTTTCAAAGGTTACTGTAACGCGACTTTTGATCTGGATGAAAGAACGGTGAACACAGCGATTTCAATGCCGTCTGTGACTACACTACACTCTTGAATTCTTGTTCTTCACGAGAAGAGGAGGAGGGTTGATTGTTACTTTGACTAAATCAGGAGTCTTACTAATCAAAACGGTGTAAATTTGGTTTTTTAAAAGGAGAAGATGTAAAACCATGTTCTACTGACAAAGGAATGTAAAGATTTAACGTTGGAGTAATGTAAAAATAACTTGTTTGGTTTGGGTTTTGTTAAAGTAAATAAGATACTTAAATTCTAAATTAACACAACATTAATAAAACTAAAAATAATATTAGAAACCTTAAACGATCACGAGATAATTCATATGAGAATTAAAGAACTTTAATATAATTAAAAAGCTAAAACAACTTAACAAATTGATGAAAAAACATAAAATTACATACTGGAATCTCAAAACAAATTTAAAATAAAAAAATCTTTACTTTACTGAACGATCCAAAACAACATGACCCAGTTAATATTAAATACATTTATTACAGTATAATATACACAACGTAATGATAAATACTCGGCTAAAAGCACAGACCCGTGGCTAAAACAACAACTATGTTACACTCGTTTCTTGGGATCACCATGCTTCTCGCACTGTCTCGCAATGGTTACCTCGTCCACCACCTTCAGGTCGTACGCCCATCCGATCTTGGCGAAGGTGTCGATCACATACCGACTCCAGTTGAACAGATACGACATCTCGGAGGCACGGTAGTCTTGTGGGAAGGTGTGATGGTAGTTGTGGCCACCTTCTCCCAACGCGGCCACAGAAGTCCACACACTCTCGACCGAGGTCAGATTCTTGTCGTAGGGTTTGTAGCCGAACATGTGGGCTACAGAGTTGATAAACCATGTAGCGTGTAGGGTCCAGGTGTAGCGGAGCACGACGGCACAGTAAAAGGCGACGTAGGCTTTCTCGCCCCAGAAGTAGACTGGAATGGCAGTGGGGAGGAGAGCGGTGATCAGGAGGGACAAGGTCAGGAAGTGACTGAAATTGTTGTTGGTTAGAACTGGCAATAAGATAAGAAATGAAGATTTTTGAAAGCGTTAATAGTACACCAAGAAGAAACTTAGTATTCGCCTACTTTTTCTGGAATACGAGGATGGGATTGGCGTAGAGGTCGGAGAGGTCGAGCTTCTTGCCCATCTCCGTGATCTTCGGGTGTTTCCGCATCAGAAGCCAGCCCATGTGGGAGAAGAAGAAGCCACGGTTCGTGTTGTGAGGGTCGGCATCTGTGTCTGTCCACTTGTGATGGCATCTGTGGTCTCGTGACCACTCGATGACATCATTCTGGAAGGCCAAGGTGTTGGCCAACATCAAGAAGAACTGGAACGGCATTGTGGCCTTGAAGCTCTTGTGGGACCACAAACGATGGGCTCCAATGGTGATGCCCATGCCACCTAGCATGTACATTAGGACAGCTAAAAGTTGAGGTTAATATAGGAGCAGTAGTATAATTTTAGTATATGTTAAGTTATCAATGACTGTAGTTTGAGTATGATACAGTTTCGGCCTGTAATAACTAATTCATGACAAAACATAGCTAATATTGTAAGTTACTTTGTGTCAAAAATAGCTTTAACGTCACAAGTTTACTGTAATTCGCTTTTGTTTTTGATTAAAAGGAATCACACCATATTGTGATTGATAACATGAAGCCTTTGAAGGTATGTCAAGATAAAAGTACTTTAATGCGGTCGGGTTAAGAGAGCAATAACAACAAATGGTACGTTTCAAATAGTTTTGAATCTTTGTTTAAAGGGGATATAACAGGGTTTACTATCATTTCTTTGTAGTTAAAAAATGTAAATATGTACTGTAGGGTCAACTGAATTGTTATACAGTAAATTTGCTTTGAGTTTTAGGATTTTATACTGTAGCTTAAGTAGTTTAGGAGAGTGAAGTAAAGAACTTACAAAAGATCATAGTCTGCCATTTGGCCAGGAAGATGAATTGATACAATCCAACAAAGGCTCCGACGTGTAGCAACGTGAACAGAATCACGTTTCTCCACACGATCTCAGCTTTGAATTTGTTCTGAAACCGAGAGATCTGATTAGATTTTGTAAACTTTGAAGGCTATTTGAAGACTAATTTTGTTTTCTAAGTCTTTTAGTACTATTTTTGATCAAAAGGGGTATAAAATTGTAAATAAACTATTTTCTTAATTTTTCAAAGGACTAAAAATAGGTCTATCAATACTGGATTACCTGGGTACTATACGTCAGCTTTTAAAGGTTTTTAAAGAAAATTACAGTTTACTTTAAGTTATGTACGATTATGAGTTTGCAAAAACATGAGACAAGCACAGTTTTACCCTAGGTTTTTTAAACGCACAAAGCCAGCCAGGTCTTGTAATTCAGGTACTTGAAACATATTAAAAACTACGTAGCTGTACTATATAAGAAAGCGCTATTTAATAAAAAATTGAAAAAATAATTTTAAAATTCGAAAACAATACAACAAGGTCAAGAATAATACCCCAAAAAACTAAAAATAAGCCCCAAATCTGCTCAAAATCTACCTTTTCGGCAAACTTCTGAAGCTGAATCATCTCATCGAGATCGGCGGCCAGGTACTGGTCCCTGATGATCTCATGGACCTTGGTGTTGCTGTCGAGGGTCGTAACCTCGAGACTCGAGTCCATGTTTTTCGGTTGTAAACTATTACCTAATTCTCCACGGCTACCGGCTTTTATAACCCGATCAGAATGTTGACCCGAAAAGGGGCGGGGCGCGGGTGTGTCATCCCATGCATAGTTTAAAACAAAAGTCAGGACACTTTTTTGCTGTGGAACGATGCAAACACAACGTGCTGTGCAGAGGGCGGGGTAGAGAAGCAGATTATTTTTAAAGTTTTGCAGCTTGGTTTTGGGAAAGCCTTTTTTGGTGGGGTGGATATGATTGAAAAGGTGGAGATATCAAGGTGATAAAGAACATATATTGGCTTGATAGAGGATAAAGATTGATAATTAGTTTATTTTTACTATTAACATAAAACACAAAACAGTTTTTGTTAATACATTGTTTTATATAATTTTAATGAATATTTTTTATATTTTTTGGTTAAAAAGTTACAAAGAACGTTATGTTCTTTGAACTTTAATTCAGTTTTAAAAGTTTTTCTGTACTGTATTAATAAGTTTTGCTCATTTTTGATTTCTTAAAATATTTCTTAGTTTTAAGTGCTTAATGTTGCAAAAACGTAGCATAATCAATTAAATTTACATGTTCTTTATGCTTCATAGTTATATTTGTATTTAAAACGTGTAGAAAATTTAGTATTTCAACATTTGAATACTTCTAAAGCTTATAAACCTTTGCTGGATCCTAATTTTGCAAACTCTGTGTTCTTTTCATTCGGTCAAAATATTGAAAAATCACGCTATTTTAAATCTTTTCAAAGTAATATATTGTCTATTACAAATCTTTTTTAATCTTTTTTGTAGTTTGAATACAGAATTTGGCCAGCCATTTCTAGACTTTTCTATTGCTTTGTAGCCAAGTTTTTTTTAAATGATTTTTTACGTTGCTCTTGATCGTAGATCTATATTAACTTTGCTTTTGGTTATTTTACAGTAGGGTCTTGTTATAACTAAAAAAACTTGGTTTTGTATTCGTTATAGTGAGGTTCTTTATAGAGTTTTGTATAGTTTTTTACCGACCGAGTTTACGTGTAAATAAAGATTTTAGGCTAGGATTACTTTTAACTATAGCATTTTACTTCTTATGATTATTGTGTTCAATACCAGATCCTAATGTATTATTTTTGGTCATTTCACATGAAAAACATAACTTTTAAAATATTCTATGGCCATTTTTATCTTGAAACTCTGCAAAAACAGGAAAGAAGAACGGTAGGAACCTCAAAGAACTGTGTCGGAAGATGGGTTAATGTGATAGTGTAGATAACATCAGATCGTTATGACCTCAGTCTTTGAAACAGCATTGTTTTCTTTTTCTAATAAGTCCTGACACCGTCATGTATTCTTCTTGTATCATGGTCGTTGCATACTCTATTTCGAAACCTTATTCAATGAGACGTTGTATAACATATTGTTAATGCAAAGACATTTTGAGGTTTAAAGCCGACTTAAGGTTAAGGTACAAAAAGAAAAGGTTGCAATTATGCTTAGCTTATTTTACGGTATGAAAATAAGGCTTTTGGTATTTGATCATCTGTTGATTATAAAGAAATTACATATTATATAACGTAATAATATGTAGTACAATTAAGCTGTTTTTGTATGCAAAACGAACATTCTGAAGCCATCGTACAAAGTTCAAACCACAAAGTTGTGTGAAACGTTTCTTGTGTTTTGTTGAAAATTGGAAATGAAACGTCATGGCTATAAACAAATAATGGGTCAATGGGGGCAGTTTTCAAGATTCATCGTTTAATTCTAGACACCAAACATTACAGGGCATGGTATATTAAAGTAGGTATTTTGCTCAGAATTGTTTTTGGTAGTCAGATTTTTTTTCTTAAATTTTGTCTAATTGCTTAGTTGAGCCACGCAGGTCAGGTCACCAGCTAATCTTACTTCAACTATAAAAAATAATGACCATTTGTAGTATGAAATGGCTATTTACTGCTTTTTTTGGCTGCAAATCGAAATAAAACTTTTTTTATTAATTTTTTTGTGTTATATAATAGATAGATAAGCCGCAGAAAACAAATATTTCGCTTTATTTTCAATAAATATACAGTATCATGATACAACAAAGAATTAGCAAAGACCCGTGGTTAACCTGACATCTGATATTACACTCGTTTCTTAATGTCTCCTTGTTTTTCACACTGTCTCACGATCGAGGCCTCATCCACCACCTTCAGATCGTATACCCATCCGAACTGAGCTACAGTATCAATCACATACCGACTCCAGTTGAAGAGATACGACATCTCGGAAGCACGGTAGTCTTGAGGGAAGGTGTGATGGTAGTTATGGCCACCCTCACCGAAAGCTGTGATCGAAGTCCAAACACTTTCTACTGCCGTCAGTTTACGATCGTAGGGTCTGTAGCCAAACATATGGGCTACGGAGTTGATGAACCATGTTACGTGCAGGGTTAGACAGTAACGGAACAGCACGGCACAGTAAAAGGCGTAGTAGGCTTTTTCACCCCAAAAGTAGACTGGAATGGCTGTCGGGATGAGTACGGTGATTAAGAAGGCCAGTGGGAGGAAATTCCTAAAAAAACGATTTTAAAGTTGTACAAGGTAATTGTGCTAGGACAGTTCATATAGTACTTTTTGTTCTCAGTTGAAAGCCTTTAATAGTCAGTCATTAAGAAACTTAGCCTTCACCTACCTTTTTTGGAACATGAGGATGGGATTGGCGTAGAGATCGGAGAGATCGAGCTTCTTGCCCATCTCCGTGATCTTCGGGTGTTTCCGCATCAGAAGCCAGCCCATGTGGGAGAAGAAGAAGCCACGGTTCGTGTTGTGAGGGTCGGCATCTGTGTCCGTCCACTTGTGATGGCATCTGTGGTCACGTGCCCATTCGATCACATCATTCTGGAAGGCTACAGTGTCAGCTAGCATCAGTACAAATTGGAATGGCATTTTAGCTTTGAAGCTCTTATGGGACCACAAACGATGGGCTCCAATTGTGATTCCCATTGAGCCGACTGCGTAGAGGAATAGGGCTGTAAATGATGTTAGGTTAAGATACTGTGGTTACATTTAGGGTTGTTTTTAGTTGTAAAATGGTGTACTATGTGTGATAATAAAAACTTTTTAATTTAATTTTATAATTTCAAATTAAAGTTTAAATTGATTTTAAAATACAGTTTTAAAAACTTACTGAAGAGCATTGTCTGCCATTTGGCCAGAAATAGGAATTGATATAACCCGATCAGAGCTCCGATGTGCAAAGCCGAGAACAGAACGACGTTCCTCCACACGATCTCGGCTTGGAATTTGTTCTGAAAGATTTGCATTGTAATCAACATATATTAACGTATGTTGTTCGTATCTATCACAAAAAATACTTTCTAGATTTAAAATACGTTGATCGTTTTCTATGTAGTGGTAAACAGGCAGTATTAAGGTTGTTAAACAAAATTTTAAAGTTTGGTTGAAAACTGGTCAAAAAGTTCCTAGAATTGATAAGTTTCTTGTTTTCAAAGAACTTTTTGATAATTTATTCAAACGTCATGGTCACAAAACATAAAGATGTCTAAACACCTATATGTAAACAATACTGTACCACCTATGAACACCTCTTTAAAGCCTCAAAAACATCTGAATGAATAATGTTATGTACTGTTAACCAATTCTAGACGCAATGTCTTTAAGTATTCGATGAGAAAGTTAAAATTGAACTAAATGATTTGTGTTACAGTGTTACTAATCCAATTAAAGGCAAACTTAAGGTTACTTAATCGTATGAAGAGGCCTTTAATTGTACCTAATTGTAAACAAGACAAATCTAAATGTACCTAATGATAGAATTTATGCTGAGTAATTTATTTATTTTTAATTATTTTGAGACAAATAAGCTTTTGTTTCAGTAAAAAAGGTGATAGCTTAAGACTTGAGGCTAATGTAAGGTGTATATAAACAAAAATTTTAAAAACTTTGAATAAAGAAGGTTAGGCTTAATGGAAGCTTAGTTTTAGATCTGTAAAATCACAAAAAACTAATACAAAAGTTTCGTATTTCAAACTGAAACATTACTACAACAAATTAAGTTATATTACCATAGCTCGTCTATTTTCAAATATATAAGTAAGTTGATATATTGAACAATATTTTTTAAAAACCCAAAAAAATATAACAAAAACACCCCAAAGAAGTCAATAAAACTTCAAAAGACCTCAAAACCCTCAATTTACCTTTTCGGCAAACTTCTGAAGCTGAATCGTCTCATCAAGATCAGCAGCCAGATACTGATCCTTAATGATCTCGCGGACCTTGGTGTTGCCATCGATGGTCGTCACTTCAAGACTCGAGTTCATGTTTTTTCGTTTCTGTCAATAGACTGCTACCGTTCTTTCGTTTTTATAGCGATTACTGTATGCGGAAGGCGGGTCTACATCATGGTGAATGTTGTTCTAGATTTTTTGCTGAAATCGCTACATTTTGCGTGCGAAGATGCACTTTTACAAAGTTTTTTGATAGAGATGGGGTTAGTGACAGACGATACGACAATGAGAACGTTTCGGACTTTGTACACTTAGATTTGCACGTTTTGTGGGTAATGTATATATGTTTTGTTAATCAGAGTTTAGGTTGATCAACAGCGTTAGTAGGCGTTGATTGTTAGTGTCGGATTGGGAGCAGAGGAAGATATTGTTGTGGGTGAGGCATTGGAGAAATATTCATAATATTTTATACTGTTAGGCTTTACTTTGTTCTTAATATTATTGTTATATCTGAAAAATAGCAAAGCTTACATTAGTTTAACTGCAACGCCTAAGGCTTCAAAAAGACAAAGTTCATTCTATCCTATGTAAGGACTACCTTCTCTAACATAGATTTAAACATGATTTTAATTTTCTTTCATTTAACGAGGTTGTGCAACAGGTAGCAGCTGCTGTAATCAAGCTGATGATACGACACCTCGGCCCAGACAGGGACCACACCTCAGATTACACGTGATAATAGTACACTTGCTCCCTCTTTTGTCTGCAATTCAAATTATCTTGTCATAACAAAATTAAAAGTACATTTTGAAATTTTTAAATTGGCAGATTATTTAAAAGTACACTTTTTATGCTGATGATAGTAATTTGAAGTTTTGAGATACTTCCTTTTAGTTTTTGACTTCTGTAAGTGTTTAGGTGAACGTGAAGGGATTGACTTAAAATTTTTATAGGTTACTGTACAGCCAGAACTCGTCCACACTTCTCCACGGGCAAAGAAGCTAAGCCTTAAAAATTTTACTTTTCTATTTAATTTTGGACCACACTGGTAAGCGGTTGTTTAGTCATGATGCAATAGAGTATTCTGTTATTTACTGAACTGTTTACTATAAGATAATTTATGGTAAAACAGTAACATAAATAGCTTTATTATACAGTTTTTTCTGGTAGTAGATAAGAAAGTTATTATTGTGTAAACAGTTGAAAAGGTGAATTATGGTAATCGTATGTTCTATACTTTACTCCCACTGTAAATCTACAAGTATATCTGTGTTATTTGTTTATGTCGAATCTGTTATGTTTGTTTGTGATATTGTTTTTCATTACAATGTTTCATGAACACAACATAAAAGTTGATTACAACTGTACAAACGAAAAATGTTACTTTATTTGACAATGAAAAAGAGAAAAATACAATGAAACCCTTTCATAACGAACAAATATGAAATTCCTGTGTTATTCGTTATACATGAGTTCTAATATATATATAACCTTTTGTCTTTTTATAAAAACAGCTTACAATAAGCTAATAAATGAGTTTTTTAGTAAATTAAAAGCCAAACATAAGAAATCTATCGTAAATTGAAGCCAATTTTTAATAATACAAGTGGTTTAGATGCCCTAGGTATGCGACGTACTATAGTATAAATTATAATTGAAAATAAAGTAAAATACGACAATATAGTTTGTACATCACAATCAAAATATAATATTTGGCTGGGTGTAGTAGTAATGTTTAAAAAATAGTAAGCGGTAGACAACTTTTCAATTTTATTTTGTTTATTTTAAAAATTTCACTCTAAATGCTATAATGCAAACTCTATATCAAAACAAAATTTAAGTATTATACTTTTCTACAATACTGTAACATGCAAGGTCTATTTTAAATATTTTTTAATTTTACATTACTTAAATTATCTAGTTTTAAATTTATTTGTGCAAATGTCAATTTTAAGTGGTTAACAAGGTAGTTCTTACTATTAAGTTTTTTATGTTTGTTTCTTTATGTTATCTACTGATATAACATTAATTGGGTTAGAACAGTGTCTTCCTTTATATTTTCAAGTCACAAGCTACAAAGTTTAGTTTTAAAAAAGTTTACTAATTACTTTTTGTATCTGATATCAAAGTTCAAACACATTTTTTGTACTATCAGCGTTAACAGCCTTTATAACACCTAATAATTAAGCTTTATCTCTATAAAGTAACTTTTTTTACTAGAATAGTACTGTAGAGCTTAATATAAACCGAGTTTACCCATAACAATATTACAATTGGCTACTACACAGTAATCTGACCTGTTTTGCATAACTTTTCAACAACTTAAGTGAGGCGTCTGATCAGTAATAAGACCACCAGTTAGGTCAGACCGGCTACACTAGAGGTGGAGTGGCGTCAGAACGGGGTGGTGGGGTGGTAGACTCCGCCCCCAAATGGCACCACTAAGACCTTTCAAAGTCCGTCGGGATAGGCTACGAAACATTGTGTTGTAGTAGGCGATCAGCTGGAGATCAAAGAACGTTTTCCTCTGGTTTAACGCACGTTTCTTTTAATTACAGAGTAAACAAAAGGTACGACCTGATAGTCAGTGTGGTGTGACTATTTAAGGTCAGACATACATGTGACTTTGAAGGCATAGTTAACACGTCATCATGTTGTTATAGGTATATAAAGAAAAGTGTGGTATTTCTAAAGTTATTGCAAGTTTAGGGTATAATCTTTAAGCTAGTACAACATATAGATGTCTACCTTGCTTTAATCAAAAAAGTAAGTCAAAACTTAAATTCATACTGTAATTTAAAAGAAGAAAGAACATTGATCATCATTCTGAAAGCAATGACAAGAACACTTATGTCACGTATTAAAAGTTGCAGAAATAACATGATAACCTTAACAGTATGAGTAACACTTTTATCAGTACAAGATTAACAACAATCATAACACTACGTATAGCTCAGATAAGACTATATATCTAAGATATGCACACAAAAGCAAAAAATGTAATTTCTGGTCACTACCGGTTTACCTTGTTTCAAAAGACAAAGTTTACATTTTACCTTGTAATCGCGCGATGCAAAGTTTAAAGTAGAGTCTTGCTGAAGTGACCAGCCCAGTTTCAAAGTACAATATTAGATTGATATATTGTTGCAGATAAGTCTACTGGATGTTTTGTAATTACTTGTAAACAAACAATTGGTACTTACAGTTTTACTGATCAAGCCGTTCCTTCTCTAAAGCAACTCCAGTACCAGCCAAAAGAAAAGTTACAGATTTATTAGTTAACAAGACATTTCTTTGTGACAAACACAACAACAAAGTAGATATTACTGTATATGAAGCTAATAATAAATATACCACAAAATCAAGTAATATATGCTTCTCATTATATAAAGAACTTACTCATCACAAGACTCTACTATAATATAAAACCTTTCAAAGAACAAATCAGTAGAGACTATAAATGATGACGATACTCAATAAAGTATAACATATTAGGTTGTTCAACTAGCTCTGTGCCCACTAATTCAAAAAGTTGCTTTGGGAGGGAGCGCAGAATTATTTGAACACTTAATATTAAAGTTAATATAGTAGATACTAATAGTAAATACTATGTAAAATTAATTTAGATTATAAATAAACAATTTGCTTAATCGGAGCCAGAGCTTCCTCGCTTCTTGAACGGATTCAGATACCCCAAGGCTTCTGACAGATCTTCTCTTCGGCTCTGATTCGAAGTCTTTCTGGAGCCAGATCCACCGCTTTCAATTGAGGTGGATTTACTCGGTAACTTCCGAGGAAAGAAGTCCTCTCCACGTTCGTCAATACTGTACGATCGGTTCTTCAGATCTTGCTCGTACCCAATCTTAACATAAAATATTACGTTTTTAGTGCTCGAGAGTACAATAATGAACATAATATAATTTTAAGTTATTTGTTACTATAATATTTTTTTACTACAGTAGTAACTTGCTTAACAATTTTTATTGACCTATACCTATGTTATTCAAGTTAATATACCCTAACACTCACCTCAATTCTCTCGATGATCGTATGAAGCAGAAACCTCCACAGAATCAGAGCTTCGTCCACCTTCTCTGGAGTCCATATGCTATGTTTCTTCTGTGGTACTTCAAGATATTTTCGTATCTGATACAAAGCGCACTCTCGAAACACCACCCAATAGCACTGTTTGAAACCTACAGCTGCCTTCAGACGACCGTGACGTCTACCGAGGTTGTTCAGTATATTATCCATGGCTTCTAGTTGGTCTAGGTTATGAACTCCGCTCTCCAAAACCTAAAATTAAAAGTTTTATGAAAGGATATTATATTTTAAGTATTGTATTGCTACATAGTACGTTTTAGTTGTACACAATATCAAGGGTCTTTGCTTTTAGGTTACTATTATATAATATAACGAGTTACTTCTATTACAATTTTTTATTTGCTGTTATAATGTAAGATCAAAGTAGCTTCTAATGTAAAATGTTTACCGAGTAAACCTAAAGATCAAACAGCTTTGTAAAAAAGGTTTTAATTAAGCACGTACTCAATAAAAAAGTAACTCATTTAAGAGTAAGAGCAATAGAACATCATGCTACTGCTAAAAATGTCGCTGTAATTAAGTTTGCACACAAATTACAGTATATTTCCTATTTTTGTCCAACATCATACCCATGACCACTATTATATAGAATTTAGAGCGTTTTTCATAGTACGTTGTACTCATACAATATAAAAATTGAAGAAACTAGCCCATTCAATCATTTCAAAATTTTGAAAAATTTTTAAAATGAAAAAATTTTCAAAATAACGTATCTCCAAAAGCACAGATCTACCACAAAGTACATGTACTGTAATTAAAATATAAGGAAGTGTGATCTTTAATTGTCAGTAAACAAACACGTGACTTACTTGAACAAACCGAAGCGCCTGAAAGGAGAACTCATTGTTGATGACTTCAGAACCGTCAGAATTGTACTTCAAGAAAGGAAACAGTAATTTGGCTTCAGGGCACTAAAAAATAAAAAAAATATTATAAAAACGCAAACATTACAGTAAAGATTAGTACAGTAGTAACCAAATATAATAAAGTACCTTTTTAGTACAATATTAACCAAGTATAATACATTAACTATTTAGTAAAGTAACAAGCAAGCAAAACCCATAAAAAGGCAGTATTTTGTAAAGTTTGAAAAAAACGCGTAACTCTATAGACTTTTTGACCAATTCTTTAAATGTAGGTCAACCTCAAGGGTAAACTGCCATTTTATAATCATATTTCAAAAACTACAAAACTATTGGGTTGTTCAACAAACTCTGGACTCCCTCTCAAAACAACTCTTTGAAATTAGGAGCACAGAATTATTTGAACAATCTAATATCTGAAATTGCCTTTTTGAAATAAAAATTCAAATTTTTCCAAAACCAAAAAAAAATCATTTTTAAAAAAATTGTCTCAAATTGAGCTTGTTTGCAAGATGCTCAGTAACGTAGTAGTAAATAAGCCCTAAGTACTGTGTTTACTTCCGTCTATTAGATTTGTCGCAAAACTTAATTTCAACAAGATCGGCGCATGTTTTTTACTCAATTTGGTCTGACTATTGTTTAATTTCACGAAACAGAGTGACTAAACTTGAATTTTAAACATTTTGGAAAGATGATTTAACAGTTATGGCAGGAATTTGAAATTTGTGGTTTCAAAATGCTTCTAAAACGACTTTTAAACCCAATTAGTTACAGCACGGTGCAATCATTTTAACTTTTTCAAAAAAAAATAGATAAGCAACCTTCTTTACTCACTTTACAGTACCGTATAATAACAAACGTCAAAAAACATAAAGACATACCTGATCAAATATCATCTGGTAGATGGCAACCCCCAGCCCCACCTTGTCGCCCTCGACCTGCTTCCATACCAACTTGATCAGTTCCTTGTCGCGGAAGCTGAAATCTGGCCACTCCATGCTGCTGATAGGACCGGTCCACGCTCTTGACGACTTTAATTAATGTCAAAGACCGGGCGTTTTTGTTTTTGCAAATTCCGCCCGCCAGCCGGAAATTCGCCTTGAGGGCAAATAAAATAAGTTACTTGAGCGCATCTCCAAATGAAATTCCCCCCACTTTTGGGCCATAATTTCCATTCACATCACGTGCTGACCTTGTGAAAAGGGCTGGACTTCTATTTGAAAAGGGAGCTGGCCTAGACCTTCGGGAACATTGGAGTACGACCACGTATCACAGAACCACATTAACCTCGTTAACACGGTTATGCAAATTCATTGGATGGTAGTAGAATGGCAACGTGGCTATTTCTGTCTGCAGAATGATTCTTTGAATTAGAAAGTTTGCATTTCCAGACAAAATCTGATTAAATTAAAGTTCCAAATGCTAAAGTTTAAGTCAGTGCTTAAAAAATAAATTGTCATCGTTTTTATAAACTTGAAAAAAGCCATTTAAACATAAAAACAGTGTAAAATACTGTTACAACTGTAGTGTTTTTCACATAATTCTGTGCTCCCTCTCAAAGCAAATTTTCGGAATTAAAGAGCACAGAATTATTTGAACAACATAATAAAACTAAATCTTCAGATGACAATGGCATCTGCTTTTTCGTCACAAATTTACTATGTCAAACGCAATGTAAAAAATACCCGTAATAGTCAACTCTTACACAGTAACTCTAACTGTGTAAGAGTTGCTTTTTAAGATAAATCTACAGTTGTTTCACTTAACTTTTTTTCAAAATAATATTAAACGTTTTAAATAAGTGGTTCACTGTACTTTTTATAATTGATGAAACCATGATATCATAAATAGTAAGTTCATCCAAGTTTTATTTTCCAATTTCACAGACAACCAGGAAGTGCAGTACTCGCACTTTTAACCCAGTATCAAAGAACATATTTAATAATTTTATGAGCCGAACTATGTGATGTCTTATATCCTAATCACATTTGGCTTAATATTTACTTTCTGTCTCACATACATCTTTTTCCACACACACATGGTTATATTCACACATACTATAATATGCTTATGAATAATAGTTTTTTGCTTTAGTAAATGTATTTTAATACTTAAAACCTTTCACCAATGAAAACTTTAAATTTTCTAATTAAAGCCAGTATGAGACTTTTGCTTTTTTTATTTGAACTTTGAAGATGCGATTACTAAGATACGAAGATGTGAGAATCGGTAAGAATGTAAAGTTTGATGAGATATGACGACTACGGTCGATCACTGTAAAACAAATAGAGATCATGTTAAGTAGATGTTTCTAACGGCTTCTGAGCCTCGGTTTCCTCTAATGACAGCCGGGGTTTGGCCCATTCTTCGACGCTGGCTAAAATACGATTGAATTTTAAACTTTTTAGATAAACAATTCTTAAAATTTGACAACGTTAGCTGGTAAAAAAAATAATAGCTCTAAAAAAATGCTTAAATTTTTTAGCTGATGGTAGCTTAATTTAACTAAAACTAAGTTGCAACTTCATCTTTTGATCTCATGTTAACCATCCCACGTCTTACCAGTGCCCCAGAACTGAAAGATGAACCCAGTAGATATGAGAATGAATGCCATTATAAAGAATGCCATCTTCCACTCCTCCTTCGTGTCATCTTTTACCACCAATCCAATCATGTACGGTGCCGCAACCGATGCAACTTGAGCAAAAAATCGCGAAAACGAAGCAACAGAAGAAGTGTAGCGTGGTGCTACACAAACCACGCTAGTGTTGTAACCAGGAATAAAGCCAGAAGATAAGCCTACGGCAACTGTAGCCAAAACTATGGCCCAATTGGCCGTGGTGCAATCACAGTACGCTATCAGAATGTAACAGATGCCCGCGCCGAAACTGGCTAAAATTAAAAACGGCAATTGTTTTGAATTGTAATTTAGTGTTACAGAACATAAAACTCTGCTTTTCACCAAATTGTCAAAGAAAAAACACAGAAATACTGATATTAACACACCCAATGAGTTGAACAGCTTGGTGACCCCATTCAGAGTCATAATGTTCCTCGACTTGAGACAGTCAGCCCACCAGGTGAACAATATCTTTGTGAACAATTGGACGACAAACGGTAATGCTGACATGATTCCGTTCTAAAATACAGTAAGATTTACATTTCTAGGTAACAAACACACTTTTTCAAAAAAAAACTTTACCTGTCCTCCCCTAACAAACTCTAGTCATAATTAAAAAGATATAAGCACATTCCTTACCCTGCTCAACTTCAGCCCCAATATGTTCTCGTAGTAAGCCGGTAGATATACGATGGTGCCAACATTCATAAAGTTTTGACTGAATGATGACAAAGCGATGGCCCAGACACTCAGTGAAGTCGTCACCTTCCTCCACGGTGTCACAACCTTTTCTCCCTTCTGCTTGGACATGTGGCCATCTGCTTGAATCAGCTCCAGTTCCTTCGGCGGACAATACTTGGGGTTCTCGGGAGTGTCGTCGATGTAATATAACCATGAGATCAGTAGGAATATACCCATAATAGCTAAAGTAAAAGTTTTAACCAAACATTAACTTTAACTTAATAAAAATATTGTAATTGAATTTAAAATAAAGTCATAAATCCCTAGTACTAACTATCACTTTAAGATGAATACAAAATTATCACTTATCCCAACGTACCATAGACATAGAAAGCAGAAGGCCATCCCCCAAGCCAAGTCCATTGGCAGAGATAAGCTGTCAGTAGCAATGCCACCACCACCGATACCTGATTTCCGGTCGTAGTGATAGCAATGGCTGTCGATTTCTCTCTCAACGGAAACCACCGTGCCACAAGAACGTTCATGCATGGTACCAGTACCACTTGGCCACAACCCATTAGAATCCGAACAAAAATCAAAGCCCATGCTCCAAAATGTCTGACGATTTCAGGTGATAACATGGTGCCAAGCACGTTGATGACAGCACCGATAAAGACAATCTGTTTGGGACCAAAACGATCGCACAAATAGCCTCCGGGGATAACCATAAAAAGACCGCCAAAGTAGAAAGAAGTTAGTACATAGGCCTGTTCTCGCTTTGAAAGTACTACGTCTGCGTTCTGCAAAAGATTACTGTAATTTTTTTTGGTAACTTTTGTATATTTTAGGTAACAAATATAATTTTCTTCACATTCCGCCAATATATGTAACTTTTCAAACATAAAAAGCTAAAATCCTACCGACAGAATAACCGGATCAAGAAATTTTCCACTAGTATTTCCATTAATGGTACCACTGGTGCATTCTGGTGCCAATTGCAGATTCTTGACCTTGTCCGGAACCCCCGACGCCGTCCTGTTCACCATACACACCATGGCCATGTTGATGTTGCTCCTCATGAAGCCCTCAATCGACAACGCCAATGCCAATATGATAGCGACACGAAAGCGGCGCGACTTCCACGACCACAGATTCGCGGCCTCAGGCTTGGCACCATTGTCCGGCGCCAGAAACTGGGACTCTTTTTGAGCTGAAAGTGACATAAAGTACAACAGATACGTCGAGAACAAAAGAATAAGCCCCCTATCAGTTCGAATTTCTAAAATTCCAAAAAAAGTCAAGGTTATTCATGATAAAATTAGAAAAGAGACGTTTTGAAGGCTGCAACTACAACTAAACACCATGCTTTATATTGAATATAACGATTCTTCAACGAATTTTAATTTACATTTTTGTGGAAATTTTTAAAATCCAACCCCTCTACAGGCTTCAAATCCAGGCTAAACTAAGTGTTTGATTTTATGAGCCAATAAGCTTGTTATAGCCTTTATGAGCAAACACCTAATAAACTTACAATTAACTCTTAACGGAAACATAATAGTAAGATAGGTAGTTGTTTACTTCGAAGACATTTCCAAAGTAACAAACAAAGTAAAGACAAGTTACTTTGGCAACACCTCTAATACGTATAATTTCCTTAATAAGTAGTTTCAACCTAATACCTTGCTTCAGAACTATGTTTTAGGTCAAAAAACACTAACTTTTTAGTTGAAAAATAAATATTTTAGGTAATAATTTAAACTTTTAGTCTACAAACAACAATATTTTTAAATTTAGCCTATAAACAACAATATTTTAATATAAAAATCAAAACTTTAGACTATAAAACACTATGTTCCACCTTATTTTAGGTGAAAATTAATACTTAGATTTAAATTCAAGTTTTGCACGGTTTTGGCCTTTAAAGATAACTCGCTGAAGCGGAACAACTGATAACCATAATCCCTGTTTGTTTGATGTTTAATCCTTAACATTGTTCTTTAACTCACCCTCCATGCGCCGCTCACTGATCTTCAACGTCCTCTACAACAAACAAAAATAACTGTTTGATAAGTGTGCAATTGATAAATCACTACTGTTTTTGGGTCGAAATGCGGAATATTTTTCAAAATTAAAATTTAAAAGTGATGATTAATAAAAATGACTTCATGGTTAATAAAAATGATTGGAAATACAGTACAACGAAATAAAAAAAGGTAACTTTGAATACAAATCACTACTATTAGACAGTTCAAATAATTCTGCGCCCTTAAACACGAAAATTTGATTTGAAAGGGAGCACAGAATTAACTTAACAACCTAATAAAAACCAGGAAATAACAAAAGCTTGGCTTTACAAACTTGTTGTCATTAGATATTAGTCACAGCACATTTGTCTGGAAATTAGAAAGTAAAATTATTACGAAACATTAATTTGTACGCGGTAAACTACATTTTCAAAAAAAAACCTTCTAACGTCAAATGTACACGTTCTAATTCCACTTTTTGTAGTAATACTTGTAGTTTTGGCTAAATGGAAACATGTTTTTGGCAAATCTTAAAGATTTTATACGATCAAACCTCAAGGTACTCAAAAAAATTAAGTTTACGCCAAAATACCTAATGTAAGAGATTACAGCAGGCGTTTTGATGTAATTGAAAAAATGGCCGTTAATAGATACTTAAATCACCATAGAGCTAAATAGCCTAGAACCCTTTTATCATACTCAAAATATCCTTGGTTTGCGCCTACCCTAACTTTGTCATGCCAAAAATTTTTCAAAGCAATTTTGTCATGCCCAAATTTTTTCAACACACAAATTTTTTCATGCCCACACCTTCACAATCTATAAATTTTACCATGCCCAAACTTGTTTAATGCATAATTTTTGCCATGCCCTTGTAAACCTTTACTTTCAACATTTTGTTTGTGAGATTAATCTTTGGTCTGCTGTTTGTTGTCCATAAAGTATTCCCACTCTCTTTACGAAAAGATTAAAACATTAACTATCAAAGAAAAACATACCAATAAGTGCATGGAATTTTAAACTAAAGTCAACATTATTAACATTTGAGTGAATATCATTATCAACTTACATGCATATCATTATTAACATAAGTAAATATAATTAAAAACCTCGAAAAACCCCCTCAAGAAACATCAAAAACATAATTTACTATGCAGAGTGACGTTCTGTTGATTGACAACGAGTCAGAGATTAAAAAATTTGGTCAAAACTTTGTTTACACTACAATTTCAAAGCAAATTTCGAAGTTTCCTTTAAAATTTTGTAACAAGAAACACCATAAATGGAATGGCAATTTTTAAAAACAAACCCTCATGATAGGTTACTGTAACATAAACAGTCATATTTCTACAACAATTATACGTATACAAAAACTTGAGTAAAATGCATATTCATGTACCCACTTACTAGATGACCTCTAACCACGCACTCTTTACTTACTACATACATCTATTTACTCAACCCCATCAACAACATTCTCCTTTATATTACTCATCAAACATAACACCAAATGTCCCTAGTCTTCTTGATATTCCTCACAAATGTTGTTTGCTTAACCATTAACCAATGCAGATAAAATAAGTTACCTTAAGCAGTATTGTTTGTCAAGTTTTACTAAATGCATGTTATAGTAGGTTATAGTTCCTTATTAGTCAAAAATGCGTAGAAGCACCCTCCAAATGACAAATCCAATATCAAAATTAAACTTTAAGTACCCCTTTTGACATAATTTTAACATTTCGAAACTACTAGACACACTAGCTTTGGTAATATAGCCAAAATTACTAAGTAACACCTCTCAGTAAGAATAATAAGTGACACAAGTCGTAAAGCCAAGTCTTAAGTAGTGGATTTGATTAAGTTTGGTACAAAATACAATTAACACTTACATTTACTCCTGAAAATTAACTCGATTCCCATTTACAGCGAGTTAATAACAATTCCATTACTTTCTGTCAACAACCTCAAGTGTAATATGCTTTGGAAGTTATTTTAGTACCATGACACCGTTCAAGATTATTCCAGAAAGCAGTACAGTGCACTTACAAAATTGGTTTTAGATGAAAATTTAAATTAGTAAATTCATGCTCAAATTATAAGATTTTTAGCAGATTGTGATGAATAATATTATGTTAATATGATCCAAATCAATAAATGACTAGAATTCAACAAAATTATCACAGAACTTATTCTATAGACACATGTTTATGTTGTGAAAGCCCGTTTCTCCAAATTTTACAAAATTGCAAAAAATAATTTCTTTTTTCGACTTGCGGCAGAACGCCACAGAATAATTTGCGCGACGGGACCATGCAGTCAGTGTCGAGATTTATGAGAGTTGACGGTTCGTCGTAAATTGGCAGCCAACTTTGTGATACATCCACTTCATTTGATCACATTTTTTCAATCAAGATGTCAGGAAAGGCCAAGTTTACCAAGGAAGACGAGCTCCTTCTTCAGGTAAGCTGAAATAACGTTATTGTTATTGACAAACGGTTATTTGGTAGTTTTAATCACTATGTTAGAGTAGTACTGGCTGTTTTTATACATTTTGTATAAAGGTTAACATGCTTAAAGCTTAGCAATGTAAATGTGACCATTCTAGTCGATCTAATGACATAATTTCAGGACTTCTCTTCATCCATCAGCACTAAGAACTCGATTATCTTCTACATTATTTCTTTGTTGGCTTCTTTGGCTCCATTGTACTTGTTCTACGCTATCCACCAGATGGAAATTGCTGACTCCTGGTTTATCTGGGCTGCTGCTTCTATTGGAACTACCTATATTCTTGCTCAAGCCTACAAGAACGTCAAGCACGTTACCAAGCACGAGTAAGTCTTTTATCAATTATTTTTCTATCTTTAGTTTGTGCGGAAAGACTTGATTGTGATACTTTTAAACAGGCATTTTATTAGCTTAGTTTTAAGATTAAAGATTGAATTGTCTATCATTTTATATATTTGTTACCTAAAAATGCAGTATATAAACTAGAGTAAACAAAATTTTGAAATTTGTTATAGTATACTTTATAGTTAACAGAATAATAACGATTGGAATGTTTTAGTGTTGTAAGAAAGCGTGGTGAAGCCATCTCTCGTGATGTCAACAAGCAATTGGCCGACGACAAGAACATGTCCAAGAAGGAGAAGGACGAGAGAGCTTTGTGGAGAAAGAACGAAGTCGCTGACGCCGAAGCCAACCACTTCACCGTGTTCTACAACAATGTCATCTTCTACGTGGCCTTCATCTTCATTTCCTTCTTCTTGCTACAGAATGCCAACCCTGCCTTCAACTGCCTCGGATCCATGTACGGAGCCGCTGGTGTCGCTTATCTGTTCTCTACCTCCAAGTAGATAGTGTCTAAATGATTTGACGTCAATAACATAGTTGTCACACAAACAAAGATAACGCCATTGTTGTTGATGCCGTATCGATTGTTCAGTTTAAATTTTAATTTATAATATTATTTATGAGTCAATAAATGATAACAATATAAAAGATAGAATCATACTATTATTTATAAGAAAAAACAAAAACCCGATATACATTAGAGATTATTCTGTGTCCATAGCTTCTTTTACTTCGTCTTCTTTGTTGCCAAAGATGGCCTTCCTCAGACATTCGCCCATCAGGCCTTGGATAACTTCACAACCCAGCTTCTGGCCATCTTTCGTGGTTTTACTGAGCCTTTCAGTGAACAATGCCGAGTTTTTGTTGCCAACCTACAATAAAGTGTTATATTTCTTACAAAGTCGTGTCAAGAAATTAGATCTGATGTCCTCGACACACAGACAATAAAGTATACCCGACAGTATTACATTACTAGAACACAATACAATTCCTATATTAACTACGTAAGCAAAATAAGAGATTTTAAAGATCTTACCTGTTCCAACTTGGCGGCCAAATCCTGTAATTGAGAAGTCAAATATTCAGAATTCGTCTTCAACGGATTCGACGACAGCGTGTTCGTCCAGTACGTAGTCCACATAGCGTTCAAAATTGCAGTATCGAGTGACGATTTAAAGTAAGACACATTAAGAGAATAGTAGTTTTTACAATGTACACCAAAATCTTCAATTTTACTCAAAGGAATGCTCTGATAGTCTGATGGTCCCTCATCTGGTGGCTTGTATCCTCGTGGGTAAGTACGGAAAGCTCCAATATCAACCTTTCCGGCAGAGATTGTTCGAATCGGGTCAATCTAAAGCAATATAATATGACTCACAAAAAGTAACTTATCGTACTTTTGATAAAGTATGTCTTAACATGAAGCTTAAAAAACTACACAGGAACCCGAAAAATAAATAGAAGACTTACAACAACAGCAACAAACGGCTCCTGATAAGTCTGATTCAAAGTCTGTGTGCTAACATCAATTCCACTCAACCAACAACCATATCCAGGATGACTGTGATACCATCCAACCACCTTCTCCAGCCTTCCAACAGCATCGCACGTCTCGGAGTAGTTGGTCATGTATTCGTATGCTTGAGATTGAGCATTCACACGAGTTTCAGTGCCTTCAACCGGTAAAGCAAAGCTGTCCATAACAATAATAGTGTTAGTTTCGACTCGACCTTGCATCAAACCCATCACTTCAATATTGCCACCACTTTGAGCATGAATAACCATCTTCAAAAGCGCCAAAGCCGACATCTTCACCTCCTACAAAAACATATTAGTGGATAAAGCATACTTTAGATCCCTAACAACTAATATTGCTTATAATCCATCTTTACACTTCTCCTAAAAACAGAAACATAAAGAAACTATTTACCTTAAAGTAGTGAGGATCTCTTTCCCATGGTTTCAGCGCTCTGATTGACTGTTGTTCCTCTCGATTGTACTTGAAAATTGCATCAGACGTCTGGACATTATTCTCCAGCAGCCAACGCTTTTTGTGAATATCAGCCGCAGATTCATCCATCCTCAAATATGCTTCAACTGGTCAGAAAGCTATGATAACTTTCTTTGTTGAAGAAAGTAAAAAACAGTGTTGCATAAAAATTTATTTTGTTTTGTTTGCTGCGCCCTAATAAAGAGCGAACTGCAAGGCACAAGTTATACGAGGAAATATTATAAAAACAAAAACTTGTGCGAAATAAAATGTCGCTGACGATAATATCTTTTTGTAAATAAGTGACTTTTTTAGAAATTTTACATTAACTATGAACGTAAATCATGTTTATTGTTTACTGTGGGAAATAAAGTCAAAACATATTTTCACTATAAATCCAACGAAGAGTTTTCTGTAGCATTCTTCTTGTTTCTTTACTTTGGATCACTAGCATTACTTTCCTTTGGGCTTTCTTTGTCTTTGACAACTTCTTTTTCCTTATCTTTTTCTTTTTCTGATTGTTTTGGCGGATACTCACGTAAAATAGATCTAAAATAATATAAAATTATTGCATTTTTCATAGTCTGCGTGTTAATACGAATGGTAATTATAGATTTTAATAAAATCTTAAAAACTATAACCTACTTGCTCTGATAACCTTGTATATTCAAGTTTTTGTCGACACAGACCATTCCAGCTAAATTGTCAGTTTCGTTACAGTAAAACGGAGCGCTGAATACGGTAATCAGCCTGTCGTTTAATAAAAACTCAACACCATCATTGACACACTGATGTGCTCTGATGACTAGGTCTATATTCAAAGTGTCACAGAACTCGGCTGCAGCATCAGCTCCAAAAGTCTGTAAATGTCATGTATAATATACAGTAACCTATTAATTCATTTTACAATATCTCGAAGCAAGAAATATATCGCAGTCTCAATAACCACAGTATTCAGCATGACATCAGAAAGTAAGACTTTACTTGTGAAATAGACCGTGGTGACTGTTCGTATCCTTTGCCGCAGGCATTGGGGTCTGACCAGATCAGATCACACAACATTCCAGTGTCAGTGATATCACATGGTCTGATAATGTTCTTGAACTGGTTGAAACTGTGCAAATACTCCGAGATACCACCATGACAACAAAAGATACGATTTGCAATGAGAGCAGCGACAGGCATACAGTTGAACACGTGCATCATGTTGGTGTAGGTAGCATTACCGTCTGGAAATATTCTGTTAATGGCCGTGGTTAGAGATTAAAATGGCTAACAGTAATTTATAAAATTACCTCTTCTATATTAAGTCTAAAAATAACGTCTACTCTTACTTTCAGTCCCGTAGCGTGTTCTGCACTCTTCTATAAACCCGTACTGTGTATTCACGGCCCTGGTTTCGTGATTCCCTCTGAGCAAATAAATGTGTTTTGGGTACAGAACCTTGTAAGTCAACAGTAGGCATACGGTCTCAAGACTGTAGGGTCCTCTGTCGACATAATCTCCCAAGAATAGCATTCGCTGCTTTGGTGGTACTCCTGTCTTCTCTAACATTTTCTGAAAGTTTTGGTATCGTTTCAATAGTTATGAGGAATTCAATCAAAAAATATTGACATATAAGCAGAAAAAAACTTTTACTGGCTTAAAAATATTTTTTTTATAAATAATGAATAAAAAAGTTACTATGAAGTCCTGATATTGCCCATGGATATCGCCAAACACACAGATCCCTGGGGCAACTCGGACGAATCCAGGTTCACCCATAAGCCGTTCGCGGGCGCGGTAGGTAAGCTCGGTCACTTCAGTGAGAGTAATATTCGTTTCAGCAATGGTTTTGTCGGGTAATATCTAAAAAAACTAATAAAATCTACTACAATATATTTTTATAAAAATTTTAGATTAAAACTGAAATTTTACATTTCAAAATTGAAAAATTAAAATAAAAAAATTAAATTCAAAACTCACAGGAACCTTCAGAAGTCTGTTGGCAAACGCCTTCAACTGATCCTTGACCATCTTCTCGTAGCTCGGAAGAGCCGCTTCTGATCCAGCATCTTGAGTCTCCATCGTCTCTCTGGTCCTGTCCTTCTTCTTCTTCCGTTTGCTGAAGCCCGAGTGAGCTTCTGAAGCCAACGTCTTCTTCTCGGGATCTGCTTTGTTTGGCATCTTCGACTCTGTACCTTCGATATCTGCGAGTGTTGAGAGATGAGGTACACGAGAACGACCAGCAGCCGATACAAAGTAGTAACAAATGAATTTTTGGGTAAAAATTGGCGGTTTTTATGGCAAAAAAAGGTAACATAAATAAACTTTTTATCATTTTTTTACTTCATGAGACATAGTAAAATTGAAAGTTGTCATTTTCAATTTTATTCCGAGTTTGTGAATAACGGTCGTGCTAGCAGTCTTCCGGAATGGTAAAAAACAAAAAGGACAGAACTACAACTGAAAAAACTGAAGACAATGTAAGTTATTGTATAATTCACAATTTGTTAACTACTTCACACCCATAACTTTTTTAATTAAATTTTTAAAATCTTTATATTGTTGTCTGCTTTAAGGAAAACGATGATATTTCAATCACCGATGACATCAGAGGCGCTGAATATTACCATGGATTAGTCCCAAGGACAGATATCGAGCCATTACTCAAGAAGGAAGGCGACTTTTTGCTACGAAAAACTGAACACAATCCAGGTAGGTTGTCGACTGAGGAAAACACTTGTCACCAGGCAGTTGAAGAAATTTGAAGTTTTTTTTGCCGTTTTAAAAAGCGTTACAATGTTGTAGGAGAGATTGTGTTGGCACTGTCAGTACGTCACGATGGGCATATCCGTCACTTTATGATCAACCAAGACGATGACCACACCTTCTACCTCGAGAACCACAGAGAAAAGACTGTAGCCGAGCTGATCAACTGGCATCGTTCCACCAGAACCCCTCTTTCTAGTTCTACCCCAGCCAAACTCCGTCGACCGGTCGAACGTCCTGCTTGGCTTCTGAATCACGACTCCATCAAACTGTCCAAGAAGCTGGGAGAAGGTGCCTTTGGTGAAGTATACCTAGCGGAATACACAAGTGCTGGCGACAGAATGGAAGTGGCCGTGAAGACGATGAGAGAAGAAGCTACACGTGACGCTAGACTCAAGTTTATGAAGGAAGCTCGTCTGATGCGCAAGTTCCAGCACAAGAATGTAGTTCGGATCATGGGAGTGGCTGTACATGAACATCCTCTCATGTTGATCATGGAGTTGTGCCCAGGAGGGTCAGTGCTGACCTACCTACGCAAAAACCGTGGCAATGTTGATCAGAAGACGAAGCTACGATTCGTGAGTGAAGCAGCAGAAGGACTGTACTTCTTGGAGCGACAAAAGTGCATTCATAGAGATATCGCGGCCAGAAACTGTTTGTTGTCGGCCAAATTGGACCTCAAAGTGGCCGACTTCGGAATGAGTGACGACAGGTGCTACATGCATGATGACAAGCTGGATAAAGTGCCCGTGAAGTGGCTGGCTCCAGAGACGATGCAGAACAAAATCTACTCTAACAAAACTGATGTGTGGTGAGTATTTCGGGTCAAATTTTAATTTTTTTTTAAATTTTAAGTTTGCAACTCATAGCTTACTATAATATAAATAAGGTTTTGCTTTTTAGGTCATTCTCCATTCTGGTGTACGAGATCTACTCTGACGGTGCAGAACCCTACGCCGGGATGACAAACATTCAAACTCGAGCCAAGATTGTGGTCACCGACTATCGTATGGAAATGCCGAAGGATTGTCCGCCGAAGATGGTAGCATTAGTTACATTGTGTTGGAGTAAGGATCCCAACAAACGACCCGACTTTGGAAAAATCACCAAGATGCTCAAAGAGATCAAAGTCTAGATGTCGTTTTTACATCTTACTGCACAGTAAACTTGAAGCTTACTTGTGTCATCGTTAATCTCTTACTTTAAATACCCATACCTAGCAAATAGTGAAATTTAAAAATATCAAAAAGACCAAAATCTTTAGAAACCAACATTATAGAGAAACTCTGTATTTATAATTACTGTTAAATAAAAGGTCTTTAATAAATTACTATAAAGTGAATTCTCAAACAATCAAATAAAATATTATCACATTCTAAGGCAGGCTTGATAGTTACAATCTTACACTTGATTCTGATTGTGAACACCTTCATCTTCGTCATCGGTTACTGGCTCATTGTGTTTTCGTAGCCGCCGACGATAATTGGTCAGTTTAGCGTCTTGCTCGGCCAATAGGAGAAGAGTGTCGTCATGTTCTTTTGTTATGGCATTAAGTTCGTTTTTAGTGCTGATCTAAAATCATCATTACTTTAGTTTTGGAAGAAATATTATTCAAAAACCAGATAAATTAATCAAAATCGTACCAATTCCTTAAATGAAGACGTAGCCAACTGCTTGTTAGCATCTTCCAGAGCACAATTTAGCCGTTGAACTTCTGTTTTTGTTCTTTCCAGCTCTTCGACAACTTGAGAGTAAGTCTTGCTCTGACCTTCAAAACATTCCCATCCGTATTTTAGTTGTTGTTCCATTTGGGCGATTTGTGAAGTTAATTGAGCTACTACAGCATCTTGAGGGTTTGGTAACTGACCTATCTGATATGTTCGCCATTGTTCGGCAAAAGCCTTGTAACGTTCGGCTTCTGATTGCCATTGTCGTGCAATGCTAAAAATACAAGTAACGCTCAGAAACTATCATACCAATATTGTAGCTCTCACCATAATTCCTTATATTTTAATAAAAGCCTTACGTAGTCATTTGTTCAGCTTGATTAGCTAATCCAGCAAACTTTATGCATTCCTCTTCCTTCAGCCTTAATCTCTCCTTCAGATCGTTGTTTTCCCCCTTCAGATTCTGAATCTCGGCAGCTGTAGACTCCTTGTTCTTTGGCTGAAACAGAGAAAATCATTTTAATGTTATCCTACAAGCTGTCAGCAACACAAAACATGAACAAAAGAAACACAAAAGAAAAGAAACCGCACAATGTCCACAAATTCCCATACTTCTTGGTCGACTGGAGTGCCATTCTCTTTTGGACTGGTCTTGAGATGGTCCAACTCTTGTTTCAGACCAGCTATTTGTTCATCTTGTTGTTTGATCAGTTTTTTATAAGAAGCGACAACAGCATCATTGTTGGAAGGAGTTGATTGAAGATCTCCGTTCGGACGGAAAATCTTCATTAATGTACCTAAAAGTAATATATTGTTACAAAAGTCTCCAAAGTAAACAACAATTTTATAAAATTTTTCTATAATTAAACCAATTTAAAAATTACTGAAACCGTAACTACCAGGCCTGTCTTTGAAGGTGAAAATATTAAAAAATGAAAACCTACTTTCATAACTTTTAAATATTTTTACAAATTGATATTCCAATAAGAGTTCATGAGCATTTGCGCCCGCTGGCAATGGTTTTTGAGCTGCCCTGATATAAAACTCAGATTTAGATAAAGAATCAATGCCTTCTGCCACTTGATCAATGCCCGTTCTTCTTTGAATTGTGTCCATCAACTTCTTCCTAAAATAAGGAAATGAGTTAGAACAAAACATAAGCACAGTAATATATAAAGCAGAAATGAATTCTAGAATATATGACCTTTTTATAAAAAAAATAGTTTAAATACTAGAAATTGTTCTTACTTTTTCTCGGCATTGTCGATAGAATCGTAATGATGAACACAAACTCCGAGTACAAATGCCATCAATCCCTTCAACACCTGACTTTCGCCTTCCTTCAGCTCGGTGTTAGTATTGTTTAGATGCGACGTCAAGTATTCCAAATATCTTTCATCTTGAACAAACTCCTCCACCGCTTCACCACAATTCAACAACCACACCCCCAACAACATTAACAATGCACAACGAGTTTGAAGTCTTCTGGCACCCAATGAAACCAAAAGATTGCCAATGTGATTCAGAAGAGAACTTGGCTCTTCTCCTGGCATCGTCGACATCTGAACCCGTAAGAGTTGAGGCTTCAAGTGATCAGCATCGTACAAAGTGTAGATCAGACAAACAGCACCAAACCAGACCTGAACTGACTCTGCACTCATTATGGCAGCACAAAGATAATGCCACAAGTCATGGTCCAAACCCTTTTCTTTGGCTTCTGAATCAGCTGATGGAAGAAGAGTATTGATGATCTAAAAACGGCATTTTAAAAATATAAACTATTAACTAAAAAAGTTTTAAAATAATAAGTAAAGTAAACCTACCCGCTGCTTTCCAGTGTCATTACCGTACAAATAACACAAGAAACAATAGAATACTGAACATCTTAACCGGAACAGTTGTTTTTCTGTAGTCATTGACATCAGCAATACCATCAAAGCAGATCTACAAAAAATTGTCAAATTAGAAATAAAATACCGTACAGTGATAATACGCGTACTCTTTTTTAAATTTTTAGTAAATTTAAATAAATAAAACCCACTTTTCGCCTTCTGGAGTTTGAATCGTGCTTGAGGCAAAGAATTGTTGATTAGCATAATTTCCCCTAATCACATCAGCTACAGTGACAGCAGTTTCACTTAATACATCTACAGTAACCACAAATTCAGACAGTAAAGTCTTTACCAATAGTTGAATCAAACCTAAATTAACATAATTCAAAGTTTAGCCAATATCATAACCTTCAAAACAATTGCATTTCCTACAATGTTAAACATAAAGAACCACGACAACTTCCAAATGACATATGTACAATTTTACAATCTATATTATCATATAGAATGCCACACCGCTCTTACCGGTTTGTAAAATAGCTCTTTGAGCAGCGTGGGTATTGGAATGAGTGTTATCAGTTGGTGATACCAATGTTCGTATCACTTGAAGAATAAAAATAAAGTTAGCAGTCTTTTGAGGTAACCAATCAGCTTCAGGTCCTTCGTCAAACTCTTCTGGAGGATACAGGAACAAATTGGTCAAGTTAAGAAGCTGATTAATCAAACTAAAATAAGCAGATTACTTATTTATAAGTTTTAACTTCATCACAAAGTGTATCAAAATCAGTATGTTGATAAATTTTATTTTTTTACAAAAATGTTACCTAAACTTTTATAAAATTAACTAAAACAAAATTTTGCCAACTTACCTAGCTTCCCTAAACAATTCCTGATTATTGGAGTTCTTCTTCAACAAGTTCAAGATAACAAACAGACAGTCTTCTACTACAATACTATCTGATGGTTCTCTTTCAATAATCGAGAACAAAAGTTGGAAACAGTTCTGGAACACCAACAGTTGTTGAAGTTGAACATTTCCCCTGCTGAGTTCGGACAACATCAAAACTACATGATTTCTGATTACTTCTCTCTTTTCATTCAAGAGTTCAACTACCCTACATGTTCCAGTCGGATCTTTGACAATCGCTTCTTGAACTTCACCAGCTCGATGACGTAGTAATGTGGTTAGAAGTTGAACTGCATTTCTAGAAAAAATAACATGTAATAGCTTGTTATATCATTTAAAAATCCATTTTTGCGTGTTCAATTGTCAATTTCATATCTAAAAATAAAAAAAACATTCAAAAACTTACTTTCTAACGCTAAAATGTTCGTTTTCCAAGCATCTTAGAATTGCTGGCATAAAGACGGGCTTCCGAACAATCAGTTCAGCCAAACGGTCACAAATATCCTCTTCCAGATTATCTTCATCATCACCCAAAACAGCATTTAAAATATCCAACACAGATGCCACAATGTCCAACTCTTCTTCGCTGTCTAATATCTCCATGTACATGTGCATTCCAGCTGTAGCCACCAGAAGTCGTGCATTCTAAAAGTAATTACTTATAATTTACGAAAGTTCATTAGTTTCCCCCGCATTACCTCCTTCTTTACTATATGAATAATATTCCCAAGTCTGATAATTTTGCCTAATACTCACAAAAAGATATAGTCAAGAACTCACTTTAGCGCACGATCTTAAGCCCTTAAGAGCATTCTTCTTGTCCGTTAATGTTGTACATGTTTCCAGACGTTCTACAAACTTTTCGACCAGCTCCGAGTTGTCAGGACTTTGCTCCTCAGCACCGCCAAAGAAGCTTTTCAAGTACGACATCTAAATGACCATCAAAAACACGTATATTTCGCTTTTTTATAAAATTCTCTAAAATTTCCAACACATTATTGCGGAACGCCAAGAAATATTCAAACAACGTTTTCGTGCCGAAAGGTTGCTACAAGTTCCATGAAGCATAATTAAAGTCGCAGAACAAAATTCAACAAACTGATAGATAAATTTTATTGTAAAAAATTATTTTCAATAACTAGGGAATTTATTGATTTTCTATAACTTTAAATCCAACCATGTCAAAACAGAATAACTTTAATCGAAAGAACTCAAAAACTATTATCATAATTTAATAATAACAAATTAGGTTTATAAAGAAGTTCATGATTGTTTGGTTTAACGTGAGCGACTTCGTCGTCCCAACGGAACTCTGTTCGGGTTTCCACCTCCTCCACCGCCCCGATGCGGTGGGCTTCTGCGTCTTGGTGGAGAACGTCGGCGATCGTAGCCACCAGAAGGTCTGTCACCACCTCTCGGCCGGTCTCTAACTACCATAAGTTCACACTTGACTGTCTGACCATCGATTTGCCCGCCATCCAAGTGTTTGGCCGCTTTTTCAGCATCTTCTGCTTTTTCGAATTCAATGTAAGCGTTACCTCGAGATAAATGAGGAAACACTGAGTCTGATGGAAGATCTACTCTTTTAAGAGGTCCATAAGTTCCAAAGATCTCGCTTAAGTGGTCCTTGTTCACATTTCTGGTCAAATTTTTGATGTTTACCCTAAAAAAGAAGATAAACATATTTTTAAGCGCTTCTGATGAATTTGTATAATATACACATAAATAAAGCAAAAAATAATCCTAAAATACCAAAAGCAAACAGATTTACTCACTTGCTTGGTGGAGGAGTTTTGGAGCGTCTAGTTTCCCTTCTTGGACTTCTTTTTGGAGATCTTCTTGGAGAAGGTGATCTTCTTGAAACAACAGCTCTGTCACCTCTGGCTGAACCTCCTGGACGTCTAGGGGATCTGCTTCTTGATCTTCTACGAGACCTGTCGCCTCCAGTTGGCTTTGTGCGCTTTGGTGTCGGAGAACGTGAGGAGGAAGAAGAACTGGACGAGCTGCTAGATGAACTGCTTGAAGCAGATGAAGAAGAGGACGAAGAGCTTGATGAAGCTCTTCTCCTTCTTGGCGATCGTTCGACCATTTTACCAATAATATAGACTGCGTTATGCTAATAAATACGTTAAAAAGAGCGCGCGTTAAAAATTTCAGAATATTTTTGCTGCTAAAACGTTATGCCAAATCTGGGTTGCTTTCGCGTTGAAACTCAAACGTTTTATAGATGTATGACAATTTTTTGTTCGCGCATATTAAAAAATCGTGTCTTTCCGGTTGGTAACTGTAAGATCGTAAAACGGCGCTTATGACAAACGATGTCTTGCTTCGATAATTAGAAATTTAATCTGGCGCCTTCGCAGTTCATTTCTCACGTTCTGGTAAGTAGGTTACGCGTTTCTTAATGGAATACTGTATTTCGTTAGGAAATACATCGATTTTTTAAATATGGAAATTGAAAATTGTATTTGACAAATATGTCATAATTTATTCAAAATCGAATTGAATATTATAGTAGGTACTAACTTGATCAAAAGCTTCTTGAAGCATTGTTATTGCGACGTGAGATGTCACATCTGGCAAATACGCGTGCTCTTTTTGACCATAGTAGTTCAGAGATGCAGTTTAAAATCATTTTGTACTGTTGGGTTCGACTTGGTGGATCTTGCGCATGTGTTTCTTGAGGTCGAAGTTCCTGCAGAATCCTTTCGAACATAGAGAACATTGATATGGCTTGGTCTGGTTGTGAATGTGCATATGGAAGGAAAGATTGTACGAGTGGTGGAATGCCTTCTGACATACCTCACATTTGAATCGTTTCTCATTGGAATGTGTCAGTTTGTGATTCTTGTAGTTACCATTCTGGTGGAATCCTTTGCCACAGAATTCACAAACGTAGGGTTTGAAACCTGGAAATTGAAATTTATTTATTTGAATTGTAAAATATGGTTTTTAATTTTATGGCTAAGAAACTGCCAAATACTGTAGTATATCTTATTCGTTTACTTTTAAATCCTCAAAACTGTCGCACTTTGTGCCCTTTCCCCTTATTACGTCTAAAGTATTACATTCATAGAACCATAAATCGCCTCCGGCTGCGACAGGCCCCTAGTGGACCAGCTCATGGATCTTTGAGTTTGTCACACACAAAAATATAACTTTAAGACAGCTTAATCCCCATCCTTCCGGTTTAAATTGGGCTTTAAAGTGGCAAATAACAAGAGTATTTACCTGAATGAATGCGGATGTGTGTGTTGAGAGTTGAGGACCGATTGAAACACTTTCCACAGATGTTACACTGAAACCAGATTAGCGTTAATGACATTATGTTGTTGGATGATGATAAGGGGATGTTTATTATAAGAATATAGTGTGATTTTAAAAAGATAACACAGTGATTTTAAGAAAATATGGACGAAAACGTATTTCTGGAATTATTTAAAATTGAAGTTGTGGCTAGATGGAAGTTGAGAAATTAAATTGTAATCTTTAGAGTCAACAAGTCCTATATTAACATACCTGGTGAGGTTTTTCTTCAGTGTGAATGATCTTATGCCGGCACAAAGTTGAGGCTTGGCGAAAGGCTTTACCGCATACCTACAAATTGATTTTTTAGGTAATAAAAACTTTTAAAAAACCAAGTTTTAAAATTTAAAAGGTTTCGAGGTTTGAAACTTGAGAAAATCGAGCTAAAACTAAAAAACTCGTGCAAAAAAACATAAATAAAAAATATAATAATAAAACAATAAAAAGATATACAACACTACGCTTATTGTATAATCTTCTAGAATTACCAAACCTACCTTACAAACGAAGGGTCTTGCCCCAGTATGAACAGGTAGATGCCGTGTCAGATTGTAATGAGCTGTGAAAGTCTTTCCACATTCTTTACACACGAATAACCTTTGTTTGTCTTTGGAGTCTTCTGATGAACACGAAGTTTCTGTAGATTCTGTAGACTGTCGTTGTAGTAGGTTGGCTGACTTAGCAGCTAAACATAGTGCCCATAGTTGTAGAAGGTTTTGCTGAGGTGATGGCTCTTTTGGCTGTTGAATCAAGGATTCTACCGAGAACTGATGCAGTGAGGTCATGTCGCGGTTGTACTACGTGGTATAATTGTAAAGCAGTTGTGTTTTAGCACTAGGAGAGATGTTGATAATAATAATAAGTTGATAGTACTATATAAAATAGTTAATAGGGCTATCTCTTTTTGACAGAACGATAGACTAGCAGCAGGGAAGTCGATGTTAAAGTAGAAGCCTGGAATAACCTTGATTCATTAGTGGTAGTATATAATAGAAGAACAATGATTGGCTCTATCAGCAATCACAATGTATAATAGTAACCTAGGCTTCTGAATAACCTAAAGCATAACAACCGTCAATCTGATGACACTAGTAACTCTAATCAAACCAGATTTGAAATTATCTTATAATTGCTTTGAAATAACTGATTAAGCTTAAAAGTGCCAAAATAGGATCACAGTAGGCACGCCGAATACCACCTGAAGTTGGTTGAAAGTCGTTTGTCAAAAACCAAATATAACCGACTTGTCGAAGCAGGACGGTTTGTGGGCGGGATTGTGTCAATTGGCTCTGCTGGCAGCCATCTCGCAAGGAAGACCTTTTCACCGTAATCCGCCTGGGGGGAGGAAGAAGGAACCTTCCCAAAAGACGGCCCTAATCCCCCTCTTCCATTTCTGTGTTTAGATCGTTGGCCGTGTGTTGATCGCCGCTTCAGAAGATGTGCATCTGACTGTCTTTCCAAGTTTTCCGCTTCTAAACAGGCCCTTAAGCCCTGCAGCTGGAAGAGTTTTGAATTCCGAAATCAGATTAACTGAAATGCCGGCGATCGTTATTATCCGCGCGACCTCACGCACACTACTCGAGGAGGTCCACGAAGAAGGGCTTAACCACTTGGATACCTCAAGATGATTGAGCTTGGCGTTTGATAGTTTTGTAGAGAACAGTTGTCGTGTGTAAGGTATATATGCGGATTGAGCTTCTAATGTGAAGGGTTACACATATCGCCCGAATTTCGATGCCTAAGTCTTATATAACATTTAAATTGGCAGATGTAAGTTTTTTTCCAATTCAGTATGTCTGCTTCGGATCTTTTCAAAATGTGTAACAATGTTTACTGTAAAATTACAGTAACTTTTATGTTTGATTTTTACCATTTTGGAATGAATGTCTAGAATCATCTACGTCAAATTAGCCAAACTTGTCATTATTCCTTTATTTTCTTAAAATCAAACCAACAATTCCAATAACAACAATGCTCACTCGTGTTTCAGGAAAATGACATTTTATCTTTTTTTGTCGATATAAAATAAATTTGGATTATGAGAGACTACAGTAATGTAAATGAATATAGGCTCTGAAGAGCGAAGAGAAACAAAACTTATATTACTTTCACTTTGTGTTCCACCCATGATTATTGAAGCATTTTCCCTGGGGTACTGTCTAGCACGTGGTTAAGAGAAGTGGTACCCGCTTTGTTTAAGTCGTAAAAATGATAAGGTAAACGGCGCTTAAGTGCCAAAAGGGGCCCAGCCTGCGCGGCGGGGTCAAGTGTGTGTGTAAATGAGGCAGGACGTAAAAATAAAATAAAACTGTAATTACCCGTCGAGAAAGGTTAATTGATGACAAGAACAAGTTAGACGACAAATGTGTGTAATACTTTAGTTGGTGCTAGTGGTACTGTTTTGGGGCTTTTGGTAATTTTGGCTAAAAAAGTACTGAAAATTTTAATTTTTAAATCTAAAAATCATGTTTTCAGATCAAAAATCTTGCGATACTAAATGTACCCATAAATACCCCTGCTTTACCGTACCACTAGCACAACTTGAAAAATAGGCGCTCATATGTATATGAATGGCAAAGTAGCTTTTTGGTTGTTTTAATCACTAAAACGCGCATTTTTTTGTTTTTTTTCGATTTTTCTTTGTTGAATAAGGCGAATATTTGGTTTTCTTGATTTCCGAATATAGATAATATGTGAGAAATGTAAAATTGCTTCTGTCCTACAACTAGAATTAAATGTGTGCGAGTTAAGGCATTATGACCAATATACGAGGAGTATGAGACACAAGGAACACGGCCGAATACCAAAGTAAAGTGAATTTACATCGAAAGACAACAGCTAAACTAGTCAATAGTAAGATAAAATATTGTCACAAGTTCAGAGTAAAAGAGTTAATTGCTTGAAAAGTACTGTAGCTTTTGAATCTACGGTAATTTGGAAATACAATTTCAAAAGAAGTTAAGAAACACTACTGTAGCCTTTAGTCATGGTGACCTCAGTGTTACGGTATATTAGATTAACCAAAATACGAAAGAAAATAATACAATTTGAGTAAAAAAGACAAAATTATTGTCAAAATTGACTAAAATTAGACAAAATCGACCAAAATAAGTCAAAATCGATCAAATTAGGCAAAATCGACCGCAAATAATACGGAAATCGACCGAAAAGTTATTATTATTAATTAGATGCTTGGTTAAAGAGTTTTGGCGTATGTTAAGAGAGCTTCTAAAGTCGAGAGATTTACATTTTTCCTAGATTGGATGAGTGTTTGCACTCGAAATGTTTTAGACTACAGTCAGAGAAGTGACGAGATCAGTTTAACGTTGAATTAGAGGCGATTAGCTGCACTGTTTCTGAATTTTGGGGTTGGCGGAATGACACAATCAGAAGAGTATCGTATGAGGCTTCAGATGTCACGAGTGTGAATGGTAAACCGTCTTTTGTGATTTTTATTAGGTAACAAAGGCTTTTGAAGTGCTACAACCTTTACATGAAAGTCATGCGAATAGTACCATTCGAGTACTATAACGTTTAACTTATAGCACGAAATTAGTACCACCACACCCCAACCTTTTCCCAAAAACAAACGCGACACCCTAATGCCACTTACAATACGATAAAGAGTAATTTAGTTAGAGATCGAAAGACTTGTTGTTTTATCATTAAAGAGTATTGACCCAGAGAATGAAGGAAATGATACAAGAACAAACAAAAGCACAATCGGACTTGAAGGATATCAACTTATAATACGGTGTAAAGGGCACAGGCTTAATATAAGTACCAGGAGTAACAGTTGGACGACCCGTTAATCGAATCCGAAAAATATAAAACCAAGAGAATGTCGATGTTATGTTTGAGCAACAGTCAAAAACATTAGAAAATCGATACTATTATCCTTTAAAGAAACATAACTGGGATGAATGTGAGTGGACGTAGAGTGTTAGCTAACTGAGAGATAAGCAAGTTGATATGATATGTTAACTTGAACACATTTGGTCAAGCGATTACATAGAGTAACTAAAGAAAACCGCTATAAACGTATCTTAAAAGGAACGTTACAATGTTAGCTATCGAGTTTGATCGCTTGATCAAACAATTACAAAAGTACTATGTTGCAATCTAATAACTATGGTGCAGATGCTGTACATGTGAGTATATCAGAGATTTTGATAATATGCATGCAAGTTGTGTATCATGATACACATAAACCTTAAAGGTGAAACAAATGGTATACAAATTAGTAAGTATACCACAAACCTATGTACATGCCTACAATTGAAGTGAGGTCAGCTTCAATTCCAGTCCTTTCGATGAGAATGGCTCGTAGAATCCTTGGTTAGAGTTCTGTTGGCTCTTTTTGTTGTTGGGTCCACTTGGCGGAGGGAACGTGATCAACTGTGGGAATCCGAAGCATGGGTTCTGGTTGTTATTGTTGTTTCCCTTTGGCTGGCCCCAGATCGAAGCAGTCGAGGCTACAGCGTTGCTGAGTGAAGTCACCGATGAAATAGGTTCTGGACTGGAGGTCATGGCAGCCAGCATATGAGCCACCATTGGGTCCACCATGTCGCCCATAGAACCAAGACCGCTCTCGTTCGAGGAACTGGTCGATCCACTGCTGTTTGGTGGAGCAATGACTCCAGATTGACCATTCGAACTTTGACGAGAAGCCGGGTTGGACTTCAAAGGAGACTGAGTTTTGCCGTTCTTGAAGCTGTCTTGCCGCTTACTGGCTTGGCAGTTACAGCGACATCTGCATGCTGGATCAACTCCGATTGGCTTCTTAAAAAGAATGTATTAGATACGCAAATTTGATTCGTTTTTAATGTAAAAAATAGCAAAATTTGAATGTAACCTAAATATTAAGCTTTTAAAAAGGTAATTTAAAATCAACATTACTATATGAAAAAATAAAAATTGTAAAAGATGACTTACAGGCTCATAAATCTCATCAGTTTGAGTTTCCGAGTTCATGATCATAGGCTTAATGGTACCCAAAAGACTGGAGATTGGTGGAGAACAGCTAACACGTAGATCAGCACCGTGTCTCAACATGTCATACTGTCCTTGACCCATGCTTCCAACAGAGTTGTGTCGTGTCATTGGACCTCCAATCACTCCTGGGCCTGGAAGATTCTTAGGAATCGGAGTGTTACCGTATCCCATGTCTACAGAGCCCCCGAAAGCAGGCGATGGTCCAACTGGGTTACTGTTGTTTTCTGTGTTGGTCCATGGGTTCCTCGGAGTATTAACTGACTGGTCTTCCGAGTGGAACATTCCACCGTACGACATTTGGTTGTTGCTGTTGAATTGAGTGATGGCCAGTTGATCAGCAGCGGCCGCAGCATTCTGATCGAACCCGCCAAAGTTGGGGATGGTGCCAGGAGTATAGGTAACAGCTTGGCCTCGTGGAGGGAAGACGCATGTAGGGAAGTTGCGGTTGATGAACAAAGGATAGTCGAAGTAGGGGAGGTTGCGGCGGACAGCAACGTAGAATTGGGATGGGAAAGGAGCGAAGGCAAACTGATGTTGGGACAGGAACTCCATGAACTTGAAGCGGTCTGGAAAACATAATTTTAAATTTTTATCATCATGCCTAAATCATAAGCTTTTTACTAAAACTTCAAAAAAGACCCTGTAACATCATTATTCATTATTAATTACAGAAAAGAGTATTTTTTTCTGCACACTTAATCCCTTTCCCAACAATACACAATTTTAATTATCTATTTTTGCATTTGTTTATCAAACATCACAATTCCAGATTCACAAAACCAACTATCCAAAAACAATAACCTACAATAACTAAAAACAACTTACTGTTCTGAACACTGTCCTTAACTGCTTGCGGAATGTGGGTTGAAGAGTTGAAGAAGTTGAACAAAGAATCAGAAGATGTCGCTCCACCGTGTCTGAGCAAGAATCCGGCCAACAAGAGTACTGTAGTGTAGATTTCGGCCGGTTGGAGGAAGACAACATCGCTTTCTGTGATGTGGAAGATGTAAGACCTTCTCTCGATGAACTGACGTCGTTTCAAGGATGACGATCCAATGTAGCGGTACAAGTCGTCTCGACCAGAGTTGGAGATACGACTGTGTAGCGACGACAAGGAAATGTTGTGTAGACCGTTCTTCTGGAAGATGGACAGCAAGAAAGAGAGTGCGTGGACTTCAAAGTCATGAGAGTAAGGATCTTTGGTTGGAGCACGGCTGTCTGAACGGCTTTCGAAGTCTTCTAGGTTTAGTTCTGGCGAGTCCGGAGAATCCTGAAGATACTTCTGTTAACATTTTATGTGTAAAACATCAAATATGTGACCAATCATAATATACTTTTAACAAAACATCGATTTAACTGATCTTAATCAGAAAGAACTTACTGGTTCATTGCATGGAGAAACGTAGTTGCCAATCCATTCTCTGCCTTCGTCGGCGACAGCTTGAAACGCTAATCTGAAGCCTGGTCTGAGCACCGTGGTCAAGTCAGTAACCCCCTAAACTAATATAAGTCATCACAATATTAACTTACATGATCACAAAAGTCTTTCAGCTGGAAGGATACCGTAGCGTTCATCTGGTGACATGTGATTAGACCAGCCTTTGGGCTGAGCCAAGAAAGTTGTCCCACGCCTCTGACCAGCTTGTTTGACACCTGAAAGCCCAGTCCTGGCATCAGCGGCTGGATCTGTGGACTGTTGAATTGTTGGGGGTTCATTTGCATCGGAAGGTGCGGATCCATGTTTTCGATTGATTCTGTAACCCAGTCGTTATCGTTGTCTCAGATTAAACGTCTCTCTTTTTCTCTGCGGTTTCTGTCGACTGTAAAGATTAATATTTTTACTAATATATATGTATACATAAAAACTAGTATAAAACACGGAGGTTATACTATAATTGCATACTTATTCAAAAAACAAGCATCATATAATAAGTGTTAAGTATAATACCTATTTATGACAAAGCTTTAGCGTTGTCAGTAAGTAAATAGACAAAAAGTTAAAAACAACAAACTTTTGAAATACTAGACCATGTTTACCATATATGACAATGAACAAAGTAACAATACCTTAACGACATTAATATAAACAATATCATGAATTAATGTAACAGGGCATTAACTATTAAATAATCACGAAACAAAAAGGTTAAACCAATAAAAGACGCCGCAAAACATTCCAGAGTTATAAAAACACTCAAGATTAAAAAACATTCTACGTTATCAAACAGTCCTTCAGTTTAACCAAACACTACTCATGGATAATATGCTGTGAAACGAGAAAAACGATGTATAATATTCCATAAAACACGAAAAAAACGATTGATCTCCAAAAATTAAGTAAAAAAGATGAAAATGAAGCCTCAGAACAGGGCCGCAGGTTGAAGTGTAAAAACGAAAATCACAAAAAGCAAAGAGACTTGCAAAAACGGGGGTTCAGGCCGCACTCTCTGCCCGCTCTCCTTACCCATCTGACCTCGGTGCGTCTCTTCCCTACTACAAGGTTTGAGCTCCGGCTAAGTGCGCGTATGGCAAGCAAACCACAAGAGATGTGTGCCTATGTTTAAATATAGAAAAGCGCTGTTTTTCTGCCCTTTGCCTTATGTTTCGTGTCTCTGTATAGCGAAAAGTGTACTCTACGTTTCCATCTCTTTTCGTTTGCTTTTCAAAGTCTCTTTCAAAGTTTCGTAAGTCTCTCAATTTGTGTTTCCATAACTAATCTTCCTGTATTTCTCTAACCACTTTTGTTCTCTAACTACAATCATTACTCTTCTCAACCTATCTAACAGCTCTGTACTTTCCTTCACAATCGCCCATCTCTCGCCCGCCTCTAATCTACAATCTCCGTTGGCTTTCTACTCTCTAATGCGATGTACGTCTTTTTAAACAAAACTATTCGAAAAACAATCACAATCAAGAGAACAGTGCGCAGTGCAAGTTTTTTGGGAGAAAATGGTGTATAATGATAATATAAAGGATAAAACAATAACATAAATCTAAGCGGTCTGTCCCAAAATGTAGCATCTTTTGTCTTCAAACTATCATATCAACCTTCAAATTCAAGATCCCTCCATTAAATAAGATCTCGTTAGCAACCTCTTCAATCTACATAAGATTTCCTATGATTTGATCTCTGACGTCTCCCAATCCCCCATACACTCTCAAAATTGGTCTTCTCCATTCCCATGATATTTTTATTGTCTAGTCTTTGTACTTTCTACTAAACTGCGCAAAACGATTCGATAGATACCCTTTTAGTTTTTATATCAACAACTTTTGGGGCTTCGAAACGGCAAAAGAGGAAACGGTCCATCGCACTTTTCATACCCCAAATTCAGACAAAAACATTCGCATAACATTAGGAAGATAGTGAAGAGTTCACGCGGGCCAACAAGACATGCTGCAAAACACGACAAAAGTAATGACAAAAAGACGACTAAAGTGCGTAAGAATTGGCATTGTTATAGAAGAAAGTTATGTTTAAAGAGTTATAACATAAAATAAAATTACAGTATCTATCAACATAATAACCTTAATGAAAAATCAAAAGTCTAATTTATAAAATAATCAAAATCAAAGTTATTTTAACTATAGTAGAAGATAACTTGACAAACCTTGTCTTTACATATGTTATTCAGTTTGGCTGTTTTTAAAAAACGGTGTTATAACATGTAATAAAGCCATATAATTGATTAAATTATCTGTGTCAACGTTACCATGACCGTAAACAAGTCCAAAACAAAATACATATTTAAAAATCCCCTCCACTTACATTCCCACATAAATAAACCGAAAACAAGACAACATAACATTTGATGGTAACAAAACATAACTCTAGGTATGAACGTATGAAAGAACTTTTAATAAAGACTGTAAAACACCGTTAGTATTAGAAATTTTTTTGACGGTATTAAATCAATATACAAAGTCTTTTAAAAAGTACATTAAATTGACTTATAAAAGGTTCAGCTTGTCTTTAATAACTACCATAAAATTTATATCTAAACCTCGCTCTCCGTCCTCATTTTCTAAAAACGTTTTGACTTCTTCGTAAAAATAACTAAAATACATCCAATACTAACGCCTAACATATCGTCTCAAAAACACAACTTTTTGGATATTCAAAAACAGTCCGCATATGAACAAGCGATTAACCATGATTAATATTGGACCTGAGAGGGAGCGGCGTTACAGAGGCGGTAAACAACTAGAGACGAAATTATACTTAATCTCCTTCCACGTACTGCCAAATGTACTCGATCGAGTAATTGTAATCTCCTTCTTCAGTGTTTTCGAATGTAACAAAAAGGATTAGAACTGCTTAATGCGATGGCTTTAATTAAGATTCTACAAAATTCCGTACAAACAAGTACGCTTTCAGATGGTATTAAAGGACATTGACAAAAAATGTCAAAAATACATATTTTTAAAAGTAATCGATTCTATAGTTTGAATAAAATATAAAAAAGTAAAAAACGCAAGTTAAAAAGAACAACAGAGAAATATTCATATAATCTAACTAACCCCAACGTTGTTTAATCAAACCCTGCATCATATATGCCCACATATAGCATCAAACCTTATCAAAAACGTACAACAGACACTTCCAAACATCCGAAAACATATACCATCAAATTAAAGCCCGGATCTTCAAGAAAAATCCATCAGAAACCTTACAAATTAAGATTTCAAAAATTTGTTACCTAAAAACAATGTAAATAAACAAAACATAAATTTAAAATTGCAAAACAAGGCATTGTTTCGAAAAAGACCTCTCTAATAACACAAGTTTTCCAAAGCCAAAGGTGATAAAAATTTTTTTGGTTTAAAACGGAACGCCAAGAAAATTCACTAAACGTTTTCGTCGCGGGACTGCGCAAACTGATACCGTATACAGCTGATAAAAAATGGTGCTCGAAAGGATAACAGTGGGCAATTTTTTATGAATCTTTTTTTTTAATTTTTGAAATATAGATAAATGTGTTAATTTTTTGAATATTTTAATTTTTATGATAAATTTTATTTTTTTAACTTTAAAAAACGACATCTTTAATTACTATCTTTAATTATTTATCTTTTCTTTTTCATTTTACGAACTTTAAAAATGTATGTCAGCTAAAAACGTCTTAATTTCATTTCTCTGCAAAATTTAATAATTTGATATATGGATAACATGTAGGACAAAGTTTAATTCATTAGTTAATTAAAACTTGGTTTAACGGGTTTTAAATTGGTATTGCGTGATTGTGAGCGTTGTCATAGTATCCGCATTTTGTATCCAAACTTGCAATTAAACTACTTTTTGTAAGTTTAAATTACTATTTATGCTTTCGAATGTCACATAGCATACATATTACGGTACACACAGCGTGGTGTACGGTTGGCTAGGTATACTGTAATATGTAAATTGATGTGGGTTCTTGACTAACTTTTACAGGTGAAATTATAAATGTTTGCAAAGAAATGAATGAAAAAAACGAGGCTATTATAGTTTAGGGTAACATTTCAAGACAGTCTGAGTAATTGCTCGTACTTAGTTATTTTTAGCGATAGATGTCGAAAAATTCTCAGAAAAGGTTTTATTAAAAAGGTCATTATTAGCAGTATAGTTAAGGTTTTTAAGAAGCTGCGCATTTTTTCAACTCGAAAAATGTTCAATGTTCTACAATTAAAACTATGAAACGTTAAACTTACAGTACGTGTTCAATACTCACTGATCTCAATAATGTTAACCGCTGAAAAATAGTACATATCATAAAAAAGAAAGAAACTTTTATACATTTGCTAAGATATGACAAGTTCCCTGCTATATTAACATACAAGTGCTTTTCCAAGAGATACTTCAAGTTAAGATTACTTATCACTAGATCTCTTAACGACCTTTACCTCGAGTTTTTATTCGAATTGATGGTGTCCTATAGCGATTACTTGATGAGACAAGTAAATCGCATGTTAAGAGTGTGATTGTGTAAGATGTCACAAGATTGTGCCATTTCATTGTTAAGGTTTTAAACAAGCATGCATTTTTCTATTTTTGTTTGAGCTTTTACTGGAGTTTCTTTTTTGGAGTGTGTTAATCATTGGCATGTTATGTTAAGTGGAGAGTTTGGATGTTTTTTGGATTATCTTTGGTGGTTTTTATTACAGATTTTTTTTGGAGAGGTCAAAAAAATTTGAAAAGATTTAGATTTTTTATTTTAAAATATTTTTTATTTTACTTTTTTTTAAATTGTGACATCTTTTCAAATTCATGGTATTTTCTGTCTTATCACAATATCTTTATGTATCTTTTTTTAAATGCTGCTTTGTCTGAATTCCCAACTTTGTTGTCGAATTCCGGTGATTTTGTTAGTAGTTTTGCTGATAAGCACTGCGATTTCCCTCCCCGTTATCAGATCTAAGACATGGCACCGGAGTCGAAAAAAGAAATCAAATCAGGGTGAGAAGGTACGTGGCTTTACCTCAGTAGAGCGATGGAGTGATATTATTCTAGATAAAGGCCGTGATTAATTTAATGTCGAACTTTTTACCTATTCAAGTCGTTCTTTATATTTGAGATAAGGTTTTTGCATTGTTTTTGGTGATGATGACAAAAGAGGCAAAATTTTTTGAAAATACTTAGTCTTTGTAGGTATACAAGGTCTCAATTTGTATTACTTGGTTTAAAAAGCCACTTTTTTAAATTTTGGCAAATTTGGCGTTCTGTTGCAAGTTCTTTTCAAGTTTTGTAGAACGTTAGCTTCAGAAACTTTTATATTTTCAAATTCAAAAATAACGAACGCCGACCAATTCTGGCCTTAATCTGTTGACTGTACCTTAAGAACCTGATGTGCCTGCAATTATTTCGGGATTGATGGAACATCTGGCTGTAATTGATGTCTATCATTTGGTCTGGTAATTGGGCGCGTTTGTGGATGTGATTAGACGGACGACCTTCTTTTCTCAGCGTTACCTGACAATTCTTTTCAAGGCCATTTTCCTCCTTCATCAATTGCGGTGGTGGCCTTCTTATAAACAACTTTCCTCCGCTCCTTTTTATGAATCCGCCCTATTGTGATGATCTTCGGGATCCGAGAAAATGGACTTGACTCTCGCGGGTCAGCAAATATTGCACTAATCAATTCGGTGTTTACATTTACCGTACAAGGTGCGCGATCGCGGGATTGAAATCACGGTCATGTCCATTGAAATCAGTTTTTGTGTGTTTTGAGATTAATATGGGATGGTGTAGTAGGTGGAGGTAAAATTTTGAAATTGGTAGTTTGGCTTCTAATAGGTCGTTGTGAAATCATGAGGTTTATGTTGTATTTTGTAGTAGGCTAATGCAGAAATTGGAGAGTAGTATGCTATATAGTAGTAGGTTTAGGTAACTTATTAAAACTATGCTATTTAGTTGCAATTTTGTTTAGTATTTTGTCTTATAGGACTAGTATATTAAAATTTAATTGAGATTTTAAGTATTTTAAAGTGTGTATTTTTAAAATGAGGCCTTAACCAATAGCCTAGCAACCTCTGGATGTCTGTTTCATTACTTTTCGTTTAAAGACGGCCTTTTCATAGCGTTCTTGATCAGTCTTGTCAGCATAAATTGGAGGGAACTGAGTAATCCTTGCCAGACCGAAACCATTTGATAAGGGGCTAAGAATAAAGGGCGCATCTGGTGTCCTGAAGATGGCGAAGAAAGACGGAGAAAAGGAGGAGTGATAGGCTTAAATGAGCAAGTGTGGCAGGCCTTTTTCCCTTTTCAAATTTTTCTTGCGCAATTTCGGTTTCTCGCGGTTTTTTGAAACCGTGGATACAGAACATGTTGTTATAGAGTGCAAGGACGTTCTGTATAAGATGTCTCTTACTTTACGGCCATTGACTCTTTTGGCAATCAAGCTATTTATTGCAAGGAACATTGGCTTACTTTTACTGGCAAAACTATCATTTTGGCTTTTTTATGACATTTTTTCATGATTCAAAAGTAGAACTCCGTGCCACTGTTCTATCAGCTGCTTCTTGTCTACCGTCCCACCCGCTCCAACCTCCCAAAATTCGCTGCCACCGCCCGAAACCGTGGCAGCCGGCTGTTTTCGAGGCAACCGGGATTAGCGACGACATAACCGCGCGCGGCTTTTTAATATCAGCAAAGTTTGCAGTGTTTTGGTTCATCCCTTTCCACCTCGTTCCCATCAGCCGGTGTCCCCGGCTGCCGCGCGCGGCCCCTGTTGACTCAGCTGCCTCGCAGTCCGTGATTAAAAACCGTCTCTATCAATTCGACCCTCTTTTATTCGGTTTTACTCATGTCAATCACAGATTTCGGGTATTTTTATGGCGTTTCCCGACCGGCTTACCTCGCTGTTGATTAGTTGTCGTTTCGAGTGGCTATCGGTGTTTTGTATCAGCGACAACTGGTTATCAGTCCTTTTTCGGTAGCGTGATGGGAAGCATGGACGGAGGAGCGGGCGCGAGGCAAGCAGTAGGTAATTGTGATGAAATCGTGTTGTTCGGAGTAGGAAAAGGGCAAAAAATTAGAAAAGTTTTGGTAAAATTTTATTTTGCTTATTTTTTGAATAGGCATGGCAAAAAGACAGTATTAAAAAATCTTTGGCTTTTTCGAATTTTTAAAAATTTTAATTATTTTTCAAAAATCAAAGAAATTCGTCTTTCAAAATTACAAATTACGGTTGACCCTTATCTACCGTATCGTTGATATTCCGATTTTTAATTTGCGGATGAAGGTTGTTTCCCATCGGAGCACCTCCATTGGGAGTGACCAAAGTGATTATTTCCGAAACGCGCAATTGTCGAACCATTGTTGTTAAGGTGGGGTAATGGAGGGGGTGGGATCTCGGGATTGGCACTCTATCTGCCTCTTATTATCCACTCTCTGGATGTTTGGTGTCTCGCGCTGATCAGGTGCGCATTGTTCGTTGACCTAAGTCGGGAATGGCCTGCGCGTACTCGAGATTGCTCCCGTCGTTTTTATTACCATACTTGGTTCCCCTTCCCCATTGTTTGTCCTGTCGTGGAAAAACGGATCGAAAGATCCATTCGTGATTTGACTCAAGTTGCTGCTGGTGGTGACCTTGTTCGTCTTCTTCAGGATCTGTCTTCGTAGCCTATCGTCTTCTTGGAAGCCTATCATCTACTGTAGAATCTATCACTTTCTGTGTTGTCTTCTTTGTAGTCTAATTCCTTCTCGAGAATCTAGCCTATCTGTTCTTCTCTTTAGCCTATCTGTAACTTCCTTAGAGTTCACGTTCCTCTTCGAAACTTCTGAACCCTCAGTCTTCTCGAAATTTTTTTCTCAGTCTTCTCGAAATTATAAACCCTCAGTCTTCTCGAAATCTTCTTCAGAGCTCATTGTCTTATTAAGGTGTCCTTCCGGAACAATGACATTCTTTTCGTTTGTTTTGTATCAATGCCAATTACCAGGTGGAAGGGATATAGAGACAATGACGGGGGTAGAACATTGTGGTAATCATTATTATTGCGGTCACGGTTTAAGGATTCCGAGTGTGTGTTTTTGCGTTTTGTAAAGTTGACGATGAGAATTGAGGTGGAGGGTTCGATTCTGTTCTATTTATTTTTGGAAGATGAGTTAGCTCATGATCTTTGATTATGTTATGAGGGATGGTATACTATCACAAACTGTATTACCGTCTACATTTGTATTCTGATGTTTATTTTGATTTTTAAAGTTTCATCTTATTCTGATTCTGAAGACTTATTCAGACCTTGATTCCGTTCTGATCGAGAAGACACTTGACACTGAAGAGTACTGTATGTATCACTACTCTTTACTTGTTATGGAGCGAGAAGAGGGGGTTTCTCAAAGACCTTGTTCTTATTTCCTTGTGATCATGGCGCCCGCAATTGTGGCGCGATCCCCTCATTTCTACAGTGCCGACCGTCTTCTGTATGCATCGTTGAGGGACTTTCGGCGACGATTAGAAGGCGGCGGCGGCGCTCGCCGATCAGTTCCAGGATTCTTTAACCGTCTTCTCCTCAGATCATGACCTCTAAAAAGTTGTGTCGCGCCTCTATTATGTGGAAAGAACAGATCCAGAATCGAGGGACAGCCGGGAGTTGTGATTGCGCCGAGGTTTGCAAAAAAAAGAATAATACGCCGGGGAAAATTGGCGGATGGAAGGCGGAAGGACGGCCGGCGCCAACCTTCACCCGACCTCTATTGACCCGGCTGACTTGCGCCCTCACATCCGCACTGATGAGGATTTGTGGATCGGTTCAGTGATTTTTGTCTTTCGCTTGGCTTTTATCAAACTCAAGATGACTTTGTTTAGGTATAGCACTGATATTTTAAAATAGAAAGTTGTATCTTCTTTTTTTGTTTATTGAAATGGTTTTTTAAAGATACTGTTTATAGTGTTATATTATCTTTTCTCATCAACCACAATCATCTTTCCATGATCTTAATGACTTTTCCATTTTCTCTCTCATCGCCGACCAAACTCTTTCGCTTATCAACGACCGTAACCTCCTCTCCCGCCTTTATCGCCCACCGTAATTTGTTCCCGATTAAAGCGAATGAGCGAGGCGGCTGGCTTGATTTGATTTCTTTCGAATAAACAACTTTCTGACTCGCTAATCTCCGGCAAGACTTAACCAGAAGGAGGCCCATCTAACAATCAGTCACTGTTTATTTGTCTTGGCCTCGGCGATATATGGAGAGGGACGTTATATGGGCTCTACTCACCGCGCCCCTCCCGATTACTCGCGGTTGCTGGGTGATTAGTGGCTGCAGCGAGCACTGATGGACGCGCCCGACAGCTGTTCCGCTTAACCAAATCCATTGCGCATTCCCTTTTCTGGCGCTCTGGCCTCGAAAAAGATTGGATTTTGCGTTCGGCATGAGAGTTAAGGGCGGGGTGCTGAGATTTGGGCCTGCCTTTTCTTCCGGATGGTCATTTTACGCACAGCGGGGTTGCATGTGGATCAGTGGCGTCCTTAACAGTCATTCGTCCGCAGATCCCGCGCGTTTTTTAGGTTTTGTTGTTGAGGAGCTTCTGCTGGGAAACATGGATTTAAATTTGAATTTCTTTGTTCGAAATTTTAAAATTAACGGTTTTATTGCGAAGTTGTTTTAAACTTTGGAATCTTTGTTTATAAGGAACCATTCAAGACGATGATATTGTTGTCCACGAAGATAAAACGGTATTGTTGTCTATGAAATTGCTGGGTTCAGTGACACTCCCGGACAACCACGTGCCCGAAAAAGACCTGGTTTCGAAAAAAGAATGCACCTGGCCTGTTGAAGAGCGCGTTGGCCTTTTCCGTCTTCTGGACACCGGCACCGAACGGCCTCGAGGGGTCTCGGATAAGGCCGAGGGAGAGCCGCGGAACTTGCCCTCAGGTGACACGATAAGGCCATTTAGTGCAACATGAGCCGTCTTTATTGCGCGCATGCTTGTTATGGTTTATTAGCTTGTCTTGATATGGCATGTAGTTTATTAGTTTTTCTGGATGTGGTATGTGTGGTTTTTACAAGTTCGGTCAAAAATTAAGTAGAAAGGTTAAATTTGCAACTTTAAAGACTTTTAAATTTCAATTTTGTGAAGCTGAAAATTGGGACATGCTTATTTCGACTTGGCCTTACGCAAACTTTAATTAAGCTTTTACGCCTATTTCGTGCTTATCACATGAGCGCGACTCGCCGACTTTATAACCTTATCCAGTCATGAAAAGATAGGTTGGCGGCACAATCAATGGCTGTTACGCCTCTGCTGATCCCTCGACTGGGCGAGGGATAAGAACAGATTGTGGAGCGGGGGATAAGACAACATTGCTGATGTGAGGGATAAGACAAACTTTCTAATCGAGGGATAAGTTAAAGTTCTGGGTGATGGTTAAGACACCGTTTCCAAAGCTAGGGTTAAGTTTTCGAATTGAGGGATGTCACAAAGTTTTTGAAGCGAGGGATAAAGCTGTTAATGATTCGCGCACCCTTGATTCGGCGCCGTCGTCTGTAGCCGGAGTCTTCAGCCCTGCGAACGCTAAACGACCTTTTTCATGTTGTTCACCCCCGACAACCTCTCCGATTATTTTGCGGTGACGTTCCGGTTGTCAGTGATTTGATGTGAGACGAAAGTGTTTGTTCTCCTCCTCCCCTCCTTTCTCGTATTCCCCTCGAGTCGCGCAGAGTCTTATCAGCCGCGCACTCGGTGTGTGGAATGCCGTAGGGGTGGAGGAGGGTCGGTCGGTGTGCAAGGGCAACTCATGTGGAGTGGTGAGGGGCTTCTATTGGCGACCATGTTTTCTTGAATTCCCTTATCAGTTGGGCATACTATAGTTGTGGAGATGGAGAAGGTCCTTTGTCAGCTACTGATGATGACTTCTGAAGGTCTTTCTGTAGACGGAGGCTTCTGTTGGGGACAATATTTTGCCTCGCCTCCTTATCAGTCGCATCAGGAAGACGGGAGTCAAGAATTCTTTGGCCTCGCGGCGGCAAACATGGCCGCTTGCTCCTTTGCTCATTCTCTTGAACTGACTGCTCACTCTCCTTTCCTTATCTCTTGGCCAAAACCGGCCGGGCCCGGTTAAGCGCGTGGCCGACCGCAAAAAGCGCAATTGTTGGTGAGTTAAGGAGGGTTAAGGCTGGTTGTGTTTGTTCATTTTCATTGCACTGCATTGCATTCGGCGCCCTTTCCTCCTTCATTCATCCCGGTAAGGAGATGGCGAAATATATTTTTGTGGCTCCAAGAACCAAGGACAACAGGAAGGGCCGAGAACGGGGTGCTTGTTTCAGAATCTCGGTCTTTATCTTTCGTCTTTTGTCGGCCCACCCAGGCCACTTGTCTTCTTATCTTGGCCACCAGTTTTGCGCGAGACGGCCCTTTCTTTTAATTCGCGATTTTTCTCCCAATTTTAATTTGCGACCTCATTTTAATTGCTGTTTGGAACCTTTTTTGATAGTATTTTGCGCCGTTTTTGGATTTAGTTATATTTCTTTTGAACTGTTTAATGATTGCACGGTGCAATATAAAATTGATAAACTGCACCGTGCAGACGTATTCGAGAACCCAGATAACATTGTAAATCGACTCTTTCTTGTATTTTTATCACTCCTTTAATAGACTCATTTACAGCTGTCGTTATATGAAACAAGAATGACGATCGTCGGTTCCAGTGCGTCATCTCCATGTTGTAATGGAAACGAAGACGAGTCCCAGCTTCATGATGCATGTTCAGCATGCAAACGCCTCAACCACGACCTCGAGATCAAGGTCTCCTTGATGTCGGATCAGATTGTGAAGTTGGCCAGTCAAGTCGAACAGATCTCCGAACGACTTCAGCTGTCACCGTCATTGAAAAAGGCCCAAAAACAGACGGAACGGAAGACAAGTGCTCCAGAAGCCAACATCATGAACTTGTTGACGGCCTCAGCAGATGTCAAGAACTTCACAGACATGCTACAGACCTTCGCACAAACAAATAATGTTGATACTGGCAACGAGCAACACCTGCCTCCGATCGCGACTCCGGAAAGCATCAAAGCCGAAAGCGTTTCGTGAGTTTTATTGCCAATTCAAATTTGCGCCAATTTGTCTCCAAATCTTTTTTGAATCTTGGGGCAAATTCTTTTTTTTTCATAGCTAAAATCTTTTCTGTTTTATCTTTTCGTTGTTAAGTTTCGAAACGAATGGAAGTGAGTCATGAACTATGATAGTTTGCCTTTTAGCTTCCGTTTCATTTTTCATAAAGATTTTGGGTAGATAATATCGTAAATCAACAAAATAATTAAAAAGTTATATCTTTAAATAATAATTCGGAAAATATTATTTTAAATAGTTTTTAGTGGTTTAATTTAAAACCAGAGATTATAGATAATATTCTTTATAGAAGTGGCAATGGCAGTCGAAAACGGAAGCCCCACCGTTCCTCTGTCCAACATCTGCCTTCAGAAGCGGCTACATCGGAAGACGCCAATCCACAGCACCTGAATGCCAACCTGATGGCTTACCTCGGAGCCGAGTGCTTCAACTCCGTGGCTTCATCGCCGTCAGCTGGCAAAAGGAAGAACGCGCGCAAGTCGCCACCTGCCCAGAACTTGGATATGACATCCGTTTTGCAAGGTGAAGTGTCACAAGACGACATTACCGCCAATCTGATGTCATTGCTGGCCAATGGCGGATTGAACGGCCAAACCGCGCCACAATACAGTAACGAGAACGTGCCGATGAAAGAAGAAGTAAGTGTTTCGGATTAGTTGTTTATAAAAACTGTTATATTAGGGTGGTATAGACTGCTTAGAGCTGTCAGAGTTTATGTGTAATGTTACTATAACTGGACGTATTTGTAAATTGTGTTAACCTTAAGATTTTTGTACCTAAATTAATATAAAATATTGATTTCTAGCCTAAAACAACATAAAACTATTGTTCGAGTGTTAAAAATATTGTTTTTAACCCTAAAATAACATTGAAAGTTGAATTCTCGTCCTTTTTTACTCCAAAAACCCCTTCGAAGTAAATTGTATGGGGAAGATTGCTCTTGTCAACATAACAATGTTCTATGTTGTCTAATGTTCTCGTATGAGCAATTGTAAACAAGTTACTAATCTTTTCCATTTCGAAATCGAGATTAGGTAGTATTGTTTTGGCAAGGATATCAAATGGTTTATTAATAGATTAAACATTATGTTTGGGTCTTTTATATTATCCATGTGATATCTAGAGTTTAGCTGTAATTTATACAGTATTTTTAGTTGATATGATATTTAAATTTAGTATGAGATTATATGATAGTAGTGTTAAGCTAATGTTTTGATTTTAGAACAAATCAAATTCCGAAAACAACTCTAATACTTCGCAATGTTCTAACTGTGCCACCACTGTTACCACGGCCTGGAGACGAGATGCTGAAGGTCGATTGGTCTGCAATGCCTGTGGGCTCTACTACAGACTTCATAAGGTATGTTGAGATCGTCTTTCTTGTTTCTCGTTACGTTTTATAGGAAATTGGCTTATTTTTAGTGATATTTTGTTGATTTTTACCCTTTATATCGAATTTTGGGTAAATGTTATGAGCTTTTCTTACTATAACCTTTTCCCAGTAATATAATTGGATTATCCGAGAATAATGACAGAGATAAAGAAAGATATGGTATGTGTACTTTTCCTTTTCAGACCAATCGACCCGTTTCGATGCGCAAAGACGCCATCCAACAGCGATTCAGAAGGAAAAACAAAGACGATTCCTCCACCAACTCCCCCATGGATAACAATCAAAGCTTCAACTTTAATGGATCCAGTGAACTGTAAGTGGGATTATACGATTAAGATACGATTAGGGAGCAAAGTAAACTGTTGCTTTACGATGATAGTAATTTGGTGGAGTGTAATGGTGATTGGCAGCGTTTACTTTGTTAATGAGAGGAGATAGTTGACCTAAATGAGAGGAAACTCATGGTGAATATAAAGAGATAAAAAGCTGATCTTAAAATGAAATTTTCAGAATTTCCCAGTTGAACAACTCCGTCGGCCAACTGATAGACCAGATCCAGGATTCAGACGAGAAGCCTGACATTCTGGAAGAGTGGAGCAAGTACAGCCAGCCCAACACTCCCACCTCCTTGCCCAGCTTCATGTTGGACCTGATCAAGCAACAGCCTCAGGTCGACATGGGCGTCTAAAACTGCATTTTACTTTAATTTATTTTATACGAGGTCTTACTGTAGTGTGGGGTGACTCATGTACATTATCTTACTGTACTCTTCGGGCAGTATTGTTGGTTGTGTTATACGGTGACTTTTCAAACCTCACGAGATACTACGGTAATTATTGTTCTTAGTTTGGTAATCATTTTTATACGATAGCAGGGGACGTGTTATACTAGGATATTTAAATAGTTTGAAAGTTACTACGGTAAAAACGTCAATTGTACTAAATTAGTACTGTGTTTGGACTGAAATTACCATACCGAACCTTACATTACCGTACAAATCATATGAAACTTAATTTTATGATAAAACTACCGTATGACGTTCTAACAGTACCGTGCCAGGGATTACGGTAAAACCCGTCGCCCGACGCTACAGTATTGTCAAAAGTATTATCCTGCACAGGATGCAAGTGTCCTTTTATGTTTGTCACTTAACTCGATATATTCTCAGTCCGATTTGTCACTTTGTTCTTTACATTACACTCATTGGCATTGACATTGTGGTAGGTGGTGGGGGCATGGTAGATATGTTTACTTTTTTGATATAAAGTTAAGCCTGGTTTGGTCGTGGTATGGTAGTAAGAACTTCATACCACTGTAACTACCAATCATATGCTAAAACTACCATGCTCCTCCATCGTACCATCATGTCACGCCTTACACTTATTTTAATCTCCCAACTTACTCATAATCAGACGAAAACTTTGTTTACAATGAAAACATCTCAGCTTTAAGAATTGATTCGAAGCAATATACAAGTCGTATTTTATAAAAGGTTCGGTGTTTGTTTTTACACTCCATTTACTATTTCAAGCTTTAACCCCCAGGCACATTTGCATAATTCCTCGGCTTAAATTTTGTCTTATTTCCAAGCATTTGAATTCACTTTGAAATAAATTAATAACTTAAGGTTGTTCGGCTGTTCTTTGGATATTGTAGTGGGTTGATTGACTGTTCTCAGATATTGTAGTAGCTTTTAGAAGTTATAAAACGAAGAATTGTTGGTGATAGCTGTTATAATAGACTACTGAGTGTAAATTTTGAAGTTTCTAGTCAAATAACATAATATTTTACTGTATACGCTTTAAAAGGATATAATATTATAGTAATTAAGAGGTAATCAATCAGCTTCGACTTGATCGGCTCCACGATGGCTTTGGATCTGAAAAGCTTGTTGCCTTTTGCTAAAAACTGTAACTTCTACTGGCTACTGATGTTGCTAATCTACTGTAGCTACTGATTTTATAAAAAAATGTTGTAATTCTATGTAATGTTACTGTAGCCTCCTACAGTATTTTTTACCTTATTATACTATTAGGCTGTGTACATAATACTGTGCTTGCTCTCAAAGCAAAATTTTCGGGGTTAGGAGCACAAAATTACGTGAACAACCAAATATTAAACATCTGGTTATCAATGTACTACAACATAACCTATCTCAATATACGACCAATATAAATCCGGATTATCTCAAGTTATTGATCGGCAATGCCTCAAAAAGCTTAACAATCACCCAAATCACCTCTCACATCTGCCTACCGTAATATAACGAGCCGCGAGTTGAGGTGGAGAGCGAAGAGCTGGTGGACATGGACATTGACGAGTTACCTAAAGCCACATATTAACCTCGACATTAACCTTTTAGAAATACGCAATCTGATTAAAGGTGTGAAGCCGTTAATATGACGGTTTTTAACACATTCAAATGAGCATATAAAAGCGATGGCTATTTCTTATAATATTAATCTAACACAATATAATTAGAAAATAAATTTTTTCGTTTTTATATGAAAATAGGCCAATTACTTTAAAAAACTTAGTAAAAATACAAAATAATATGACAAACTCCATACTAAAATACGATATTTTGAATAAAATCACATAATTAACTTACTCAAGGCACTAGCTGAATTAAGATGAAGATTCGATTGACGATTCTGAAGCCATGAGAAGAAGGTAAACATCTGTGAAGCAAATAGTACAGTCAATACCATCATTAAACCAATTGCGACCGGTCGACGAAGACAGATTTTCGAGTTTTCTATCGCTGAAAGTATATTTTTATTAGCTTACAGTACCCTTTTCTTACAAATTTTGTTGTCTTACAGTAGCTATTTATTAAAAATTTCGCTAGATTACAGTATCCACTTTCTTAAAGCTGAATTCATCTTTAAAATTATTACTTTTCATATGATAACATAACTATTTTTTGGAGTACACCGTACCTACAGCCGTTGTCAAAAAATAGTGAACTTTTTTATTTTCTACATAACTTTTGTCGTAGTTATCCGATTCTTATGAAACAAAGTTTGTTTTGGTAGCTGCTGAACCTACTATCATAACCAAATTACCTAAAATGTGTCATCGTGACTCAATATATAGAAACAAAAAATTAAGGGTGGACAAAAAATAGTGAACTTTTCTGAATCCTATCCCAAACATCATTAAAAAGGTAAGATTTAAGTTTTTGTTGTTATTAAATATTGTTTTAGTTAAGAATGAATGGAAAATAATTAAAAGCGTTAAGTTTAAAAGTCAAAAAGGTGATCTTTCAACGCATCGAACAAGGCGACCTCATGTACAACATCGCAGAAGATTTTTCGATAAACAAAATTACATTTTCTTTAATTTGGAAGCGTCATAAGAAGAATAACATCCATAAAGCTTTTTAAACAACGGAAGAACAAAAAAATCGACCAAATATCAGTTGCTCAGGAAGAAGAACCGGACGATCCGATTGAAATGGGTAGGTGAACATAAGAAGTGGACTGAGAAGGTGCGGAATAAAGTGTTGTGGACCGACAAAAGCAAGTTTGGTTTATTTGGATATCAAGGTGGAGTGTGTGCAAGGCAAAAAAAAGTAACAAGATTTGTCCTAAAGCATCAGGTAATAAACATGAAACATCAAGGTGGCAGTATCATGGTGTCGGATTTCTTTACCTCATCTCAAGTTGGTCCGTTAGTCCTTGTTGATGGGTGGATGGATAATAGAACTTACGCTGACAGTATTGAGAAGCATATGCATCCGTTTACTAAGGTAAAAATTCCAAGGGGTGGATTTTTTTCAACAAGACAATGACCCAAGGCACATACCACAACAGGCAAATTCTATGTTTAGTAGACTAAAAGTTCGTATTTTGCTTTGGCATTTACAAACTCTATATCTTAACCCGATTGAACACATTTAGGAGCATTTAAGGCGAAACAATAGCCTTATTTATTGAAAAACCTTCTGCGATGTTGTACATGAGGTCGCCTTGTTCGATGCGTCGAAAGATCACCTTCTTGACTTTTAAACTTAACGATTTTAATTATTTTCCATTCATTCTTAACTAAAACAATATGTAATAACAAGAAAAACTTAAATTTTACCTTTTTAATGATGTTTGGGATAGGATTCAGAAAAGTTCACTATTTTTTGTCCACCCTTAATTTTTTGTTTCTATATATTGAGTCATGATGACATATTTTAAGTAATTTGTCATTTGGTTATGATAGTAGGTTCAGCAGCTACCAAAACAAACTTTGTTTCATAAGAATCGGATAACTACGACAAAAGTTATGTAGAAAATAAAAAAGTTCACTATTTTTTGACAACGGCTGGCTGTATACAGTACACTCCAGCTGTAGACTCAGCTATGTTAATATAAAACCTCAGTTACCAAACTTCTATTGTTTAAAATACGATATAAAAAAATGTTATAATTCTCACCACATTCCATCGTATTATTGAGAACACCCTCTCCAAACTGTTTTAATTCTTTGTTCTCGTCTGAACTGACCAAGTTCATCATAGTGGTCTTAATCAATGGCAACGTAGTGACAGCCGGACCTTCTTTTTCACCAGACGGATCCAATATTGTGAACGATCCTTGTGCCAAACTTTGTTCTATTGTTTCTCCTTGTAGTAGCTGAAAGACGTTATAAGAGAGCTGGTTTCCTTTGACATGACAAGTAATACATTATATATAGAAGATTCTACAGCTCGAGCTAGTTCTGTTGTAAAAAACGCTAGTTAGCCCAGCTATCACAACATTCCTCCTTTTCCCTACCGTTATCCTAACAGCGCTCTCGTATATTACAATTTACGTTACGTTCTATTCCGTTACAGTGTCAGAAAAATACGGTGTTTACGACAGTAATGTATCATTATTAACCACAAAGCTTACGGTACCTTTTTATGCATGGCTTCACTCCGTATCTTATCGTATTGTTCAATCATCGACGCCAATTCCTTGATGGTTTGACGTTTTCGACGACCGAAACTCGTCAGCGATGACGAATTAATCTCGTCGCAATTAACCTAAAGCAATTATATGTTACTGAAGTTCTTAAGAAACCTAGTGTTATAAATATGTAAAAGGTCAAATATCATTCTAAGAAGCCTTTCAGTGTAAGATAGTAATTACAGTAGTATGGCAAGTATAATTCCTACCGGATCACACCGTTCCACGCAAATGTTGATAGAGCATCGTATACGAACTCTCTTCGATCCATCGAACCGAAATACTCTTATCTTGGCACTAAAACCGTCAGCCGTCTCTTCGACCGGTCCTTTGATCAGTCGGTCTTGAACACGTTTTACTGGACATCTACAATATCACTAATATTAAATTTTTAGGTTTTGCGGCAAAGAATTATTTGAACAACTTAATGCAACTAAATTATATCAAGACCATGATCATCATTACTTACTACAACTATATATTAAATTAACATACCCTCCAACAATCAATGGTAACGGAGCAGGTTCAGGTGGAAGGCCATCCAATCTCTCGGCCGTGCATTCCTCCACCAAAAACCCTAATCTTTCACCTTCAGCACCCTTCTTCAACTCTTCTGATATTATCCATTTCAGCTCCAACTCTTCGCCCAAGTTTACTGTAGTAACTGGAACACCACCTCGTAGTATCGACATTACAACTTTCTCCAAATTGGCTTGATGAGGAGCTTCGAATTGAGGCTTTTGGGGATCAGAAGATGAAGATTGAGGTCTGAATATAGCATATTATAGTAGTTTAGGTATATTAAAAGACAATATACATCATAGTGTTTTAGGTATATTATCGCAATAAAAAACACCTTCTGTATATGAACATTGACTATAACAAAAGCCTTCTAAACTTTTCAATATCTTACACTGTCTTCCTGTCGCTGCTCTTCACAATATTGGAGTAATCACAGGTTACGTTGAAGATACGATCCTGCCCGGTCATCAACGATGGTATTCCCATTGAATTCTTCTGTACAACAACAATGAATGACCACAAGCTTGGAGCCAACTCCATTCCAGGACAATCAGGGTTACTGTCCAATGTGGAAGGATACGGTATTTCCAACCTGGCTGCTTTTACATCTTCAAACGTATTTCGACAGGTCGAAGAGTGATCTTTGATGAAAATAGCTCCAGATGAAAGTTCTTCAAAGTGGGCATCTACTTGGATACCGTCTAGACGACAGTCGGTCTCGATTACTGTAAAATACAAGCTTCAATATTCTTTAAGAAATCGAAATTTAAGATATGACAATTCACAGTTAAAAAGTCAGTTGTGTAAGCATAAGTCACATCAACAAAACTTGAACTTCCAAATATCCAAGACTCACATCCATTTTTACTCCGAGCAGGCGTAGTAGCTACCGTAACCTCATCTGCCTGTATTCCTACTGTAGTTACTTTTTCTCCGCTTTTTGTAGCTACCGTATTCTCTACAGTAACCAACATATTAGGCATAAACATTGGCCTCATTTTGGGTGGATCCGTCAGTGAAGTTACAGTATCCTCAACCGACTTTACCGGTCGTACTTCATAATCACAAACATTGTCAAAGTAGTCGACTTTAGTAGATGATTTAAATAAGTCTGGATCAGAGAATTGGGACTTTTTGTTCAAGACACATTCATCCTAAAACATCATTTAAACTTTTTTAGCTTGTTTAACAGTCTTCTCGTATTTTACTTTACAAAATGTTTCTTTAAGAATATAAAATATTAAAATAAGGATATAAAACAGTATCATAACATAAAGCCTACCGTATCTTTAAAAAACATGACAGAATTACAATCTTCAGCCAATTGCAAGCAGTGATAAAGACATTCGCTGAGGCTGTTTGTGGGTATCACCTTCTCTCTTATGTCCAACATTCTATTAGGAATCATGTCAAATGACGTGTCTTTACATTTTGCTGGTCCTAAATTCAAATTTATCACAATAATAATATAAATTTTACTTCCTGGATCAAATTTTAAGTTTTCAAAACCAAAAAACCCAATTTACTGTAATATTAATGGTAAAAATGTAAAATAAATAAATTATGTGTTATGCCGTATTTTACCTTGCAAACAAAACTTTTCCAGGTATTGTCCAGCTGATATTGAACTCAACTCTGAGATCAGAGCTCCAGTTGAGCTCTTTTTAGATGATATTAACATGCCCGTCTCTGCTGACAATCTACACTCCTTCTTGGTCGATGTATATACAAAAGCTTTGCATGGAAACACTTCTGATCCTACCATGTTGTCCTGCAATGCAATGGCTATATCATAGTACCTTTATCGACCACAGTGAAAAAATTATGATATTAGAAAAGAAAAAATTTCATATTGGAACAGAATAAGTATTTTATAAGTATATATGTAGCAACTAATGCATGATCAGTGTTCATCGTTAGCTATTTAAGTTAACATACGTTACATGCTTTCTTGCACTCTTCATTAGACAATCCTCCCATTATAACATCTTTATCTTCTCCTATCTCGAAGTCATCCATACGAATCCAATGCACTTTGTAGCCTTCTGCACATTGAACTACAACAGCAAAGTTAACATAATGTATAATATTTACAAAAAAATCCCTTTTAAATGTATTTTCCCTAACTCAAGCTACCTTTTACCTAAAGAACATCCTTTACCTCAAGAACTTACCATCAAAACAGTTATTCTCAAAATAATCGACCAGTTGAAACTTGGTATCAGACGAAAACATGTGTGGTGCTGTTTTACGTTGTTCTCTGTTCATAATACACTCTCCTGTCTCGTAGTAATACATGACACTCTTACAGTCAATATGCATCCGTTCCCTTGACTCCAGACATTCTTGAAGACATTGAGATAGGCTTTTGACTAGGATAACTTCCATCGCATGACCGGTCAGAACCTTTTGAGGAAATCGCTCGAAACTGTACGGTGCTACACATAAGTTGTTTGCTGAAGTTATAGTTTACATTACTTTGCATTCATAGTCAGAACTTTTTAAAAATCACCATTTGTTACGTAAAAATTGACAAACTACTACAATATCATAAGCCAAAACTACACAAACAATTTGTAGCCAAATTTTGTAGCATTTAAAACCAAAATGTATTTCTTACATTGTAAAGTAAAGTAAACCTACTTGGAATACAAATTTGCTGGAACAATGCCAGCCCATTAGTCGTAGCTGGCATCAAGACAGCTTTCCCAACCGGTTGAGCTGAATTCCTTTTCAAGGCACAGGTTTGCCGCTGGGCGTTGTATTCAAAAGTTTTACATTCCACTCCCTACAATAATACAGTAAAAAGTGCTAAAATTAATTAAAAATTAAAGAAAAAAGCTAAAACTATACCTAAAATAATAAAATTGGCATGTTTTTAAATATTGAAATATAAAAAGAACAACAATTTAAACTTAAAACCACCACAAACTTACATTACTATTCCTCGTACACTCTTTAGCACAGTGACTCAACGTGACATCTGTTAGCAGTGCCAGAGGTTCTTCAATCGTCAACACCTTCTCCGTCCTTAGATACGTTGTCTTATTGACATCATTACAAACCTCCAACTCTCCCAATCCGCTGATTACAGTTACCACTAAACTGCTAAAAGCCAACCAAGCGAACATAACACAGAATCATATGCGGATCTTACTATAGTAATTGCTGCGCGACATTACTGTGAAGTTTGTGGGTCAATTCGCCGTCGTATTATTATATTATTGTATTCTTCGCTTTCGTCGTACGGTTTCGTTTCACTTTCGATTTCATGAAGGTAAATGAACCTTGAAATACACTAATATAAGACGAATGGCAGTTCAATAACAAACCTTTGATAAAAGTCAATATAAAGCATTTAAAAACTTTAAAATCACATTGTACCAACCATTATTTGCCGTAAAATCGTATAAATTGAAAACTCCTTACCTATAAAGTACTTTATAATATATGGCAATCGGTTTAAATGCGCTTGAGTTTTAGGTATGAAAATGTTGAAAAGTTTGTTACCAAAAACGCAGTTTTTTCGAAGTTTTCCATTAATTTTAACTGTGTCTTTTAGTTTAACAAAAAACTTGAAATACAAACTTAATGAAATAAACGAGTTCATGTCTTTACCGCAAGTATTCCTCGAACCTAACTGTTAACGATAAACCAAATTTCCCAAAGAGAGAAACTTGACTCGATAAAAAGTTGTGTCAAGTTTGACTATCAACAAGTTCTTGTAAAATTTCGTTTTTTTCTGGTTTTTTTTGCTCACGGGTTACTTTTCTTTGAAAATTTAATGAAACAACTATTAATACTGCTTTAGTGTACTTGTTTTTAATGTATTATTGTTATTTTTAATTATTTTATTTGTTTTATTATAGTTTTTATCAAGAAATAACCAATCCAATTCTCTTATAGTTAACAAACATTTATTTTCTTCAACCTTTGTATAGTATAATGTTTGTAATGAAAGACGAATGGTTAAACTGTGAGTTGAATGCGCGGCCATTTAATGGCCAAGGTTCAAGGAAAGACCGACTATTTAACGATTACATGGTAAGACTAGAGAACATACGAACCCATTAACATAAGTTTAAAAATGTGATGAGCAGGTGAGTATACGATCAACATACGATGTGGTATTTCTATATACGATTATATACGAGAGTTGTCTCTATTTAGAGTTAAATAAGTTGTGGTCTACTATGGTTAATATACGAGAATTAAGATAATGTGGGTAAACATAGCAGACCAAAAGTAAGTAACATAGTTTACAATAGATAGGACAAGATTTTACAAAATTATAACTTAAAACAAGAGTAACATAGAAAGTATTTTGGTATAAGTCTAAAAGTACGGTACATAAGTTACTGGAGAACATATGTAGTGGTATAGGGAACAGAACATGACTGGCATGATATACGGTTATAGGTGGGGGTGAAAGACAACAAATAATACATACTTTGTACAATATCATGGGCAATATCAGGAAGCTCAAGATAAACAACAAGTTGGCAATAGAGAGAGGGGGAGAGAGAACTTGACTAGTAAATGCGGTAGTACGACGTGGTAGATGGTAGTATGGTATAGAGGGTGGTTTTGATAGAGAGGATGTTACTTATAATAAAGTAGATAATGTGTAAGATGGTAAAGAGGGGTTATAATACAATAAAGAGGATCAGAAGGTAATAAATAAGGGCAAGTTGCGTGTGGTACGGTTACTGGTTTGAGCTCTAGTTGTACCAGATGGTACTTAATAAGCATTTATAATGCAGGGAACTTTGGCTAGCATCAGGGCTGGTTTCTGGAAGTGTTGTGTGGCATAATACCGTGTAAATGGTCTCTATGTAGCACAATATATACTTCATCTTAAGTTGTGGTATTGTTTTCAAGATACGACAGTACTTTAGATGCTCAATTGGTGACCAACCGGTTGGTTTTGTCTGGCCAAATCGTTCAGTGCATTCAAGAGATTGTTTGTGTCAGCTTGCGAACTTGGCAACAAGAGTTGTTGCGCGGGTTGCTCTGGTTGTTCTTGAGCTCGTTGTTGTTCTAGCACCTTCAACAATAACTGTCCATTAAGGTCAGGTTGTTGTGGATATTGAACTGCCGGAGGCGAAAACAGGTTCTGAGCGACAACTTGTTGCTGGTTCTGTTGTTGCACGTCCATCAGGAGGCGCAACAACTGTTGTTCGGCCAAAAGATTGTCCAGAGTGTTCTTATAGTTGTTGTTCAACAACTCTTGACCAGAATGAAGGTTTTGGTCGGGCATGAAGGCCGACGTGGTTGGGGGAAGGAGGGGCTGTTGTTGTTGCTGTTGGAACAGATTCAGAAGCTCGGCAGATTTGAGGTTCTGGAGCAATTGAAGTGTAGAAGGAGCTTCGTACACGGGCTGGTTCAGTAAGTAGTTGGACTGGAGCCCGAAGGCAGGGTTCGTCAGGTTGTTGGAGGTCAGCTGATTCAACAAACCTGCGTTCATTAACGGGTCGATGAGGGACTGGTCGGCTTTGTGAAGGTTAAGGGGTTCTGGGCGGATTGGACCGGCTAAAATAAGAAAATTAGTTAACATAACTGTGAGTCAGAAGTAGTATAATAGACCGTTTTCGAAGTAGTTTAGTTTTAGATACTTACTCAGTAGCGCATTCTGAATGTCGACACTCCTCTTTCGTTCATCTTCAAAATCAGCCATGTCTTGGGAGTCTTCGGTGCGGCTAGGTGAGCATTCAGAATCGTTAGTGACGACTGATCCTCGTCGGTTCAGGAGATGCTGACACTTTTCTTGATGAACTTTCAGGCTGATCTTCTGGATGAAACTGAGACCACAAGCTTCACAATGGAAGCTTCCGGGTTGGGGTTGAACAATGTTGAAGGTTTTCTCGCATAATTTGCATAAAACCGAAGGGAAGGAGTAGTTCTTGCCACAAAGTTTGCACATTCCGTCCATAGAGTCGGTGGATTCTTTGCGCGACGATGAGGACATCGAGTGGGTGGCTTCGTGAGCAGTGAGTTGAGATTTCTGAAAATGCATTGTTTAATTTTGGACTTTAAAAAACATGTTCTAAGTTATTGACTATTGTTTTATTTGAAAAAAACTTTTTAACACTGCCTTACCTGAATAAACGTGCGGTTGCATTGAGCACATGAGTAAGGTCGCTCTCCAGTGTGTGTTCTCTCGTGAGATTGTAGATTGCCTTGGGAAGCGAATGCTTTGGGACAGTACTTGCAACAGTACGGCCGTTCTCCAGTGTGAGTTCTGATGTGAACTTGAAGACTTCCAGCATAAGCAAAGCTCTTTTGGCAGAACTTGCACACGTGTTTTCTCTCAGTTTGCTCGTGAACTTGCTTTACGTGAAGCTTCAAGTAGTTCTTCAAGGTAAAAGTCTTGGGACAGCACGGGCATTGGAACACTTTGTCGCCGTGCGTCTTCTTGTGGGTATACAAAGCTGAGGGAGAACTCAAACACTTGTCACATTTGGGACATTTGTAGTTGCGGATACCCAGGTGGGCGCTCTTTTCGTGCACTGTCTTTGTACCGTACTGAGCGAACGTCTTCTCACAGTACTTGCACTTGTATGGTCGCTCTCCAGTGTGGGTACGTTCGTGCACTTGGAGTGTAGCCTTCTGGGCGAAGCGTTTGTCGCAGAAATGGCATTTGAACGGCTTCTCTCCAGTATGACATCGTTTGTGGGACTCCAGAATCGACAGGTAAGGGAAGCCTTTGCCACAGATCTCACAAATATGACGTTTCTCGATGACTGAAGCTTTACGTGGCATCATGATGGATCCAGATTCGTCCATCATGGATTCAGAAGAAGATGAAGTCGGTGACATTCCAGATGAGTTTGTGGTTGGCAGCTTGAGACTGTCCATCTGATGGGATTCTGGAGAACTGGGGATCAGCACGTTGGAAGTGGTGGAGCACGCTGAAGACGTGCATGGTGAGCCTGGAGAGAGAACGGGTAGTTCACGTGAGCTGGAGGATCTTGTGGATGATGTTTCATGGATTAGGATACTTGGAGATGCTGAAGATGGTGAAGCGGTCGATAAATGTTCATCGACCAATTCGGATTGGAAGCTGTGGAAGGTGCCTGGTTGGGCGACGAGTACGTCTGATTCGGCCACTTGGACCATGATTATTTATTCTGAAATTACTACGGTAAATTGATGTCACATTGTTATACTAAGGCTACGTAGGTATATGCACGTATCTTGCGAAAGTGACCACGAGGAAACTTTGACATTTCAAAACAAAATTCGAAATTTAAAAGATTATCATATGTAGGTATACAATGTAAACATATGCATAGAAGAAGACTGTTAAAGAATGATTATGTTTTGCACACTGAATACCTAAGTATATGAGAGATATAACACTGTGCGAGGTGGTGCCAGGCTCTCAACAATCATCAAAAGATACTGTACAATAGTATGGCAAAACAAATTATGTTACCTAAACACTAACTGGTATAATATGGCACATGTAATGGAATAATTATTAGGGTACCCTCTACTATATGGTTTTTTATGCTAGCCTTATATAGTTAAAGTTATGTTAACTTATATTACTCCTAAGTTATATGATAGTTTTTTACTACTAACTTATGTGTTTGTGCTATGTTTGACTTACGCTATAAGAGTACAAGGCTATCGTATGACAACAAGGTATCCCAACCTAGCACCCCAACCTACAGTATCCTAAACTATGTTGTCCTACCAACAAACAAAAACACTTGTTATTGTGTAGGAACGGCTGGCCCTATACCATCGTATACTGTGGGCAGAATCCCAAAGTACGATGATAATGATAAAGCGCGTACTAGCGAAGATATCGGTTGTTGTTTCTGATTTTTCTCTCGTTTTTGCCTGAGGGCCTAAGAATGGACAGTGTCCAGAGGCCACGCCCCCTTTTTCTCATTCTTTTTTTCGACTGCATGGCACTGGAATCCGCGTGTTTTTTCGGTGTCGCCCTGTACCACGACCTTCACCATCGTCTTCTTCGCAATGACCACCGCTTCGCCCCTCAGGCCCTTTTTCTAAAAAAATGGCCGTTGGCTCGTTTTTTCTCGTCCTCGCCTCGCCCTTTTCCCCCTCCCCGCTTTCGTTGCGACCAGCCGGCTGTCGCTTTTTCCAGCCGGGGGTTTTTCCCTCTCGCTCCACGGTGCCGAGCCGCACCAGCCTCAAGGAGAAATTTCAACCGAAAAATGGCCGAAAAAAGGAAAATGGGGGTTTTTGCGGATGAAAAAAAAACGAATTCCGCATTACGTACCCGTCCACACGTACTTGCGGGTACGCGGCAAACGAGTTTAAGTGACCGGTGATTCCAAATTTGAATACCAAAAATGAAGTTTCGAATGTTTAATGGGGTACGGTAGTTTCGAAAATAGTGAAATTTTGAAAATGTATGGTGCTAACGGTATTTGTACCCAAGTTCATAGCACTAAAGATACTCATACTACAATATGCTAAAACACTACTCATAAACCCTAAAACACTTTCCCACACAGTAAATCCCCCTATCGGAGTATGGTATGTTATGAAAACAGCCATAAGCGTTTTACGACAATTACACAAAGTTATCACAAATCAGATTACGGTATTACACTTGCCGCGACAAAGGTCAAAGAATTTTGTGGACAGAAAGTATGTAAGCAGCTTACAGCAATGTAACATATCAATATATTACGATGGTAAGAGACTTACTGCCCATGATATAAGAGTATTATTGGGTATAATGTACGAGGGTTACTAGTAAGACGTTTAAAAGTTGCGAGTGGTACGTTTTCAACATACGAAGAGTACGAAAAGATACTGCGTGATCTATGTTCAGTAAAGTCATCGTACTTAGGGTGTTTTATAAGGTTTGGTTTACAGTAAATTTTTACTTTAAGTACGATAAAGTTTTGTTTGTACTGTATATTAAGGTATAAATAGAAAGTGGATATTTTGTTTTGTACATGTTAATATAGTTACTTTGTGATGTATTTTGCTAATCTTAATTTAAAGTTATTCATCTTCCTACTGTTTTCTCGCAAAAACTACCTAAAACACACAAAAATCAACCTCTAATCACTTGAGAAACAATAAAGACCATCTAAAACAACATCAAGACTACAAGAAACCTCAACAACCCCAGCAACGTCTACAACTTTTTCCCAAAAACAAAGTTGTTGCTTTGGTTTTATAAATAGAGCGACCGAACATACGAACATGTGCAAAACAAACATGTTGTGAATGGGAATCAGCCGAAAGCACGGAACGATGCGCGCGCCCCGATCGTACTTGGCTGTGTTTGGGGGCGGGGCTTTTTTTATTTTGTTGCTGTTTCTTCTTGTTGGTACGTGTATGTGCTTGGCGATTCTTTTCGTGTGTGCTGGCCAGTCCAGGCCTTCTCTCCGTTTTTTGCACTTTTCTCGTCCTTTTAGCGGCGCCGTGACCACGCCCCCTTTCCGAACTTTGCACTTTTACTTCTCGGGATGCGACAAAGTGAGAGAAAGTGATAAGCAATTAAAGTGTAATAGAAACATAAATATAATTACTGCGGTTTGTGGTTTAGGCCTTAGATATAAATGGCACTTTTGGAAGAATTTTAAAATTTAAAAAGGTTTTTAAAATCACTAAAGATATACCTTATAGTCATACATGGTTAACATATGATATAAAAGGTAAAAATTTTTCTACATAAATATGAATCAATAACTTCTTTGGTTGCTCGTTCTATATCTCACTGTCTATATATACTGTTTTATACTATATACTATGGTAGTACTTCCAAAAGACGTGACATTTGATGTCTTTCCCTAAGTAACCTATATGGTATATCTTTGTACTTTACATCTGCTTTTGACACGCTAAATCCGTCATTGTTTTACTGAGTAAACGCTCGTTACAATGTTTGCTCTTTCTTTTTTACTCTGTAAAGTCCAAAACACAACTTATTTTAATATGTCATTACAATGTAATTGCACTTTTTTCACAGAGTAAAATGCCATTTGGGTACAACTTCGTTGTAGGAAAATATACTATGGTCAACATACAAAAGTTACCATCATTTTTCTGTTGTAATTCTTTACTATGACATATGTGGGTTACTTTATAGGTTTTTGTATATGTTAATGTATACAATATGTTGTTTTTATAGTAGTTTTGGTATTTTGTATTTGAATCTTGAAAGGTCTTAGCAAATTTAATGGAACAGACATTAACATTGACATCCTATATTAACATTGCTAACGTATGTTGCAATCTTTATACTTTTTTACAACCGCTTATTACATGTTTGTTTCATACACATACGATCAAAGATTACCGCGTTATTTATTCAGTCATAACATGTTTGTGTTACTGTACTGGTAATCGTGTTACGTTGTGAACATGGCTAATTAATATTTTACATGAAAGGTTGGTACTGTCGTGTCAATCATGCTGTTACGGTTAATGTTGTCAACAACAAACATTATTGTAGTACTGTAGGTCAAAGAATTAGTTTTGGTAAAGATTACTCTAGGGTACAGTACTTACTCATACTGTACTGTACCTTACTGTATTTGACATTAATATATTGTGAATATACACCGAAAAACGTCGTATTTTACCTATTAAAGCCTCGAAAACCAATGACATCTCTCATGTGCTATATATAACCGTGTGTTGCACTTACTCTACTGTTCTTTGCACTTTTCCTAACTTTTAATTGTACGAGTACACTCGTACATTGTAAATGGAATGACACCGCTGTAACTTTTACATTACTCTGCTTGTAATCCCTAAATGGCTATCAGCTTAAATTTGATCGTCGAAAGCCGCTTAAAGAGTATTGCAATGTACACATTGTCGTATGTACATCTTGTTGTACGTGCACGTACAACGATATTGGCACTGACAGCTTACAAGTGTGTACAGAGATGTAAATTTGCATACAGAGAAGAAAAGATACGAGATGTGATTTTACTGTATACGGTTGTAAAAATGTACCATAGTTTGTACGAACAAGTTAGTGGTATGATAGGTATATTACTGATATATTAGTCAGTTTCGAAGGTATATAAGTCAAGTTTGTGCATATTAAAGTCTCAGTATGTTCATTATGTTCATTATAAACCTTGTGGTTGAAGTACCGCACTTACAGTAATTTCTACCAAGCGTTGCACACGGTATTTGTTTGTAAACGTAACATATGCATACTGTAAGTACAGTACTATAAAATAGGTACAGTATTGTAAGTATAGTACTATGAAAATCGGCATTTCGTATGGATAATGTTGTCAACAACATTATATTGTCGCTACAGCACTTTATACAGTATGTTAAATGCTTTAGTTACACCGTGTTTACTGTTTAACATAGTAAATGTATGTCTAACCTAATTACTGTACTTTTTGTACCTATCTACAGCAAATACTGTAACTACTTAGTTTATTAATTATAACTGCTCTTTTCATCAATTTCTATATTATTGTACACATGCCACTAATTACTGTACATTAACACTGTACTTGAAATGTTTTACTATCCCGTATATACATTAACTTTAACGCAATGTATCGTACAAAAGTATATTTATCTAATGGTTGACCTCTGTGCCCCCTTCCCTTTTTTATATTTTCGCCCCGTTCCGCCACCCGGCACAGCCTGGGACAGCCGAACGCGTCGTTTGCTTTTCGAAAAGAACGGCCTTCACCACTGTTCCTCCGAAGAGAACGGCGGCTCGCGTGAGGCACACTGATTCAGTTGTAAAAAGCCTGCAAACGGTTCGAAGGTCACTGCACTCTTACGGGTTTTCGAAATATCACAGTAATCCCACAACATATCAAAGTAGAAATTATGATAGGCAAAAGACTTATATAGTATTTAGTAGAGGCTATGCTATCAAGGAGACTAACAAAGCGTCACATTTAAAGTATAACTTAGCCTTTATCAGCAGTTTTTAAGCTTTAAAAAGTCACAATTTACCTTTTGTTACTTAGATGTTAAACTATACCTACACAAAATAACCCTAAAAAAGCTGAAAACTTTAATAAATCAAACAAAGTCTATGATAATATAGTTTTTGTTGCAAAATCTTACAATATAAAGAACAAAAGTAGTAGTTAAAGTCTGTAATTAGACTTTTTTTGAACTTTTATGAAAGAACACGTAGCGTTATATTACACTTGGGATTTTTGGCCAAGAATTTTACAGAAGAAAAGAATACTAACATAAAACAATATAAAGCTGTTTTTAATCATTAATACTTTAAATATTATTCAAAACATATTCTTTTGCCTTTTTAACCTATTTTTAAAGGCTTTTTCTTCTATTGGGTTGTTCAAATAATCCTGTGCCCCTAAGTCCAAAAATTTGTTTTGAAATGGGACACAGAATTATTTGATCAACATAATAAAAGTAAAATACACAAACTGCAAAATTGTCATAATGTTTCGTTTTTTGAAGAAATTGTTGATAACAAAACAATAGTGATAACGACCTTGGTCTTAGACTTGAAACATTAAGCGTTGTAACATTTTACAGTAATTGTTAGAAGCAATCAAAACAAAAGCAAAAATTTGGCGGGAAATCGAGAATTCAAATTTTTTCGAGACTTCTTATTAACTATGCTGTTCGCAGTGGTTACCTAACTCTTTACTATGCTATTTCCAGTACTCATGAAAACTTAGTCAACTATTTTTTGCTTAATGACTATGTACTTGCACACGGTCACGCTATGTCCTCGATTACCTGGCACAAAACTGCACCATTGATATGTTTCATCGCTAATTAAGTGGTTTAATTAGAGGCCGAGAGAGCAAAAGGCGCTGCCAGTTACTATTTATTGCCTTAAAGTGTAATCCCCAAGATTAGCCAAACTTACAATAAACATGTTGTACTTTGCAATTAAAGTGGTATTGAAAGGACAACATCCTCGGATTAAATGGTGGTAAAAAGTGGTAAAAAATAGCTGAAAGTAGGAAAATATGGTTCAAACTTTTTAGAAAATAAAAAGGTAAAAGAAAGGAAGTAACAAAAGACAGTAAGATTTACGCATACTATAAGTCAATATGAAGTCAATAACTTACTGTATCACAATAAAAGCTTAGTAAAAACCAGAAAAAATGTTATTTATCTTGTTTGTTATCATAAGAACATCAAAAAAAGGCTCAAAAGTTGCGTTTTCCAAGCGAAATCGAACTTTTTGTGTTTTTTGACATTTTCAATTTAAAGTAACTCTGCCAACACTAAACGTATAAACTTGAAAGTTTGAGGATATATACTCCATTTTATGCTTAACAAAACGCATATTGTTATTCCTTTAAATTTAACAAATATTGTTCAAAATTGACGTATTTAAAGTTATTATGACTAGAAGTTTAGCCATGGTTTTAAAATTTTGTTATCAATTAAATGCCTATTACATTTCTAACCGTATTTTACAATTTACATCGCTCTATAATGCCTATGATTCAATATTTATATCTCTCTATGTATATTTATACGCCACACTTTGTTATTATCATATACATCATAACACTATGGATGACACAGTTTATCACCGTAATATGTTTACCGTAATAGCCTTTGCCACAAATTGTAACAAAAAATCTTGTTTTAGTTTTGTGCCGCCCCATGACCATGCACTTTATGTGGCCGGAGGGCGAGGGAGAGAGTGACCAGTCCGTGCCAACACGTGCTGTCACTCTCTCCCTTCGCTTCCCCGTTCCCTCACTTTTTTTATTTTCGGAACGTTTTAATCAAAACAGAGGGTGCGGACCATACTCGGATAGTACGAGGAAGTACTACTGTAAAAAGGGAATGCCATTTGCAGATTGACCTTTGGCTAATACCGTAGTAAGCGCGGTTTACAGTATTGTAGAAGATTGTAGACGGTTTTGATATAAAAGGATATAAGGTAGGCAAATTATGAATTTCAAAACTTAAAATTAAACAAATATGTATACATATGTAGCCTACCCTATATTATATAATGGTCGAATTAGAAATGGCAGCGTTGTCCAAAAAACGTTTACTTTAGATCAAATGTAATTACTTCAAAGTTACCTTCTTATAGCCGACCATATCTCTCAAAAAGAGTTTTATAAGCAAACTTTTTAAACTTTTTTCAAAATTTATCCATAATACGTTGATCTATCTAATATCATTGCCTAAATGTCAACAACTACGTACGTACAACAACATAAACCATAATAAATACATTACTAAAGTCATATAAATACACTATTAAAGTCACATTATTGTAAATAATATCATTTAATGCCTGAAGCGCCTTATCTCAGCTTAAAGCCCAAATAGCCTAGGGATTAAGAGTACCAAACGTCTAGAAAGTCATCTTGTACATAGAGTATAATCTGAACTTATGACATGTAAGATACCTATGTTTCGAAATGAAATGTAATTGAAATGTATATAATATACCTGCATTTCATAACATAACATACGATAATGTAATTGATTTTAAAAACTTTTTGGAGATTATGATGATATTTCAAATCGCATAAAGCGAACAAAAGTAAACAAAGTCATGTTCGAACAAAGACTAAATACGAAGCCTGGCAAGACATAAAAGGTTACTTTGTATAAGATAATATAAGATACGATGGAAATAGCAATGTGTCAGAGTATAGTATCGTACCAAGTGTAATATAGTTAAGAGAAACATTTGAACTTCATTTTTAAAAGTCTTAAGTTACTCTGTTAATCATAATAGTAACACTAGATACCAAGTAAGCCCAACATACCACCAACAGTAGATAGTACGCAACCAAACATACCACATATCATTCAAGGCACATTAAATTTAAATTTTTTAAATCGTTAAAATGCGCGAAATCGCTCAAAAAAAGTAGAAAAATGAAGTTTTTATAAAGGATTTGGGTCATAAAAGACATTCCGAGGACAATGAAGGTCATTTACATTTTTGGCGGATACCTTTCCCTTAATATCATCGATAAAAAAATTTGAATTTTGTAAAAAAAATTTTTTAAATTTAAAAAAAGTTGAAAACACAGCTTTTGTTTCGAACAAAACTTCAAAAACGTTTTGAATAATCTAACCTACCCCATTGTCGTTTACCTTACTCTACTCTAATCTATTGTACCCTACTCTACTCTTCCCTATCCTATCTTAATGAATAGCCTTATTTAAAATGGTAAACATTTTTATAATTTTAACACCTCCTTAACGAAAAAAAACATTCCAACACCACCCATTTAAAAATTCCTTAAAGAACAAAAAGCAAGTGCCAAAGCCTTACAATACCCGAAAGTTACAGTACCCAATTAAATGTTTGTGAAACGTTGTGTAGCTGATTATGTGATTAAGATGCAGTCGATTGCTCCTTTCTTTTTTCACTTGAAATCCATACAAAGTAAAAGTGAAAAACAAAAAAAAAATAAAACTTTGAGGTCCCGCCCCCTCCGCATGCCCTCAGGGCGCTTTCCATCCGCTTTTTCAGTTATCGCGACGAAAAACGAGTGACCACTGGCGATTGGCACGGTCTGGCACCACAAAGCAGAGGTGAATCCGAGTATACTATTACTCGCGAGTAATAACGAAAGTGGTCTTACTGTCAACATGTTGTGATAAACAATTAAAACATGAATCAGATCACTTTCGGCGCAATCTCTTCTGTAATGGCATAAACGTGATTCTGTCGTTCTTTTTTTGAATTTGGAAAAATGTCGGTCAGTTTTTGAAAAAAAAGAAAAAATAGGTAACAATAATACCGAGTTTTGCCAAAAAATACAACATAAAAAAATCTAAAGCCTCAAAAACTCACGTAACTCTTTTAAAAACAGTTATTTAACCCTGATACAATACTTCGAATGTTTTAGATAGCAAAAGTTACAGTACTCTTGAAATGTCATGTCATAACAATCTAAACCCGAACACCGACTGTAACCATGTGACTGTTCAAACGAAAGCGTTTATCTACTTTATAATACTGCGAATAGCTAGGTCAAAGTTTGTTTTGTCCAGCTCGCATCGGGTCATTGAACAGCAAAGCGTTCGTATATTATCTTTACTTTACAATACATCACACAGTAATGTATCACATAGTAATGTATAATATCGCAATATTTTATAAAAATGTTACAGTAGTACTCAAGCTTACTGCAGTCTACCAAACTGCAGTGTTCAAAGTATCAACTTAAAGTGAAATACAACACTATAAGCTTTCAGTATGTCAACATAAGTTAAATTATCTATGAGTGTCAATACGTTATCTTCATTTTATATTACATTACATACACAGTAAAATCAATAAGTTAACGGGCTTGACCGTGCTGAGCGTACCATTCTGGATGATAGGCAGAGATGAGCTCGTTGACTTTGTTGGTCTGATCACATACCGAAATGACATAAGAGTTCCAGTCGATTGGAGACTTCTTTTCTGGCTCTAAACAATAAAATTACTATTCACGCCACTAATTATATTATTCTAGACAAACAAATCTAAATACCTTAACACCCTTTCTTTTTTCAAACATTTTCAACTACATTTTCAAAAGGTAACTGATTTTAAGTCAACCTTACCATCAAAAGTGATCAACCGCTCGATCTGATCCACTTCACCAGCCAAACTTCCAGTAGAAATCAGCCTCGTTACAGCTTTCTCTACCATATCAGGTGCAATACCCAGTAGCTCACTCACATCATCAAACGACACACACTTGTAGATACGAGATACGGCCAGTAAATTGTGTTGTAAGACAGCATTCTCCAGTAGCGTGTTGCCATCTTTGTCTTTAATCTTTTGTTCTGGTTTTAGAGAAGCTTCAAATTGAGGTAACTAAAAAGAGAACTTATTTAGAGCATTTTATAGTAAATAATACAGTCAAATAACTTGTTTTAAAGAAGTTTAGGGTAAATATCACTTAATAACCATAAAACCAAATATTATCTAGTAAAATTATAATTAACAACCCTAATAAAACACAAAACTATAGAAGAATCATAAAAAAAACTTACCAAAGCCGGATCAATTAGCTTTTCTTTAGACATGTTCTGTACAATACCGAATCCGACAAAGTTGAAAACCCGTTCATCTTTGACCAACAACTTCAACAATCTCGTTCTGTGCATCCCCGGAGCTGCAAGCACGGTACAATTCAAAGCATTCTGAAGCGCTTCTGCTTTGTCAGATGAAGTCAAGTTAGGTCTGGCAGACAAATCATAATATCGAAGAGCTGCTTCAGCAAACCGGTTGTTTTTATCCAGAATTCGAGCGTATAAGGCCTAGAAGATGAATATAATTTTAAAAAAACCTTTCAAAACAAGAAAATTAAATTTGAAGTTAACTTACCTTATACCTAATTTTCAAGTCTTCATCGTTGATCTGAGTCTGAAACATCGACGCCCTCGTGACGTTGTTCTCGGCTTCAGTCAAATCATTTGCTTGAAGAGCAGTTTCAGCCAGTCGAAGATGTTCGACCATCTTTTCGTGAGCATCTTCAGCTCCCACACTCATAATTAATCTTCAAAATTGTCTTTAATAATAGAAATACAAAAAATAATATAAAATGTAAAATACGAACAGTCAAATCGTCCCTTTTATATAGCAATCCAAGCCATACTTCTATTTTACATTTTTCTCCCGCAACGATATTATTCATGACAAAAACACACAGAGTCAAACTTGACGTTATTTTACAAGCTTTTATTAGAACATCAAAGCAACAAGAACAGTTTCAGATTGAGATTTGCAAAGGATTGATAAAAAACGAGGATCTTCGGATATTCAACATTCAGATTAGGCCATTCCATCATCTTCATCCTGAGGTTTGGGTCCTCTCACTGGTGGTCCGCCCGCCGGTTTCGACATAATAATTTGGTCTACCTTCAAGACTGTGGCAGCAGCATTTGTGGCCAGCTTGAAGGCCAATAGTTTCGAGTTGAACAGGTCAAAGACATTGTTCTCTACGGAATCGACCAAAGCTCCAGTGGCTACATCAATACCGTGAGTAATATTACCGTTCTGGTGGGCAGCGTAAAGGTTTGACAGGACTTCGGTTGGCTAAAATATTGAGTTAAAGATGTCTTAAAAACAAAAAAGAATACGACTTATAACCTAAATGTAAGTCTTACCTTGAGACCGGCATTGTCAGCCAACAGTTTAGGCAAGGTTTCCAAAGCATGAGCAAACTTCTGAATAGAATATTGTTCAAGGCCTTCATATTTCTCGCCGATCAGCTCAATTCTTCTCGCCAATTCGATTTCAATAGCTCCTCCACCAGCCAACAACTAAAACAATAATTAAAAAACCATTCTAGCTAAAAAATATGTAAAAAATAAGTATTTAGTTATACCCATAAAACAAAAGATAAAGTTTAAATATTTATAAGATACTTACTCTAGTATCCCTGGTGAGTGCTTTGTATGTGTTAACAGCATCATCTACAGCTCTCTCGACATCATCCATTAAAGATTGTGACGATCCCCTGATAACAACAGTAGCGACCTTGCTAAGATCGTCCTTTCTGTCAAATACAACAACATTGTCACCTCCGATCTCTTGGATGTACACTTCAGTGCAGTCTCCCAACAAGTCAACAGTTGGAGCGTTCTAAAACAGTATAATTACAAAAAAATACCAGAAATTTATTTGTGAACATATTTTTCAACAGAACATAAGATATACCAAACACCGAAAGAATGTTACCTAAAAATCAAAAAACTTACAATTCTAGCCTGAGCTTGAGCCCCAATGGTTCTGCACAACCTTCTCATGTCGAACTTGGATGTTAACCTAACTCCCATAATCTTGTATTGGTTCAAATAGTGCAAGTAAATGTCTCCAAATTTACCAGCAGCTACAACAACATTAACACCTCGATCAGCCAACTCCTTGACCTGCTTTTCAACTTCAGATTCTTCAGTTTTCGAGAAAGACAAAAGGTCTTCAGCGTTTTCCATCAAAACTGTGCCCTAAAAATCACTATTGCTAAATTTTTAAAAAGAGATTCTTAAAAACTTTGAAAAGCTTTTGATTCTAAAACAGAAATATATAAAACACTCCTATCATTGAGGAGACTATAAATAACATAAACTTGAAAACAATTCTTACCTTAGTCTCAGTTTGAGTCAGATCGAATGGACAAGCAAAGACAGCAACTCTAGCGTTAGATACTTTCTTAATATCACCTTCAGCTCCTCTTCTGAACACCATGCCATTCATAACATGAGAAGCTCCAACACCAGCTCCCAAAATCTTAACAACACGAATGTTGTCTACGTTGAAGTTGCCAGACTTCTTTGGCACGGTTTTCACTAAAAATATTTTCATAAGCCATAAACACAATACGACTTTCCCATAAAAATTAAGTAACAACTTACCACAAGCAGCAGACACCAAATCAGCGATGAGTTCGTAGTGATCGTACTGTTTTGACATGATTGAAGCCTTCAGAACCTTTCTCACCTTCTCAATGTCGTACAAATCAAACTCTTTGTCAACAACAAGTTCAGGCAGAATCTCAGCAACTTTCTCAAATGCCAATTCATATCCGTTAGCAATTTCCACTGGTTTCAAACCCTAAAATATAGACATTACACTTGGTTTGTAAGCAACAATTATAAATATTTAATACAGTTGATATTCACCATTTGCCAATAAATTAAAAATTTAATCCTAAATTTACAAAAAACAAATAAAACTTATAATTACCATGTTGATGAGTTCATTAGCACTTTCCAACAAAGCAGCGGCAAAGATCAAAACAGTGTTGGTGTTGTCGCCAATCTGCTTTTCTTGCATTTCAGTAGCCATAACCAACATCCTGGCAGCTGGGTGCTGAACCTCGAGCTCCTTCAAGATCGTGGCAGCATCATTCGTAACGAAAACACGTTCCAAATGGTTGATTACCATCTTGTTCATGCCATTTGGTCCATACGCAGTCTTGATTTGACTAGCCAACTCCACACAAGCTTCAATGTTTCGCTGAACAGCTTCGTCCAATCCCTTGAAGTGCATAGCTCCCTCCTTCATAAAACGGGAGTAGCCGGATTTAGGTATACCCATCGCCATGATTGCTGGACGTTATATCTAAAACAAGTAAATAAAAAACAATAAATAGGTTATAATTATGGCAAAACGTATTTTATATAAAATTGTACAAGTTGAAATCATTAAAACATCCGGCCGAAAAAAAATATTCGCGAATATTTTCTCCAGGAATATTCTATTCTTGGCGTTTTGTGTTATCGTGGTGGGACTAACTTAATTCTTTTATTTTTGTTAATTTCGGCTTGAAATTCTACTTTCTGGCCAAAAGATTGTCCAAATAGCCTTATATCTTTGTTTTATCTTTATTTGCAAGCTTAAATTTATTTATTATTGTTTATTTTTCAAGCTTTTACATATTGCTATCTAAGCTGCTTCTTAAAAATGGAGTCGAAGAAGAACAAATTGGTCAGACTTGATGGAGTAAAACTGCCCAGTGCAACAGCTTTGAACGTGACATTGAAAGAAATACAAGTAAGTGGTTTTTTTTTTGAGTGTTTTAGCTATGAGTTTAGGTTACTGGCGAATGGAAGTGGGTAGAAGGAAGAGGAGATACTTGTGGAATATGTCGTGCTGCTTTTGAAGGATGCTGTGTGGACTGTAAGATGCCTGGGGATGAATGTCCGATTGTAAGTTTACTGTTTTTATTAAGAATAGTAATTTCCTTACTTTTTTGTCTTATGAGGCCTTTAATATGGAACTTGTTATTCATAGTCTTAATGTTGTGAACAGTGTCGTATCATAGTTTTTTTGTTAAATTTATTATGTTCAGTATTTTTTAAGCAAAATTTCCAGATTCTCGGTGTCTGTTCCCACGCCTTCCACATGCACTGTATAATAAAGTGGACCAACTCTCAAGTGGCACATCAACGACCAGCTTGTCCACTGTGTCGTCAGGAATGGCGGTATAGTGTTTAGAACAACAAGCCTCTTGACTTTACACAACGGGTGTCTCCCATTTTACGTTTCTTCTGTATATAATAAATTGACAATAACAACCTAGTAGTCTGGCGAAAATAGGTTCAGTCGGGAGCAATGTTGAAAGTAAATTTGGTTGTATTTTGCGTTCTGGTCGTATCTGTGTGTGGGAAAAATGTTTTCGACCAGGTAGGACTGTGCAGGGGATATGGGTTTGTGTTAGGTTTAAAAATTGTGGTCATTGGATTGTGTTATAGTTGGAAATGTTATCGTACTATACGTATAGCTATATTGTAGTACACTTTCATTGTATAAAGCCATGATAGGTTTATAAAGCTTGTGAATATAAGGTAAAAAAATAAGTTAAGGTTTGGATAATCGTATTTTGAAGATTGGTGACAATAAAAAATGACAAGGGTTGAAGAAATTGTTTTAGATAACAAAGAAAGGAGATACGATCATAAAGGAGGCCAGGACTAATCGTATGATTAGAGAATGTTCTTGTGACGAAGAAAGTTATTGTATTGGATCAATCAAAGGAGAAGTGTTCGACTGTTTTGAAGATTGTTGGTCTGGTGTTAAATCTGTAAGCTTGAAAGTAGTTTTAAACCATTAGTTTAACAATAGAATCAAAAGAATGACTTTTATTATAAGACAGACAACTTGTGAATAATATTATTGTACTAATTGTATCATAACTCTAAGTTCATGTGAATTAATTATTATTTCCCATAATGACTTTATAGATTACTGATCAGCCCGATCAATTAAAACAGTGTTTGAAGGACAAGGCTTACATCATCGATCAAATCATTAACTGTTTACATGAAAAAGCCCAAAGGTAAGCAGCAAAATTAGCGCTAAGTAAGCCTTAAGTATTTTAAGTGGCTAACATTTTTGGAGTTAATTAATAGTCGCCAAACTACCGTAATCTTTTGCATTTTTTAGGTTAAATTATGGTTTTGATTGTTTATGTTTGAAGTTTAATCAATGTCTTCGATCAAATGTAATGAGAAAACAAGTTAAACTTGGCTTTAAAGATACTTTGTCACAAAAACAACATCAAAAAGGTTAAAAGTAAACAACAATATAATAGCTGCTATGACGAAAAAGTCACTTTCGAATAATTTTAAAATATAACTATGATAATGATAGCTATGACAATATTCACAATGGAAGTTTTAGCTGCGTGCCAGGAATGGACGGTCCAGAAATCCATTACCTTGACATAAACAAGATCATCAAGAGTGCTGATACCCAGATTCATGTTCAAGCAGACAAGTTCACAAAAACCTTACCATCAAGTGCCAAAGACTTGTTGGAGGCTGCTGTTACTGTAGGAACGTGTGTTAAAGAATGTTTCCAGGAAAAGAACAAGGAAGGATATTGTTTTGATGACAAAAAGTAAGCAGTTCTGATATGGATAACATTGATTATAATATTAAAACTTCATAATCATTATTTAAAAAAGTAAAAGGACGTTCCCTGGGAAATCTACAGTGTAGTTAAAACACAAAATTTAAAAAAATATAAGTAGTATTGATGACAAACTATAATATTATACGAAAACACTTATCAGTGGGCTTGATGGGAATGCAAATTTCAGATGTCAACCAAAGATTGAATCCAAAGAAATGAGAAGCGCTTTGAAAAAGTGTTCCAAGGAGCTGGAATGGCAAAAAGAAGCAGCCGAAATGTGTGATTGCTTCTTCAAGGCTGGTGTTAAGTAAGTACTTCAAGAAAAACTTTTTCAAAATTGAACGTACTGGTCACTAAAACGTAGATTTTGTTCTTACCATAATTAAAACAGTATTAGAAAGCCATTTACCTACTTTACCCAAAAATTTTCCCCACCTAACCTATACCTCAATATATACACCACAAATTAAAATAAACTTTGCAGCCGAGTCCAACAATACTGTGACATGATACACTCGATGAATCGTCACAAAATCAATTGATAATAATCATAATTATCTTTATTAAAAGTACATCGTTGTAAACGCTCTAATGATGGAAATAAATGTTTTATGCTACTCCTTCCACTGTAGTGCGGGCTTTGTTCCGGGTGGTGATTGACGATCTTGTAGTAGGTTGTCTAATCGAGATCTTCACTTCATCTTGATCCACATCGTTCTCGCTGTCTTCTGTTGGAGTCGGAGTACGATCTTCTTGAGTACGACGATTCCTCGGGTTGCTTGAAGCATCTAGTTCACGGTCATAGTTGGAGATGAGCTGAAATTAAAGGTTTAGGCTTACATTTCAAAGAATCTTGGTTAATTTAAGGCATACTTGTTATGAAATGGAAAGAATTCACATAGAAAATATATATTGATAATAGTTTAGAAATATAAAATAACTTACTTCGTCCAGGTTGTATCGACCCCTGAACTCAATGTAGAAGCCCTCCACCTCTTCTTCCGTTCTGTTTTCTAACCGAGCGGCTATATCTGCGTAGTTCAATCCCAATTCACGGAAACCTACAAAAGAAAACATTATAAAATGATTACAAAATTGAAAGCTACTCAAAAAAACGTCATAAAATTTAAAAAATATTTTTGTCTATAAATCTATCACACAAAGAAACTTCAGATGAAGTTTCTGAAACTTCAGTGCAATCAAAAAATTTAAAAAAATAAAATGTAGAGTTACAACATGAATAACTATACAGTACCTAACTGTAGTTTTAGAAATAGTAGACTTTATCTTACCTCTGACTAGTTTGACCTTTTCGGTATCATTCCATTCAGTTCTTCTTCTGACATTGCCCAACTTTTGTTCTTGGAAACAGTCAAAGTGCTCTCTAAAAATGAAAATTTATTAAAAATTGAAATAAAACAAAAAATTAAAACTTTAAAATAAAAATATATCCACTACCATATATAAACTATATCTGATTGTAAAACAAAAATAAGTAACAACTTATTTTTTAGGTATAAAAGTAAAATATTACCCGAATAATTAAACAAAAACCTACTCTTGATAGTTGTAATCAATAGGAGCATCCAACTTCTTGGACACGTACTCATCGTCCTGCAGTTTGACTGATACCGGACGTGATTTACCGTACAACTGTTTGTAGAAGGAGCATACATTACACAAAGATTCCTTGCTTTTGACACTGCTGTTACAATTGTGGCAATCTCGACGAGATGTGACAGGTTCTTCTTCTGTACGATCCATCATGGCTGGACATAACCACCTAGACTCACCGTAACACAACCTGTGTAGCAGTTCGTAGCGCTTCTCAACTACTCTGGCTCGTGCGTCGCTGTACCCGTATCGCTCGGCAAACTGCAAAGATTTTAGGTAATATATTTTAAAAAAATGTTTTTCATGATAATAAAAAAATGCTTATGTGTAAGGCCATAAAATATCACGATATAAGTAATATGAACTTGAATGTTGTACCTAAAATTGTGAAAACAAGAAAATAACTTACATATTTTTGTACATGTTGAACCTTGCGGCCCTGTGACAGTTTCTTAACGAGATCCTTTATTTCTACAGTCTTCCATACGTACTGTGGCAGTGGAAGTTTCTCAAAATCTTGTAGTGCTTTGGCAAGATCGTAACCTCGTTCAAACAGATGTCGTAGAGCAAAGTCACCGTTAACGTTCCTACACGTCCTGGCTAACTCAATATACTTTCTGACATTCAGATCCCAAGCGAATTCATTTTTAGGTAACCACATGACGAGTTCCTTCTCTTCATCGTCCGCCGAACTTTGTTTTAAGTCTGGGATCTCAGCTTGGAAGCCGTCCCCAATACCTGGCTGGTCTTGTGGTCTTTTGTCGCTTTTTTCGTTTTGCAAAAACGACTTTCTAACTGATCTCCTCTTCACAACATCTTCTGTTTTGTCTTCAACAGCAATGCCCGAAGATCGTAGGTGTCGTATAGAAGAAGGCGTAGACCCGCTAGCCTCTTCTGCTTGGTCCTCTGCTACTTCTGAACATGTTGACATAGCACCATTTGGGGTATTTGCTCTACTCTATAATTAAAAATAGACTTTAATATGGTTTTTCAAAATAATATTGAATTTAATTATTTTTGAGATCAAAGAAAGTGTCGGAATAATATTTTTACTTATACTTGTACACCATTCTCGTACCTTCCATATTTATTAAAAAATGTAATATATATTCAAAAATAGGCTAAAGTTAAGTTATCCTAAACCAAAAATATGTTTGAAAGACTATAAGCTTACCTCGGATATGTTTTCGTTCATCGACATGTCAACGTCCATCGTCATCTCGGAAGGCACGTCCATGGACACTTCATCACGGTCCGACGTTGATTGCTGTGAGTCTTCTGGAGTCGACATTTTGAAAGACAAAGGCTAAAGATATAGTTATATTAATTAAGTCTTTATAATATATTAAAAAACAAAGTATCGCGTTAGCCTAAGCTCTAAGAGGACCTAACCTAACACGAAAGAATTGATGAACTGATGTTTTAACACCTTCAAGCCGCCTTTTATAGTAGGCCTATTCAGCACACATTTTTGATACCCAAAAGTCGTAAAGACATGATAGGAACAGTTATGTAACATTGATCCAGCGCGCGGATGCTTTAGTCGTCTTCGCCTATAGCTCCTCCATTCGGGAAGCACAAAAAATGAGGCGAAGACAATTGTCTGCCGACTCTCCCCAATCCGCCCGCTCTCTCGCCCTCCACAAAAAACGCCGAATCCGCAGATGAAATCGGAATAAAACGTTGGTGGATTAGGAAATTCAAATCTTACAAAGTCCAATCAACTCAAAAATGCATAAAATAGCCTAAGGCTGCAAATATAAGATAAAAATATCGAAAAGACTCAAAAATCTAAGACTAACCTTAAAAACGATATTGTACATGGCAAAATGAGAAAATAATAAACTTACATGTGAAATCCGCTTCTTTACACGACTACGCAGACCTTCCCTCATTATTCTAAGTCATTGGAAACATACGATACAGATATTGTGAAAAAATAATTTTTGTAAAATAAAAAAATAATTTTTTGAATTTAGTCTTGCAACGATAACATCAGTGGCACAATTGCTGCAAAAAATGAATTACAAAAATAAAATAAAATAACAGTTTTATGAAAAACCCAGCTTGTTAGGTATAATTACCATACAATTTTTAGTAAGCCAGCTCAACCTCTTAAAATTTTTGACCTAGTGTAATATCCGCTGTTATCAATTCTTAAATTGCTGGTAACTTAAAAACTAGACATTCTATTTTCACCTACTATAGCTTAAATTAAAAACTATGGTCTAGGCTACATTGTTATTACTTATTTTGCTTATGAAAAGCATATATTTAGCGATTATGGCGGAGTTTTGGTTTTGGCATGACTGCCTAGTGTAACATCATTTTGTTTATTGGATAGTTTCTTCTTTTTTAACGGTTTATATCAAAAAAATTAATTTTTAAGGGCTGTTTTCATATTGAAAAAAATTTTATAATTTTTAAAACATTAGAGTTGGCTCTATCTTGCTTTATTGATTGATTTTATCACCTATACGGACAGTATTTTTTATATTTGGTAAAAAACATTTGAAAGGTCGGATGTTACTTTGATATGAAACATCTTGTTCGTTGATGAAAGAGAGTATTTGGAGTTGATAAAAAGGTGTCTTAGGGGCTGTTTTTTTAAAATTATTGTGTAACATGAGACGTTAATTGTCTGAACTTTGATATTCTTAGTGGATCGGCAAGGAATGGTGTATATGTTTGAGTTGGTCTTATAATATATTTTTAGGGTTGATTTACATTACTTAGACTTTTTTTATTGTCTCCTTTGCCTTTCAAATTTGAAATTAATCGACCCAAAAATTATATTATATGGTTTATTTACGGAATAAAATTATATTAAAAGTTGCCTGTAATTGTTTTAAATGTTCTGTGAGTAAGAGATCAACTGTTTCTTTGGGAAATGACACCGAAAGTAAATGTGTTAAGAACCAGGTTTTAATTGCCAAAGGGAGTTATTGTCTAATGTTATTGATAGTGGATGAAAGAGTGTAAGGTTAGAGTGGTACAAGATTATTCTGGCCTAAAACATGGGATAGGTTTCGAAAAGTATCGCACTGATTTTTTTGCAGAATTTTTAAAGTTTAAAATTTGAATTTAAACTGCACCGTGCAATCAATAAAATATATTATACAATGGCAATCAGTCCGAGACCTTTAGAAACGACAAAATATAATTTACAAGGTTGCGTAAGGTACAAGTTATTGTTGATTAAAAAGTAACCCGAAGTCGTGGAATGATAACAAAGATATAAACCGGGTGTAATGTCTACGATATGACTAACACAAACTGTACATTGAGATATGTTACGATAGAAATGACTAGGGAGACTAGGTGCTAATGTTTTGTTCAGTATTCGATATTGTTTTACTATTGAGACATTACAGTATGGGTAATTTTACAGTATAAAAATGGTTATTGTAATAGTACAGTGTAAAAATATGATAGTAATATTACAGTAAGATAGGTGAAGGTAATATTACATTATAGCTAGGAAGTATAGATATTATAGTTGACAAAGGTATGGCTAAATGTAAAATATTGTTGAATGTTGGTTAGTAGGTAATGGCTAATATTACAGTTTGGTTTCGATTAATTATGTTAGTTTTCATGGATAATATAATCAAATAAAAGTGCTAGTTTGTCATGGTATAAGGGTGAATGGAGCTTTATATTGACATAGTTAGGTTGAGGGTAACTTTTGTTGGTAGAAGCATTATACGTTGATGATGAAGTATACCATGGCTACATACTAACTCAGAGTTATATTAAGCTTGTAGATATTACAGTAAGCAAGGTGTTCAATTTACAGTAAGATAAATCTTGATATTTCATTAAACAAGATGCTGATGTTACAGTAAGCAATATGTTGAAGCAAGTGTTAGAGCCTGGGTAGAGGACGGCCGACGGTACTCGAGACTTCTGGCCTGAATTTGAATATTCACAAAGACTGGCTACAATAATTACCGTAATTTGAGGAAAGTGCCAATCTGTTCAGCCGTCAGTTTGGTCGAAGGAAGGTTAATATGCAAAGGTCTGGACACATCTTGTACACCAAGGATGAAGCGGCCGAACCTCGAGAGTTTTGGGAAGTTAGTCTCTCCAAAGGTGGACCAGAACTCGAGCAAAGATCTATAACTATATCAGCTTTATTACGGTAAAATTGGGGTTTATTAGTAATATTTTTAAAAGCTACAATAACTCTACCGTATAGTTAAATATATTGTAATTTCTAACTATGCTAATTGGCGAAGTGGATTATTTTACTTTATTTTAATTTGTAGTATAACCAGCTTTAAGCTGTATTTTCAATACTGAATCACAAAATATGCACTTTAAGACTACTGTAACATAATTTTTAAATTAAATCATCCTAAAGACCATTAAAAAATTTAAATTTTACAAAAAATAATCAAATTTTCCTAAAAGTCCAACTTTCTGTAAATACCACGGGATTGCAAGGTAATGTCATAAACAGCGTCGAACTTGACGCAGTAAGACACGTAGACGAACACCTGCATCTATTTACAGGTAAAAATAAGTTTACTACGTACTTATGTTTGATTATACCTATTTTTACCATGAATAGAATACGGTAACGAGGGCAAGTGATGACATTAACTTAATATAGCATTTTGTGTTAAAAAGGGTGAAAAAAAAGAAGGGGGGGTGTATTTTGTAGGAGTGATAAAAAATAGATGTTTTCAAGTTAACTTTGTGGCTTGGTTAATATTTTTAAAATTTGTTGTAGATCGCTCTATTTTTTAAAATCTTACCTTATTTTACCCTGCCCGAACGGTGTCCTCAGGTAACACTCCAACTCGTCGTCCTCCATCGCACAGTCCTCGAGCTTGGAAAGAAAGTTCCTGCGTTTCCTGGCCGGCTCTCCATCGTGCGATGACGAATCCCGTTCCCTTCGTATCTTGTTCAACCCGCTGACGTCCTTGATGGTGGAGTAGATGTTGATTCTAAAAACGGATATGTATTTTTGGCTGAGTAAACACGGTAATCTTAGAAGACGACGGGTTAGGGTTTCAGGATTCTGGGCACGTTACGCACTCATAAAATACTTGTTTTACGTAAATGTAAGCGGATATTGTTGTAGTGACAAACTACATCAACACAGTTACACATTGTAATGTCATCTTGGTGAATGACATTATAGATGGTGCGAAATGACATCTTTCGCTAAACAAATATATAAACCATCAAATTCTTTGGCAATTTAAACATCAGATATATTGATTTAGAGGTCAATTTGAACTTACTTTTCCATGTCAGTGCATATCAGCTGCAAACTTCGTATCTTCGGGTTCAATACAGTAGCCATATAGTGCTCTTGAGTCAAGTTTTCTCTCGACCACTTCTTCAACTTCTCTTCAGCCCTCTTCCTTATACATCGACTCCATTCTTCACTCTCTTCTACCTTAACATCGTCGACTTGAATATCGTCTCCATCAACTTGTTCGTATTCGTCTAGCAAGTTGAACCAGTTGGGCACAATCGACTGGAAAGTCAACTCTTTTTGCTCACTAAACTCATTGAAAGTGTCGTAGTAGCTTTCCAAAAACAGCTCCACCTTTTCGACAAACGTCCAGTCGGTTGTCTGCAGTTTCATGAAGTATTCTGAAAAAAATACTGTAAAACTTCAATAGGAAAGAAAAGTAAAACAAAGTTTTCATCTTAGCTTACAATAGAGATGGATTTCACTGTAGTTTTTTTCATAAAAATAATATTTGATATTATCTTATTTGAACTTTCTTTGCTGCAATTTACAAAACTCCAGAAAACCATTCAAATGCAATTAAAACCTATGAAATTTGCTGCACACGTTCACTTTAGACTACAATTTAATCGTGATAAAACTTGGTATCTTAAACTTAATTGATTCCGAAGTGATGAGTGATAAAATTGATATTAACCAACCTGTTCCTCCGGTCAATTCCTGAATATTCGCTATCTTTCCCAGGTTTTCCCGAACGAATTTCAAAGTCAAATAAAGTTCGGAAATCTTGTCGGTTTTCAAAAAGACATCATGATTGAGTTTTCGCTCCAACAAACATTGAGGTATCTCATCTAACATCAGCTTCTTCTGAAACAGGGAATCAAGGATAATATTGCAAGTGCTGATAAGCTCTCGGACTTCGTTGACCTTTGGAGACTCTTCGAAGGATTCATTCACAATCTTGGACAGAGCTCTGACAACATTTCTGATAACTTGGACGTTGCTCGGCAGGCCTTCGAGCTTGATACTATCATCAAGGTCGGAAGAGAAAGATAAAAGTATTTTCCGAGCATCTTTTATATTGTATTCTTCTATTACATCCTTCAACATTGGTACAAAGTCCGTGATTTTAGGGTTTTTACATGGTAACACTCTGAAATCAACAAATATTTAGGGGTGAGAAACGGGCCGTCTAGGCCCGGCCCGGCCCTACGATCGGGCCGGGCCGGCCTTGAGCAAAAACTGAAACGGGCCGGGCCCGAAGGTTAGGCCCGGCCCGCGGACCGGACTTGAAAATTGGGCCCGGGCCCGAAAAAAATATTTTAAATTTTTTAAAATTTTTTATTTCAATCCCCGTTGATGTTTTGTGATTACAAATATTTTTATAATTCAAGATTTATCAAAAACACGTCATAGAAAATCGATCGTGGCACTTCGTTTTCCCATATTTTTTGAAAAAAAACGAAATTTTATTAATTTTCACTGATTTTCAGCTGTTTTTTGCCCTTTTTTCTAACTTTTACTGTGTATATGTCCAAAACTCTTACTTTAGCGGCCGTTGTGTCATTTGCCATTCATCAGTAATATAATCGGCCATGATGCACATGAATTCCTCGTCCCCAAACTTTATGGTTTGGCCGAGGAGCGAGATCCCAATGTCTTTTATCTGCTCCAAATCCTGTTTCGTTGCACTTTTGATGGCATCGTCTTGTGCCATAACAACCTGTAAGTATTTATTTTAAGAATTCGTGCTATTGGAAACGATATCTATTAAAAAACGTTCCAATTAGGCGTTTTGGAGGTGTAAAGTCTTGGTTTTTGGTTAGAACATAGGAACATAGTTAGGGTTTTCTGTAAATTTAGGTACAGCAAAGCGTTTTAGGGGTAAATAGATATAAAATTGTAGCTTTATAGTAAGTTAGAGCGTTACATGCACCTGTTTGGTTATAATCCGCAAGTACAATATAATATTGACGATCTAGGGCTGGTCTAGAGGGGAAAGCTTCAAAAGACACGTACTTATTAAACCGGTGTGCCTTTTAGATGTATATCTTGGCCAGCAGTAGATTTATGTGGCAAAAAGAGTATAATATAGGTAATGTCTGGTGAAAATGTATAATTGTGTCTAGCAAAGGTATACTATGGATATTAATGTAGCCCTTTTCAAAAGCGACATCTTTTTGGCTAAAGAAGTCCTATAAGACAATATTCCTTTGGAATCTTGTCGAAGATTAGCAAACGCTTTGAAGGAGAAGTTTTGGAATGTTAAAGTAGTAAATAGACGGATTCGAAACCCCCGGGGCAGATTAAACGGCTTTGTAATGTAGAAGGTGTTTACTGGCGGGAAACCTGAGAAGTGTTCTCTGTAAAAGGTCTGACACGAACCTCACGCATTTGTTGAGCACTGGGTATTAGATTCCTGACCGGATCAAAGCTGTTCGAGACGTGGTTATCTCCATGGGAACGTCGGCCGATGAATAGGACCGTTTCGATTAGATTCTTGAAGCCTTCGCCCTACAAACATATTAAGGATAATGGCATATGGGTGCAGTAAATTCATAAATATGGGTTGTAAATATGCAACAGATATTATAGTTGTTGTAATGGCCTAATGCCATAATAATACCATAATAATAAACAAAGCTCTTACCCCAACAATGTCACTGTTCTGCATATCTTGAGCACAAAACTTCAGCACAGCTTGGGCGAACAACTGTTTGTCGGCTTGAGTAAAGACATAGCCAACTCCAGTAATCACTACTGGCGGCACTGGTGTCGTACCTCTTATCTGTTGACTCGAACCTGGTCTGCTGGGTGTTGATGCTTTTTGGTTTGGATTCAGATGTTGATACTGTTGTAGAGGAGTTGGTGTGGTGACATTCGACCGACTTCCTCCTATATTTGTGTTCGTAGTAGATAAACCGAGATTGGCTACGCCAACAGCTGAACCTGCTCGTTGAAGGGGTGGTAATGCTGTGTTTGGATGTAAAAGTGTGCTAGTTGTGTTTGTAGTTGGTGCAGTTGTGGAACTATGTCCAGCTGAATGGGACCTGAAGAAGCCACGATGATTTTCCGGTAATGACTCAATTGAAGTTGAGCCATGTGACAGACACGATGAAGTGTATCCGGTGGATCCTAACGAGCTGCCCAGACTTCCGTGATATCCTTGATAAGCGAAGGCTTCGCGTGCTCCTATAGTATTGTGCTGATGGTCGGCCTGTTCCTGCACGTCTGGAGAGCTGGGACCGAAGCCGTGCACGGATTCGAAGGACGAAGATTGGGTACCACTTTGTTCTTGGTTCTCGTTTCTAAAGGATAATGTTGTGATTGTTTGTGTTAGGTTTAATGTGTTGCTCAGGTTTTTGTTGTTTAGGTATTATGTTATGTTTTAATCAAAAAACGGGTTTCTCTTTTGGCTATAGACTTTGATTTTTCATTTCTAAATGTACCAGAATATCATATATTCTAATTTGCTATATTAGTATCTTGACCAGAATACCTAATCTTGTAAGTTTGACCTCTGTTCTCTACATTTTGTGTTTTCTTGTCGAAATGTTTAACTAATCTCATAAAACACCTTGACATTATGTATGTGAACGAAAACCATCTACTTAGTCATGTATAATTCAGTAGTCAATTTGCATAAATTATACCTCGAGATGGTGCGATAGCTGCTGCCCATGGAACAGCGATGGCGGGTCATATTACCAGTGCCCCCGCCCGTGTCCGTATACAACACCTTGCATGCATAACAGGCCACATAAGGCAGCCGGTTGCCGGTCTGTTTGTCCACCACCTGACCGAACAGGTTCCAAACATCGGATCGGCCGCGCTTCCTGACGAGCTCGAAGCGGCCCTTGCTGTGACGAATGTCGTTCTGTATCTCCTGCTTACGTGGGATGTTCTGTTCGGCCAGCGGGAGCGAACTCGTCGATGCCGTGGACTCGGTTGAGGCCTGAAATGTGCATATTACGATGGGTTTTGCATATATCAATATCAAAATGATGTGTTGGAAAGTCGTTCTTCATAGTTCGAAAGCATAGATATGCACTTTAAAATAAGTGAATGCTCAATTTGCTTTAAAAATGTGAGGATCGTGCAACAAATACTGTAGAAAGGACGTCAGAAGTTGAAATTGAGACTTACGTGACGGTTCGGATCGAATAGTCGCCGTTCCTCTGACCTCAGGGCTTCTTCTGCGTCAGGCTAAAGAAATGAACTTGAGAATTCATAATTAAAAATAGAATCTGTAATTTGGCGAAAAACCTTTGGAATTCATAATTTATAAGCTGCTTTTCTTTTACTTTGTTATTCCATGGTATTTCACAACATTTGAACTTGTTTTTGAGTGAATTTAAATCTGTTTTAAATTTGCTTTGATTAAGATAATTAGTTCACAATGTTTGAGGCAAGAATCACTTATTTTTATTTTTTAAAGTTGATTAAAAGTGATGTGAGTTTCATTCTAAAGCTCCATTTACAAGCTTATCTGCCAAACTTATTTACAACATGACTTTAAAGCTCATTTTCCCACTAATTTACAACGTTTTACCGCCGTAATTTGTTGTTGCGGAAATTAATTTTAGAGATTAAGGTTGACTTACATTGGCTATCGTGCCCAACGTGAGGGCTTTGTTTAATAACCAGTGGTTAGGTTGATTTAGAAATTCCGTATTGGAAACCATGGCCATTAATTCCTCCTTCGTGGCGTCTAAAACAATTCATAAAGATTTATGAAGCCATTGAAAGCCTAATCTTGTGTAGACGTAAGTGGGTGCTTATCCTTGAAGACTGTATTATCCTTGGTTAAAAGTTTACTTTGGAAGAGTTTATCCTACGTTAAAAGTGTGATTATCCTTGGTTGAAAGGTGTATGTGCTAATCCTTAAACTTTCCTGTCTTATCTTGAAGATTTCATGATTTTACGTGTAGCTCATGAATCCCTAGTAGCTTTTTTTGACCTCTGGCTTTGGCTAAGTGTTCTATTATAATCTCATAAATCTCTGTTTGTGTAATTTACCCCTATTCTTTATGTAAAACCTAAAGTATAATCGCATAGTTTAACGTTGTAAATCCCCGGTTGGATGTTGTAAACTTACACGTCGGTTCTTGCTTCACATTCGCACACAGCAAGTTGATCGCGCTGGACGATAAATCCGAAATTGACGTCAAACCCTGAGGATTAGTGCTGGAAGTGAGGCCGCCGTTCAGGGTATTATTGGCGTTCTGCATGGCCGCGACGGCCGCTGCGATCTTTGAGTACTCATCACTTCCCATGGGCTGAGTGAGTGGAACCAGTGGATTGGGCGTCACCACGGCCGGCATCTGAATCTGGGGAGTCACGTGCTGCTGGAGGGGCTGGGAGTGAGGGATGGGCGACGGTTGGGAGGGCTTGATCACCGGAAGCGGCTGATCTTGGTCTTCATCCTCGATCGCGGCGCTTTTGCGCAGCGCTCGGCTGCGATCCACACGCGAAATGGTGCCCGTCGTTCAAGCGGCCAGACTGGTCCACGGGAGCTAGCGTGACGCCAGGCTAGTCGACTTGGCTAGCGTGACGTAGATTCACGTTTTGTCCTGTGAATCGTGGCGGGATTCACTTTTTGGTTTCAAGTTGTAGGAGGTATGGTTTTTTAACTGATTCAGTGTTCTCCTAGCTGTATCAATCAAATGACTGCTCTGACTATCGGTTGGTTCAGTTTTTGAATGTCAAAACCAATATATTCAAACTGAAGAATTCACGTTGAATTCGAGACAAAGCTGCAACGAACGGTTTTATAAACTGAACGACGTCATTATAATGGATTCACGCAAAAGCGACAAATTATTTATTCAATTTTGGAGAAACTTAAATACATAATTGCTTCATATATTTAATTTTATCGTCCGAACGATGACAATGTATGCAAATGGTTATAAAGGTAATAGAAAGATGTAAAGAGGTGTTCTAAAGGATAGTCATACCATAAAATGACAGTAAAATTCTGATTTATATGGCTTTAATCAATACTATTTGTTATAGGGATATGAACGTGAGGATAATATATAACACTGTACTTACAATGTAAAACTAAATACACACACACAACATACATAAAACCCATAACATATCCTAAAAGATGATGTAGTAACCTCCTCAGTAATTACTCTCCAAACGACAATGAATAAGATACTTTAAGTCAACGTGAACCCCCAAATGTAACACATAAATGCTTTCCGAATCCCCTGGAGTCATATTAAATTAAGGTTGGCGGTGAAACACTGTGGAAATATATTAACAATGAAGGGCCGAGCTGTAGCCCTGACAGCACTCAAATTAAATAAATAATAAATGGACAGTTTCGAAAAAGACACAAGATTAATTAGCCAAATGTAACGATACAAAACGATATAAATCCAGCAGAAAGCGGCTTGCCATGTTACACATGCTGCATTTACAGTTAGGGGGAGGATTAGGCTAGTCACGGAAGTAGCTGGTGGGGAAACCCTTTGACGGACAATTCTAACTGCATTAACATGCAGATTTAATTGCGCTAACCTTTGGCTAATTGGTCTGGGAGACGGCATAGTGTAGGTCATGCTCATAAGTGGCATAATGTCGCTTAAAATTAAAATTTTGATCTGTAGTGTTAAAGGAAAGTCGAATTTTGAGTCGAAATGTCGTATATAATTAAACTTTTAAATATAAAACGTCAGAGAAAATTTAAATATTGTTTAGGTATGTAACGAAAATATAAATTTAGTCTCAAAATACAGGTAAAATTTCAATTTTGCATAAAAATACCCCTAAAACTTAATTTTACCCCAAAACACCAGCCAAAAATCCAAAAACAGAAGGGTAATTTGACCAAAGCCCTCATTAAGCAATGTCATCGCCATTAGCACGCCAACTCAAATACGTTGAAGTTACAGCGATTGCATGACATTGTAAAACGGCGCTGTAAACTTAATTGACAGTTGTAATCGTGTACCCAGCAGCCCATTGTGAACACGTAAAATGCAAATTTATACGGTGCACTTAATTAGAGATATGTCGTTCCCATGCACCCACACCCCCGGTCGATGAATTCCGCCGACCCTCAGGCGATAATTGGAAAAAGAGTGTGGGCCCGGCGAAAAAAACTTGAAACACGAAAAAAGGCCGAATTCGGGAGAAGGGGGCGGGGGCAAGTGTACATCTTGGCCTTCTTTCACCAACATAACAAAAAACGTGAAACATTAGCCGTTTTTGGCAGGTCATTTACGTCAACATACGCACGATTATAGTATAATTACTTAGAAGGCAAAATGATGGTGGGGAAAGTGGAAAACATGGCAGAGGGGAGTTAAGAGGATGGTGGAAGAAGGCAAGAATGGCTGGATAAACCGAAATAATAACAAAAATAATTTTATAAAGATAAAAATTAAACAATGAAGAAAATAAATAAGAAAATTAAAATGTAAACCATGGTGAATATAAAAAAACAATAATAAGACTAGCCAAAAGTTGCAAGATTAAATTTTGAAAGTTTGTCTGGCAGTTGAGAATACTTGAAATAAAAAACAAGTTCAAGATTCGAAAGTAAACAATAGCACCATGATCTTGAGCAACTCATGTTGCAAACTCAACTCTCAAATTATTTTGAACGTTGTGACGTCAAGTCATAAGGTTAAGAGCTGATTTAAAGTGTAAAAGCATGACTTTCAAAATTTACAATAGTTGTAAAATTTGCAAAAGATACAACCCCTAAAGGAATAATCAAAATTTGTTTTTATAGTTAAAACGCCTACGTCAAAGTGAGAAAACGCAGTGTAATATAAAGTAAATAACCCTTTAGATTAAATTTAAAAAATGAGCAAAATTCAAATCAAATTAAAAAAAGTATGATGCTTGAAGTAGATAAACAAAGTATCATGCCCGAAGTAGACGAACACCTAGTTACTGTAAAGAAACAAAGAGTGAATCACGGAACGTTCGTCGCCAGAAGCAAACAGCAAATCAGGAATTTCGAAAAATAATAAAAGGAACGGTCCCAGGCAGTTTGCATAAAAATTCAAGACATTCCCCATTATGGAGCCCTCGTAAAGAGTTCTTTATGTTTTCTCCCTTTGGCCGCATTTTGTCGCCGATCAGTTTTTTTTTGATTTTCAAGTCTGATCGGACAAAAACTGATCTATATGTTATTAATTGAATGCGCAAGGTAAAACCAGTGATTTGAATGTTAATGAACCGTATTTTATAATTTTTAAAAGTTTTTTATGGCAAAAAAATTATTTTATAGATATTGTAGTCTTTTATGAACATTATAGTAGAAGAACAACAATCCTTGTGCAAAACCGTTCCCCCAAACAGTCCAAAACCAACATTTCGACATAAAACAAGGTCCGTTCTAAACCCTAAAGACCCACTAACAAGAAATGTCATGCTGTACCCCATCCGCTTAACCTTTCCCTCCGAAAGTACAAGTCATATAGACATAAACAGGGAAGAATGCTGGCAATATCGTATAATTAACAATGTTATTTCGACAAATGTAACCCTGTGTGTACTATAACTGAAATTATGTACATACAATTTGAATATAAAGTGGCCAAAGGGAGCGAATATTGTTGTCAAAACGAAACAAAACACTCTAAAATACGATGAAACACCGGTGCAATGCCGCAGGGGAGTGGTCTAACAGATTGTGCATTTCCGGTCGGTTTTAAGGGAAGATAGAGTCACGCGCGGGCCGAGCATCGGAGATGGATTCAGCGGGCATTATAACTCTATAGAAGTCACTAAAGATTCCAGGAAATTCACTCAAAAGTTATTTTAGCTTAGTTATTAAAAGAGCTAGGAGAAAATCGTAAAGATAATATAAATAAACATTTAAAAACTAGAAAGTAGAAGTTTGAACGCTTGCTTACACTCCCAAGTTAAGTAACTATAAGTACGTTAGCTTAGAATCCCGTAGCCCACCCATCAACCGTCCCCTTCCCATCATAATCCCATATCCGGCTTACCAACCACACCGCGGCCGGTTTTTGTTTCATACTTTAAGGGCCCTCAACCCGGTAACCTGATAAGCCGTGGAAAAAAACGCCAAGTGCCAACGTTTTCGAAACCATGATGCATTAACGTAATGATAAGAACGCAAAAACGAGAGTGCATCATCTCTAACACGGCGGGGAGGGGGTTGAAGAGCGGGTCTGACCCGGAAAGAGAGTGCGTCTTTCCGAACCTCCCAATTTTTCTGGATCTGCGAGCTCTCGTTCGCCCTTAGGGCGTCTCCTCTCCGCTTCTGCCGAACATGCCACGGACCCAAAAAAAAAACAAAAGAAAACACACACACACTCACTCACGTTGGGGGACGTGCGGGCCAGGAGGGCCCAACCGGAACGGCCGGGATTGTCGCGCACACGGCCGAAGGTAAGGACGCCGGAGAACGTTGTATCTTTGGCGCCAAAAAATGAAGCCTTGGGGATAAGGAAGCACAGGGTTTATGCTTTCCAAAAATAAAACAGAAAGCGCCCGCGGGCTAGTTCACCTTTTTCCCTTCGAATGCAAACACAAAATGAAATTCAACACAAACGGAAGCCGAATGATGCCATGCGAAAACAAAAAAGGGCCGTGAACGCTCAGATCAACACGCTTCTGATATGCAGCGTTCCGATTCGAGAATCTCGTTGAAATTATAAACATATTCAGCGGAAACGATCAAGCACAATATACAGAACGATAGGGATGTGTTGTAGAAGGTAGAGAGCAGACATTCGTATTCAAAGAAGGCAAACCCGGTCTAAAGAATCCGGGAGCGGGGGTGGTTTTTCTGATTCCGTGAACGGAAACAAATATAAGGTGTTTCTAGGAACGTGACGGGTTACTTTGTTGCTTCGTAGTAAGGTAGACTAATGATCTTTGAAAAAATCTAATTTTAATGTGATTTTGTATTTCTAAATCAAGCGTTTCAGGTGCAAACTGAGGTCATTTAAAAAAAATATTTCTAAATTTCAAAAATCTAATTTTATAGATATTTTTTCAGCTTATTATAAGTAAAAAATTAAATTTTTTACATTTTAGCCTAAGATAACCTTGTGTAAAAGTTCATCACTATGGCACATGTAGAAAGATGATTAAAAAATGATAAAAACAGCTAACTTTACACACTTACAACCTTTTAAAGTACTCTGTAAAGCAACTCAATTAAGAAAAGAAACCCTAAACGCAACAAAATGTACATATATAGAAAATTGAAAAAAAAACTATCAAAACATTTGGAAAAACAGAAAAAATATACCAAAGTCATGTTTTGACTTAACAAATAAACCCAAAATGTAAATTTAAACTACAAAAACCCCTCCAAAAACCGCCAAACCCAAAAGTAACAATGCCCAAGATCTGGCGACAACAAACCGACTCGATCATCAACGGGTCACATCGACGTGAAGCGACTGCCACCTCTCGAACAGTGTTACAGTCGGTCTCTCGCCACTCTGTCAGCCCAAGAGAACCCGCGACCGACCCGAAACAAACTTTCCGAATCAACCTGAGCCCTGATGATTCTCTCGACCCGCGTTACGTTTGGACATGGCGTGTTTAAACAGCCGGAGGAATTGCGTTCGTTCGGATGCAAAACTGCAGATTATGGGTGCAGAATTGCAAATTGTAAAGTTTGCAAAATGGTGTTGACATCTTTGTGTACATTGAACAACAAAGTACGAGGTTTGCGTACAAAGTGTACAAAGAGTATACAATATTATTAACAAAGGAACAAACAGAATCCCCTATTAGAAATGGGCGATGGACTGGGCCAACTTTTCTCTGGGTAACACCCTTAAGGCCGGCCTATAACTAAGGGTAGGCCCTAAGGTCGCTAGCCGTGTCCCCACTTCTTCTGTTCGATCCAACTTGCCAATGCAAAGAGTACGACGTACTCCATGAAGCATACAATGAAAGTAAACTAGTACTATCCCTTTTAAAATCTAAATTTATACATAAAATTTTACCTAGTTACACATACAATCATGCTTATACTACATCATACCCACATGTACCCAACCATGATATCACATACAAAACCCTACCAATTTAGCTGTTATTTATATCTAAAATCATTCCAACACTTTTGTAGTTAACATAAATAACCCTTCCAGAAGCAGATGTCGTTTTTTGTAGCCGCTTGACGTTATATAAACCATGACAATTACAGTAGAAGCGGGCCTTAAAAACCTTTAATTCGGGGCGTTTTATGGCTTCGGCCAAAGCCCTAAAATGACTTTTCCAAAGATTTGCGTAAGTCCATGACGATGATAGTGTTTTCCGCCTTAAGCTGCGTGTTAAAACCGCCCAATTCTGTTAAACTTTATCTGTTTTGTGAATACAAAGTGAAACAATACGTCAAATTGTAGCTACCCGTTTGACAATGAGTTGGTTGACCAATATATAACGAGTAAATACCTTATTGATCGACCAACTCGATTAAATACCTTATTGATCGACCAACTCATTATGTTCTACAAAGACCAATACAGAACAAGTAAATATCTACACATTAATATAGGGCGAGTAAACTACCCGAAACGTTTTCAGCGAATGACTAATTAACGAGTTGGGAAGACTTTGGCAAGAACGGAAACTAAATACAGTTTAAAGTTATCAAACTGGCGGTTCTTAAACTTCTAACTAACCTTCAAAGTTCAATAAAATCTTTAAAAATTGGTTTCACAAGATATAGATGTTGTTTTACATTTAAAACACTAAAAGAGTAACACTTTCATCATGTTAAATTGTCTAAAACAATTCTGTATAATAATACGCTGAAGTTATAGTAAAAGTCGCGTGTTATTAACTAGCAAAACTCTAAAGTTATTGTAAGAAAAAGAAGAAATTTTGGAAAATAACATTGTTTTCATGTTTAACAGCCATTTCAAAATGTTTTTGCGTGTTTATAGGAAGTAGATCACCCCAGTAGAACAGCTCAGAAAACTGAATAAGTCAACCTTGAATATGTTATCGTAGGAAAGAGGTCAAATTACTCTATAAAAAATAGTTTCTAAGCCTATTTTAGATAGTTTTGCCTATTTTTTAGAATTTTTTTCTTTAATTAAAAAAATATTGTGACAAGTTGAAGCTAGTGTAACATAGCCCGCCATCAAATTTCAAATTTTTCGTGCAAATCACATCGGCCATCAATTAACTTTTGTGTCACGCAACTCTGTAAACCTGGATATTGCAGCATGATTAAATTAAGCTTACGTTAACAACCTTAAAAACGACATTCTAATTAAGTTTGGCAGGATCTTGTACAAGATTATTGATTGGCCATTGAAAAGTTAAAGCTTTTTTACGAACTGATACCTAAATATGAAAAAAAATTTTAAAGTTTGAAGATTTAATTTAAAAACTGAGATTTAAGAACAAAAATCTGTAAAGTATATCAATCTGTCATGTTATTATGCTACAAACTTTTTGACCTGCTTCCAAAACCTTTAATCACTGACACTTTAAATTATGAATTTGGCCACGCGATGACCTCATCTGCAGAGATGATCAAACTCGTCAACAAGTTCTGACTCGCCCGACTGATGAGGCGCAGACCGGTTTGCGCCATTCGACCGCAGGGAATGGCATCGGATTCAGCGCACTCTAATCACGACCAAACCCAAGGGTTTGTTTCTTCCTTATCAACATGGGGAACCATCTTCTCCTCATCCTTGCACTATTTTATGCAAATTTCAACCTTCTAGTCGGTTGTGCTGCACAGTACAAACGTGAGCTCCGGTACCTGGACTACTATTTGGGGATAGCACCGTACGATGAGGAGAGCAAGATGCCAGTTCAAGGTCAGTTTTCGAGAGTTTAATTCGTTTCGAAGCGAAAGTTTTGAGTTTTAGAGAAATCTGCGCGTCTTGTCTATTAAAGTTTGTCATATCTCAACTAAAATTAGGCTCTACTACTCCTTAATACAATAACCAATAGAAAATAGAATGAGAACTTCATAGACATGTTATTATTATTCTGTCAAAGCCTGAAGTATCAAATTTCAAAGCGATACGTTTTAAAACATCACGAAAATGACAAAACCTTATGCAGAACCATCTGAACAAGGTACAAATCAAATTACACTTCCTGCACTTACATTACACAGTAAAGTGTAAAGTTTTAATCGTTTCCAGAGTATTACAAACAATAATGTCAACATATCGACCTATCTAATGTCTTTCACAAAACTCAGGTTACTGTAACTTTGAAATAACAGTTTACACTGTCTTTTGTTACACGAGAAAGGTTTTTAAATTTAAAATCCAGACATTGGCCTAATAGTTTAGGTAATAAATGAAAAAATGGCGAAAAACATGATCTAAATGGTATAGGGCTAATATAATAAGTAACTTTAACCCGATAGGCCTAGTTTTGTTAAAAAATCTCCCGAAAAACAAAAAAAAATAATAAATTATGTTTTGCAGGTTTGTTAGATATTTTTTTACGAAATAAACCCTAATTTATACGATGAAACGTGTCCGCACAAATGCGCCCAAAACAATGTCAAATTCCACAATTTTTCCGTTTCTTTTGGCAATTAAAAGTGAAAAGTAACTAAAAATATTAAAAATTTCTAAAAAAATCCTTTTTTTAACTTTCTATCTTATAAATGTTAAAATATCGAAAATTTCAGAAACCAAGATCAACCATTATGTGGACAACGCCCTCAACCTGAACTGCAACTTCAGTCGGCCATGTCTGTGGACCAATGCCCCGACTGATGATCTGTTGGACACCTCGGACTTCTACCTCTTCAACAAGACCGACATCAAGACCTTTCCCATTCAAATCCGGCCGGGAGACCCGACTCCGCCCGTCGGAACGTTGTTCGCCTTCGCTGGGAACACAACCCAAAAGGCACAGTCTGCCGTGCTTTTGAGTGCGCCGATCGCGTGCCAAAACTCCGAAGGTGTACTCACGTTCAAGTTAGTTTTTTCGTAGCCGTCTGTAGAAAGTGCTAATTAAGAGTTTGTATGATAGGGAATGCAATCAACGCAGGTTTATTGTTAGAGCGGCCGGTTGGCGTGACATATAGGTGAAAATTATGGTGGTAAAGGAGAAGCGAGACGTGGTTTTAGAGATTAATATTTGTAGCATAGTATAAGTGATGTGTATGTTTTTGGATAAATTCTAGAAAAGGTTAATCTTGTTATAGTGATATCACATCTTTTCTCAAACTTTTCAAAACTTTTAATGGTTTTAAGGAAAGGTTTAACAGGTATTGTGAAAAGCTCTTATATATCCGGTCTTTTAAAAAAGTTATGACCATTTGAAAATGACCAAAAGTCAAAAACTTCGATGGCGCCAAAATGACCGTCATTATTCTTCATTTAACCTTACAGTAATATATTACTATCAAAAAGTCTGTTAACATAGTCAGTAACAAAACCGATAAATCTTGTGAGCGATAACAAGAAATGATTGCAGATACTGGTTATACAACGCCGCCAGAGTAGAAGTCGTCGTGTTGAGGGTGAACACATGGCACAATCATCTTCAAGTGATAAGTCGGCCCCAGATGGACTGTTACTTCCTCAAGACCAATGAGATATGTCGCGTTGAGATTGGCAGAATGAGTGAGCCATTTAGGCTCGGAATCAGGGTGTTTTCTTTGCGAGACCCAAGCGTGGGATCGTTTGGAATGGTAAATGATATTCATTACAAGGGAAACCTGTGTGGAGAGCATGGTATGTTAGGTTTTTCTATTGTTTTTAGCTCAATATGATATTTAGTTGAAATTCCAAAAATATTTCTAAAAGGTTTATTTTGTTGCGTTACCTATATCCCGAATATAGTGATGATGACATTAATTAGATAAACAAAACTACTTTCAGATAAGCCGTCGTTGTTTGGCGGTGTACCTCTAACGCATCCTTTAATGAAACACCAAATAACGACCGGCTCTCAGCTCAACTGTGGGGAGGACTTCCACTCTTGTCTTTGGTCGACCGCCGCCCCCGTTCAGAACAGTGAACTCAATAGTAACATTGACGAAAACTCTTTGCATTGGCAAGTCGGATCGAACATAAGACGTTGGGAAGACATACTACGGTTACCTACCCGGCCAGAGGGTGAATTCTTGTTCCAGTATGTGGATCCAATGGCACAGCTACCATTACCTACATTGAGATCGGTCTATGTACCTTGTACTCAGACTAGTGCTTCACTGACGTTCAGGTAGGTATATAGTATGGTTTGACTAACCCAGACATTAATTTAGATTCTGGATGAGTCCAGGAATCCAAGCCCAAGTTTGCACGTACGGAAGAGATAACGTACAACTAAGCTGTGTATATCTTGAGTTATCAGATTCACCAGGACCCTTAACGATAGATATTGACAGTGCTGATGGTAACCCATTTGCTGTAAGTTTTGCTTTTGTTTCATGTAGGTATCTATATCATGTCCTTATCTCTATATAATATGAGCACTATGGCAAATCTGAAATACAACTGTCATATTATTGTATACCATTGTAATAAGGGAATTTTCAGTTTTCGTTCGAAGTGATTCAATTCAGTCGGACGAGTGGTGGTGTCATTGTCATCGATGACATTCAGTTTACTGGAGTTTTGTGTAATGAAGAAGTGCCTACAACTACAGTATCTCCTCTGAATTTGGCTGCAGAATTTGATATTCAACCTTTCCCAGAAGTTGGCCCAGCCTTCTCTGACAGTCTTAACTGTGATTTCGAAACTGACAGATGTACCCATTGGACTAATGAGGAAACACAATTTATGTACGGATTCATACCATCAAATGCCGCTGAAGTCAATGTTTCGTATCGAGGTAAGTAATATTATATTATATTTGATGATTGTTGCTGTGTATTTGCCTTTGCTGGTGATAGAAGAACTGAGACGATATTATCCATGAAACTTCCAGGCTACGCTGCCATTGCCTTATTCGCAGAAGCCGACATGTCGGCCGAACTAATATCAGAAGTGGTATCTTGTGCTCACGGTGGTCGATTCATGGTCGAGTATCAAACCTCAGACAACGCTACACTGAGTGTGTGTGCCAATGAACGGTGTATACCCCAGAGGATGAGTGCTGGACAGCTGGCTGTCAATTTGACTTCCACGAAACCCTTTAGGATACGATTGTTGGCCGAATCTCACGGTCAATCACTGGTGATTGTGAAGAGGATGAGCACGAGTGAAGATGGATGGTGTCCGTTGGAGTCGCCGACACAATTGGCTTGTAAAGCATTGCAATGTGAATTCCGAAGTAAGTTTTTTGTCTGATGTGTAGGAAAAGCGTGAATTCCATGTTTTATTACCAAAAATACGACCGTTTCTTTAGATCACCGTCTCTGTGGCTACCGCAGTGTAATCCTCTCCAACGACGACACCCCCTTTGTGTCGCATCAGACAGCTGGAGCTCGTGTTCGTCTTGGCGTCAATTCGAAGCGTGCCATTCTCCGATCGCCCAACTTTGAACTCTCCAGCCCTGTAGAGCTTCGTTTCGCGGCTTCATTGTCAACGTTCGGCTCCAAACTCTACGTTTGTGCTGATGAAGATGCGGCTGAAGATCTGGCATCATGTGAACTTGTTCTTGGTCCAAAAGTGGAGCGAAGTAAGATGGAGCACGTGTTGGTGCAGTTGGATCACGAGATCCGACAGTTCGCTTTCGTAGCGATTCACGATAAGGCGGAACAATTCGGGGACGCCGAACTGATAATCAGCCGAATACAGATCACGGACTCGAACGGCGATCTTATTTGTTAATAATAGTAGATGTAATAGTATATGTACAAATTGTTATCTCGTGTGTAATATAAATTCTGATCAAACTAAAACAAATAATTGGCTATTGATGATGTTGACGCTCAAAATGAACTATATATTTATTGTTGCAGACGGCCTTTTAAATTCGAAATTTTAAATAATTTAGATTTGCCTAACTAACCATTTACCTGCACAATCTCCACAGTACTGTAAGTTATTTCTGTATAATAACGTCAAAGATACTCAAAAGGTTAGAACAAACTATTTATCACTATTTTAAAGTTTAGTTACAAAATGAAATGACACAAACTAAATACGTTACAGGTTAGTAAATATGTTAAAATTGAAAACATTAGCTATTAAACTGACTGTGCAACTTGTACAACACATTCCTGCTTTCCGCGTTATTGTCCACCCCTTTCCTGACATAGCCTTCGGCACCGTGCGCCTTGTCGTAGTGTACTGTAGCCAGCATTTGACGGGCTAAAAATGTTATAGCTATAAATAAAAAAAAGTATTTACAAAAGCATTCTACAAATTTTTTGGATAAATAAGCATACTTTTATATTAAAGAAAGTCAAAGACCCTTACCCTCTTCCAAAACGTTCTGATGATCCTTGAATTTGTCCGATTTGCCCTTATCCGGCTCCATTTCCGACACTTCATGTAGGGCTTCTACCAGGGTATTCAACCTGTGAATAATCATCCCAATTGCTTGTACGATCAAGATACCAAACAAGAAGAAGATGATTCCCATTCCAAGAGGATCCACTTTCAGAGCTTCATCTGTTTTGTCGAATTTACCGGTCGTTTCGTTCATCTTTGTCCATTGGAAGCCCTCTGTAACACAACATTTATTAATTCAGCATCAATGAATAGTTAATTTTTATGTATTACAATCTTAAAAACTAAACTAGTTATCCTTTTAATTTTTATAATAAGATGACACAAAAAAGATGCAAAGCTCACAAAATCATACCGTAAGGAGTGAACTGAACAGAAAGCACATCCTTGTGTCGTTGCAACAAGAACACTGCCAAAACCAGCAATCCGTTGAGTAAAATGATCGAGAAAGCAATCTTATTCCTCAGCCCAACCAATCCTTCAGCGATGTCAGCTTGTTCCTGTTTCGACGATTCCATTGGCTTCAGGTACTTCTCGATCAGCTGATCCCAGAACTTTTCCTCGGCCGTCTTCAGAATTCCTCTGTCACAGCCTTGCAGGTATTCGGCGTCCATCCACAAGAATCGAGCCGGCTGTCCTTCTGTGCTCGTGTCTGCATATCGTTTCTTGACAATTCTTCCTGATTTGGCAGTTTCTTCCTCATTTGACTGATTTGCGATATTTGTGTTGAGCTGACTATCGAGTGATCGTACTGATAAGTCACCATCCTGAATGAAAAAGTTGAATAATGTAAACAATACAAACAAAAATATTACTAACGACTTAAAAGTGTTCATAATCCTACCTTAACTGAGCTCAACATCCTTTCGGTCTTCTCCAATCTCTCCTCCAGCTGTTTGATCGTATCTGAGCTCTTACTTTGTGTATACGATGACATGAGCTTCGTGAAGGTAGAGTCCTCTTCTCCGATGCCCAGCTTCTTCAGAACTCCTTCCAAGAATCCAGCCGACTTAGTTTCCTTTCCCATAGCCTTATTGACAGCTTCTCGTGTTCCCCAATTGATAACGTTCAAGTTGATCAGAGAGTACAATGACAGATACAAGTAAGTTGAAGGTATCATTAAGAAGAACACCAAACCAAACAAAATGTTTCTGAATTCCTTTGGATGAATGAAGGAAGCGAACATGAAGATAAGCACCATTCCCAATACGAACATTGATGTTGGAGAAAAGATTGCTGAAAATAATACAATTATTGATTACGATAACCATAAAAGATGCAAATTTAATAATAATCTATTACTGCAAAGGCTTTTTTCTTGTATCATACTTCAAGCACGAGCGGGAAAGTAAAAAAACTAATATAAAACAACTTACTTTCCAGCACAATTTGGTTAGCGGTAGCAATCATTACAGCCAGCATAACAAAAGCGTACACTACAGAGGCATACTTTGCAAATGCCAACTGAAAACTGGATTCGGCCAAGAAACAGGCAGCGATAAACGAAAGGATCGGAGCCGCATTCCAGTACAATACCGTGGTTGAGTCGATGCCAAAAGCGGATACCTACAACATTCAGTTACAAAAATGTTACAATAAAAAAGTGTAAAAATTTAAAAAAAAACAAGCTCGAAAAGCAACCAATCTTTGTAAGCATCAAGAATCAAACGTCAAAATCAAAACACATGTAGACTTACCTGAGCATACACCAACATACTGAAGATAATAGCAGGTCCAAGCATAGAAAAGCCAATAACCATCATTTGATATGCGATATACAACATACTGATGCTTTCGTTGTTCTTGATTGCCAGTCGATAATCCGCCAATAAGTCGATCGTATTTGCTACTGAAGATGGAGTCCATCGACGTCTTTGATTAAAGAATTCTTCAAAGCCTTCTGGTGCATACGTTTCTGCATCTGCTGCAGCTGCGTACTCAATACGATAGCCCTGAAATGATATGTTAACTTTTAAATGCCCACTAAATAAGGGCAATTTTTACAGTACAAAACAGCATTACAACGACTTTAACATAAGTGCCGCACGAAAATGACCCCTTATAAAACTAACAAAAACAAGAAATTTACTTGTTTCAGAAGCAAAGTAGACAACCATCGATCTTCTCCTTGATCGTACTGTACGAAATGTCGCGGTTCCGATGCTGTTTTGGTATACTTGTTCATAACATTATCATCCATTAAAGCTGATGCTCTAAACAACGAGAAACACCCTGGAGCACACAACACACAACCAAACACGTGTTCGGCCGACTTCTGAAACCAATGAGCAATGGCGTACTCAAACTTCTGATACCAAACCATAATACCTTCGCCAATTGGATGAATACGACCACACGCACATCCGATATCACTCTTGATATTCATCATGTGGATAAGTTTGATTACAGCGCTCGGTTCGAACATGGAATCTCCATCAATGGCCAGAAGGTAGGTATTGTCAGCGTAGACTTGTTTGTCTTCTACACTCATGTGGGAGTCCATGATACGATGTCCAAGAAGGTAATACATGTACATTACCTACAAATCAAAACCATAAGTAAATTATCAAATCTTATAAGATTTAAAAGCCATAAAAAGAGAGAGTAATATCTTACTTGAGACCACCTCTTCTTGTTTCTGATTAAACTCTTATCCTTCAGATGTACGAAAAGCAGTGTACCTGCGTTCAATCTCATCACAAGTCGACCACCGTACGAAGTATTCAGTAAAACGCGAGAGTGGGGGTCAGACGACACGATATCGTCCCTGAAATCATATAAAACAATATCAATGTCGTTATAAAAAGTAAAATATCATAAAACAACGTAAACAACAAAACACACCCAGTCAACTCGATCAGCAGCTCGAACAACTGTTTGAAGTAGGAGTTCGGAATCCTTCCGCATTCAGAATCGTTCTCCCAGGCATCGTCCAAATAGATGTGAACTTCCAATCTAAACTTTATTCTATCCTTAGTGTTCTTCTCCGCCAACCTTCTAGCATGTTCTTCATCCAGTTTAAGGACCGACTTCAACATGTGAGACATCTCCATCTTGGTCTCGTGCCACATTGTAGCACAAACATAAAGTGTGATTACCTTGTCTACGTCCGTGTTGATGATACGGAGCTCGGAATCTTCGTCTTCCTCCTCTTCTAGATCTATCTTGTGCTTTGATCCGACAGAATATTGGAAGATGACTTGGGATTGCATTGGATCAAGACCAACCAGCATTGGGGGCATACTTTCGATACTAAAATAAGATATAGAGTATTATTACTTTAACAAAATAAGCAGTATTAACATATAAAGTCTACAAACATAATCGTTAACAACTTACATATCATCAGTTGGAGAGTAATCATTCCCAATTATAAACCCGTAACTCCACATCAAGTACAACAACATGTACAGCGGCGTCAACCAGTAATCAGGCACTACTCCACCTCCATGGGCATACTTCCTGCATACCAAGTTCAACCTCAATGGGTGCAAAAGCTCGTTGATCTCACAGATTGATGCAAAATGGCACAACGAGTGATACACAATGAACATAATCGGTGGTGTAATAAAGACTGGGTGTAAAATTGGCACGATCTTCAACTTCATAGCAGCCAAGAATCGAGAGCATACTCGGACGTAGTAATTGGCAAACACAGCAATGTAGGCTAGTAGGAACAGTCGCCTAAAAATTACACAGAACTCATAAAGTAGCGAATAATTAATAAAAAAAATATTTAACCAAATATACCAAAGATAAATATATATTCTTTTACCCATTTTCACTTACAAAAAACCAAAAATCTTACCCTTCACCTTTCAATGCACTCCAATGTACAAAAGACTTCAAAAGTGTACCCACTGGTACTCCATGATGTCGTAATGCCCAATAAAGTACGCTGAATGAACATATCAGTCTCACAATACCACAGTAAACTCTTGTCAATCTATTGAGCTTCTTTACTCCGTATTTTATCTGAAATCAAGCAGTTTCATATATTATCATTAATTTTTCAGTTTAGATTTGCATTTTAAAATATTCTAAACAAAGAAGTACAATTTATTCAATTTCATAATTATAATCTATCAAAAACACTAAATATTACCTAAAAATCATATGAAAATACAAAAAACTAAAACCAACCTTAAAAGCCGTGTCAAAGTATCCGCCCTTGCTCTCAACATCGATCCACGACTCCCAATATCCAATAGAACACAAAATCATTGCCAACGGTAAAACTTGAAGGAATTTGTTATCGGAATCCTGCCACACATACACCATTGACCCAGATGCCATAACGAAGAAGCATATTATCAATGGAAACACTCCAATCAGCGACAAAAACCGCGAACAATTACTGTGAACGGCATCCAAAAAGGCGTAGTTTATAATATTGTTAAACGTCCTCTTAAGGTACGACAACATAACGATCGCACATGACAGCAAAACACATCTTGGAATGTCTAACATAGGATATACACCAGCAATCAGAAGGCCAAGTCCTGTAGATCTACAAGCTTCCAAGAAAACAATCTAAACACATAAGATAACACCAAGTAGACATACCTGCCAAAATATCCTTGATTTCTTCGTATTCTCCTTGTTATGCTTGTAGATATTGAGGATGACAGTGCATATATCAGGAACAGACTGTATTACCCATAAAGATGCGCATAAAAACGCAAAATGAGTAACATTTTGTTCGTGACCAGATTCTAAACTTACGATATAGTTTAGCAAACTTCAATTTAAAATAATTAACCAAAAAACTAAATAAAAACACAAAAATATACCTAAAACAACATCACCTACCTTTACATTTCTGATAAAACCTAATGTCCCGTTGCGGAGGAATAATTCCGATGTTAGTTGCCAGTAAATAGATAATACTTTTCGATACAAACGTCCCAATTATGCAGGTCAAGTTTCCCAGAATGAAAATAGCCAACTAAAATAAGATCAAAACAGAAAAACACATCAAATTACCTTGAGTATCTGGAGATTCCGTTGATAAACAGCATCGTCGTCCTGATAGGCTTCGCGGACAACCCGAGGATACGCACGAAACGCATCCCAGAGACGAGATTCCATTCCTTGATCAAGGACGAAGTAAAAGCAAAAGATTTTAAAGATTTTTGATCAGAAAGTAATCATTCGGCCGAAGAGAAAGAGTTGACTCGAGGATTAAAGTCGTGTCACGTGTCGTTCTTCGACAAGATTTTGTTATACTTTTTGTTGGTGGTTGAATTTTAAAGAATCCTTGATTAAATTTAGGCAAGATTTAATGAATATATACTGATTGGCTTCTGTTTATTTTGTATTTTAATTTTTATATGTCAAAATGTTCTTGAAATTGGCGAAAATCAGTTGAAACATGCCGTGAGAAATTGAATTGGTAACCAAAACTTTGCTTGCTTTTATACTAACTGTAAACTGTATGTAAAATTTCGGTTACAATAATGAATTACTGGTTTTTAATTGAACATTTTTTAAAAAATTTTACAATTTGACAAAAAATGCATTGATAATTCATGTTTTCCTACACTTTTAAGCCTTTCCATCATAACACGTTCCTTGAATTTGCCTTTTTCATTATTGAAAAATTCTGAAATTGAATTTGCATTGAAACTTACTTAATTCCATTGTATTACTTCTCAGTTTTGGTAAGAAACTTGTGCTATATGTGGCGAACTTAATCTTGTTTTAATTTTGTGCATGAATTACAATTTTGTGGTCTTTTGGGCCGGCGTTTTTGATGTAATTTGTCATTTGAATGCACCCATTTATCTTGACACCAGCTCGTTTTTTGAAGCCCACTTACTGCATCATTCGGGGCTCCAATAAACAGACCGTTTATGAGGCATACCTGTGCAGTTTGTATTTGCCTATCTTTATCGTCTCGTAACGACTAGGCCTTATGAGATACCGTCAGTTATTTGGGTGAAATATGGTATTTTGAGAGTTGTTCTGAAAATTTAGTACTATGCTACGTTATGTAGGGTTAGGTCGTAGTGATTTTATTGTGGTACGCAGGTAGTATTATTTATATTGTAGTAGGTTTCTACTATATTACTTTTGTAGTTGATAGCTACTATATTACTTTTGTAGATATACAGTAGTAGCAAACTATTTCACTGTGATGTACTTTCCAGTATTTTTATGTTATATCTAGCATCTTTTTGCCAGTTTGAAGAAACTATTTGATAATATAGCATATATTTTTTGTCGTTCGTGCTGTTATTGGGTATTTTTTATAAACTACGGTTTTGAAATGTGATATTATGCACTTTTACGTCCTCATAGACGAAATATCTATTGACTGTCAACGTAGTGTTTCTTTTTCAACATGTAATCTTTGATGTATGTGTCAATTACACGTTGAATACACATTATGTTTGAATCAGACATAGTTTGTCATCATAAACAATATTTTTCTTGAAAACCTTTACTACCTAGTAGAATATATCAATTACTGGCTTTTTGAATCATGAAATCTCGTTTTACATAGTTTTTCAAATTCTTTGAACTACTACGCAATCTTTAGAGCTTCCTCTACTAACGTCTATAGTTTCTTAAAAGTACACCAATTGACACTTCTTAACAGTTATAAGTCTGGGAAGTTACGTCGACCTTACCTGCCATAATTACCCTCGTTTATTTATGACTGTCAGAGTTTTGATTCAGCTCGAATGCATTCCTAATGAGGACATGTGTTCTCGTTCGGATTTTCGAGGATTAAAAGCGGCAAAAACATACACATTTAAAGGGCGGGGTACCCGTTTAGTGCGGGACGAGGCTCGAGAAAAGAAATACGAGTTGTTCAGATGTTGTTATAGCGAAACGGGCGGCTGGGTAAGAAAGGGGATCAAGCCCTACCGTAATTAGTCAAATCTTGAGAAGATTCGGGGTTGGAAACGGTTGGGGGATTATATTGTTTTTGGGGTGTTGGGCAGGGTTTTTTGAAGATTCTGGTTTGATATTCTACGTGCTTTGGTAATATCATGTTGTAGTTCTGTCTAGATGTTAATATTTTCACAAAAAATATTTGAAAAGTTAAAGATTCTATTGTTTTTGTCTTGGTTGGGCTGTCATTTTAAAAATATTTTAATGGGGATGTGACGAAAACCTTGATGGCAATGTGTGTTGTTCATTTTTTTCCAAAATCTGCTGAGATATGTAAATTTTAGAGTATTTTAATACGTGAATGTTCTTTGCCAACTATAAAAACAACAAATAGGGCTTCCTGAACTCAACGATATTACCATCTCCTCTTTTAACTCACGTTCTGTATCTCTTTCTCCAACTCTACGATGTTCACCATTGCTATTTCAATCTTTACCCACTGCACTCTTCAAAAGCCGATGTACTCATTTTGAAATAAACATGTCCCGAACCCTTACAGGGACGATACCACATCAAAATTGGGGTAGCGACATCGCCACGCCCACTTTTCGTCGAGAGTTCGCTGCGGGAAAACCCTCCTGGGCCCTTCCTTAAGGACTTTGGCATTATTTTTTTGGAGCGGATTTCCGCACAAGACTCCTCCTCCTTGGCCTAAACACTTACCTGGCGTCAGAAGGCAAAAAACGACTATTGTTCCGAGGGTTTCTTGTTTTGTCGCGATTCTTTCTTCTGCAAAGGTGAATTCATTTGGAGGCGAGGAAGCTCGCCGCTTTGGTCCATTACTTTTTGAACCGGAATTAGGATGTTATTCATCCTCGGATATTCGCCGTGTTTGTTTTGCCCACCAGGTATTGTAGAGGTTGCGTAACATTACTTTTGATGGCTAACTTGTGGATTCATCGTACCGTAACTGGGGGGTCGGGTGGTATCTTCGTATGTTTATAGTCATTTACCGTATAATCATGGGTGGTTAACGTTTAAAAAGGGTTTTAAAGGTTAAAGATGACTCATCTTTTTAACTTTTTTAAACTTGTTAATTTACTTTTTGTAAAGTTTTTTTAATTTCGTAGTTTTGTATTTTTAACTTTGTACTATCTTGTGCTTTATCTTCAATTTTACTACTTATACGTACTCAAAGCCGTGCCTGCTCAATTCTCTCTAATATTTACAAGTTTTGACACAAATGTACAAAGCTCTAAGCGTGCACGTAGGTGTATAAAACCTTAGACCCACATTCCTATGATACCTTGGGTAAACCTTAACCTCGTATAAACCCTAACCTTGTACGAAACCGTTTTTTGGTCGTGGGAACAACTTGTTGGGCGATTGTTTGACCGCTGTTTTCCAGATATCATCAAGTGTAAAGTATGTGAGAGAGCATGAGACCGTTTCTGATACAACTCCTCGTCTATTTTACGTATGTTTTGGGTCAAAAGTTGGTGGCCAAGTTCGAGGTGACTTCGGTCGATTCCCGGTCGGTGGTGGTGAGGATCGTGGGTGCTGGGAATGTGACCAGGTTCGATATGAATGTACACATCTTTGACTTGGACAGACTGAAAGAGTTTCGGCGGAGCGAATTGAGCTCGATGAGATACGAAGACCAGGTGGGTTTTGGAGGGTTTTTGATTACAGAGTGATAAAATGTTGGAGTATATAAGTATACACAATTATTTTTAGATTTTATATCAAAAATAGATTTTTAAACATTTTTTTGTGAAACAACGACATTTTTAGAGTAAAAGTAATATATCAAGTTCTTGCTTTTTTGAATTATTTTTAACTTTACTTTATTACCTTATTGGCGTGAAATTTGGTGCTGTTTTTGGTAGGTTACACCTGGCATACATTAATATTTGATATTAGTAGCTATTGTTGATCATAAAAATGGTAACAAAACCGTCTGAAGCCGTCTTTTTTATGATTTTTAAAAACATTTGAACTTCTTGATACTTTTACTACAACTTTACTGCTTTACTACACCTTCAGTACCTAAAATAAGTCAACAATAATTCGTATGCAAACCAATTCCAATATTATTTATTGCCATTGGTGTTGGGTCTTGTATTACCTTTTTCACGGAAATCGGAGATTCTTCAAAAGTCCCGGGGAAACAAAAGACTGCACCGGAATTATGGTTACATTTTTCCGGCCTAACTCTTTAATGACCGGAGGGCCTTAAAAGAAGAAGAGGTCATTCAAAAGTCTGTCTTCCGCTTTGCACAAATTAAGCCCAAAACTTGTGGAAACATGGGGAAGTACCGAAAGGTTATGAAACAGGAGAGAGTGTTGTATTGCTGTCAAAAAGTTTGTAGAAAAGTTGAAAAAAGGCATGTTATAAAAGTTTTAGAAAAACTGAAATGAAAATTTAAAAAAGTCATTTTATCGTAGGTGCAAAAGTTCGTAGAGCTTTCTGATCATCTTGCCTTAAGTTAAAGTTTTTATATTATAAACATGTAGGTTTTATAGTTGATCTCATACTTAAATTTGTATGGAAAACTACTTTAATCTCTCGAACAACGCGTGGATTTGACCATTACCATTACTTCACTCGGTTTAAGTCAAGGTTTATGACCACTTGACGACGTTTTGTTGTCTTTTGTAATCTCATGTAATTCGCACTTTTAATTCAATTTGAATAGGCTTTCGTAGTACTTGACAATGGGGAGTAAGAGCTCGAAGTAGGCTGGCTACAAAAGATGGAATTTCAAGTTTCATTTTGTTAAAACATTTTTGAAAAATTTAAATTTTAAATATTTTAAAAATTAAAATAACTAAAATTACCAAAGTTTACACAAGCTTATGTTGTTCTGAAATGTAGATTTTTCTACCCTCAAATATAGGCTTTATAATAAAATATGCCACTATAGCAAATGCCTTCGTATATGCACTTATTAATTTAGCCTATGTAACGTATCAAACAAGATAATTAATATTGCGCAAGAGGAATGATGTTGTTCATTGTGAAGGAGTTGATTAGACAAAAAGGTTTTGGCCTCCATTCATCGGTATAAGACGGGCCCAGCCATAATGGGCTCTCCAAATTAGCTATGAGTTGTGTGTTTTGGGTGCGCAGTTTCGGAATTTGATTTGGACCCAAGTTTGGTTTCCCATTAACGGCCTTATGGAGAGTGGTCACATATAAGAGCGGCTATTACATTTATATGGCGGTCATTACATTCAGTTAGTGGCTTTTACTTTCATATGAGCGGCCATTACACTTTCCAAAGTAGTATCTCGCGACAGGTGAATAACAATCTAATTACAGCCTTGAATACGTTTGGCCGCTAAACTTTTGCCACAAATTATAGTTTTGGTTACAAATTGAGTTAAAAGTAACAACAGAAGCATCATGATGAATATAGTGGTAAAAGAAGACTTGATACAGCTGTAAAAACATGATGAATGTAGTTGTAGGAGAGCATGATTAACATACCTTTTTAGAAAATTGGGATAAATTTAGAAGGTAGTAAGAGTGGTGATGAATATAAAAGGAAATGAGGATGAAGATAAATTTAAGTTCATTGATGATGACTGCCATTTTATTCACAAAAAGATGATTAACATAATAAAAGTATACAAAACACTTTTGACATATATAAATGTAGGAAATAAATGTTGCAACTACTACTTAATTATGACAAGTTTTCTAAAAAAAATAATAAAAGTGTATTTGATTTACCACAGACCCTGGGAGTACCAAAACAGCACCAAACATAAAAAACAGAAGTGTCAATTTGAATAAGATGATTTAAAACAATATATTATACTCATTAAATTTCAGCTGTTTTCGTTTGATGGACTGACAGCCGGAACTTGGTTTGCCATTCGAATACATTACCGTTTAGTCTATCGCACGGACGAGGGATTCGCGGACTTTGCGACCAAACAGGTTGGTACTTGAACGATCCAATTAGGAAACATTTGGTATTAATCCACTTAACGGGTATCTTCAGAATGGGAAGGGAAGAAAGGTTTATGATACAGTAACTGTTTATAATAAGATATAATATGTTAGGTTATAACATATGCTATATTATAGTATGACTTTTGACGTATATAGTATAACAAATTGTAAATTAAAGCTATGTAAGCATTGACACTGACCTTCTGTTATAAGAAACATGAACTTTTTGGGTTACTTATAGCTCTACTTTCTTGTACTGATCGTTTTCTACATAAAAATATAGCGTCAATAACTAGTTGACATTGTATAAAATTTTAAATGCTTCAATAATAACGTTACAGGAGCTCATCGTCCGAACAAAAGACGACAACGATCGCAATCGACCGGATCCTCCGACCAATTTGAGCAAAAACTTATTGGTTCGGCCGCGCCAAGACGAGCTAGTCCAACTTGAAGGCATCGTATCTGACCCTTTCCATATCAACGTATCTTTACTTCTTACATTCCCGTTGCGTTCTAAAGTAAGTTTAACAAATTTTTCATTAATTTTTAAATTAAAAGTTTCTAGTAATTGTATTAAGTTGTTTAAATAATTAGTGCCCCCTAATCCCAAAAAATTTGCTGAGGGCACAAAATTATTTGAACTACCTAACAGCTAGTTCTTGTAAGATATGATTGTTGGCTTCATTTTCACAAAAGTTCAACCTTTTTACGACTTTAAGGACTACTGATAACATTAGTTGATAAAAAAACTAAAAAAATTTCGATTTTGATTCACAAAACTCAACTTGTTATAGTACAAAAATGATTTTAACATGAACAACAACACTATCACATCATTTCGTATCAATCAGTAAGCCACGCTTTTAGGAATTAAAACCAAGTCTTGTGTTATCAGTAAGAATGTTTATATAAACATAAATTGTCACATAAACTAGTAAGGACAAGTACTTAACGTTCTGAGTTTATTTTTGTATATTGAAATGAAGAAATTATAAGAGGCTTGTTCAACATGGTATAGGTCATAAACTGTCACTATAAGTGACGCTTTTGTCTTGCCAATCTTATGTTTTCTATATATTATTTCACATCATCCTTAAACATTGTAAAACACACTAAAACCACACCTTTTACAACATAACCTAACCTGATACTGTGCCATTTCACAAGCTAACAAGACATTCTTTCCGTCAAGTGTAATCTCATTAACATATCTTGAAGAGGTTTTTTAATGAATCCACAAGTGAAGCCGCAACCCAATCCCTCCTCGTCTGACCTCAGCCGAACTCTTCATGTGCCGCTTTGTCCCCTTTTGACTAATGACATTTGTCGTTTTGTGGCCATTCAAAAAACATAAAAACGGAATCGGACGAGATCGACCGCGAGATTAGTCGCTCGAATCACATTATTCACAAAACATGGTCTTTTCTCGTTTTGTAGGACGTTTTCGATTCTGCATGGTTTTTAAAAATTTTCAGGAAAAGATCGAATTTTTTAATTTCATTATGTTGAACAGGAAGAGATGCGCAATAATGACCTTTTTGAAAAATTTTTGTTTTGAACAGCTCAAATGTCCTGAAAGTTTCTTTAAACCTTGAATTCATTACTTTTTTGAATTTTCATTTCTTTTAAAATTTTAAAATCCATATTGATCTTTACCAAAGAACTACTTCAGCCAAAACATAATATAATAATAAAATTTCTGTCTTGTTTACTTTATGAAAATGCTGAAATTACGTGTCCAATCAAATAATATCTAGAGAAAGAATGTTATCAACCACAAAACATAGGGTAGCAAAACAGACACTTATATGAAATACGTATTTATATTGTTTCTTATTGTTATGCTACAAAATTGTTATCATATTATAATGTTATGACAAGAATCTTTGATAAACTTTCGTTAACCGATCTCAAAAAGTAACTTTTAGTAATAGCTGTATTGTAGCATACAGTAGACTAATTTTTATTTCAATATTTTACAACTGAATTCTTGATTAAAGTAAAGTATGTCTTGTTTTTATTAGTCTTCCATTTTTGATCAATTTGTGACCTTAGGGTTACAAAAGCAAACGATACGTTAACTTTATAATATTTGCATAAGATTTGTTATGGTTGAGAATGTTTTGAAAAACATGGAATTTACACAAGATAAAGTAAAGGCCACAGTATCAAATGAAGTTTAAAAATCCAACCAACAAACAAAAAAGTTAAAACGTTATATTAAAAACGATACAACAAAAGAAATTTTAAAATTCACCATTACATACTCTCAAATTTCAGGTAAACACTGTGATAGTGCCCGAACTAAAATGTGAGCTGGGCACGGTAAAACCCCCTGCCCAACAACTCCACTCCAACAATGTCAAGGTCTACTTTGATCTGCATCGTCTGATGGCGTTACAGCGTACACAAACCCAGACTCCCAACTGTTATCGCCTGTGTATATACCCATTCGTACGAGCATCAATCGACGACAAGATGGAGACGTTCAGGGCCAAGGAATGGTGCGGGTCCCTTGAAGAAGCCTATGAACTGATAGGAGCACCAACCAACGGGAGGAATCAATCTGGATTCAGCTGGCTACTGGGCTTCTTGCTCTATATCTTCTTCAGGGTTTTTTCTAACTGATTTCAATAATTTTGTTGTACATTTGTATCACTTGTTTAGAGCTTATATATTTGCATATTTTGGCATAATAATTATTAAACATATTAATATTTATCTGGCGGTTTTTGTTACAATAACTTTTATGTAACTTTTTGAACATGAATATCTAAAGGATAGAACGAAAAAAATATATGAATGATAAAAAGATAATCACACTCTCCTACAACATTTCGACTTAAAAACCTTTAAACTCGCAAGTATAACATCAAAAAACACGATAAACTTTAAATAAAAGTACATTTTGAAAAAGATTTTGCACTTTTAATAATTTAATTGTAAATCGCCGTAAGCAAATTAGAAGATCAACAAGAGTTCGTTGTTTTTGTTTTTTCGACAGATCAGATTACGAAAAAAAAGCAGGGAAAGACTTGACTCGAAAAGTCAACTCTTCCTTCATACTATAACCGACTGTTTCTACTGATGGTAGACAGTAATAGGCATGGGGTCGCTTTTTTTATAAAATATGGTTTTGGTTTTATTTGTAACTAATAGGTTTAATAATGAACGAAAGTTTGATGAGCTTGAGACAATATTGTAGTAGGTATCAGTTTTGTGGGTAATATCGGCATATTTAATTGCTTTTGATATTTTACTTAAGTTTAGGTGTAGGTAGTGAAGTAAAGAATAGATTTGTTTATTTTGTATATAATTCGTTTAACATTCGTGTTGTTTTGTCAAGTTGTGTTAAGATTTGTGGAAAAAACAACAAATTTAGGTAATAAATCGGGTTGCGTCTTTACTGTTTAACCTTAAATATAAGTACCATTTTTTATTAGTTTGGTTTTTTTGAGTCCTTAGATGTGCCAAAAGTAACGTTTAGCAAAAAACTTATTTTTGACTTTGTACTTTTAAACTTTTTCGAAATTACCGTAGGATCTGGTTGAGGAATGTCGTATTGTTGTTGGGGAAGGTGTATTTTTGAAGATAAAATTAAAAGAGACGTGTTTTCTCAGATACGACAAGTTTTACGCAATAATTCACGTAAAACCAGTAGTAGCCTCACCGTATGTCACTACGATCCCTTACTATTATGTATATGCATATTATGTTGCGGTTGTTTGTCAACTGTCAACTATGATTTGTAAGCGGATTAGACTGATTTCCTGCTCCTGTTTCTTTTGTGTTTTCTTTTGTTAAAATGCATTCCGCCATCACACAGCGCCTTCAGAAGTATAATATCCGGAGCACAGATCGTCGCGATTCTCACGTCCAGCTTCGGGCACCCGACTGCCTCTTATAAGAATCTCACGTCTCGAGCTTCGGGCTTCCTCTTATCGGTTGTGTTCTGTTGGTCATTGCCTTATATAAAGCAGCTGACCTAACGGGACTGATAAGTGTTGATAACAGCCCCAAACGCTTCGTTTTCTCGGAATATAAGGCGACTTTTGAATATTGTAGTAGGTATTGGCATGACGAAGAGAGTGGCCATCATTGGGGCTGGTCCTAGTGGCTTGCCCAGCATACGGTAAGTATTTGTTTCTGGGTTGTTATTAGGTTTGTGGATCTAATATTTACAGTATTTGGTGAAGATAGGAGAGGGGTTTTCCGGTTTTAAAAACCGGATAGGGCATATTTTTTTACTTTTTTTTTAACTTTTAAACTTGAATTTTTTTATTTTTTACTTTTTTGCACTTTGCGACATTTTTAACTTTCTTGCACGGTGCAAAGGTTATTTAAGTTTGATAAAAAGTGTCATTTTTAATCAAGTTCTTTGATTTTTTGTTGTAATATGGACTGAAATCTGATCTTTCTTCCTTCAGACATTTGAATTTTGGCGTTTTCTTAATTCATATTTAATAAAAATCGACATTTTTTTAATTTTTGCACCGTGCAGCCCCTGACTTCCATAAAAATTATTAAAATTTATATTGGAAATGAAATGTTTTTGTTTTCTTAGATGTACCTAGAGTTTTTTGGTCATTATTGTTTACATGTTGTGATATTTTTGTTGACCATATTTGCTTTAGACACGCTTTGTTATATGGAGTTGAACCAGTCTGTTTCGAAGCTTCGGACGATGTTGGTGGTCTATGGAGGTACAAACCAGAACAAACAGCAGGTACGTTTATTTTTATTATATTATGTTAATTATTTAAATTTTAAATTTAGACAGCCTTAACTTTTAGTTTTTTGAGTTTTAACACATTATCATAGGTACAAAACGTAACGATAGTCACATTTTTCATTTTTTCATAGTTAACGAGCACAAATACTGTTATGAGGTCAAAAAGTTAATATCTACTACTCTTTACTACATAATGATGTCATTTTCAGAAGGTTCGGTGATGCGGACTACAGTAATCAACACGTCGAAGGAGATGACAGCCTACAGTGACTTTCCTCCGCCAGCTGAATTCGCCAATTTTATGCATAATACTCAACTTCTGAGGTACTTCCAGATGTATGCCGACCACTTCAATCTCAGACAGTACATCAAGTTCCATCATCGTGTAGTAGACGTTCACAGAAGCAGTGACTACAACAAAACTGGCAAGTGGAACGTGATCTACGAGGATCAGTAAGTTGTCTTAGTTAGCTGTGTCGATACCTTGTATAATTTGTTTTTTACTGTTTGGTAATAAGTTTAAGTGGTAATGTAGTTGATAAAAAATGTGTAAATAATTAATCTTACGTTCTAAATCTTAATTTTTTTTAAACTTCAGAAGCCAACAACGTCACGAAGAGCTCTTTGATGCGGTTTTACTGTGTACTGGCCATCATACTGAACCGTACTGGCCAAACAAGTGGCCAGGACAAGACAAGTTCCAAGGGAAGATCATGCACGCTCACGACTACAAGGACTACAAAGGTCACGAGAACAAGGTGGTGACCGTAGTTGGCGTCGGAAACTCTGGTTTTGATATTGCAGTAGAATTGAGCAGAATCGCGAAACAAGTCTACGTATCGACGAGGAGAGGAACTTGGATCTACAATCGTATCATCGACTTTGGCCATCCGTACGATCTGATCGCTTTCTCTAGATTTATCGCTTTTTTGAGAAAGACGATACCTACATGGCTGATCAACTCGTTTTTGGAGTTCAAATTGAATTCGAGGTTTGATCACGCCAAATATGGATTGAAGCCGGCTCATAAGCCTTTGAGGTATGTTAAATTAGTGTATTTTTGATAGTTTAGTAACATTTATGTTACAATATATTGTTGCAATAGTTAAAAGATGATTTTGAAATAGTATATTGAAGTATAGTAATGGGTATGGGTCTGGTTTTAATAAGTTAAGTACTGTTTTTGATCTAAATTTTGAAAAAATCAATTTTGACATTTCGTCAAACTAATTTTTCGTCTAATTGTTACCTTTTTTAATGCTAATACTTTTCTTTTACAGCGCCCATCCTACAGTAAATGATGAGTTACCGAACAGGCTTGTGTGTGGCACAGTAATCGTCAAGAGTAACATTAAAGAATTCACCGAAACTGGATTGGTCTACGATGACAATACCAAGGTCGAACCTGTTGATGAGGTAATTGCTATATTTTTATAATAGGATTTTATCCTTAAATATATAAATTTAGACTATCATAGCTACAGTAATAATATTGTTACCTAAAACACGTTTATTATTGTAGGTAATCCTGTCAACCGGCTATTCATTTGGCTTCCCGCTAGCAGAAGGCGGCCGTCTGATTCCAGTCCGTGAGAACCGTGTCGATCTCTACAAACTCATGTATCCACTACCTACTGCCAAGTGGAATAATGTCGCGGTAATCGGGTTGATTCAGCCGATCGGTTCTATCATGCCGATCTCTGAACAACAATGTCGACTATTCTTCCATGCTCTAACTGGACATACGAAGTTACCATCGGAAGGTGGTATGATAGATGACATCAACTTGAGGAAGGCCAAGATGGAACAGAGATACGTTAACAGTAGGCGACATACCATTCAGGTAGGCTTAGTAATGTTATAATTAAGGTTTACATGACATTATAGTTTAAAAGAATTCAAAATTGCATGTAATTTTAAAAATAAAAGTTGTTTCTCTTCCGGATACTACAGTATACTCTTCTAATATGATACTATACTTACAGGTGGACTACGAAGACTACATGGATGAGTTAGCCGATCTCATGGACTGCAAACCAAACTTCAAAGAGCTTCTCTTCTGGGACCCTCGCCTAGCCTTAAAAATTTTCTTCGGCCCAAATCTACCGTATACCTACCGTCTAAACGGTGTTCACAAATGGCACGGTGCACGAGACGCCATCTTTGAATCAGAAGACCGTGTTCTGAAGGGTCTTAGACATCGTATCGTACCACTTTCATCGAACATGTTCGGATTTTACTTTGTAACCATCTTCATTGTGATTGTAGCTTTACTGGGCAAATTTTTACTTTAAAACTTTTCAAATTTTGATTTTTGTAAATTTCAATAAATGATAACTAGTCTTAAAGTTGGTATGAAATTATAACTTTTGTTTTATTTCGGTCCAAAAGTAGGTGGAATGGTAAAATCTTACAATTTTTTTAGTTTCTTTACCTTGATTTTACAATACAACGCTATTGTAGCAGGTAAATAGCGTAGTAACACCTTAAAATTGACGATCAAACGACAGCGTGATTGATGATTAGCTTTACTTCAAAATCTACTTTATATACTATTAAACCCTATTTATTCATATCCATCTTCGGTACTGGTACTTGCCGCCAACCTCCGGTCGATATCGGCCTCCTTTTCTCTTCGTTTAGCACGGAGTAACTTCTTCTTCAGAACCTTGAACACCTTCAAATTGCCATATATAATAACGAACACTAGAATGACAGCAACCACAAACCACATGTGGATTACGATCTGAACGACGGTCAAGTAGGCAATGAGTTGACGGAGGTATTTGGAAAGATCTTGGCACAGTTGGACGTCGTTCTTCAGTGGACTAACCTTGAACTTCATCAAATGGCCTGCGGCGAGTTGATCAACCGAATTGGGTGAGAACAAAGCAATGTGACGCTTAAAAGATAGTTACATTAGACAACGGTGAATTCAAGATTATTTTAAGCATATTAACATAACTTATTGTCTTCCAAACTACTATATTCTCTTCCACACTACATATTAACATCGCCTATATATGTAGTACTTGTTGACGCTACCTTTTTCAACTAAAACCCACCAAATTGTACCACTGCGACTCAATATGATTGTTGCCTGGATTGATAAGATAAAGAGCGATCTTGTGCAAGTCACTGTCAGGTTCAATCACTTTTTTGGAACAAGAGTCATATATGAACAACTTGGAGTAAGTGCCATCTGCTTCTTTGACAATAACATTGAATTCTGCTTCATCAAACCCAATCACTTCTTCATCTAGATTCCCACATACCACTCGTTCTCGGGTACAGGTCAGATAGTCTGATAACACCAAATTGGTACCTTTCTATAATCAATTTGAACCTTGTTAAGAGAATTCACGTAGTTTAGTTAAGAAATTTACAAAAAGTACTAATAAAAATCATTTACTTACAATATACAACAAATTGAAGCCGTCTGACACAAATCGAAAATCGGGAAAATTGTCGGCTTCAATAACCATTTCTATCAAGTTTTTCGATACCAAGGACGAGTTGTACAAGTAATCTCCGACTAAAACAATAAGAAAAAAGGTAAACATACGACACCTACTGTTACTTAAAACAACAAATCAATAATAATATAGTAAAATTACAAAAAAATTTAAAAAAAAATACCAGAAATAAATTCGCGCTTCCCAAGATGGCTAAAGACATAACCATTGCCATTAATAACATCTTTTTTGTTGTGAGAACTTGATCGGATCAAAACTCTAAATAAAAAATATTATAGTAGATATTATAGTAGACAGTACAGTAGACTCAATGGATATTATATTAGACACATCAAATATTATATTAGTCTAAATAATCTATATTATAGCCTTGTATAACACTTACACTGGCTCCGTCCAAGTCCACAACACTTTTTGGTCCTTGTATGTAATCTTTGCCGTATATTCAATAACTGTCGTCGTTTCCAACACTAAAATAAACCAAATTAAGAACACAATCTAAAACAAAACAATTGTATTTATAGTAAACCACTCCTAATAAAACTTCATAGTTACAAAATAACATTATAGGCTTCTTACCATAAGGTTCGCGGTATTTCAACGTTGCTTCCAGCGAATATCCTGAATATCTACTCTCAAAGTCTTGAAAAACAAGTGTTATCGCACTCAGTAATGTCTAAAATTTTACTCAATAAAAGAATATATAATAAAGTACTAATTAGAACGTTATCATGTACTAGTTAGTACTTTATCACTTCACTGTATACATTGACTTACTTTTATAACTTCATCTTTCTTCATTTTCGACTGTTTTTTCGACCAGCCGTCGAGAATTTGCAAAAATATAATAAATTTTCAACATCAACATGGAATACTGTTGAATTTTATTGTTTCTTATAACACAAAAGTCAAAATATTTGTCCAAGAAAAGGTTTGTCGAGGAAATATTTTTTTAAAATGACACATTTTATAAACTAATGACAGATTTTTTGGACGAAACCTGATTTTTCGAACAAATCCTTGGACAAATCCACAAAAAATAATTTTTATGGTTAATAATACGATTTTTATTGTTTCAAATTGTTATAGAAATATGCTTTTAAGATTATAAGCTCCACATTGTTGTAGAACGTTCCAAAATTTGTCTTTATCAGCCACTGAGGGTTCAGAGCCGAAACATGAGCTAACCTCAAACTTGGGTTATTAAACCGAAGCTGTTAGCCTATGTTCAGATATTGAAAAAAAGTTATTTCTCTGTTTGATTAGGTTTGACTCGATTCGGGAGTTGTTCGAGCAATCTGCCACTCTCTTTTAGACTGTTGTTTCTCGGTTCCTAGGTCTTACCTTTCGCAAAAGTGGTACACATTGAACAGTATTTCGGAAAGATATTACAACACTACCGTAATTTTCTGGGAGTGACACTAACCGTTTGCTGGTGCCAATGAAAACCTACATGGAACGTACTTGGTTACGCAAACCGGACGTGCTTCAAAGAGATGAACGACTACCGGCACTTTTCGATAAAAAAATTCTGGAATTGTTACTACTACACGATGGAGGATTTATACAAACAACAGCTTCTAGGCTTGGCATCGCGCCATTCAACTTTCTATTCGTCAGCGGCATTCAACTCTAGAATTTTTGATCCAAAAGTTGAAGCATGAAGAGGGAATAGCAAACCTGGATATTGCGCAAGCAAATGCCGGAAACGCCCCTCCTTTCATTCGCAGACGGAAGTACGATACCCAACTTTTCATTTGAGTTTTTTAGAATATAATATTATACATGACTGTATTCCATTCATTCCATTGATTGTAGTAAAGTTTATTCCAAATAAACACATACCGTACCGTAGTAGTTAACCGTTTACTTTACTTTCTTCGCTTTCTCTTCTTCTTACAATCAACAGCACATAGACCATCGTTACATTTGGTACCAGCTGGACAGTTGGAGCAAGTCTCACCTGATTCGTAGATGTTATCACCCATCATGTTACCGTTCTCGTAGTTACATACGACGAACGTTCCGAAACTACATTTTTGTACGGAACAACCCATGCTACGACACTTGGCCCAGGACATCTAAATCAATTTGAAAGGTGGTTTATAATACATTGTATAAAAATTTTTACTTTATAAATATAAATGTTTTATCTTATATATACATGTATTCTTTCTTATCTTTGCTATTAAAAAGGTATTGAAACTTATATTTCAAAAGTATTTTGACTTACTTGAGTAAAATGACCAGCTTGGAAGGCATTTCCGTCAAAGGCTACAGAATCCGTGTTGTAGATGTCTGTCAGTTCCTTCCACCAAGAGTCTCCTGCTTGCTTGGCCGCGTCTTCTAAAAATTACATCTTTAAATATGTATTTCTTAAATTTTTACTCGTTTCAGTATCATCTGCTTACCAAAAAATAGATCGCTTACTATAATAAATTTTTAAATTTCTTATAAATAAAAGTTACTGTAGTTTAATAAATTCATTTTATGGTAATCTCATAAACCATTAGGCATTGCTAAAAAGATGTTCCACAAACATCAAAAACCTTTTTTCAATTCAAATTATTTGTTTTATCAGCTAAAATAACATGAATAAGGACATGAAATGCGTTTTAAACATACAGTAAACCTAATTCTTTCCTAATGTTTTAAGTTTTCAAATTTTACCTGAGGGTAAAACAATATTTTATATTGACCGTAACATGTTATGTTAGCTGATACAACAAATAATTTAAAATGAAAAAATATTTATAATATAAAATGAATAATATAAAAAATGTCTTTTAGAATGCTTTACTTACCTTGTGATAAAGCCTCACTAGACATGAACAAGTTCTGGCCGTAGTCAATATTGGGAGTATGTTCAAAGTTACAAGCTTTAGCCCAGTCATCTGCTTTCTTCTCCAGGTCTTTGTTGTACACCTGGAAATGGACTTTTTTAAAAAATTTTTAAAGATCATAAAAGTAAAGCTATATTAATTCACAAACCAAGCCTTAAACCACTGTTTACTATCAAAAAATAGGTCAAACTTATGCCTATTACATTATAAAACTAAGCATAAGCCTAATTCCTACCATTTTGAGCATGTTCGTAGCCTTGGGCATAGCCTGTTGGTTCTTGTTCTTCTCATTTCCTTTGGCGATCGACCTCCGATGTTCATTGTGATTACTCAAGAAGGCCTTCTTGCCACTGTCCGACAACAAATCCCCTACTACAACATCGTGTAGAAAGGCTGCGATCAGAACGAACCTGAGCATAGTGTGGAATGTGCAGAGTTTGGTACATTTCCTCTATATCTATCACCCCCAACATGTGTACACAGGTGCTGAACATGAAGGTCGTATATTGTTAGACACAAGAACAAACACGGTTTGCATATGATATGATGAGAATTACGTAGATTCCCTAAATATCCCAAAAGATTTCACTTGTTTTTGATATCACAATGCGTAGTTTGTTAGTCAAGGTGTACTGTAGCAAAAAATACTTGTTTTTTACCTTAAAATTTATTTCTTGTATACTTATATGAACGTTTAAATTGTATTTAGATGTTATATTGATATACGTATGTACATTTATTTCCAAAAACTATAAAATTCCAACAAGTCTACGTACATGAACAGCAACAATATAAGTTATAAAGTTAAATTCAAGGAACTATGGACATTCCAGATGCCGAATTATCAGTAGCACCAGTCTCAATGCTCTCCCCCATTTTCTGCCCTGCCCAGCTTAAAACAAAGAAAAATCCACTCCCGATGACAATAATAAGAGCACCAACAAGTACGATACTCAATGGAGGCCCGGTAATCAGGAATCCTATCAGGGCTACGGTCTCCAGGATATACACTGTAGCTGCCAATACTTGACGATGTAAATGTGATGACAAGAAGGCACCAACTGGAGAAAAGATTACCACTACTGGTATACATACTCCAAAGTACTCCCAGGCCAACGTGCTCACATCGTTCTGAATCAACTGGCGCCAATAGAAGCCGACACAAGTGTTGAGGAACATCAGGACTACAGAAGTTGGTGTAGCCACCTTTTCGGACACACGAAATAGTAAGGTTAACACTGAGAAGGAGCAGATATCTACCCCTGAGCCAGTGTATGCACTTAAGATACCTAAAATCAAGTTTTCTGTATAGTAAAATTTAATAACTTTAAAGTAAATTTTTGCTTTAAAAGCTACTTTATGTAACATTTCACTAAAAACATACCTCCAAAAAGGCCAGTACAAAATAGTACCAACGCTTTCAACCAATTGAACTGTGGTATCGTATCGTATGTCTTCCGCTTCTTCTGTAAGTTCAATATCAACAAAGATATGGCAAAAGAGAACCAGATAGATACGAACATCATCTTCTTCTGAATTGGCAACAGTAAATCATCCAGATACTGTAGTCCGATAATGATACTGAAAGCAGCACCCAACGTGGAGAACAATATCGAGTGCCATTCTACTTTGATACGCATGTAAATTACTGTAAATGATGAAGCGGCCATACCTATTGTAGAAAAATGTAAAATAATATGTAGTTGTATATAATAATACTGCGTCAATATATCTTTTGTACCAACAACTACAATATAAAAAAACCAAACAGGAAATAACATATAAAATCACTTAAAGTAAGTCAACTGTGGTTTAATACCCAACATACCAGCACTCTGAATCATCAACGAGAAATCCCTCGCCACCCCTGGCTGAATATGTAATAACAATGTCATAACAGGGAAGGCAATGGCACCACCACCTTCAGAAGTAGCACCAGCTACCAACGCGCCAAATATCATAGTAACTGCCATTTCCCATCTTGTAGCATATAATACCAAAAGACCTTTGGAAATAGCCACAGGCCACCAGGTCAACTGCCAGAACAAGATCGGGGTCAAAAATGCAATGTATTTACGATACTTCTCGTGGAACGGTAGACCTGGAGATGACTGAAGACGTGTTTGGAGATCTTCATCTAGGTGCTGACCTGGAATTTCAAATAAATTTAATTTTAGGTTTAAAAACTACCAAATTTACTAAATATACATTTAAAAAGCTTTGAATTAATACAAAAGTTAAGTCACAAATTTATCTTCGACCTGATTAAACTCTTACCATGTAAAAAGTACTTATCAACAAATTGCTTTACTGTCCGCCGCCTTTTTGGCTCGACCCCTATAGGAGTCACTGTGGCCATTATGCTGAAAAAATGTCTGTAATATCGTAATTTCGTAGTACCAAAAGTACCAAATGATGTTAAAATAAATTTATCAAAAAGTCATACCAAAGTTCAATTTCGTTCTGATCAAAAAGCAATTTATGCTCGATGTCTTTAAAATCAAAAAATATTAAAATTTGCTTTTTAAATTCAGTTAAATCTATTTTTTAAACTGTAAAGCAGATAAAACGATGTTTATCCTTCGCCAGTAACAAATTTTAACAACAAAAATTTAACAAAAATTCAAAGAACTCAATCATACCCAAATGTCAAGTCAAATCTACATCAATACAAAGCATAAAAATACCCCAAACCAATTTTCTAAACATCCTACAGTACATAAACCCTTTATAAACATAAAAATGTACTACAAAACCTCGAACACATAGAGTAACGTAACTTTATAATAAACATTTTGATACATGAACATAGTTGCTACTCGGAAATATTATTCAAATCGTTTTGAGAGCGTGAAAGAGCTGTCGAAAATCCGTGAAACTTGTTTTGTCGCGGAAGAAGAACATTGAGGTATCATCTTCGTATCTCCATTCGAAAGGCGATTACTCACATTATGTTCTCAGCAAAAGTAAACAAATCATTGATGTTGTAACATCTACAGAAACAGGCTAACTTTTTAATTGTTTTTTAGTTATTTTGGACGTTTTATACCTAAAAATCATCAAATTTATAAAAAGACAGCTATATCGGAATATAAGATATCTTTAACAAAATATAGAATATTTATGATAAACTGTTTTAAAACCAATCAAAAATTAAAAAATTTAACTTCTTTTGGCAAATTAAAACCAGCAACACCAATTGCATAAAACTATAGCAAATATACATGTCCTTATCTGTCTTCAGTTTAAAAAATTCAAGTGTTATACTAAACTATAGCTTTTATTATAATGTTATCACCAATAATCTGCTTAACATTCGTCTTTCATTATTTTATATTCTTCTACAATTTTTTTCGGACATACCATGCACAATATATTATAGATGACCAAACTCTCAAAATATTAAATATCCAAAAATAATATAATTTGAGCAGAAAATTTGAGCTCTAGAATCAAAAAAATAATTGCATCTGATAGAATTGGATTTAAATCTATTCACTTATTGACCGACTGGAAAGTTACAAAAATATAATTTGTAAAATGTTATTTAAAAATTGTGGCTTTTCGTCGTCTGATTTATTGGGAACTTTTTATTGGCACGAAGTGTAAAATTTTATTAAAAATAACTACAGTTTTTTCTAGTTTTTTTTCCCAAAATAATTTAGAAATTTGGACGAAAGTTTGTCTAAAAAATGAAGTTCTTCAGTTGTTACATTTTCCAAAATGGTCGACGGCTGGTCGGAGCGATCAGTAGTCACTAAAGAAAGTGTTTTGAAGGTATGTTTAGGTATATATTGTAGTTAAAACGTTGATTGTGATTTGTCAGTTGTCTTTTTAATGTAGTGTTGTTACTTTTTTGTTTTTTTTTGTAATTTTGACATTTTAGCTTTTACTGAGTGCTATTACACTCGTTTTCCAAGATCTTGAAGGTAGATACCCTGGACATGCTCTGGAAGCGACGTTGAAATACCGCGAAGTTTATGGTAAGAAATAAAGAGGCCGTAAACTTAGTTACCATATTTATTTATTTATTTTTCCAAATTTCACTCGTAAAGTCATAATATAACATAAAATCATAATATAATATAAAATATAAATTTTTAACGATAAATGACAGTACAGTGTTGATATGATTATATAGGAAAAATGATATTTATACTTTTTGTTTAGGACTACTGTGTAGTACTATTTAGTCCATTTTCATTTGTCGTATAGTACTAGTTGATCACTTTTTAACTATTTTAGTGCTGGACAGTTCGATCGTCTTTGAATATAATGCTAAGTTCACATACAAAGACAGCAAAGTATCGTGGGAATGGCAGAATCCAATGTATGTTAAATTCCTTATATTACAGTCAGGGACGTCGCTACAGATTTTCTCTGGGGGAGGGGGAGGCCGAAAAAATTTTTTTCGTCCACAGGTAGCTGCTACCTGTGGACCGATTTTCCAAAAAAAATTTTTTTTTCGTTTTTTTGCGTACAGGTACCTACCTGTGGAATTTTTTTCGGATCGGCTCTGGGGGAGGGAGTACCCCCCCCTCCCCCTCCCCCAAACTACGTCCCTGATTACAGTAGTTTTTTATTTTTTGGTGGATTTTGTGGATAATATTATGTGTTTTGTTTAGAGTATTGATCCGATCAGAAGATACTTCAACAACGGACATTACAAGCAACGGTTATGTCTTTAGTCTTCTTGGAATGAACGAATACTTTGTTCGTAAGGCTCTTGACATTATTTATATGATGTATGATTGTTCATTTTTGTAACACTAATCATATATGTCAAAATGTCTGTACGTCATAACAAAGTTTTTTTCAGTCGGGGATCATTATTACAAAACATCTTTACTGTCCAAAAACATGATAGACATGGCAATAGATGGAGCCATTGAGGACATTGAGTTTGTCACAGATGGATTCAATATGATTTTTAAAGTAATTCTTAATGATGTGTAAGATATAATAGTATACGCCGTATTTCTCGTACGAAAATTTTCAGAGAACAAAAACCTCTGAATTAGCAACTTATGACTTCACCCATCAGTACCGAAAGATTTGCAATGGTGTGGAAGAGGAGCCGATTGGATTCGACGAATCAACCTTCAATCTCATTCTCAAAGAAGGTGGTGATTCATATTGCACCATGTCCGTATACGACTCCTGTTCCAAAAAAATGGTCGGGAAGGACAGTAACTTGCACAAGATCCCTCTATACCTCGCTCGACCCGGCTCCAAACATCTCGAGTCGCAGTGGTACACATTGGTGTGTTTGAATAGTTTTACAGACCCATGTTAATATTCAGTATGATTGTTGTAACGTTGTGATAAGATTATCAAAATACTCTTACAGTTATTCTTTGCCCAATGTAAATTGATCTTTTCAGCGTCATGTGGCCGCTTTCTCGCCAAAATCATACGGTCAAATTTCTGCAGGGCATCTGATGAAGTTCCAAGCGATTCCATTGAAGAAAGAAGTCGAACTGTGCCAAGTACTTCCGCCACCGCATTACCTACTTGACTATTATCCAAATCATAATCCATATGTGCTTCGTGGTGGTTGTCATCATGGTATTCGTCATCATATATGGCAATGTGAGAGTGCTGAAGGCGTTGAAGAAGAGGTTTATCCGCGTCAACAGAAAGAGAACCGAGAAGAAGAGGTCCAAATCAAGCAGCGACAGTGACGAATAACGGCAGTTACCTTGTATATTTAATTTCTGGAGAAAGAGTAAACAAAGTAGTATTGTAGTGATACTTAAGGGACCAGATCGACTTGTGGTTTTAATACATAATTTTACAATTTTTATACCTAAAAGCTTTCAAATTAAAAGTTTTTAAAAAAGCAACGAATCGTCTACAATTGTGGCTTTTCGTCGTGTTACTTATTGTAAAATTGTTGCGAAGTGTAAAAGATTTATTGGAAATAAAAATTGTAAAATTTATTTTTCTTTTTCACTTTTAAAAATGACCTCTAGTACATATATATGGAATGAAAACGACAGTTTTTGATCTAGTTAATGGTTATTTTAATTTTTTATATTTTGGGAAATGGTCGACGGTGGGCCGGTGACAGCAATAACTAAAGAAAGTGTTTTAAAGGTATATTTAGGTTTATATTGTAGACACAACGGTAGCTACAGTTAATGTCAATATTTTATTCTATATATGTATGTATTGGTATTAACTTGCTACTTTTATTTGTAATTTCGTGATGTTTTAGATTTTACTGAGTGCTATTACACTCGTTTTCCAAGATCTTGAGATCAGATATCCTGGCTATGCTCTGGAAGCGACGTTGAAATACCGTGAAGTTTACGGTAAGGGAAACTTATAGTTACAGTATGATAAATTTAAAAATAATCAAATTTTGAACTTTGTGCTATGTCAAAGTATTTTTACTTCGTAACTTTTCTTGGTACATATAAACATATATATGTAATTGTCGTATAATGTAATGTTATTTAATGTTTTTCTTGTTTTAGTGCTGGGCGCTTCGACAGTTTATGAATATAAGGCTAAGATTACATACAAGGACAGGAAAGTATCGTACGAATGGCTAGATCCTACGTAAGTTGGATCCTGTCTTTAAATTACGGTAGTTGTTCCTAAGTTGTTAATAACTTGGATTTTGTTTATAAATAAGATATGCTTCGTTTAGAGTATTGATCCAAACACACGAAAATGTAAAAGCGGACATAAATGGCAACGGTTACGTGTTTAGTCTTCTTGGTATGAAAGAATACATTTCTGGTAAGATTCTTGACAGTATAGATGACATTTTTTGTTTGTAATACTATTGATATTCAAAAAAGTGTATAACCAGGTCTTAAAGGAACTATTTTAGTTGGAGATTATTATTACAAAACGTCTTTGATGTCCAGAAACATGATAGACATGGCAAAAGAGAAACATTTAAAAAAATTTGAGTTTGTGACAGACGGCTTCAATTTGTTTTACAAAGTAAGTGAACAGCTTACCATAGTCAGACAGGTACTATTATAGTTATCCCATTTTAAATTTTTTCAGATAAATAACACCTTGTTATCTTGGGATCCCAGTACTTCTAAAAAACGATCTGTCTGCAAAGGTGTACCTGGCGAGCTGATTGGATTTGATGAATCAACATTCAATATAGTTGTCAAAGATGATCATCTTTACTTCATTTTGGGAATACACGAGTCTTGTTTCAAAAAAAAGGTCGGACCTTACACTGGCTTGCACAAGATCCCTCTATACCTTTCTCGGACCTACTCCGATCAGCTTGAGTCGCAGTGGTACAATTTGGTAAGTTCTATTAGTTTTACAGATCTATTTTATAAAGATAAAGATAGGTCTTTGTTACTTTTCAGTATGAAAGCCACGAAGGTTATGTTAACATTCATAAAGCACGTAAATGTAAAGTGATTCATAGCCCTACGTAAATTAGTCTTTTCAGCGTCACGTGGCTTTGTTCTCGCCAGATTCGGTCGATAAAATTTCTCCAGGGCATTTGATCAAGTTCAAAGCGATTCCACTTGAGGACCAATTCGAATTATGCCACGACCTGTCCAAGTACATTCGCCACCTCATTAAATACTTGGCCATTATACAAATCGTAATTCATTTGTGCTTCGTGATGGTTGTCGTTATGCTGTATGTCATCATATATGGCAATGTGAGAGTTAAGAAGCATTTGAAGAAGTTGGTTCGTGACAACACCAAGAGGAAAAGAAAAACGGTGGACAAGAGCTCTCGCAATAGGAAGAGATCACGTAGCAGAAGCAGAAATATGCCAAAGAAATTAAATCGTTAAGAGTTTAAGTGTATTCTGGAAGTAAACTAGTTTGATTACATTCTTTTGGAGTTTTTTTAAGTGTTATCAGCAATTTATATATCTACTATAATATCAAGGTATCGTACTTTTATTTTCCTTTCGAACTTGTTTTACAATATTTTTATACTTTATTACATTTTTGTAACAAATTATAGTAAAAAACGACTGCTTGTGCCCACTATATCATAAAATAGGTCTGTTAATTCTTTCGCGTTTTCATCAAATTAGAAACGCGAAAGAATTACTGGATTTACAAACCGAAATTACAATAAATACTCCCATTCGCAACAATATATGTATGTTTATTTTCCCAATTACAAATTAGTGGTACAAAAATTGAGCAAGATATTAACGATATATTACCATACGAAATAAGCGACATTAAACGATTGCTTTGGTCCGAAAGAAACTTGAGTGAAATTACCGGAGGATTTGGGGGAGAACACACCCGATTTCAAAGATACGGTTGCGGTTACAGTACGATTAGACATCCATACTGGTTCAGTATGATTAAACGATCAGTTACAGTAATGTGAAAGACCGTCTTACTGTATACATTAGCAAAAAATTGTCGTATGATTACAGTATGACTACAGTTCATCATATCAAATATTGTACAACTTCAGTTTGAAATAGTTAAAATAGGATAAAAGACGATTCCTACTTTAATGTTTGATAAAAGACCCATTTTTAGTGTTGGAAGATTGCAAAAATTAAAAAGTTAAAAAATGTAAAAATGTGGAACTGATTGGATACAAGTCAACTAAAAGATCTGCACTACAGTAATCGTGGCTACTGAAAGCATAAGAGACTTACTAAAGCCATAAAATATAGCTAAAAAGCTTTCCAGTTCAGAAAAGACCCCCTTCTAAAGACCTGAAGACCGTGATCTAGCTTCTGAAGGCTTACACTCCAAGGTAACACCTTACTCATCCAACTGACCGGCCTTTGCCATCAAGAAGTGATGTCAATTTGGTGTCGTATCGTTAGACTGGATCAAGGCTACTGAGCTTCGATCAGTCTGTGGGGAGTTGGCGTCTTGTTGGCCGGAAGCGATGCTTTCTGAAGCCGCTGCATTGTTTGAAGTCATAACCAGAAGCCCCGAACTCAAAGACCGGCGATCTTCATCTTGAGCATTCAAGGCTTCTACTCTCCTCAACTTATTGTGAGTTGGTGTGAATAGCGATGGTTCTGATCTGAGTCCGGCCAGGGTTTGGCTTCGAATCCATTGAGGTTCGGATCCAATTGAGTTCAGGATTCGTTCGAAGCGTGGAGCATTCGAGGAGTCGGCTATGATCAGTTGACGCTTCTTTCGCCTAAAACAATATTTGGTTAGTCAAGTGATCATTTTAAATGTATGGATTTAAAAAATGAATTTGAGTTTTAGGTAGATCTTTGGTCAAAATGTTCATAGAATGGTAGTGAATGAAATATAAAAGACTTTTAAGTTAAAAATGACATCAGGGAATTCAAACATAGTTATATTTTATTAATAATTACTAGTATAATGTCTTCGTTGGTAGTAGAGAAACCTAGGAACAACATATTTGACCGGCTTCAAAATGATTCTTCTGTAGAAACGTGTCAATCTCTCTATGAAATTTCCATTTGAACGTCGTATGTTTGTGGGTAATATTGTCGGCCAAAGTTGGAACAAATTACTCTTAACGTGATCGAAACCTTTGCCATAGCATGAACTGTTATCAAGCTGATGTTGTCTTCTTATCTCAACAAATTTTAACTTAGGTGAATCTCTAGTGTGACACCTAAAAAGGTAGACAATAGACTGATAATATTTATGTGAACGAAAGAAGCAATACCACAACACTCAAATTATGTGATAGACAGTAAAAGATAGTAGAGAAGATGTGGACAACAACGCGTGCAACAGTAAATAAAACAGAAAATGAATAAAATAAAGTATCAAATTAGAAAACAAAAGATCATTCTACGTACTTTTTTGACCAAACTAATGCAAAACGAACATTACTATAAAAAACTCACAAAAAAAAGTAAAGCCTTACCTTTCCCTCACGCCCAGAATAATATGTTCTATCACATAATTCTCGAACAGATACGAACACAGTCCACTCAAGATCGCCACCATCAACATGAATATCCTGTTTTCCAAATATGGAATCGGGTCGAATTCCAACCAGTCGATTAGGAAGTCTGGAGGGTTAACAGTAATCCAGGCCGATATCAGTGATAACACGATTAGAGATAGGCACATTGGTCGGTTAGAGAAGAGGGGCTTTCGGTAGGGATGTCCTTTGCTGTAGATGATGGCTAGGGTAATGTACTGGAAGGTGGAAACACAAAAGATGGCAGTGCCTTGCATTGAGCGGCGATCTTCCACATCCGATCCCATGGGCATAGCATATGGTATGAACCAGGGTTGGAGGGCGGTGTAGAGGAACACAAACAGCTACAAATATGATATTATAGGAGATACAAAAATTCTGTTAAAACGGGATCAAACCTTTATCAAAGAATTTTTAAAAATAAATTTAAAGTATATATTCAAGTGTAACTTTAAATTAAACAATGATGTAAACCTACCTGAAAAGCAGCGATGATCATCAACTGTCCAACTATCGACAAAGCCGAAGCCAATGACAATAACCTTGTTGGTGGAGGCACTGGATCTAGCTTCTCACAACTCGGAGTGTAGCCAAAGAACAACGCGACCAATGTAATTAGTCCGAGATCAATATAAAGGAATTGGAAGTCTGTCAAGTTGGTATTCAGCCAGTAGAGCTGCATGATGGTGATGAACTGAGTCAACGAGTAACCGGCCATGTACTTAAAGACGCCGAAAGATGTCACCAGAGCTGCTCGACCTTCTCTTATCACCATGGGGACACATCTGATGTCGGGTATCTTAGAAGTGAATGGAGCTGCGATAGAGGCTTCGGCTTCTGACAACGAGATTCCAGCGTGAGCAGCCTTCAGAGCAGCACAGTCGTTGGCTCCGTCTCCACACATGGCCACGGTGTAGTCGACCTCCTGAAGTGTGTTGATCAGAAGTTGTTTTTGATCAGGTGACATTCTTGCGTAGACGTCGCAGACGCAAATAAGTTGGTCCAAAAGTTCTGGGTAGTCGTCGCAGATGGCAGCAAAGGTTGGTCCACTTATCGCCAGTTGATAGTTGGAGTCGACCAGATGACCATTCTCGACGTCTACATTGACTGAAGATTCTTCGAATTCGTTCAAGTCATCTGAAGCAGAGACTGATTGTCGTAGACTCAGATGCACTCGTCCATCTGACATCGTGCCACCATGTTCAAGGAGAAACGTTCTTTTGTGAGGTCTGATGATTCCGCATTCTCTGGCTACACTCATTGCCGTCAGTACGTTGTCTCCAGTTACCATGACTGTTCTTATTCTAGCCTTGTTAAGCTGGCCAATGACAGGACAGGTCTGGGTCTTTACTCTGTTCTCCATGACAATGATACCCAACATCTTGAGGTCACATTCGATTATCTCGCGCTTTACCTTCTGAGCTTTGGCGTAGCTCAAGTCGAGTTGACGTGAAGCTACAGCGATCAGACGATAGCCATGTTGAGCATAATGGTTGACGATGTTGTCATAGGAAGCTGGAACGGATTCTGGGCGACACAACGATGCTATAATCTCCGGGGCTCCTTTCACGTACAAATGCATGGATCGGCCGGTCTCGTTGGGATTGTGACAAATTACCCCCATTCTTTGTAGAGACGAACTGAAAGTAAGTATGTTTTATTAAAGTTTTTTATAAAAATACTTTAAAAGCAACTATTAAATAAGTTATATTAATGGGCCAAGCTTATTACAGTAAGATATTTATAGCTAAACACATCTAAAAGCAAACTAAAGAAAAAGTATTACCTAAACGTGAACTGTCTGATCACAGCCAATTCAGTTTCCGGTTCGTTCGACCCAAAATGTCCACTTGGAGATCTGATTACTGTAGGCTGTAGCATGTCGAACAAAGCTGTTTCTTCGATCTGATCGTCAGTTGGCGACTCATCGATAGTCCAGTTGGTCTTGTTGAACAGAATCAAGTCCAGTGGATCTCCACAAAGTTCGCTTTCAATTCTAGTCAATGAATGACATGTAGCTACAGCCTTGACAAGTTCTCCATTGTGAGGAAGTTCATCTTGATGGAACTCGAAGAGTTCATCTCCAAACACCGGCTCATGAGCTGTCTCTCGAACTGCTTGAATCTGTCGTGGCTCTTCGTAGACTGCCCTAAGGCAATGAAAGTCAAGACCATCTTCAGTCAACGTGCCAGTTTTGTCAAAACACACCACATTGATGGCTCCACACGTGTTGATAGTAGATGGTGAGATACAGAAGATTTGTTTGGCTCTCAACCTCATCTGTGCTGCAAAGATACCAATACTCATGGCGGCTGGCAGGGCTGGTGGTACAACAATTGTGATGATATCTAGAGATCTGAGGATGATCTTCTTGATCGCTGAGCCTCTCATGATCATCACAGCGACAGTGTAGCCAAATCCGACCATCGCAATCATTGATAAGAAGCCTACAAAGCGGAAAAGATCCTTTGTGAAGCGGAAATCGACTGGTTTTGGGTACATAATCGACCGGACCAACTGTCCTTTGAGGGTAAGATACGCTGTACGAAGAACGATGGCCTGGACTGGCTTGCCACCATAGAATCGAGTCTGTAGCACGGAAGTACCACAAAACAGGATGTGCTTGGAATGTTCTTTCAACGAGAATTCATGTTGTCTATGTTTGTCATCTTCTGGTTCTGGTAGGGCAACTTTTGTGACTGGTACTGACTCTCCAGTTAACATAGATTCGTTGAGGATTACTGTTCCGTTCATGAGTACGGCGTCACATTGTAAGATACAGCCACGAGGAGGGATAAGAATAATGTCTCCTGGTACCAACTGAAATTAAGTTTTGTACTAATTATCAATTTTAATAATTTTGCTTTAGCCCTAAAAGTAAAACACAAATCAAATAAAACAACTTACAGCAGATGAAGATACTTGTTTGACCTTTCCATTATCTCTAATCACTTCTACAACGTCTTCACTATGTACCATTGATCGCAGCTTCTTTTCTTGTTTTCTTATCTGATAAATGTCCAATGCTATCGAACATACTGACATCAGTACGATAATCGATGCATAATACTCGTAGTCGTCTGAGTACCACACAAGTACACTAAAAATTGAGTAATTAGACATATAAAGCTACGTTTTCATTACCTATAAAAAAAGTTATAAAAATATAAAATATCTTAAAAATATTACCTAAAAACTTGAAAGATGTAGAACGGTGAAATGACTTCCTTAAACAACAAAACAACAATCGGCTTCAATTTCACCTCAATCAAGTTCTTTCCGTATACTGTGAGTCTTCGTTGAACTTCGGCTTCTGTCAATCCTTTCTGGCCATCCCAACAATCGTGGAAAAAGCCAATTGGCAGATCGTTCTCCAACTGGTCAGTGGTCGAAAAGCGACTTTCGGTCGGATGCCAAACATAACAAAGTTTTCTGTATGTAAAGTACCGCAAACTCGACACTGAAACCATCTTTCCTTTCCCCACCGGCATAGATAAAAAGTCGTTCGAAGGTGGTTTGGCTATTTTTATTTTTCGAAATGCCAAATTCTGATGATCGTCTCTGAAATATGGATTTTAAGTATTACAATACAACATTATCTTGCATTTCATTTAAATTTATCAAAAAAACTTATCCACAATTTTTAATTAAAGAAAGCCTTGTAAAATCTTATAAAAACACATCAATATTCCTTACCTGACTAACATGTAATCGCTTTCAACCATAGTACTTTTGTTCGCAGTACAATAGACGTACCACTTTGGATACCAGTAAAGTAATAGTCTCACAACACCCAACGTTGCTAACGATAAGATGTACATCAGAATTGTCTTCCAAAGACATAGTTTGTATGCCCAAATGTGGAGATCCTCATCATTCAAGTGAATGACAGCTGAATGAGCATTAGCAGCTGTTGAAGCACCATGAAATTCAAAAGAATCTTCAGAAGAAGAATCAGAAGAGTTATCCATGTTCTCGAGATGCCCCGTGCTCAAAGCTGTGCGAATCTTCGGAGGTTCTCAATAATATAAGGTAAAATACGCAAATTTTTTTACAATACAATCAACTTTAAATCCTCTGATTTATATCACAAAATATTCATACCTAAATTTACAAGAAAAAGTTAAAGTACTTACCTCTGTTCTTGCGCACCACCATGTTAGCCATGTCGGGATCGGATGCCCTCAAAAGCGTTCTGTTATCCTCCAACGACCCGTAGGTGTCCTGTCTTGATGTAAAGGGCTGATCAAAGGCTGGACTGGACAGACTGATCAGTTGTTCACGTTCTGTGTCCGCCGACCGACGTCCGGTGAGGAAGAAGGAGCCGAAGATGGTAGAATTGCCTTCCTCCTGCATATTGAGAGTAAGATGGAGAAGATCCCCCCTGATTCCTACGCCTAGTGCTTTGAATTTTGTTTCTATTGGCTAAACAAACATTCCAAACTATTATTTTGTTCAAAAACAAAAAGAGCGACAAAATATTCGAAAAATAAATTATTTCCATTTCCGCGAATGCTTCTAGAAAAAGCGTCATGATGTCATCGTTTTTGACTAGTGTATGACTAATTTTAAAGAATTGACAAAAATGTTGACCCAAAACATCGTAAAAATTTAAAATACGTCTTCTCTTAGAAAGTAAACTGACTGATTAAAAATGAAACACCAAGTTTTGTCCAAAAAAATACCTCAATTTGTTTTACAAAGTTAGACCAATATTACACCAAAGTAGTTCACTTAAATTTCCATTTATATATTTAACTTTTCAAAAAAATGTAGCAAAAAATGAACTTTGTTTCCAAAAACACAATAACCATCCCTGCAATTTGTTACATAAATACCTCAATTATCAAGTTCAAAAGTTTACAGTCCATTCCGAAGTCTTACTGTAACAATTGTAAACAATTTTTTTCAAAAATATATCTAATTCTACCGATTTCAAATCTAATTTTACAAAATTATAAATGTTAAAAAACAAAAAAAGTGGAATTATTAGCGGTTAAGTGACTATGATTAGACTAACCCCGTCATATCTCTTATCAGAAAACTCTTTTTATCAGCCAATCACTGGTTTTCGAATGGTGAACATCATAGATGGACACTGTTTAGTCAGTTTAATGTTAAAGTTTGTCTTTAGTCAGTTTTAAATTTTAAGACATTTTTCATTAGAGTCAGCCGGTTTTCATTAGTCAAATTTTGAACTTTAACTTTTTCAGCGCTTTAATCTTATGACGATTGAAAACTGTATATAATGGTCCCATATTATAAATTTTAGGCTTTTAGTTGCCTCAAAACCCTTCAAAAATTTTAAAAATTCGTAAAATTTACTTGAATTTTTAATACTTTTGAGAACGTTTGAAACAAAAATTAAAACCTCCTTATCTCAATATATTGTAAAGCCTACCTGGTGTAGAGTGTAATATCAGCTGAGTGTGGGTGTGGGTCCCGCTAGCGAACAGCGGATTTGTTGACAGAGCCCTGAAGAAGGAGCTCTTTCTGGGACATAAAATGGATTCACAGAGCCATAAGGGACCCTGCCGCTGACCTGCTACAAGTTCGAGTCATTTAGTATTCAAATAACTTTACTTTTCAATGGTATCATTTAACGACGCGACATTTTAAGTAAAATATTTTACGTATTTTATTTAGTAACTAACCAGTAAACTATACAATTTCCGTAACATTGTTGTTAATGTTGCACACTCCAAAATTGCAAAAATATACAAAAACATATTTTTAATTTTTCATGTAGCCTAACAGTGGTATTACCATAACAAATACGTAAAATAAGGCTGTTCAACGTGTTCTACTCCACAAATATTAATATTAATCCATAAGCACTAAAAACAAACTTTTTTTTGTAGAATAGATCAACAATATTAGATAACGAGACCACATGTCAATCAGTTAGCTTCCTCTAATTTTACTACATCACGTATCCACCATTTAAGTTTTTAAACAATAGGATAAGCTAAGTAAAAGTCCTTAAACATAACAGTGTACACAAAGGTAAGATATGTCTCTTTAACACTTGAATATCTCACTTATAGTTCGTCAAAGTAACTTGAAAATAAGGAAAAAAGCTGTCTGTAAAATGGTTGCCATAGAAAGAGCGGATGTTTGGATGGGGAAACATGTAAAACTACTTCACACTGCTTCAAATTGCATCTTCTGACTGTCAATCTAAGCTTTCTGCCAACAAATTTTAAATTTTCAAAATCTTGGTCAATAAGTTTGCAGAAAAATCTATAAAGTTTCAAACAGCTTAAAATCGAAAATTCTATGTAATTTTTGACCACGAAATCGTTAGTACTACTATTCTAATAAAAAAGCCCTACCAGTTGTATAACTCAAAACAGACATCCACTTTAATCACCGCTTAACACTCAACTCGAATCGACTATGACCTCTATCGGCTGGCAAATAAAATAATCCCAAAACTTTATTCAAAGCCCTCAGAGAATCCGAAGAGACAAAACACTTTCTGGAATTAACTGATAATCATTCACAACAACTCTCACTTTTACTGCCAGTTCATGTGGACCTCAACATTTACAAAAATTGTTCTTTTGAGTTACCATAACGTCATTTCACATATTATACGTGGGTGAGTGCAAATATGCACTTCAAACGTTCCTTTGAAATTAATCACAAAAAAGAACAAAAATCCAATTCAAGATCACTAAACAGTAAATGAACAATATAAAATAAACTTATATGACGCGATAATTAAACAAATTGACTCATATCTAAATATCACTCACTGTTTGGCTTAAAATCGTTCAAAAATTAGATCAAAGATATTACAGTGAGCAAAGCAAACATTCCCTCTGTTTACTGTGTCTATTTCTTGGCCGATTACGCTTCGGAGACACCAAAAATACAGTGTTAGCTGTCCGGAAAACAACAACAGTACATATTACAATAATATATTATTGTGTAGTAGTGAATTCAGCTAGGTAAGAGGTCAAAAAACATTTTTTTCGTAAGAAGTTGCAAAATAAAAGAACAAATTTTAAAAGACAATGCAAAACATGTTGTAATTAAGAGTTCTAATGATTAGGCTTATCAAAGTGCTATAACTCGATAAGACTTTTAACAATCAAAGTATACTACGTATAATATAATACATTTTGTTTAAAAGAGCTCCATCACACCGCGATGTAGATCAAAAAACTTGTAATATTCAAATTTAATGTAAAATTTTTAACAACCTAGTAGGAAAGTTAAAATGTAAAAAAAAGTTTACAAACTGTAGAAAAAAGTAGTAACAAAATACCCTTGTTTTTCGCAGTTAACTTTACATGAGTGCACAATAATCAACGTTCCAGGCTGTTCCGAGTTCAATCCCAGTCCCTTTTTCAAAAACGATCTACTCCGTTTTGCTTCTGACGCCACACTTCTACGGATCATAAAGCGATAAAATCCAAAAAAAATCAAATTTACGGTCAAAAAGTATTTGCAAAATTGGTAAAAAGAACCAAAAGGTATATAAAGTAAGATTCTAAAATCTTGCCCAAAGACTTGAATTGAAGAAGATACTATACTGTAAGATATGATACTTAAAACAGGGTAGAGCAAGATAAAAGTTTGTGTAAAGTTAAATTAAAAATCAACCAAGAAGCACGACAAAACCCTCAATCTTAAAATAATTTTTAATAAAAAGTTCCAACAAAAGCTGCCCCAGTTAAAAGTTCGAACAGAAGCGACAATAATCTGATGCAAAAACCGCGACAAAAGGACCGTCTGGAGCGGCCGCGATCCCTTAAGTGATAAAAAAGAACAAAGACATATTAACCACACTGATTAGACGCTAATTGATTGACGAAACGTGAGGCTGCGAGCAGTAATAATGATGGGAAGATGGATAATATCATATCGAATGGATGATCAAGAGATTCGCAGAAGTGATTTCATTCTGGAAGAGATCAAAACACAAATTAAAAAAAAATTTTTTAAATTTATATCTAAATTGGCACATTATTGTAAATAACGTACTGTAACTTTAATAAAACGGGTGTTTCTAAATTTTTAAATAAATTCATAATTTTAAAAAATCAATAAAAGGTTCAAAAAGTGAAAAATTAAACCAAAAACCCCGATTTTGAAATTTGAAATTTTATGGAACAACATTTGTATCATTGTTTACGCTTCGTGATGACATTACACTAACAATCATAAAAAAAGCAAAGTTACTGCAAGTTACTTCTTCAGTGATCAAAACACAATTCTAAGAAAATTGTAACAAGATATATACTAGTTTTGTTAAAAAGTAATCTGAAACACCGCAAAGATACGATATATACTTAGAATTTTGATGTGAAAAAATAATTCTAAGAAATTTTGATAGATCTAGTATACTGATAAAGTTCATGATTATGATGTAAACCTGCTTATCTTTTTATAAAACTCAGTCAAAAAACATTACAAGCAAAGTGAAAATGAATTCATTATACTCAATTTAAATTTGTACTAACAGTTCTACTCTAGGGTAAAGTAGAGCAAGGTAAGATAAATATAAGCCCTGCAAAAAGTACTAGTTATATTGTTTACAAAGTATTATACTATAAAGAACATTGACTACCTTAAACTAAAAACCAACTTTAAAAATTTTAAAGTTTCCTTCAAAGTGATTCAATTTGTAAATACCAGCCATATGAACCATTAAATTGAAATTCAATTCAAATTGATTCAAAACAAAACCAATAAAAATTAGACGTTACAAGATACGAACACCATGTTCTTTAATTATGGATAAAATAATCTTTAAAGACCAAAATTAGTTTTAATTTCTAACATACATAGAATGTAAGCGTTACGAAACTTAATAGAAAAAGACTAAAACAATGTGCGTTTTCAAAGGTTTAGGCCAGTAAAATATGTTTTTTGGCAGAATCTCTTGAATAAAGTGAGAATACAATAACATAAAAGGTATCATAAGTTTAAAATGGTTAAAAAACTAAAGAAACTCCCTATTTTATCCATTAAATATATCAAAACTAAAAGATCTTCCAAAAAACTAGAAAAAACTGCCTTAAAAATCTATTTTCGATAAAACAATATACTAAAACAATGTTCAAACATTGCGAACGGCTCAACTCTCAAACCCTATTATATTTTAGGCCATCCATTAGGGAAATTAACCTTCACCTGCTAATATTAAAATTCTCTGGCCAGGAAATGGCCGAGTCTTGCGGATTTTTTCATCTCTGGCCACACTCCGCTTCGACCGCACTCTGCGGCTTCGTCCATTCTAGCCAGCCGGCTTTATTCCTTTTTTCCGAAAAAAAACTTTCATTTTCTATCTTTTAGTCGGTTATCTCTCTCATTTAACTATGTTTCGCTTTCTCTAACTGTTCTCTTTAATTTACGTTCTATTTTCATTTCTCTAACCGCTCTCGCGCTTTTCCTTTCTATTTCAAGCGTCTTTTTAATAAAACAAGGAAATATATCCGTAAAATATTAAATATCTTGTCATATTTCGATTTCTCTATCCATCCTCTCTTCGTTACACACTCTCTCGTCCTGAGTAAAGCATATTTCAAAACCGGCTGTCTCTAACTGAACAAAACTTCATAATACCAGAAAATAGTCAAAACGATTGTATTGTATGTTGGAAATTCTTAATCTTTTACAAACTAAAAAAAAGTTTTGACCCAAAGGCGAGAATTGCAGTTTATATATTTAAAAAATGTTTTTCGTCTAAAAATATATGGAAAAATCAAAGCAAAAGACCATTTTGATATTAAATTAAAAAAGTAAATATATGTTAATCAGATAAATATTAAAACAGACCAAGTTACTGTTCACATCACTTGAAAATCTAAATGAAATTCAAATCAAAATGTGTTTATTACCATAACAATATTACAGTTCAGTAAATATTCAATATAAAGGCACCATAAATCTATATCTCTTCTGATATTACAACACCAACCATCCGGTACATCGCTTAATGTAATTTTGATTAATATCCAGTGATTTTAAATCTTCCAAGTCCTTTTGATCCAACTTCACTTCCATCGCTTTTAAATTCGAAGCGATTCTGTCTGGATTCTGAGATTTTGGTATGATTCCAACATTTTGACATAAGGCAAAAGCTAATAGTACTGATGTTACAGGTACGTCATGTTTAGTGGCTATTTGTTTTACCGTTTCATCTTCTAATAGGACTGGATTGAAACGGCCGAGAGAAGAAAATGCCTAAAGCAAAGAATGTTACAGTAAGTGTAAAAATGACCCTTTTAAAACAAATTCAAAAAAGTTTTCGAATTAAACGTTCGACCATTGTCAAACACAACATTGCCTACAACAACATACCTGAAAGAAGACCCCCTCCTTGTTACAGTAATCATGCAGCTCTTTTCTTTGAAAATGTGGGTGAAACTCAACTTGATTAACAGCTGGCATGACATTACTGTACTTCTTCATCTCTTCAAGATGTTTAATTTCAAAATTCGAAACTCCAATCGACCGTATCTTCTTCTGGTTACAGTAATCCTCCAATACTTTCCATGTCTTCTCACGTCCTTCTGCATTCTCAGGTGCTTCATTTGCATATTCGTTAGTCTTTGGGTAATGAACCATCATTAAATCAATATACTCGAAGAGATCCAATGATTCGTCTATCAGCTTTCTAATATCAGATTCATCTGTAAATGGCAGTACTTTGGTTGTAATGTAAATATCTTGACGAGTCAGGTTGAACTGTGGCAGTAGGTCCTAAAAAACTACTCGAGTATTTCATGTTAACATAGGACGACCGTAAAATACCAAAATTAAAGTATTTTAGTATGAAAATAATTCTACAGCTTATTAAAACATTTGAAAAACTTACTTTCAAAGCATTGCTTAAGATCCCTTCATTTCCGTAGACTTTTGCTGTGTCAAAACCTCTGTATCCAACCTTCAAAGCGGCTGAAATAGCCTGATTCATGGCTTCTTGATCGTAAATCTTGTCAGTTCCGAATCCAATCAACGGAAAACTGTGGCCAGAGTTTAGCTGAACGAATGGAGAAGCCATTTTGAGCGATATTTTGATTTAAAACTGTTTCTTAAGTTTTCAAGCAAAAAAGGCTAGCCGACAAAAAATTGTTTCGACTTTTTAAATTTTTTCGCGCGCTTTTTCAAATTGAATTCAAATTGTTTGTAGATAGAGGTGAGAAACGGGCCGAGATTTGGGTTTTTTGAAAAATTTTTTCCCGCGCTTTTTTTCTACTGGTCGAATTGGTCTGAAACTTTTTCTACCCCCGTGTTTTGAATGGTCCTGACTACTATAAATGACCTTAAAATTTTGATATCTCTTATCGTTTTTGAGATATGGACTTGGCGGGAAAAAAAATATTTAAAAAACGGGCCCGATCGGGCCCAAGGCCCGGCCCGTTTCTCACCTCTATTTGTAGAAACGAAACATGATAAAAACCGACTATTTTTAGGTATGTATTATAATATGTATAAGTATAATTAAAACTTTTATAAAAAATATTATTCTTGTGACACAAAAGTTTGTTTGATCTCAAAATTTGTCTAACTTTTATCTCAAAAGCAATAAAAAACGCTATTGTTCAAAAAGCCAAGCAAAATAAACTGTTTTATTCAGTAATAGTCAGTATTTTACAAAATATTTTATGTGACGTCTTCACTGGTCTTCCAGATTCTCGTAGTCAGGATTCTTTGAAGTTGGCTTTCTCGAGGATTGTGATGTGGACATGTCGACCGAAACAGTAGATGTTCCTCCTTTCTTCTCGTTGATAGCTGCCAATGCGCTTGGTGACAACTGTAGAGTCGTTCCTTTCTTGAACTTCTCCAATCCTTCGCCAGTCCAGGTGTCCGCTCCAACCTTCTCGATGATACTTTGAATTTCCGCGTAAAACTCCTTCATGATGTCGAAGAACATGGCCGTCTTCTCCCAATGATCGATCTTGATGTGCGACAACTTGAGAAGTTCGTGCTTTACCACATTCAGCTGTCCTTCGTAGTCCTTTTTGTTGTTTTCGTTTTCTACAGGATCTGCTGTTTTGGCGTCGGCGTATCGTTTTTTGGTGTACAAGGTCTCGATTTGGACTTCGATCCGAGGGTATTCCGACTTTAACCACGACTCCAGAGGCATGCACACCTTCTCCTCGATCATGGTCACCATGTTCCGTTGGCTCTTCCCGATCTCGTCGTAGATGGTTTGCAATTTGCTCAGGAACTGACTGTACTCGGGATCTTTGGCACCAACGTGGTTGGCTAGAATCTTGACTCCGATCGCAAAGCTTTCACAAATATTCCGGTTCTTCTTGGTGCCGTCGTTGAAAGCGGTGCACATAATCCGGATTCCATCGATCAACTCTTGGGCGGTGTTGCGCACTGTCCTCAACTGGTCAATCTGAAATTGGCATTTTAAGGGGAAATTTTAAAAATTAATAAATGAAAGTATTGAAAACTATGAAATATACTTTTTTATGAACACAATTTTCCTTCGACTTACCCTTTTCTGAATTATACTATCGACTTGTGGCACAGCGACGGGGGCTTTGTTCTTATCCTTCTTATGCAAAGTCGATTTCAACTTCTTAAACATTGTGCAGCCGGTTTTCAAGTAACCCAAAATCACAAATGAATGTTTGGAAATGAATATTTTTGTAAAACAAAATCATGATTTTTAGAATATCTCATTTTTACATTTTTATAATGGTCAAATTATTAAAAACTTCGAAGACATTCGTAAACTTTTTCTAGTTTGTAAAAACTGTTTTTGATACCTAATTTATCAACATTTTTCAATTTGGAATTAGGTTCTGCAACAAAAAGTTTCAATTAGGATGCAACACGAAAACAATGAATGCAAAAACTTTTTGGCATTCTGTTTTAAGTCGAATTATTAGAAAATAAAAAAAGAAAATGAAAAGTAATTTGTAATTAGTAGAAAACTGACTCTGACGTTCTCAAAAAAGTAGTATCTTATCACACCTTTTAGTTGTTTATTTGTGTTTTGATTTTTTTTATGGATATTAAAATTAAAATTGGGTTAAATTCAAAGTCACGTGACACTAAAACGTGTGATTTCAGTTGATGGAGACCGGAACTGACGAAGTGTTTGAGATCAATGACTTTACTGTGGTTACTGAAGGAGAAGTGTTGATTGTGGCACTTGAATCTCAGTTTAATGAATGGAATTTGAAAAAAGTACGACCAAGTGCAGTAAAACAGTTGGACAAGGTAATTATCTTTTTTATTTTACAATTCTTTCTTTAGAAGTTGAAGAAAAGGACAGGGGAAATTAAATACAAGGATGCTTCGTATCAGCTAACATTGAATTACATTGATGTTGAAGAAGATACGAAGGAAGATATTGATGATAAAGCGAATAATGATGAAGAAGACGAGTTTCGGTATTTGCCAGCTGGAATCAAGGATATGATAGAACCAGAGTTTGATTTTAGAGAAGAGGAGGATATTTTCACACAGGTAAGATAAAACTGTAAGGCTTTATTATAATTTTTAGTACGGAGTCTTCGAACACATAGTAATATCGGCTCGAGGATATGAAGGTTTAATTTGTAATAGTAATTTGTTGCACGAATTTCAAAGTGCCGTTCTTGTGGCTTCTTCTAATGTTGATTGGTAAGATTTTTATTTATATTTTTAATTTTGAAAATTATTATTTATGATGATTGACGTAATATTATACCCTGAACTATTAATGTGTTAGCAACTATACTTTTAGCGAAATTCCAATTTTTATAAATTATGGAGAAGAAAATAGAAATGCTTACATTGGGGTATGTCAGAACAAGTCTGTTCGAACGAGGTACGAAGGTTTTGAACTACATAAGTATTATGTCAAATATGGATACTTCCAAGGGCTGTATGACATGTTCAAGGACAAAGTAGTAGGTTATTGATTTTAGTTAATAAAATAAAGTAAAGTTTGGTTTTTTTATTTATTGTTTGGCTTTTAACTTTAGTTATTCAAGTTTTATTTTTTTGTTACAGTACTGTCGAATATTCCGATTAAATATTCGGATAAAACAATATAAAAAGCAACTGAGATAGATAAGAACTGATTGAGATTAAAGCTTTGAGAGGAGCCCCGGTAGCTTAATAGGTAGAGCATTCGTCCGGTAAACGAAGGATGCCGGGTTTGACTCCTGCCTGGGCCAATTTTTCTCTCATAGTCTGATATCTCTTTAAATTTCTACAGTACTTTTGTCTCTTTTATATTTTTAAATGAGTATTTTAGAATTGTCCGTTACCTAATTTTCCACCGGTTTCAACGTCAGTTCGCTTTGATTACATTCACAAATATGTAAATTTCGATGATGCGTCAAGCACGTCTAGCGATACTGACATGTTTCAATTGTACTTTGGAGCAGAAACCAACTTGATTAAGTAAGCTTGTACATTATATTTTTTGAATAGTGCGTATTACATAGTTAATAATATATATAGATATCGATATTGTCGTGTAAGCTAGCTTTTGAAAAAAATGACTATCTAGTCTAAGGTTGTAGCTTTTGTTGTTTTAGCGAGTTGTCGTTGAGCACAATATGGCCAAAATTAAGCGATCAAGGAATTAACGAATCCGAGACATTTTCTGATTTGGATCCGCTTCTGGCGCCACGGTGGATTGTTGGCGTCAAGTTTGATTCAGAATGTAAACAGTTGTGTAAGTTTACAAAATGTGTTGGTATGATTTGAATAATATTACCTTTTGTGTTGTGTTATGCTTAAAATTATTTTTTTTAGAAATTTGGGGTTGACACAGAAGTTTTAGTTTTTACTTTTTAAAATAACTATTTTTAGACAATTCATTGGGCGAACTTCTGGATGTTCGAGAAGCAGATACAGGCAATTTGAAGGTATTGGATTGTGTTGATTACAAACACGATCAAGACAACAAAATTGGAAATGCTTTGAGTGGTATAACACAAGGTCACCCTCACCACGATGTGAACTTCATCGATAGTACTAATGCTAAGGCTTTGAGGGTTGTAAGTACATATTTCATTTTTTTTAAATTGTTGGTTATGGAATAGTTAATTTTTTAAACTCATTTTTTGAAATAGCATTTAATTTACTTTTTGCTACTCTAACACATTAATATTTATATGCTGTATTTTAGCGTCAATACGCCAAGGAAAAGCTAAAAGACATATTGGAAAACGAATTTAAAACTACAACAATAGCAGGCACCGGAGAGTTTTACGACGAGATTGTCAACGGCCTCAATCAGTGCAAGTCAGCTCCAGATGCCTCGCTAATATCAAGAGTGTCAGTAGTACTACTGAAGTGTTTATTGGCTAAAAACGATCAACTGGCCAAGTTTTGCGCTGTTTGGTTTGAATTTGTATCCTACCTTCGGTTATGTTGGGAGAATGCCAGGTCTATAAAAGGAATATGTGAAGAGGCCAAGCCAGAGTTACAGTACTGTATACTGTATCAGAAGTTGGAGATGATTCAGTTTTGTATCGAGACTAAAAGGAAACGGCACGCTTTGTACGATGAAGGGAATGGAGTTCAGGCTATGGGATTGAATTGTAAGCGTTTCACTATCTTTATAAGATTGTTTGAAAGATAGCACTTTAGGGATGTATATTTAAAAAAGTACATATTATAGGTTTAATTTTACGTGTTTCAGCGTCAAGTTCTGACATTTTCTACGACGCTGAAGACGAACCTTCCGAATCTAGTGACACTCTTACAGTACCCGGTTCAACCAATACACCAACTGGCCGTCTAGAGCCATTAGACGGTGAATATCTTCTTGACCATCCAGATACTCTTATCTACGTACCTATAACTCAAGATCATGGGCCGATGACAGAGGACATGATTGAAGAACGAGCTCAATATCTGGAGTCTCTAGAAGATGCGGACAAAAGAATGCGGGCACAACTTGACAATGTCATATCAGATATGCAAGCCTTCAAAGCAGCGAATGTTGGCTCTAGAATCGAAGACTTTGTACGATGGCACTCACCTCGAGATTGGGTGGTAGATGACGATGGTAATGGTCGATTGTCAGAGAGAATGAGTCTGGAGAACAATGTCTGGGTGGAGTGCTGGAACGAAGCTCGTGCTATTCCAGTATCAGCTCAAGTACGACTTTTCAACGAAGCGAAAGAAGCGGAGACGATATTACACTTGTTCGAGAGTATTACTGTCAGAGAGTTGATCGATCTGATATCACCGGTCGTGTTTCATCAAGCTGGACTTACTCTACTACACAACTGCGATAACAATGGTGTTATGTTGGTGGGGGAGGAAATGAAACAACTCTGTAAGATGCTACAACGGGCTACAATGGCAGGGTTACCTGAAGATTACTTTGATACCCACAAGAAGATACAACAAGTCGAGGTTTTGTTGGCTAGGCTACAAAAGTTGAAGGAAATGTTTGAGAAAGAGGTGAGTTGTAATGTATTAGAGTAGGTATCGTGCTGTACCAAGGTATATTTAATAGATTAGAAAGTTTTTTAAAACTTGTATTTTCTTGTATAACATTGCATTCTTTATAATTGTGTCATTTTAGTTAGTAGAAGTCAGCACGATGAGACAACAAACCGTCGACCAAGCAATGTTGGATACTGTAGTGATGGAATTGGCCCGAGATTATCGGTCAAGAGTACTAGATGCACCAAATGGTCCTATCTCTTTATGTGTCAGGAACATTCTCTACCGATCAGTCGAAGAACATAAAGAGGAAGAAGCCACTCGGCCAGTAAATGACAGTTTCTTCTCCGGGAAACAACTCAAACTACCAGCCCCTTTCAGGTACTATAACTTTTAATTCTGATACTAGGATTTTTTACAGTATGGAAGTTATTTTAAATATTTTTTTAGGCGAAATTTAAATTTTGACGCATAAATGACAGTTTTTAAACTAAAATATACATAAAGATATTGTTTTAGAAAGCACTACATTTTGAGAACAATCTGCTCTCGACCTGGCGTCGAGAGTCGACTGGTCCCACAACGAATGTATGCTTGTGTCGGTGAGAACCACTTCCGGGTTTGTGGTGCATTGACAGAAGACCTAACATTCCATTGATGTACATAAAATAACAGTCGTATTTGTGGTATACCTGGTAATAAAAATATAATACATTATTTGTTAGTGTTACGACATTTTGTAAGTTTTGAAAACTACTGGGGAGGGTCTAGAGTCAACTAGGATGTTCTTACTAATGTATTTAAAGGGTTGTAAAATAGTTGATTTTTTATACAAAAACAATTACCTTTTTTAGCTAGAAGAAATGTCAATATGGTGTGGTTTTTATTGTTTATTTCGTCAAAACTGGAGAGCAAGTGCTTTGCATAAACCATAAGAATCTTAAAAATTATCATCTTCTCGCAAGATTTGAATGTGAACATTACAAGTTCCACCTATTTTTGTTACCTTATTAGCTAATGAGCAAGCTAAGAGCTTCTACTGAAACCCTTTGTAATCTAATTTAAAGCCGCTTAATTCCGTGAAACTCCGACAATCCGCGGAACGCATCTTGTGGTAAGTCGGAGGCCAAGGCTAATAAATCTTGTCGCAATGAGGGGGTACCCTCACCCCAAAGCAAAGGGCCGAGTGTCCGGCGTCCCCCCTGCCAAACCCTTTGCACTTTCGAATACACTTTCCCGGGATTAATATAGCAGTTGCACTTTCGGTGGCACAGCTGAGAACGTTGCAAATGTGCTCGCTCGCTTATGAATAACAAATTCGGTAGTTTTTGTATCCGCCTCAGGGGAAATCAAGAAGCCAAGGCGGGCTATTGTTATTAGCCGGCTGTTTGTTGTTCTTGAACCGGATACATTTATACTCTCATTATGTACCATTCTTTCGGGGCCTGGCAATGTCACCGTGTTGTTTTCGGCTGGGGTGTGGGTAATCTGCTCACAATTCCAAATTATTTCGTTTTTCGCATATTGTTGGCCAAATTATGAGGAAATTGGGTAATAATTTTGTGGTTTTGGGTTTGTTGTCAGGGTTAATGGTTCATAGACGTTACTGATAAAGTGGTTCTGGCATAGGGAGGGAGTAAATTTTTTTCACTAGTAGAACAGTAAATTTAAAATTTTTTAAATGGAAGAGAAATTTTAAAATTTAAAAAAAGGCCGATTTAAAAAATAATTTAAAAAAATTTTTTTTTAATTTGATACATTACTTATAACTTTTTTTCTCTTGATTGAAATTATTTTTTGTGTTATTCATGCTATGAATAATATAACACAATTTTTTGTTGGTTTAAGTAGGAGTGGGCAGGCTCTTCAACTAAAAGAAGTTTTTCCAACACTTTTTTTATATTCAACATTGTTTTGATGTTAATATTAAAAACAAAGATAGTTCATATTTTAGAGATTTTTGTTAATTTTAGGTAACAAACATAAGTTTTTTAAAAGATTACATACTTTTTACTTTGATAATAATAAAAAGCTTTGTGAAGTAGTTTTCCTACGTTATTACAATGTCTTATTTTGTTAATTAGCTGGACCTATAATGAACTTTAACCTTCTATAACAGATGTAAAAATGACGCCAAAAAGGCCTTCGTTCCGAGAATCCATCTCGAAGGTGCTGTATCTGCACGAAAAGTCGTCAGAAGACGAATGTGATCGTATACCATCGAATGTGAAGATCACCTGGTTTGATCTGTCATGTTACTTCTTCTCGATCTTCACATATACACTTGATATCTTCATGGACGTGTTTGTTGCTGTGTTTTACTTCAGAAAAGAGAATGTATGTGTTTTACTCTGTAATTTGTTCGGTTACTGAAGCTTATTTTGAAAAAATAGTATTTATAAACATTTTTACACAGTTTTAAGTACTTACTATTGCTTTTTTAATTAAAAACCCTTTTAGGTAATAGCAGCAGCGTTAACAGCGACATTCGTTTTTGTACCCTCTATCATCCTTAATGTCATATCATTTTTGTTTTTTATTGATGACGAAGCTCAAGACAAAGAATCTGATACTACAGATGGTACAGTAGTTCACAAGTTTGTATTTACCGAAAATATCAAAATTTTGGGTAAAAAAAGCAAATCCAAAGTAGGTATTGAAGTAACTGACTCGGACCACAAAGTACAACATAACGAGCGAGGAAGGATGGCCAAATGGGTGGTGGCTGTGTTGTTACAGGTAAGTTATAGTTGTGTTTTTGTAATATTTTACAGTTTTGTCAACAGTTAAGCGGTGGTTATGTAATTGTATATCTTAAAATACTAATCATATAAATGTTTACTATCAGTATTACTGTGCCGCACTTTTGATACTGTACCACAAAGTCAATTCCGAACTATGTCTCAACGTAAATATTTTTAGGTTGGCCCATTATTATGGTATTTCAAAGCAGTAAGTCACGCGTTGCGTTGTTTCAAGTTGCAAAAGTTGCCGCGACGAGAGCGGCTTTACCATCAACATGAATATTACAGTAAGATCGAGGCTGACAGAGATGCTGGAGTGCTTAGGTTCTTTGAAGCTTGTCTTGAAGCCATGCCTCAACTCTTGGTACAAGGTTACTTCTTGTCAAAGGATTGGCAATACTATAATCATTCGGGTGTTGGTGACTTTCATTGGCAATGTAAGTGCTGTTATATTAGTGGAAGTTAATAACATTGCATTAGTTTTTTGTTATAATACTGCTTTTTTGGATAAAAAAAATTAACATTTAGTATGATTTTTATATTTCAGGGCGGAGCACATCACTAATCTTATCATTGATCTCAATTTCGTATTCTTTCGTTTCTCATCATCGGGTACTTCGAATTTCATTACCTCAAAAACAAAACTTGAACCCTCAGGGCTGTTACATGATTGTAAGTTTGGTCTTTTTATTTTACTAAATTTTGGGACAAAGTTCGAAATTTTGATTGAATTTTTGGTAAAAAGGTATAAATTATGGACGCAGCTGAGAAAACTATTTTGCAGGCTGCACATTTCAAAGAGTATAGTACTTTTCTGGTCCTCGCTTTGTTAAGTGAAATCTTTTTTTAAAATTTTAGCTTTATATCTTCGGTTTCAGTTTATCTGGCGTATCTTCACTATAACGGCCCGCTTCATAACACTAACTGTGATTCTGGTAGTCAATAACCTAGTCGGTCTTCTACTAGTCATCTCCCATCTCATAATATCAACTATTACCTTATGTTTGGTGCAAAAGATTGACACAAAATCAAAAACACGATACATCAACCCGGTTATGTTCATCGTCAACTTGTGGATCCATATCTTTGCTCCATTTAATATGGCAGAAGGACCTTCAAGACTACGGTATTGTATTCATTATGGGTTAGAGATCATCGAAAGTATGGTAGTCATAGCCTTGTGCAACTTTTATTACACTCCTGTCTTTCCGTATGTTGATCGGCTTCTTACTGTGATGGGCGTATGTTACATATCTGGTATCATTTCTATGGTCGTATATCACACGTGTATGCATCCTAACTATAAGACCAAGCTTGTCATTCCACATTTGACTATAAGCAAAGTTTAAATGCCATTTGACATGTGGGTACATTGAAGTAATTTTTGTACACACTTTGACATTGTGGTATGTTAAACAGTTGTTAAGTTAATAAACATGATTACTGTGACATTTAAAAATCATACATATTACAGTAGAAAACTAATCATAAGGTGTGATATGTGTCCGCGGAAGACGCGGCCAAAAGGACTGTTCACTTTACAACAGACAAAGGAATGTGTCAGAAGACGCCGATTCCGTCTATCCTTCAGTTCTTCAGTCATTTTTTGTGAATTCGGCCGAGTCGTCAGTTTATTCTCAGTTTTTTTTGTTATTTAGTTAATTTTAAATTTCTAAATTGGGCTTTATAGTTTTATAGTTTTTATTTTATTGTATTTTATTATTGTTATATCATATTTCATTATATCGCGTTTTTCGGTTTATTAACCCAAGTTTGAGCTTTGTACCAATAAAACGAGTTGGACAACGCTTTTGGGTTAATCTTTTATCAGCGGCTGAAAACCACCGCTTGAAAAGTAAATTTGGAGTGTCCCCTGGACATTTATGGAGGTCCCACCGAGATTTTGGTGATAAAATTGAAATTTTTTTTAAATTCGATTTTGTTGATTGTGGACTTCGTGGAGTTTAAGGAACATTGGTGACCTTTGTGCTTTCAGTAGAAGTACAAAATTGAGTCTATCAATAATCTCCGCTTTGACTACGAAGAGGACAGGGTTGTGTACCTACGAGACGAGGCCAATTTTGAAGTTCGTGAACGATCGATCAGAGTAGAAGTCAGATCACGATCTCCAATCGACCGAAGATCCCGCAATTTCCGCCGAAGGAGGGCATTAAGGAAGTTAAAGGCGGCCGCTACTGCAAGACTAAGTCCGAGGCCAGAAGTCCTAGGTCGATTTAAGGTAACGGAAGCAGACCCACCTTTACTGTGGTGCGAAGGCCCGCATAAAAGGTCTGGGAGAAAGTCAACCGAAAATGGTCCACAGCACTCGAGATCCCGCGACTCGGATAAGGCACATAAAGGAAACCATTCTAAGCCTTCTAAACTCAGGTACAGAAACCGCCGAGAAGTTGACCAACTCGACCTTCGAACCGACCAACCTAAGCGAAGCCGTCAGCCAATCGAATGCCCTAAAAAGGGCCGTCACCAACATCACCGGCAAGATAGAACAGAGCGTCACGCTCGGAAATGAATGGAGATCATTGCGATCGGGCAATGATGACGCCGAAAAGGATTACAATGATTTCGTGGCAGATAATTTAATTAATGAAAAAAGAAAGGCGCTCGATGTTTCACTTCAAGACCTAAAAGTGATGTTAGAAGGCGTTACTGAGCACAAAACGAGGTTCGATAGAGAGCATCTCCTGGCCAATACACCCGTCATCCCAAAGACCTCACAGAGACTGCGTAGACAACCTCAAAAGACTCATCCAATTGTCACCCCTCGGATGCAAGCTGTCTACGACGCGCATAATCCTGACTTGGAGAACGATGATGAGGAAGAAGACGACCCAGGAGAAGAAGAAGAAAGAAACAGAAGCCAAGGAAGAGCCAGAAACGCCAGGCAAAACCGGAACGTTTCAAGTGGTACACGGTCGAATGTTGGACGGAGAAAGCTAGAACCAATAGTATTCTCAGGAGATTTCTTAGAATACACGTCGTGGATGACCTGGTTCTTGGCTGGTTTTGATACTCCGGATCTGTCAGCGGTCGAAAAAGCACAGTATTTACTGTCGATGGTGGAAGGTGAACCGGCAAGGATCTTGAAGGGCATAGCGCTCAACGACTTTGAAGATATGTTGGATGCCTTAGATCAGGCATACGATAGACCAGACATCATCCAACACAAGCTGCTCCAGAAGGCTAAGAACGTGAAAGTCGGTACTGGAGGATTACGACAGTACATCTTGGACATAAAGATCACAAGAAGGCAAATGCAACAAAATGGTTTGGAATGGGATTCACCATTATGCATACAAGAACTGGTTGACAAATTGCCAGTCGAGATATTGGTTGAGTTGGGAAGAGTTAAGTGGGCCCTAACTTCAACATATGAAGTGTGGAATATGGACTTGCTGATAAAGGCCCTCGAAGCCGTTGAAAGAATGATGACTCTGCCAAATCTCAACCAGTCAAAACGAGCCGTTTTCACGACATCGACCAGCGAACGAGTTGAGGAACAAAACAGACGAACCGGAACATCTTCTCAACAAAGACCAAATACCTTTGTGAAAAGATATCCATGTTTGTTCTGCAACAGAACGGATCACTCGTCATTAAAATGTCCGAAGACAACTACGTTAACGGCCCGAAAGGAAGCGCTACAGAAGTCAGGACGATGTTTCCGGTGCCTAAGTTCAGACCATCAGTCACGTGACTGTCAGGCTAAATGTCGGGAGTGTGGAGCAGCCCACCATCGAATTATATGTAAACAGTTGCCCGTTAATGTCCATCTTACCCACACAGAAGTGGAAGAGGAAGATGAGGTGAATGATGAAAGTCTGGCCCTAGAACAACTCGAAATCGAGCTGGACGAAAAGCTGAGTCGGCATGAGGTAGGAAACCCGGAGCCAACAACAGAAGGGACCGTTTTTGCTACCATGGCTAATGAAGGTTGTTTCCTAACAGCGGCAGAAGTTCCATACCGAACATCTACAGGGGAAGTGATCTCCATAGCCACTCTTCTGGATAGTGATGCTGATTGTAGTTTCATCACCGAACAACTAGCCAAGGAAATAGGAGTTAAGACAGAGAAAAAGGTACTATTGGCGACACATTAAGACCGAAAACGATGCTACAAAAAGTTTGGCAAGACGATAAAGGATGGGACGACCAGTTGTCAGAAGAATTCAGAAACGAATGGAATCTGTGGGAAAAAGGTTGGGCAGGGGAGATCAGAATCCCTCGACAATCGGCTAGAACGACCCAAGGAACAATACTGATGCCAAGAATGGAGCTTCTGTCAATTCTGATTGGCACACGAATGGCCAAGGCTGTTAAGAAGGCGTTTGGAACGATTGACAAAGCCGTGTTGTGGTCCGACTCCATGATATCACTCCAACAGATCAGTAAGGAAGCAATAAGTAGTCAGCCAGTCTTTGTACGAAATCGCATCACAGAAATCCAGAAACAACTTGACTGGATCGAGCTCAGACATGTCAAAGGTACTGAAAACCCAGCTGATTGTGCTACCAGGGGATTTGAATCACTGGACGAGTTCAAACAACACTCGCTGTGGTGGAACGGTCCTGAATGGCTAAGTAAGCCACAAGAATGGCCGAGTAATCTTGTTGTTCCGATACAAAGCCAACCAGAACCAGAAGAACCTGTGCCAGTAGCCAATGCCTTAGTTACGGTAAATGAAGGTCTTCTTGAAAGGGTGAGAACAGCTCAAACAGAATGTCCACCTACAACCAAACAAATGAAGCGATTCCGGATCCAGAAAGACAGTGACGGACTACTGTGTGTACCCAACAGGCTGTTAAACTCTGAATGGAGCGGTGCCCCCTACAGCTGGTGGCTACCATCCAATCATGAGATAACAAAGCAATTGACCGACGAAACACACCAACGCTTACTGCATTGTGGACCAGCCACACTATTCGCAGAATTACGAACTCAATTTTTCGTAAAGTATACGGTGGCCGCTCACACAGCCCAACGCTGTTCGAACTGTCGAGTTTTTGATGCTAAACCGTATGCGAATCCACCGTGGGCCCCGTTGCCGGTTGACCGTGTTAACCCAAATCGCCCGTTCGAATCAGTGGGTGTAGATTTTGCTGGACCGTTTCATACCAAATCTGGAGAATTGTACGTGATGATATTCGCTTGTGCTTCAACAAGAGCCATACACTGTGAATGTACTCAATCGATGACAACAGAAGACGTACTGATGGCCTTCGACAGGTTTGAGGCTCGCAGAGGTATACCTGACCAGGTGCGAAGCGACAACGCGGAGAGCTCCAAACTGGCGGCTAAGGTACTTCAAGGTCGCAGTGACGCCATCAGATGGACCTTCATCACTCCAAGAGGGCCATGGAAAGGAGCGCTTTCGGAGCGGCTCATCCAACCCCTCAAACGGTCGGTAAAACGTACAGTCGGGCGAAACAAATTGCTATTCCGACAACTGGAAGCGCTGGTGATTCGTGCTGAAGCAGTGGTCAATCATCGACCCCTTTTTAGTCCAGAAGCCAACGCGGCCATTCTTCGGCCAATCGATTTTTTGCTACCAGCTGGAGTTAAAGGTACTAGCCCAACGTTTGATGACACTGTTGAGGAAGAATGGGTAGCACATGACCGGCTTGAACAACGGCTTCAACGACTCAAAGGGTACCAAGAAAAATTACTCAATCGGTTTTGGCAGTTGTGGCGTAAGGAGTACTTACAATCCATCGCCACCAACGAACACTATGCCACGAACGCCGCCAATCAACGAATGACCCCAGTAGTGAATGAGACCGTTCTTATTTTTGAAGAACTGCAACCTCGCTCCGTTTGGAAGATTGGACAAATCGTGAGATGTGACCCAGACAGAGATGGCGTCCATCGCGTAGCTACATTTCGACTCCAAGACGGTAAAGAGTTACAAAGGCCAATACCCTTGTTGTATCCGCTTGAGCTACGCGCGGATCCACGAAAAGATACGGCTGACGACACAAGCTCAGGTCACTCAGAATCCAGTGATGGCCCGGAACTGCAAACAACGGCCGAAGAAATCAATCCACGGTCGACTACAGTAGGAGCCTCGGCCCCCGCGGTCGAACAAACTACCCCTCCAACCGTCAAAAAGCGCGGGAAGAGAGTGGCTCACCAAAGGGCTACCAGTCGATTGAAACAATGCGCGGCCTTACTCGCAGTTTTCGTAACCATCACGTGTACCGCAGCACAACGACCGTACGTCTGTGAAGAAAATGGGAAGACGATTATGTGGACACCACCACCGCTATTAAAAACGTGTCACACAATCGACCCAACGGTCCACAGAGAAGCCCAAGCCGTCATCTATGAAAGCAATCGAGCCACATTTAAAACAGAAGGCTACCGATGTCGTTTAAAACACGCGAGGGTAGAATTGTGGACGGATTCAACTGGCCATATGCATTCGGAAGAATTCCAAGTTTCACCTGAAGTTCCTCTTGATCCAAAGGAATGCAAAAAGATGCACGAAGACAAGACGTGTCGGTATGGTAAATTGTCAAGAATCGGCCCAGTTTGGCGAACAAATGACGTTATCGCTGATAAGAATTTTCCGAATCGGTTCTCAAGCATTCTCTCCTCCACGACAGTAGAAACAAAGAACTGTTATCTTGATAACCTAAATCTGTACGCCACTCACCGTAATAACACACCCTACTGCGCAGATGTTGCGCTGGACGGTTGTCGCTATGACCAAGGCCATTGTAAGGTGACCGACGGAGTTGTCGTAAACTGGGACCCTATCCCGGAGCAAGCCGAGGAGTACACCAATACGGGAAGTACCCATGGCTTCACCGACGGAGTCTCATTTACGGACACCCTTGGTCAACGACGATGGACCTTCACCGACCGAAAAATCAAGATCAAAGGCCAATCAGCCATAATAACACATCAAGGCCATGCCCTAATGATAAACAGTAAAAAAGGGAAGAGAAGTTTAGGTGAAGAACGAGCCGTCCATTCACAGTTCTACGAACATCTGGAGTTTGAGCGTTCCAATAAGATCATTGAACAGCTCTGTAATCTGGCCGAAAAGGTGAACGACCTCGCCTCCAGTTTGGACGATTTAAATCCGGTACCACGACTACAAAGGGAGTTTAATACCACCGCGTTAAAAACCGTGAAAATCGACCAGGGACTCTATGAAGTCCAGGTGTGCAGTGAAATACCTGATTTACAGTTCACACCCACAACAGAATGTCAGAGTTTTCCCACGGTAACCTCAAGTCTACTATCCAACGATAGTGCTTGGGTACTAGACCCACGAACGCTGGAAGTCACAGAGCACGTCGAAGGCCACGACTGTTGTGCGGAGAATGTGATCCTCAGAATCGATGGTGAATTTAAGGTTTTAGAGTACCTTACTGGCGAACTCTCAAGGTACAACCTTCAACGACCGGTGAGCCAAGCTACAGATGTTCTGGGGTCAGAGGAAATCATTAGAAGCTGGGAATACGATCAACACGACCAGATAATGAGACAGATCCTAGACGACATGCATCGTGCCAACGGAGTACGACGGTCCCTTGGTCCTGTTAAAAGAACGGCTAAACCACTGAAACTGAAGGAAATCACGGAAACCCCATTGATACCGTGGTGGTTATGGACGTGCCTAACCATTTTCTGGCAGGTGGTGGTTAACCTAGTCATAATCGCCAATCTCGTCCAAGCTCTTCGATGGGCTGTAAAGGCTACTGAACCCGAAGTTCACAAGGAAACAGCTCACGTCCCACCACCGACGACCCAACCAACAAGAGCAACATCAGAACGCCCCACCGAGGAATACTGGTTAACGCCCGCGCGATCGTGAGGCTGTTGACCATCAAGCCCGGCGGAGTGTCCGCGGAAGACGCGGCCAAAAGGACTGTTCACTTTACAACAGACAAAGGAATGTGTCAGAAGACGCCGATTCCGTCTATCCTTCAGTTCTTCAGTCATTTTTTGTGAATTCGGCCGAGTCGTCAGTTTATTCTCAGTTTTTTTTGTTATTTAGTTAATTTTAAATTTCTAAATTGGGCTTTATAGTTTTATAGTTTTTATTTTATTGTATTTTATTATTGTTATATCATATTTCATTATATCGCGTTTTTCGGTTTATTAACCCAAGTTTGAGCTTTGTACCAATAAAACGAGTTGGACAACGCTTTTGGGTTAATCTTTTATCAGCGGCTGAAAACCACCGCTTGAAAAGTAAATTTGGAGTGTCCCCTGGACAATATGTCTTAAGCAGTTAATTTTTGGGTACTACATATATGTATATTAACATTATGACTACCATCTTTCAGTGTATCATGTGTTGTTTGTACTATATGGTAACGTAACTTAATCTGATAGAAGTTATGTGAAGATTGTTGATGTTATTGTCTTCAAAGTAACCAGTAAACATATTATAACTAACTTTATTTTTGGCTTTCCAAGAATTATGAATTAAAAAGGAAAAAGATATTCTTCAGACAAGGCTTGAACTGGATGTACAAGTTTTTATCGAAGGTTTGTTGACAGATTCCTTTGAAATTATCAGTACAGCAATTTATTACTATAGACATAATATGAGTAAGATATTAGACTTTTATACAATTTGCCAGTTTTGAAAAATTTAAAGTTTAAAATTATTTTTTGAATTTTCTGTCAATTTGGCATTGTGTTTCAATGAGACTTTTTTGGCATAGTGTTTCAATGAGACTTTTTTTTAATTTTTTTTTTTAATTTTAAGTATATTTAAATAGAGAATAAGAAAATTTACTGTAGTAGCTTACAAGCCAAACATTAGAGTTTAAACATGACATGACCCTTTCATTGTTCCACTACAACATATTCAACCTACATACTTTTTTTTATATGTTTTTCGCCAAAACTTTTAAGATTCCGAAATGATGTTAGTGTAATACTCGTTTACTTTTTGAAGAAAGGACATGTAAATTAAATCAGACTCTTCGAATAACTGACACAGATGCGTGCGCCGCCTTCTCGAAGTTGTGACTTTGTTTTATTGTTTTGTCGAGAGATACGATGTCATGGGGCTGATGATGATTGTGTTTCTGCAAACATGAATGTAAATTTGGAGTTAACTCATTTGAATTGGTGTAATTTGTACTTGAAACGTTGTGGATGATGCTAAGAACTTTGTACTAGGCTATATTAAAGCTGTGTTGGGCCTGCTTTGGAGGCCCGGTCTAGGCCCGGAGTCCAACTTTAGGCCGGCCCGTTTACATTTTTTAATGCCGGCTTGGTTTGGTCCGATAGTAAGGCTGAATATGGCTGCACCGGGCCTTCACAACCCGATTTATCACCATTTGCATTATAATTAGCTTCTGATACTGGATGACCTATATAATTTAACCCTAATAGTGTTAATATCTTTGGATGTGACAAAGTACGTACGTCTGGAATATGTTAATTAATCTTGCAAGAGGAGATCGTACATCTTTAAGTGTCCAGAAATAAAATAACAAAATAATAAAGTTAATCAATCTACCGCGGTGTCTACGTCTTCTAACTTGGTACCTTGTAGTCTTGCGTTCGAGAACTTTGAAAGAGTTTATTACTGTAGTACTTGTACTAGTATTGATTTTAAACACATCTTTTATTGTCTACTAAAGCGCTACTTAAATAGTATAAATAGCTATCTTTAACTACTAATTTAAGCCTTCAAAATTAAATTTTCTTTGTTTTCTAACCCTTAAAAGAACACGTTATCCTTGATAGCCGAATGTATTGTCAGCAAATACTTTCTCAACATCCAACACATCATGTTGACTTACCATGCCTTCATACGATGCAAAAACAAATTCAAATCAAAACGTGCCACCACGTTCCCTCAACGTTCTTGTTCTATTTTTCAATTCTTTAGAGTTACTTTAGGGTAATGTAGTTTGTTTTACAGAGTAAATTTCTCAACAGTAATGTAATCGGGTAAATGGCACTATTTGTGTCACTTTATGTCATCGGTTTTTAGCTTTTGACCTTCTTTATTGTTATAGTAATATGCAGATGAACTGGCGACAAACCTAGTTATGACTTATAGAGGGTTAGTATTTAAATGTAAATTGTGTAGTACATTCGGTATTTAATGTATGTTATTTTTATAATCATGTACTGTCCTAAAATTTATTTTTGGTGTTTTTATGTTAACTTTGATTTAAAATGATTAATAAATCAGAAGATGGTGTGACGTGTCTAAGAGTATGTTCATAGTAATATTATTTCTGTTTGATTCTTATTGTCTTAAGATATTTCCGGTTTCGTACACAATTTTATGTGGTTTCACACGAGAATGCTCTTACTAACCATGTTGTTATGCTTAAAAATCTTATTACTATGCTTTGGTTAACTTTAAGCGATACCGGGATTAACAATTTAAGTTTGAATTTTGCTTGAAAAGGCTAAAAGAGGTAAATGAAAAATCATTAATGTAAGTACCGAGGAGAAAAGGGGGATCGGGTAGAGAAAGTGGCAAAAAACGTTTTTAAAGTTATGTTTATCAAGAGTATGGCAAATGGCAAAAACGGAGAAAAGGTAGCCACAATAATTTTTTTTATTGTACTTTATATACGTTCAAATTTTCGTTCAAAAATCTTGAGTTACTTTGTGTTCATTGTACTTATCACATGAAAGATTGATGGTGCCATTATTTATTTGACAAGTCTAAGATGTATAATACCGTTTATGACCAGGCTTATTAATGTCTGACATTAATAAGCTTTTAGGATTAAAGTTTTTGTGAAGGCATTCGACCGTCAGTTGTAGGTTCTTCGCTATGTTATACTACTTTTTTGTGTGGTTTGTAGAATTTAACCGTCTGCCTTACTGCCATGGATTTGTATACAAAAATATTGTTAAACCTCTAATAATAGTAAAACATAATAACTGTAGTTGTTTTAAATTTCTTTCATCACTTTTTGCATTTTAGTGTTGTTTGTCACAGTGGTAGTTAATTTATGACTGACATTAGCAACTTTTGAAGAGTTAATTAGCTCAAAAGTAGTTATTGTTCTGAAACTGAAATAACTACTTTTGTCAAGAGCTTTTAAAACTTTATCTTGGTTTTAAAATTTCGAAATTTGAGTTAAAAAATGTAAAAAAAGCTTGTCAAAATTAAATTTGAATTTTTTCGAAAATTAAAATTTTTTTTAAAAAATTTAAAAAAAATTTAAGTTTCAAACTTTTTAAAATTGTTCTTTGTACAAAGTTTAGAAGCTTAACTGATTTACATTTGTTTGTTTTTACATTGTTATGCTATTATTATATTATACTTGGACCAAAGAGACCACCAACTTTGAACTTTAAGTTTTATTTTACATGGTATTAAGCCTTCAATTCATTTCTTGTGGCATTAAGTATACGACGTTCATTTGAAAAGCTGTTTTCGATACTTTAAAATCAACTTCAAAGTTTTAATTTAATAATTTAGCACTAGGTATGTACTATAATATAATCTTTTGTAAAGGCGTTTTGTTGTTTATAAAATTAATATAATAGGTGTAAATAGCATATAACGGGTACTTTTTATTCTGTACTAAGATCGTTATAGTTTGCAGATACACTGAAAGTGTCAACAATATGGTGTCACTTCATATTAGCCTGCTAGCCAGAGGGTATTAATGGGTTTTCTTTAATATGTCGTCTATCTGCCGTTTCTTATTGTAAATGACGACAAACAAGGTCTTTTTTAAAGGACCAGTTCGCCCATTCAAATATCATTGGCATTCTGTCGCAAAAATTCGACGTTCATTTTTTTCGCAAAAAACCTGAGCAGGTCGGTCCCAAATTGGAAAATTCATTTTGACACCGACTCACTCACGTTTTTTGAGAAAAATGATTTTGATTGAAATTGCCTGCTTTTCGACGCTTTTTGCGACAGAATGCCAATGATATTTGAATGGGCGAACTGGTCCTTTAAGTTGGATGCTACTTTTGGCATTTGTTGTTATAAATGGTTGTCATTCTATTACATACTTATAGTGATGTCTACTTTATATTGTGGTATTACTTTAAAGAACTTGGGTGCATATATATATTTACATATAGATTTATATAAACTTGGACTTGGTTTACGTATATATGCTGTGTTAGATGTATGACTTCATTTGTGTAATGTTTACCTAGTACTATATGTAGCAATTTTAAGCTGGCATATCTATGTCTATAGAATGGTTATGTATATCTTGTAATATCTTGTTCTGTATTCCCAGGTGAAATATACAAATTATTTGAGTTTTAAGATCTAATTATGACTTGATAGTACGTTTATTGCTTTACAACAAACATACGATACTACTTGAGTGGGTTGTAGTACAAGTTTTACTATAAGAGTGTAACGTAGACGTATATATTGTAGTATGTTCTAGGTATTATTCTAATAACTAAAGTGTTCTATTGTTAAAGATTTATAAGTTCTAGCTACATTACACTTTTACTCAGTATGTTGTTGATACAAAACGTTTAAGTTTACTAATATAAAGTTAGATTTATTGGGGGTTTTTAGGGTTACTGTAAAGATGAGAATACGGTAATTTTGGTACATAATTTGTTTATGTTTTAACATTTAAATAACTTAATTTTTGAGGGTACAATAACACTGTAAAAACTTACTATATCACAGTAGAACACTTACTGCATAAAGTTATATTTTACTGTACAACATCATAGTAAACCAGGTAATGACGCGCTGTAAACTACCACAAATATAGCACGGTTTGGCTTCGGAAGCTCTTTAAAGTTCATTTAAGAACATCGCGAGTCCTTCAACAAACATATTCGTATCTTGTTTTACCCGAGTGCCATCAAGTGCTGACCCTTTTTAATTGAGACAGCTCTAATTTGGAAATGCAAAAATTATGAATTTCATCGAATTACTTGTCCTCAGGGGTCGTGGAGCACATTGTGATACTTTATAAGCTTGAGAGGACCTTCGTTTACGTTTCGGCAAATAGTAACGAAGTTGCAACACGTTTTATCTTGTGTTGCAGCTGGGAGGAGAGAAAAAGAGAGAGGGAAGTGCAGGGTGGGGTCAAAACCGATTTTTTGGAATAGGGGGAGGGGGTGGTGTAAAAAACGTCTTTCTATTTTTTTGTTTGGTAATTTAAGAAACTTAAATTGTTCTTACGGGCTAGTGATTTTTGGTTTAAACAATGGGTAAGGACAGTTTAAAGGAAAAATGTTTTGCAAGGGGGGGGAGGTAATTTTTAAAAATCGTCAACTTAAAAAAAGTTTTTTTCAGGTTGGGAGGGTTTAAAATTGTATTTTTTTTAAAACTATTAGCTTGTTCAATTAATTCTGTGCCGTTGATCTTGCAATTTTGCTTTGAGGAGAGGCGCAAACTTATTTGAACAACCTAATATAAAACGTGGAGACGTATTATTTTTTACATAACTAGCGAATGACTGATTGTCTAATATCACTTAAATATTTCATTTTTTAACAATTTTAATTATTTTACTAAAACAGAACAAGGCTTTATAAGTCTATTTCCAGATGTAGACAGTAAAGTAATAAACAATTAAAAGAATTTTAGAGTAAGGTTTCTTAATTTCTTACAATGGCAGGGTGTTTGTCTTAAGTATGTCCACTAATATACAAGTTGTCGTTAGTTGAGTAGAGTAAAACAAAAACATTACCTTAGGTCGTGGGAGAAGGCTTCAAAGTTTGAATTACTAATCTTCGAGTTTGGCATAAGTAATATCTATTTACGTGGGAATTTTCACGTTTTTTTCAGTTTTTTTACTATTTTTTGAGAATTTTACTTTTTTAAATAAATTTTAAATCTAAAAAAGCTAAAAATGTAATTTTTTTAAACTCTGAAACACTAAAAGAATAACTTCTAATTTAAAAAACTATTTTTAAAAACTATAAATTTTTACTCTGGTACTTTTTCATTTTCAAAGTTTGATATTTTACTTTATGCTGTTACTCTATTCTCCACAAAGATCATAAAGTGACTTCATTGTTAAACCCACCTCCAAATTAGCATAGTTATCGTATTATGTGTGTTATTTTTGGCTGTTGATACCTGTGGTTACTAATATATTTACTATAATAAGTTATGCTCTAAATTTACAAAGCTTTTTCGGCCCGGTTTGGCCTAGAATTGGCAAAACATTAATTTAGGATTCTGAGGGCTTCAGAAGTTGTGACGATAGCATTACCAAGCTTTTCGAATAGTAAATATGTTTATATTAACATAACTATTACCATAAGGTCAGCAATCAAAAAGTACTTTAGATTTTTGAAAGTTTACTTTAGTATTGTCTATGTTATTACCATGTTTCCAAATATTTACCATGCCCGCTCACGAGACGTACTATTTTGAGAGATTTTCGATTGAGTTAATTGACCCTGAAGGCATGAAACATTTGGAATCCATTTGTTTCCTTGATTTAATCGCTTTTTAGTTTGAGGTCCGAGTACTTTTGAGGTTTTTGAGTGCTTTTCGACTCTTTTTAATGTCGAAAAATGGGGCATCTAAATCATGGGTTTATATTAAACTGGGCAATGTTTCATAGGTATAACTGATAATGGTAGGCAGGAATTGGGGACATAGAGAAGAGGATCTTGATGGTATGTTATGATAGCATTCTTTTCGGTTAAAAAATACATAGAAAGACGAATGTTAGAATCAAATTTAGATATTCATTACAATTCTGAAAACTTTTTGACCATTTTAAAAAAGCACTTGATTTTATGCGCCATTCTTTTCTCATCAACATAAAGTTTTCAAACATACGTAAACGCACTTTTCGCCTGTTATTATGACTAAATATAACTATAGCAAGGTCAATAAACACTCTGTAACTAGAAAACACTTCCCAGTAGCTAATTTGTAATTCCGTACTTTCTTTACGATATCTGTTGTTGTACTTATGGTCCATAATGAATAACCAAGCGAGGACAACTCAAATTCTTTGTACTATTGGACCACTCGAGTCATAGGAAGTAGTTTAAGTATCATATTTTAGGTAAACTGTTTTAAATTTTTAAAATTATTTGAAAAATTGTATATTTTTGTCAAAATTTATATTAACCGTGCTGTATTGGGTACTTACCAGTGTACCATAGGTCATATAATATTATATGGCTAGTTTTTGTAAGCCTTGCATTATGTTGTTTATGACATGTTATGGCAGTTGTACTTTTGCTCTGAACAATATTTTTCCCAAAAATTTTGTTTTTTACCTTGCTTTTACTAGTAAAGTAAAAATTTGTTATCGTGTCATACATAACGCTTAATTTTTGTTTTTCGAAGCGTACTGTACTTAAAATATTATAATAGTATCATACTCAACAGTACTAAAACACTATTTTTTGCAGAAATGAAGTCATTCCCTGTTTTGTAAATGAATTTACTATAGCTGTGATGGATAACATCAGCATCTTGACAGAGGACGAACGCTGGCTACAAGAGTACGCTGAGGAGGAATCAGCACGATGGACGATAAAACTGGTGTTCTGTACTCTCTACTTTCTTCTCTTTTTGTTCGGAACGATTGGAAATGGGTGAGTGTAATATGTTTTTTTAAAAGATACTGTTTTAGGTATGATCTCAATATCAAATTAAAGAATTTTTTTCTCGAAGTCTTAAAATTATTTGTTAAAACGTTAATTTTTAATATTACTATACATATACATTATATTTTTATGCATCATAAGTCATGAAAGAACAAGTTACCATACTTACCACGAATAGCATAGTAATTTGAAAATTGCATTTTAAGACTAAAAGTTAAACTTTTTTTAAAATTCTGAAATTTTACAGTAAGAAAAGATAAGATATACGTATAAGTAAAACTTTTGTTTATTTACATTGTCTGTATGTATATCTTTTCTTTTTAACATAGAAGCCCCTCTTTGATTTAAAAAAATTATTTCACTTAAGAGAGGAAAATTTTGATTTCGCCCCTTCATCACCCCTCCTCAGACCAATATAATCAGCTTAGTACAGCTATAATATATTGATTGAGCTTAACATTGCATTGTTTCAGATGTGTGATAATAATGTTAATCAATGTACTGACACAAATGCGTGGGGCTAATAAGCTCTCCTCTGGGACGACACATGTTTTCATATATGTTTTGGGTAGGTCGTTGGCTAATAATACACATATACTTAAGAACATACCAAATTAAAACTTGACGTTTCAGGCTTAAGTATAGTTGATTTTCTGGTCATAATGCACTTGCCATTACTGATATTCGATATAATCGAAGGTCAATGGATATTCGGGTTAGTAATGTGCAAGCTGTATTGGGTTGGAGAGAGTGTGAACAAATTACTGAGCTCCTTCTTGATGACAGTACTGAGTTGGGATCGGTTTATGGCCGTTTGTGCTCCATTGAAGTCGTTTAGGTATGTTGTCTATCTAAGTTTAGGCATGCATATATACAGTAAAAATATGTTACTACAGTAATATCTACTACTGTAATATATTATAATAGGATTTATAATATTTATATAAAACATGTTGTATTGATATTGAAATTGCTGTAAAATTAAATAGTTGGTAAAAAATACCGTACTTTTAGATACCGTACGAACAATGTTGCCATAATGGTGTTGATGGCATGCACATCAATGGCGATGGTATTACTGTACCCAGTACTGAAAGAATCTACCGTACAAATTGTAGACAAAGCAACATTATTGAAGGTCCCTGATGACAGTCATCAAGGTAGGGTAACATTAGATCATAGGCTTTAAAGAAAAGTTAACATAATACATTACTGTTTTTACTGTAATATCTTAATGAAAAATGCTTTTTTATACCCCATATAGTAGGTTTTTTACCTTGCATACTTACAACAATCAATTCTACTATTCAGGTACGACAACAATCCAGAAATGTGTCTTCGAAACCAATACTCCAGCCTTTATGTTGTACACCTTTGCCTTCGGCTTTATCATGCCAGCCTTGTTGATCTCTGTCTTTTACCTCAGAGTTATATTATCATTACACAAGAAAACCAAAGGAGTCAAGTTGGACAAAGTCACCTCAGCAGCTTCACAACGGCTACACAAGGTGACGAAGCGCATCGTTACTGTAGTATTGTTCTACTTCTTCTGTTGGACACCGTACTGGACGCTGAATATTATGTTACAGTACCAGATCTTTGTGGTAGGTTGACTATTTTGGTATTAGGTTGTTCACATAATTTTGTGCTCCCCTCAAATTAAGTTTTTGGAGTTAGAGGGCACAGAATTATATGAAAAACCTAATAGTTTTTATCAGTTTAGAGTAACTATTGTAAAATCGCAGCTTATTAATATGTTATAAGATACTGAGCCTTTACATTATAGTATCACCATAACATTAATGGAAAAAAAAATTTCAGTCCACCTGGTCAGCCCTTACCTTATCCTCGGTCTTCTTCGCGGCCCATCTCCTGATCTGCTTCAATTCAGCGGCCAATCCAGTCCTCTACGCGTTGATTAATCGCGAGTTGCGACAACAACATGTTGCTGCTTTAATGAAACGTCGCAAGAGCAACCAAGTACTTAAAACAACATTCTCAGTTGACAAAGTACAACATCGAGGTGATCCCCCTTACTTTGGCACTCTTCGACGACATACCACGGTATTTGAGCGACACTCCTCACAATCGAGTATCGACTCAACAATGTTGGTGGCGCTCGAAGCTGCCAAAGCACGATGCAGGACTAGTTTGCCTCAGGGGAAGTTGAATGTAACGTAAGTTTTTGATGTTTTAGGCTTATAAAATATAATTTTAAAGTTATAAAACTGTTTTTAATTTCTTGAGGGTAGCTTTAAATGAAACCAACACATTATAAGTATTCAATTTGTTACCTAAAATTCAAAAATTACCTTTGACTTGAAATTAAAAAAAAATTTAAGCTTTTAACAACTAAAACCGCTTTTCTTATCAAAATCAATTATATCAATTTCAGATTTAACGGATTCTGCTCTTTTATGATCCCAAAGACCTCACCACACAGTCACATGGATAACATGGAGACGTTGATCAAGCCCAGCTTCTCCCAGCCCTCGATCTCTACAGCAACATCGTCTGTGAACCGGGAAGAGAGTATGATAATCGATGGTCATGTTCATCCGAGTGACGCCTTTTTGTAGACAATATTATGGGTATCTTACACTTTGTATTCATATATCTCAGACCCTGGCTTTAAGGTTTAAAGTTTGATTTACTTATACCAAAGTCAATGTTATCTATGTAAGTACTAGACAATTTAAAATGCATTTTACTGTATATATTTATGCAAAGATGATAAAAATAAAAGTTATGAAACTTTTCTGGCGTAATCTTAATCTTGTTGTATATAATGTTGAGGTGGTTAAGCTTCGCTTATTTTTTGATGATAGGCTTGGTGTCTAGCGACAGTTTAGAGGTACACTCATCCCAGTCGGACCAGTATTCTTGCTTAAGCTTATTGAGATAGTTGACAAGGTTGCGACAATCAGATTCCATGTATCTTTTGACCTCTTTGTTCATAGGACAATAGTAGATCATACTCAGGTGGCCAAAGGCAGTGGCGTCTATCTGGAAGTGTACTAGTTGTAAATGATTTTTTACCTTATTCTTGCTTTATCATCATAGGACAAATATTGTACAAGGTTGTTCAAATTATTCTGTGCCCCCTCGAAATACAAAATTTCAGGGCTAGGAACCACAGAATTATTTGAACAACCTATATAATACATACTTTGACAACTTTGTACAGAAAATAATTGTATTTAAGAAGTTCAAATATACCTACCGAAGTAACTTTATCACCCACAAGATACTTTTTGTTACCCAAAAACACTGAGAGTGCCTTCAGCTTTTTGTTGGTCACTTCCAATACTTCTGTCGGCGATTGTCTGCCAATACCTTGAGCAGCACACCTTTGTCGAAACTGAGAATATAAAATATTAAGCAAGATCACTATGATATTTCAAGAATTTACAATAGCATGCTATAGTAGATCTTATAATAGAATGCTATAGCAATTCTACTATAATAATATTAAAAGCATAGATTACTCTACTCCAAAGAAGAATCAAATCATTTAACTTACCATTCGCTGCAAATACGGTATCAAAAACATGGTTAAAAAGTACTTCTTAACTCCGGTAAAGTGACCAACGATACCTTCTTTTGTAGCCAAAAACGACTGGTCAAGGGATCGAAAGTAAAGCGCCGACCTTAAACATGTTAAGGTATAAGCACTCACTTAAGCCACTCAGTTCATCGTTAAAACCAATATTAACATACTATACTATCAACATAACGTAATATGTATTACTACCATGAAAGTAAAATCAGATATAGATTTTAATGAAGTAAAGCAACATATATATTATCATACACAGCATTACATAACTCACCATGCCAAAGAATCCTGAATCATGGATTCAAGGATGACAGAATCAGCACGTTCCTTTTCACTCAAATTCTCATCTAGTTGAACATGAAAGATACGAGTTAGTTCTGGTATCATAAAGTTGGTATCACAGAGCTGGCGACCATTCAACTCCACAAATGGCACTTGTCCCTTCTCTGACTTGTGCTTGAACTCACTGTTCACATTCTGTAAGTGTTAGGTTTCTATTGTTATTAATGGTTTGCATAATACATTTGATTATATTATACTACCAACTTAGGTTTACAAATACGAGCACATTTGCCATGAAATGTCTATCGAGTATACTGTAACATCTTTTACCTTATATGTCAATCCAGCCATCCTCAGCCACGTCTCCATCTTCAGAGAGTACGATGATATGGTTGGTGCACTACCAGCTCTAGGAAACTGCACCAGATAGATGCAGTCTTCTTTCCAACTTCTAACTAGTAATGATGGTGCCATTTTCTATTTTTTTCTGTTTGTTACCAAATATTTCTAGGTTCTACTACTGAAAACGTTTAAAATTATAACGCACACCAGCTATAACAACATCTGTCAATAAACAAAAGGTTAAGTTAACCTCAATAAACAACAAAAACATTGATAATCACGTCTGACTTTGCTTGTTTTCTTATAGATATTCTGACAAGGAAGCAAATTCAATTTGTGTCAGTGATAAAAGCAGAAGTAGTTCATTTTAAAATGATTCATAGGGATCAAAATAATAAAACTAGCTTCCAATATACTTCCTTAATGCTTATATAGCCTTAAAGGTGTTCCAAGCTTATTAAATCTTCAAAACTTAAACATTTTGCAATATATTACGTTAAAACAAGATTCCAATTAAGAAATTACTTGAAACGGTTTGAAACAAGCATTTTACCTAACATACCTAAAACGAAAAGCTAAAATAAGAATGTAAAAACATGTTTATAAACAAAATGTATTGCCAGCTGAAAACTTTTAACCTTTTAAAGCAGCCTGTAACCAAACTACAAATATTTCTGAATCTGTATTTTGTAGTTTATTTGATGTTAATTGCGTTAACCACTACTTTTATTTTTAAAACGCCCTTTTTAATGCTGACACTAGTCGGGGAGTGATGACAAAATATCTTCCTTGATAAAATTGTAAATTTGTCTAAAAAATTATGTTTTTTAATAGTTTAACATAAATATATCGTTAAATAACCTGTAAACATATAAAACAACATCGAAAAAGAGCTAAAGAAATAATTAAGTTCTGTTTGACATTTCGTCTCAACTTTTTGACACTTCGTCCCATATTTTTGATATTTTGCGATTGAAAAAAATCGAAGTTGATCCTGTACAGCATATTAACGTTACAAAAAGCTACATTTCTCAAAACTAACTCTACTTTTCGCACCCTAAACTAAATTTATAAGTTTATGTCACCGGTCTTGAACAAGGACAAGTATAACATGTTATTTGATAGAACGTTCTAGATCTTCGAATGATTCGTTGGTTCTGGACATGTCTGTCATCTCTCGGTCACCCATGTCTGGTATCTTTAATCTTCTAAAATTAAAACTTAAATTCATATTGTTAAACATATTGTTTACAGAGTAACTACAATATGATACTAAAAATATTATACTAAACTTTAAGATAAATTGACATAACTTTTTTAAAAGTCACTCAAAATTAAAAGCTATAACCAGCAACTATAATTTAAAACCAATTATATTAAAACGCCTTACTCATTAGAAGGATATACACCATTAAGAGGCATCATTTGCCTAGGCTTTGTAGCCAATGACAGTTTGGCCGTACATTCATTCCAATCCGACCAAAACTCTTCTTTAACGTTGCGAAGGTAGTCGATTATGTTGCGACAGTCAGTTTCCATGTAGTTTTTAATATCTTTGTTCAGAGGACAGTAGTAAAACATACACAAATGGCCGAACGCTGTAGCATCTAACTGAAATATGGAATAATGTCCAAATAATCGTAACATATACTATTATATAAATATATATATATATATACTGTAAAATTTGTTACATTAAAAAAGCTAACTAGCTACTCAATTTATGACAATTTAAAATCAAAGTTTTAGAATATGTTATATTTACATCAACTTACCGAAGTAACTTTATCTCCCATAATATACTTTTTGTCGCCTAAAAACACCGATATTGCCTTCAACTTTCTGATTGTAGCTTCCATAACATCTGACGGTAACTGGCGACCAATACCTTGGGCTTTACATCGTTGTCGATACTGAAATAACACACAATTAATACGTTATAATATGTTCTTTTATAAAAAATCTCCTGTTATAATATACCACACAAATCTCAGTTTTTTCTCTAAATTACACTGTAAATATATGATAAGCCTTTTGTTACGTTATCTAAGAGCATACTGTAAAAAAGCTGACTTACATTACGTTTGAGACGATTTACCAAAAATGTCCTGAACATTAACTTTCTGAAACCACTGAAATGAGCTAGAAGTCCGTCATCTGTTGATAGAAATGACAGATTCAAGCTTCGGTAGTAGTTTACTGACCTGAAAGTGATTTTTTAAATATAATATTAGACCACATCATTTGATTTTTAAAAATATTTTTTATGCTAGTAAGAGAAACTACTGTAAATTGTAAAATACGGATACTCCATCAACGTAGGTCGAATTATAATATTATTTTTATAGTTTAACTACATGATTAATCTCAAGTTGTAATGTAAATTTAGAAGTGGCATACCATGACAAAGAATCCTCGATCAAAGCCTCAATCGCAACAAACTCCGATCGTTCCTTTTCATTGAGCTGATCGTCCAATTGAACATGAAACATACGAGACAACTCTGCTATGATGTAGTTGGTATCACAGATTTGGCGACCATTCAGCTCGACAAATGGCAGTTGTCCTCGCTCCGACTTGTACTTGAATTGACTGTCCACATTCTAAATGGATTGCCAATGCGTTTAGAAGAGAAGTCGTATTTTACAACACATTTAAAAATTAAATATTATAGTAATGCATAACTGTTCTACAGTAATTAAAAAATGTTGGTCTACCTGATATGGTATCTCGGCTATCCTCAACCATGTCTCCATCTTCAGACAATACGATGATATACTAGGTATACAGCCAGCTCTAGGAAACTGTACCAGGTATACACAGTCCTTTTGCCAATCTCGTACTATTAGTGGCGCTGACATTGTTCATCTACTTCAAGAGACATTAGTCATAAACAACTTTAATATTCACGTACTGTGCGTTTATATTAGACTTTAAGGCGTTACTGTAGTATATCTTATCGTAAAAATAGCTATAAATAAGTTTGCAATAGTAAATACATAAACACCTTCAAATATAAAATATTATCTCATCTGGTATCACTAACAATTCAAAGAGGTATACTATCAAAAAAAGATTAACCCTATAACAAGATACTGACAAATATAGTTAACATGCCCATCCACATGACATACGACCTTATTGTTTTTGCCCTAAAAGCCTCGGGACGAACTTGGAATTGTCATGGTGATCCATTCATCGTAAAAGAAACGTACGAAAAGAAAAAAAAACGTCGCAAAGCCACCTTTCAAACCGGAAACGGAAGCCGTGCAGTACGAGTTTGTGTATATACACCTCGAAACATCGGAAAGATCATTCGGAAAGTAGTTCATGCGACGCTTCGTAGAAACTGTTATATAGCACATAAGAAATGGCAGATTTTTAAAAGTTTGGCACTGTGTGAGAACTTATCCTACAAAAATATTATTTACTTTACACACAAACACTACAAAAACTTCTTTCCAAACTAAAAATAAACTTTTCAGAATAAAAAGCAACTAAAGCAGCCTTTAGCTACACTACGTCAACCAAAATATTTATTGTATCCTGTACAACCCGTTACAAAACCCCGATATTCTAGTTATATTCAAGTTGAGCGTGAACTGACGTTGCTGCTAGAGCTCTTGTTACTGGCACTTCTGGCTCTCCTCTGTCTTCTTCTCTTCTTTTTGGGTTCTGGAGCCTTTGGAGGAGCTTTTATCTTGGTTTCCATCAATCTGAGCTTGTGGGCCAGTAAATAAGTAGCGTTGACTGACTGAAAAAACATTGTATTAGCCTTTTCTTAATTTTAAAACATAAATTTAGGAGCTTACAGACACAAACAAAACTATCTTCTGTTCAAAATCAGCCCTGAATGTCCAAAAAGCCTCCGTTTCAAGTTCAACAACATCTCAAAGCAACAAAAACTTACATCAGATAGCGAATGAATAATATCGACCGCATTCTTGTACCCTTCTTCCTTTCCTGGAGTGTTGTAGACGTACAAAACCCCATCACTTTGGTCTAGACATCCGTAGAAGATCTTGTCCAACAACATCATCGCAATCTTCTTCTCTACTCTAACTTGTGGCAGTCCAATCTTATCAGAGATGTACTTAAGTTCAACGACAGAGTATGGTTCAAACAAACGGCACAACTCCTTCTCAATCATGGTTTCGGACAAAGCTGAGAAGTGGATCTTGATGACGCGGTCTTCCTTCAGCTCTTTTTGGTACTTTTCAAACGCCTAAATGAAGATCATACTAATTTAAAGCAATCACAACACCATTAAACCTAATACAATGTAAAAAATCTAACGAAAATACCTGGAGGAAAGCCTTCAGAATCCGGCTTTTAAAAGCCAATCCCAATTCCCTCATCGCCTGCAATTCAGTTCCACGATACTTTAGAGCCTGTTTCCCTGACAGAATCTTGTCGATGGAATCTGGATCATTCAGCATAATCTTGGCCAAGCACATGTACTTCAAGCCTCTCACTGACAACACCTTATCTTCAGCCATATCCGCATTCTCAAACGCTTCGTAGAAGTAAGAATAAGCGGTCCTGAAGTCACGGTCTTCTGAAGCATGTAAGACTCCTGATTGAAGATCAAGTTCAGCCTGAAAAAGATAGCATTAGTCTTATTGAACAATACCATATCAATAAAAAATGCCAATTTAGATAGTAAAAAAAATAAAACAACAAAAAGACTCCTCAAATCAACATCATATTGTTCAAAGTCAGCCATATAAAATCTATTTAGCCAATATAACTTTATTTACCTTCATACTTAAACTAAAACCTGTACCTGCATTTTATTGTTCATAAACATTGCATTGGCGGTAGTCTTAGCTCCGACCAGAGCAGTTTTGGACTTTGACAGGTTTCCCAGACAATATAACCCTTTACTTTCCTCGATCTGAACTTCAACCAACACATCTTTGTCGTCTATCTTCTTCAGCTCCTTGATTAATGTATTAGCTAGAAATTAAAATATTAGAAGCATAGTAAGGGTTTACATCAAATATACATATAGAAAATTTAAATTAATTGCAATTTATAATACTTTAGTAAATTTTATCCACAAAATCAAGAAAATCCTCATATTACACTTTAAAACCATCAAACCTAATAATAAGCACAAAACTATAACCACATACCTAAAGCCTGAGCTTCCGTGAACTTTCCAATATCGTTGTACAACCGAATCAGTCGAGCTTCCAGTGTCTGCCGCAAGAATACCCGCTTCTGGCTTCGTGCCCATTCAATACATTCTTTGCACACTTCGACCTGAATCTGAAGTCAAAATTAAAACGCAGCAGACAGCCCTACCTTAACACTGGCATCTTCGTCGATTCCCAGCGTGAAATCGATCAGAGTTCTTACAAGTTTTCCGGCTTTGGCTTTGCCCAACAAACAAAGGAATGGCCGAGTGGACTGGATCAGATGCTTCAACTCTGAAAAGAGAATGTAAGTAGCTTTGGAAGTCAATTTTACGTTACTTTTAATTCACGAAAAAGCATTTTACAAAACAAACTCGATCTTCGACAAAAAATTGTCGAGCGAAATCACGAACTTTTCCGCAGGCTGCCGGTGTCAAGTTATACGAAGTAGGTCTTGAAATATTTTATCTAATATACTGAGAGAAGTAAAGAAATAATGTTCGAAAAGTATTAGAAACCAATACTTACCATCTGTATTTTTTTCATCACTCAACTTTTTAGCTACAGCCAGAATGGCATCTTCACGTACCTTGACTTGATCTTCATCATCTGCTTTGATCGGAATAGCAACTAAAAATTGGCGTTACGTCAGTAGTTTTAACTAGAGGTAACCATACTTTATCATAACTTGTTTTTAGAGTTCATCCAGTTAAATAGCATGGTTTAGACTTAAAATGCTGTTTTAATTAAAGACCTTACATAGTTTTTTGAGCTCCTCGACGTTCAGTTGCTCTTCCACGCGTTGAGCGGCTGGACTAGGAGTTGGAGCAACTTGGGTCAAATCCGCCATTGGACAACCGGCTGATGATCCAACAAAATCAAGAAATAAACTTTTCGAAAATATAATTTTTCGTAAAAAATGAAACTTTATGCAAATTTTGACGTTGTTTTTGGAGCATGCGTTCCCAAGAAGGCCACGTTTCTCACGTTTTTGAATATTCACTTCAAAAGTTCACATTCTGGAGTATAAAAGCGATGGAAACCTGGGCTCAGCATCAGTTTCGGCTGTTTCGTCGCGAGGAATCATGGCTCAATCCGTTCCCCCAGGAGACATCACCACCCAGCCCGGCACCAAGGTCGTGTTCAACGCCCCGTACGATGACAAGCACACCTACCACATCAAGGTCATCAACGCCGGTGGACGTCGTATCGGATGGGCCTTCAAGACCACCAATATGAAGCGTCTCGGTGTCGACCCTCCATGCGGTGTCTTGGACCCCAAGGAAGCTGTGTTGGTCGCCGTCTCCTGCGACGCCTTCCAGTACGGTCAGGAGGACACCAACAACGACCGTATCACCATCGAGTGGACCAACACCCCCGATGGAGCCGCCAAGCAGTTCCGCCGCGAATGGTTCCAGGGCGATGGTATGGTCCGCAGAAAGAACTTGCCCATCGAATACAACCCTTGATTGTTCTCGTTTTGCTTTGTTGAATAAAATGTTGTATGGTTGAGTTGTTTTGGGCATTATGTTATTGCTTTGCTTTATATTTTTAGTTTAGTTCTTTTTCCAGTCAGCTAATTGTTTGTTGGTAGTCCATCAGCTATATCTACTTGAAAATGTATTTACTTTGCCAGTTAATTATATTTTTCTGTCTACGGTCTTTGCGGTCACTTATTATGCTTTTTCATCCAAGTAGTGGCCTAAGGGCAAAATAGAAGCTTCATAAAATGTCGAATAAAACCTATTTTAACATGAAAACAGTATACGACGCAGTAGCTGGATTACCCAAGTACATACGTTTTCAAGGGAGACATAGCATAGCACTCAACAAGCTAAGCAGCAGAGCCTAAGGGCAAAATAGAAATGATTCAAATGATCTTATGTATGTTAGTTAATTACAGTAAAATACTTAATTTTTTATGTTTTATGCTCTCGGCCAACTCAATGAATAATGACACATTGTCCGCGCCCAGATAATCGTCTTAGTTACTATCACCTTGTTTGCATGAGTTTTCATCATTTTGGTTGTTATCATGCGTTTAAAACTTTTTGTAATTATTTTGTGTAGCTCTTTCGTTTCCGTAAACGGTCTTACCAGGCCCACATATTATGTTATGCCATTGTTGGAAGGACCAACTAATCCGACAGGTGAACATTACGAAGCGTTACATACCGCTACGGAACCGTTGATTTCCAGAACGACGGCTGTTATGTACAGGTACATACGTCTTTTAGTTCAAAAACCATTTAAGACCAAAGGTTTTTGAAAAAATGAATCAATGTTATGTTATTTTAGAGATACGATGAGCTACTTCCTCCCAGATTACAAGTCTATCATGTCGTGCACCTTGGGGACTTCAAACAGCTGTTCCCTGTCTCAGATCCCAAATGACAGTATCTTTGTAACACCAAATGTCACAGCCAATGCCTTGGACAAGTTCATTCGTATGTTACAAGATGCTACTGATTACAGTCGACGTCGCTCTGAATTCTTGGTTTTCAGCGATTTGAAATGTAAAAGCCTGACTTCATCCAAACCGTATCCTGATGTATACGCAATGTTCTACACAAAATTGGATAAGTTGATCGAAGTACTGGAGAAGAACAAGCTTCATACTTACATATTCTTCCATAATGTAAGTAATGTAAACTGTAAAAGTGTTCAGTTTGCAACGATGCAACAGTTTTTGGTAGTTTAAAAAATTTTGTGTCAAAACTACAGATTTTGTGGCACAAGAGATAAAGAGCAAGTATAATAATATAATACAAGTATCACCTGTAACAAGAATCAATTTCAGCTTACCAATGAATCTGAATTTTGTCGAAACCTAGCAAGAATGAAGAACAAAAATAATCTGATATACATCTCAGGGACCAGTTGGAACGAAACTTCCTTTGCTAAAGACGTAGCGTATGTTTTAGAAATATCATGGAAGGATAATTTAAATTCTAACATGCTCAACTTTAATCAATACATTAATAAACATGCTTAACTTATATCAAAACACTTAAAGTTTCAGAGAGAAATTCATGGAGGTATGGGATGTACCAAACGATTCTGGCAACGAATATCCTTCAGACCCTCGTAAGTACGACAAATTCATATCAACTTCGTAGTTTTACCTTATATTACACGACGTATTTTATAAGTATGAAGCTATAAAACACAGTCAAAAGCAGTATTTACATCACTAAAATTAGTTTATATTAATATTCTAGCTGCGTATGGAGCCATAATTGGAGGATCGGTGGGAGGAGCTGTGTTTCTTACGCTTATTATTGTAGGTATCTACATCTACCGAAGACGGACTCAAGAAAAGAAAATCAGGTAAATAACTGATAAAGCGGAGAAAAATTGATCTCGAAAAACTAAAAATTTCGGGTTTTTACAAGGTCTTGAATTTTTTTTTAGTTTGACGAAATGCCACGATTTTGAAATTATTTCCCTCCGCCAATCTTTATTTGATAATTCGTTGTGAAACCTAAAATTGGTAAAAAAATTTATAAAAAAACAAAAAAGTTGTTATTTTTCAGTGAATTTGCGGAACTTCACAAACATTCATCGACGAAGAACACGATCAACATCAAGTTGAACGACAAGTTCGAAGTAGAAAACGAAGACATAACTTTCAACTATGATGTTGTCCTTGGGTCGGGGGTTTCTGGCAAAGTTTACAAAGGAATTCTGACTCGATTCGACAGCGACACAAAAGAATTCTCAAAGCGAGATGTCGCCATTAAAATGGCTCATGTCGTGGCTAAACAGGCAGTGAAGTAAAGATTAATTTTACTTTTTATTGGTTTAGAAGTTCAAAGATGATTGGCTAGCACAAGTTTTAAAATTTTATATCAGTATTGGGGGTTCAAGTATAACATTTACATTAGGATGATTTTGAAAAACGATTTTGATTACAAAACTTTCAGAAACGACATGTTGCGTGAGATCAGCTTGATGAAGATGTTGTCGGCCCATCAGAACATTGTTCAACTCGTTGGTTGTATAAGCGACACAGCCAATCCGGTGATTCTGACAGAATTTTGTGAGCGAGGAGATCTGCTACACATTCTACGTGAACATCAGATGCATTACATGGTAAGACAAAATTGTAATGGTTAGAAAACTAATTTTGAGATTTATAATCAGCTTCTATTTGTAACAATTTATACTTATTTTAGGATGACGTACCGTGCAAAAAGGTGCCACTTTGTTTGTTGCTTCACGACATTTACCGTATAGCTAAAAACGTAGCAGATGCCATGGTAAGCTTGTTCATTTGCCTTTACAAAAGCATACTGCCAATCCTACAGTATGAGTAATACTAAGAATAAGATACGACTTAAGTAGAATATATTTAATTTCAGAATTACATAGCAAGTAAAAAGTTTGTACACAGAGATTTGGCTGCCAGAAACGTATTTTTGACTTTTGACTGTGTGGCAAAGGTTGGTGATTTTGGGTTGTGTAGACAATATCAAGAAGCGTTATACACTCAACAAGCTGGAAAGCTACCTATCAAATACATGGCACTGGAATCGCTTACTGAATTCAGTTTCAGTGAAAAAACTGACGTGTAGGTTACACTTACATTGACTTTTTACAAACCTTTTATGTAAAGAAAACTGTTTTAAGTTTAAACTAACTTAATATAATTAATGCTTTTTGATATACAATGTATATTTCAGATGGTCTTTTGGAGTTTTAATGTTTGAAATATTTACTGGAGGCGATAAACCATACCCAGATATAACCAACGAAGACATGGTTGTGCATTTGCAAAGTGGTAATCGACTAGAATTACCTGATGACATACCATGTGAATTGTAAGTTCAACAGTGTCTTCGTCTGTGTCTTGATAATGTAACATAAAACGGACATTTTCTTACCAAAAATAGTTTTTAAATTTAAAAACGTCATTGAAAACACTCATTTTTAGAATGGAGTTAATAAAAAGTTGTTGGCTAAATGATCCTCACGAAAGACCAAGTTTTAAATATATTTACAAAGCGATGAGGAGGTTATTAAATGAAGATTACGAAAAAGTTGATGAAATTGTTAGTTTGCACGACGAAATAAAAGAAGAAGTTGATATTTAAACTCACTTTAAAATTTTTAGAGTTTGGTATACACCGCTTGTTGTTACTAGGCCGATCTCGCTATGCCATAATTTATTTGTTACATCAAAAATAATAAATTGAAAAAATTATAATTCATATTTACTTTGGGTTGTATAGTACATAAAACTTGTCATTGAAAAGGCAATTGTTGATACAAAATCAATGAAAAGAGAAACACAAAAAACAATGACAATACTTTTCTGATCGTTTCAATTCGACCTTTAAGGAAAAATAATATTGAACGTGTAACATGATACTTGTTATACTTCTTGTAATTTTATTGTTATTTTTACTACTATGTATCGTATGCACCTACGTACTGTGGTCAACAGGATGTTTTGTAGGAGTTATGTGTGGCTCAAACAACTTTGATGATCTATTTTATCGTCATTGTGAATGTTGCGACGAAGAATGTAGATGAAATTGTAAATTAAATTTCATTATAAATATTTTGTTTTTACTGAACAATATAACAATTTTCATTAAACTTTATAGAAATTTAAGGTAATATAAGTTGTGACAATTAATATTTATGTCGCCGATGTTCATTGTATCTATTTGCTCTCTTGTAGTGTCTGCGCTGATGTTTAGTACCTTCTGATTCTTCTTGAGTTCTTTCGCTCTTTCTATATTCTTGTTCGCTTTCTTTTTGTTTTGACCATCCTCGGTTATCTCGTCTATCGCGGCGTTCACTAGACTCATTACTACCGTAGCGCTGCGTGGGGCGGTGTGTTTTGTTGTAATTTTTGTCTTCGTGGTCATCTTTTTGTTTCCGTTTACGGTTTTCTTCTTTTTCGTCCTCATTTTTCCTTTTGGCTGCACGGGCTTCTTCTCTTTCTATTCTTTGCACTGAAATTTGCAAGTAATAAGAATATGCTGTTTTACTTGTATGAAAAATATAAATTTAAAACAACATTTTTTAACGTCACAGTATCTTTTTTTTAAATTTAACAGTTTATACCACTTACATTGAATCTCCTCTTCTTTTTTTTGCCATTTGAGCCACGAAGCAAACTGAAATAAATGTCATATTTATAAATAAGGTATACTAAATATATTGTTTTTTAGAACTAACATTAAGTACGACTATAACAATATCTTAAGAAATAGTACAGTAAGACAACCTTTGAAATTAGAAGATTTAAGATACGTTCAAAGTTAAGTAATTTAAAAAGTAGCAAAAACTTACAAATGGGTTCATTTGAAGCATTTCGTCATCTTCACGCAGTGGACTGTTTGGCACGTAGTTACGTGTAACAGTTAGCAGTTTGAACTCAGACATTGTTCTACAATCAATCAGTCAAATTTAGTCTGACTATTGAGTTGAGTGCGAAGAGAAAACAATAATGTTTATAAGGTTTACTACACCTTCTAACAATAAGCGCCAAAACTTGTTCGCGGCTTTATTTGCGCCAAAATTTGGCTTTCTTTATTGACCTGTTTCGTTATTATAGGCTATTAAATCATATACTTTCAAAAAACATACCGACAAAGGGATAAGAAACCGGTTTATTACACCAAGAAGTCAACAATATAATACAAACAGAGTTAATTCAGCCACAATATATAATGTACAAGTTACATTCAAAAATATTTACTAATTAAAACTTTTCACTTCAATAAAATTTGTTTTACTGTGACTTCTATTCAGGTAAAACGTATTCTGTCCTATCCCTAACGTACAAAAAGAATCCCCAGTAAAGCCCGTTGAAAGCCGAGAAGGCCAAGGGGAATATAAGCCTACTCATACTGTCCACTTGGAATGCTTGTCGAGCCAGTTCTAGGCCAATCTGAAGTTCTTGTAGCCGTGGACTTTCAAAGTCTCCTTCCATGTTATCCTTGTTGTCAGCATAATAAGAAATGGTTAATCTGAATATTGCTTTCGGATCATCGTTTTCGCTGTTCATACTTGATAGGGAAGATACAGACGGATTACGTGTCACTGCAAGAACATATTTGTAAACTATTAGCAAAATACCATGCAAAAAAATAATGGATCATTGAGTATAGTAAGACATTTTTCATATTACGGTTTGTGGTTTTGTCAACTTTTCAATTTTATATCTTTAAGGACAAAATAGTTTTAAAATTTGTCATATTTAAATTTAAATGGCATACCAGATTCCCTAGCTAATGACTGGGCCATTCTTTCGTATTTGTCAGCTTTTCTCATGTAGGTATTGACTATTGCGAGCTCTACTAACGTGCAGAACACCATGATCATACATACTCCGAACCACCAATCCAATGCTTTTACTGATGACGACTCCGGCAGACCATTCTTTACACCCATATGCTAAAATTTTTACATTATAGTACATTTGGAAAGCCTTGTATATTAAAGTCATTGAAAAGTATGTTGATTTCGAAAATAACTTACCAAAGTGAAAAGTGAAAGTAGCGTAGTAAACCATAAGGTAATTCTTGCATGTACGGCTCTTCTATCTAAATACAAATATATCATTCTTGACCTAAAAGCTTTATTATACCATAAGTATATTTAAAATACGAAACACTTACCAATCCAAAACGACACCCAAGATATCATGACGATTAACGCGGACGGCAGATAACTCTGTACTACGTGATATGCAGCGCTTCTCTTGAGTAATATGTTGGTCGACAGGCAGCTGAATGGCGCTTCTCGATATGTCTCTTCCATTATGGCATATCTGTAGGTGCCATCGCATTGTGTATCGAATATCTTCTCGATGTAGAACTCGGGCATGTGTATGTGGCTGCTATATCTGATGGCATCCTCGTCGAACCATGTTATGTTGACTTGCGATGCTATGTAGGCGTCTGGAGGTTTTTTAGTACATTGTAAACAAATTATAGTATTTTAGTTATGTGTTTTGACTTAAAGGCTTCATAGTAAAAGTGTAGAAAACATAATTTTAAGTCATACATATTGCAATATGCGGTACCAACATATACCTTTCGTCCAAAAATATGCCAAAACTTACAACTAACAATCTTTAAATTGCACATTTGTCGGTCCATGGGGTAGTTTTCAAGGTCAAAGTTGCACGAAACAGTAGCTGTTATTCTGTAAAACAACAATGAATATTGTTTTTGGTTGACTTACCGTCCTGAATAAGCAATATGGCCATTCTCATCAATAAATAAACTAAAGTTTGGCACTAAAACGTCGTGAAAACTGGAGATACGAGAGTTTGAGAGATACAGGTCTGGTATCCTGTAAGGTAAAATAGTAAAGTCAAAGTTACTATCATTGATTTAAGTTATTAGCTACATATTACCGCCAGTAGATACATACCATATAGTCTTCAGTATCTCCAAATCAGTAACTGACTGATAGTGTCCCATCGAATGACTGAGATTGGTATCTTTCCATGACATATACAAGTAAAAGTCAGCATCAAATGACATTTGACTGGATTGAAACGATCCTATGCTTTCTATGTACATACCAACCTTTACTGGTACTGGCCCATTCGAAGGCTGTTTCGGAGGATACAGATTCTTCATGTGTTTGCGGACAAAGTTGGTTGCACAGCATCTGAAAATGGCATGCTACTGATACTATTGAGCCTACAAACTCAAAATTATAAATTTTGAATTAATTTTTGACTTAAAATAGGTAACTTTAAAGATCAGGGGTCAAAAAATATATGTGTTATCTTATTTTACAGTAATTTTATTTCTTTGATCTCCTTCTTGTAGCTACTTAGAACCATTCAACACATTATTTTCAAAAACATGTCATAGATACGTCAATACTGGTGAAAAGAACGTGATGACAGAACATAATAACCCCTTTTATCACCCCGCTATAACGATCCACTTACTTTAGGACCAAAACCTGAAACAACCAAGACGTGAGCCACATTGCCTACGGCAACAACTTCATATTGCGGGTTAATGACGACCAATTCGGACGAATCTAAAAATGATGCACTTTTTTCGGCCGTAAAAAGCAATTTTGTTTGTGGTGCGGCCGAAAAAACAAGAGCCGGTTTCGGCGGATTCCCTTAAGCGGTCGGATGGCCAAGAAAAATAAAAAGGAAACCGGGTCGTTCCGCTGGGACGACGGACGGCGAAGAACGTTGGGTCGAGCGGAGAGCGCAGATTGTTTATGCCCCAAGTTCCAGTCCAAAAACAACCTCATCAACCGGTAGTACTAAGTGTGACAATATTTATAGAGGGTGAATATTGTCATATGGGCTTGATTAGCTAAGTGTTTAAAGCTAATTAGGAAGGTAATGTGCGCCAACTTCTTTAACCATAATTTACATAGTATTTTCAGTAAAATATCATATATATAAGTGTTATTTCATGTTATCTACCGCAAAATAATATTAAAAAATTAGAACCCTCTACCCTTCATCTAAAAAAGAAGCTCTAAATCCCCTGCCCAAAAATGACCGCAAACCAATCAAACGTAAGTGTCCTCTCCCTTACATCCATAAAGAAGCTCCGCACCCCCTGCCCCAAAAATGACCGCAAACCAATCAAACGTAAGTGTTATTCCAATACAATTTTTAACTTTTTACGGGCCAGACATCCGTCAAATAAAACCCATCTTGGCCGTTCTTTTACCGTGTTCCGCGTCGTTCTCGATTATTTCCTTTCGTTTTACTCGAAAAGTGTTTTTGAAACAAAAAATTATCTTTTACCAGCATCTACATGGATTACAGCTTCAACTTTTGATGTTCAACATAAAAGTTATAAGTTTTTGGTCAAAAAGTTTGTAGCAGGTTTTTTAACACATAAAATAAAATTTTTTGAATTTTCTATCCATTTTTTAACCAAAAATATAAAAATTAGAGTAACAACTAAAATAAAATAATAATCATGTCTGCCCCCTTAATTAGCTTAATTTTTTATATTTAGAATTTTTCTTAAAACTAAAAAAAACCTCGATTCCAATTCCCGTTCAAATTGTACTACGTACCCTAAGGGAAAGCTGCCAGGCAAACTTCCTCTCATGTTAATTTGACCACAATTAGGGTGTAAAAGAAAAGATACTCAAGTTCCCATAGAGATGGAGGGAATGTGAGGTTGATGACCAGATGCATCGCCCCATCTGTTTATGACATCAAAAAGCCATTATCTATTATCAAGGTAGTTATAATAGTGTATTATTGGTGAGTATAGTCATAAAGAATAGGCACATCACATTGAAACCCACATGTACAACAGAATTTCAAGAAAACTTTTTTTCTCAGTATGTAAACATACAAGGTAAAAAACCGTGCGCAAATGTACAGTAAGCCTTGATATAACACTTCAGTACATTTATTTTTATCACAACGACAAAGCGGTGATTTCAACAACAAAATATTTTATTTTAGCCCAAAACATCGATATTAAATAACAATTTGCTTTACACGTTGCTACGAAATCTTTGTACAGGAACGGTACCGGTGGCCGGCGTGAGTTTAAGCTCGCGGATCGGCTTGGTCAAATGTTCGGTGATGATAACAATACGATGGGTATCGAAGGTTCGGTCCAACGTGATTCTTTTTGTGACCTGTTTCGAGTTGACCTCATCTTCGCTGAACGGCAGAGAGTTCAAGTCGGCCGACACTTTGACTATTTCGACTAGGTCTGCCTGTAAAACAGCGTTGTAAACAATCTTATGCTAACGTTATAACAAAACATAAAAATAAATCAAATATAGTCTAAACTATAATGTTACGCATTGAGTTTAGCAAAACTTATCACCTTAGAAATATAATACACACAAAAAATCCTCTAAGTTACTTGATATTAACTTACATTGTAGGACATGAGAAAAATCTTCAACTCGAAAAACAACTTCAAGGTCGTGCAACCACACAACTCTTGGAAAACTCGAGCACATAAATCAGGAAACTTGACCAACTTGTCGCTCTAAAAAACAAGAGGTAACTATCAAATAATAGGTACCTCTACAATACTATTTCAAAAACCAAAAAACCATCCTTAAAAATACTAAAAAGAAGAAATTTGACAATAAATTGACATACCAGTTCGCCAAACATGACTTTCACACATTCGAACTCCAGACTCTGCAGATTTGGAAAGATCCTGAAGATCATGGTCATCGCGGCCATCAATTGACCTTCGGAGACGGGATGAGTATTTACAAATTTTAACTTTTGCACCAACGGGTTGTAGGTATGAAGACGACCATGAGAGATAACCTAAAAACAAGCCTTTTTTAATATACAAAAAAGTAATAGACAACACAAACACCATGATTCATTCTTAAAAAGCAAAATAATATAATATTAGCAACCATAAAGCCGAAATAAACTTACACTCAAGACTGGAGATGCATTGACAACAAGAGAAGTAGTTCGGAAGCTGAACAAATCATTCAAATCTGAAAATAGTTAATTACCAAAAACGTAAAAACTTTTTCAAGATATTAAACAATAAAAACTATCAATAATCTACTTCTAAAATATAATCTAACTCACCATCCGCCCAAGAGACGTTTGTAACTCTCAATTCTATCAACTTCAACGTTTTGATCGCCGGATTCTTCAATAACAATGCTGAGCAATCCAAGGACTTTAAAGTTTTGTCAAAACTGTGAATAAGTTCAATACCCAGATGACTGGCGGCTGGCATCAACGGAATTGACAAGATTTCAATGTCTAAAACAATATAAATCAAAAATATTATTCCCTACATTAGAAAAAACAAAAAAACTTCGCAAATGAATACCTATAACAATATAAAGACCAAAATCTTACCTTCCAACATGTATGACATTTCTTCCAGATTACTCAAATCCTCTTTATCAACACCTTCAACAACAAGACGACCGACTCGAGATGGAAGAAAGCCAATCTCGTAGATAACACCACAATTTAGTGTCCACATCAAAACATCGTCAAAGTAGGCATTGTAGCAGAAGCCTCTGGTCACGATCGCCATTTTGTGTCCATCCGACTTGACGGTGTTCTTGAACTTTTCATTTATAAGCTGAAAACATTATATATTACTCAAACTTTCCTTAAACTTTTTCCAAAAATGAATTTACAAACAATAAATAGGTAACAATGTTAATATAGATAAAAAAGTTCAAAAACAAAGTTAAAATCAATCATAAAACTTTTAAATAAACCTACAGCAATTCGAAATGGATACTTGTCGTTCAAATGGCGCGACTTGAAGAAAGAATTCGAGAATTCTTGTCGCTTCCGTCGACTCATGGCTTCAAAGTGTTGGACGAAGAATTTCAAAGCATTTCTGGCCAATTGCTTCAGTACCGGCGAATAGAAACCACGGTCCTGTAAACGATGCACCTTCTTATTACCCATTTTTACACAAAATCAGCCGAAAAACGACCGAACCACACCGAAGTAACAGCAAATATGAACTGATTTCTCAAAATTATGTTAGGTCACAAAATTCAAATTTCTTCACATTTTTCAGCAACAAGACATAAAAATTCGTAAATTTCATGAACTTATACATTTCTACAACAAATAAACAAACTTACACTTTCCGAATGAACCAGTCGAAACAGTTTGCGACCAGGATGGCCAAGTTCAGTTGGATGGAAGGAAATCGCTTCACTAAGAGCGTCTGCGACCGTTAACGATCGAGGCGAGATAGAGTTGGACGATGGAGATGAACACAACATCGTTCAGTGGGCGACGACAACCTGCGCGATCGCAGAGTCCAAAGATTTTCTTTATTTTTTATGGCGAAATGTTTCTTTTCGCAGCTTTCGTGCCGGGAGTCAAAGAGAAAAAGAATGTCGCGCCAAAATGGTTTTCAAGATCGATTTTTGCTTTTTTATCTTTAACAGTTATTTTGTGATAACGTTTTACAGAACTATGATTTTTATTTTACAAATTGAAATTTTTAAAATAATTTAAAATGCAGATTTGCATTCTTTATTTCATTTTAAATGATTTTTAAAAGGTTTTGGATAGTCTAATATAACGGATCAAGAATTCAACACCGACAATACTATAAAGAGTTCATTTATTCGACAATCAATCGAATTTGCAACCAGGCTTGGCCTTTCTGCACAAGACTTTGGTCGAATGGACAGCACTTCCAACGATGGCGACTTCAGCGCCTCCGTAGCCGAAGCAGGCTCTCTCGTTCTTGATGTCGACCTTGCCGAGAATCTCCTTGCCTTGATGTTGGATCACACCCGGACTGATGTCGCCTTTGTAGAAGTTGATGTGGACTGGGTGCCATTCCTTCTCACCAAACTTGGCGGCTTCTGGGAATGGTCGCCAGCCGTAGTCGAAACCTCGGACGTGCTCGGGCATCTCGAACAGGACCTGGAAGATGATAAGTTAAATTTAAGGTTTATTTTAGCGTTTACTCAAGTTAAAAATCTAATCAACCATCTTGGACGGAAAAAATTGATTGAAAACCTACTTGAAGAGAACCAATGTTGGTCTTGTACTCGTGTCCTCCCCATGAGAAGTTGGCGGCAATCTTGCCCTTGTCGTTCCAAACACGACCCATGACAGGCTGAAATGGAAATAATAAAAAAACCAAAATAACTAAACAAATTATTGATGAAACAGCCTGATTGAAAAATGATACAACCAAGTTTTACTTTATGGTAATTTCAAATCTTATTGACTCACCTCTCCTTGTTGATACCACAGAGCAATGTATTGGTCTGGGCTTTCTCCAGGAAGAGTATCCAACGACTTGTTCAGGGCTCTGACACACTTGGCTGGAGGGAATGGATCGCCGGCACGGAAATCGGCCCATTCGTTCAACATGACACGAACGACCGGTCGAGTTCCCTTGGGGCAAGCAGCGCAGTCACAAGTTGGTGGGCCTCCCTTCAACTCGCGGATGATCATCATCATGTTGGAGAGATCGTTGCCCTTCTTGGTCTCGTTGATCTTGTCGTGGGAGAAGTTGGCAATCTCGGTGGTGTTGTCGACGTACCCGAGGAGGGCGCCTTCCTTACGGTCGGCCCACAATAGAGGGAACGATGCACCACATCTGACCGGCTCGTAGTTGGCGGTTTGGGCGAACTTGTCCACTCTTTCGCTGTACTTGATCCAGTTGTACCAGTAGCCGAGTTCGACGTGGTTACCCTTGTATTGGAGTACTTGGATTTGGCCACCCAGGTCACGAGCACCGGTCAACTCGACCTTGGAGAAGGGGAACGAACATTCGACGACTCCACCGTTGTTCCAGGCACGACCGTGGATGGGCTGAAACGGCAAATTTTACGTGTTTTCAAAATGAGACTAGTTTCATCTATTTTTTCAACGATTTAGGTATTAAAAACATGTTATGCTCTATACGTTTAAAAAAACTTATAAAAATCCATAAAATGAGTATTTTCAAAAATACCATACCTTTCCGTGCTTGTACCACAGCGCGACGTACATGTTTTGTTGGCCGAGTACCTTGACTGGATTGTCGGGGAAAGGATCTCCAATCTTCACCCATGCCCAACTATCTTCTTGAGGTGGGGTCTTGTTCGACATGGCTTCACAGGTCGACCGTCCGGAACGAGAAATCGACCACGAAATGACGTTTTTCAGATTTTCGTGGTTTTGCGTGTTCGAACGTTCGCGATTTGGAGTTATGCAAATTTTCTGCATCGAAATTTTGATTTTTTTTTAATTTAAAAAAAATTGTTTAATTTGTAAAATAAGAGTTGATATTCATTGTAACATTGGGTAGCTTTTTCTTATATTTGAGCATAACTAACGTTCTCAAAGCCTTTATAACAACATTTGTCCATGTTTGTTGTTTTATCGCTCTTCCGAGCTCGTTCAGAACAACAAGTGATCTCTAATTTCTCTAAAATTTCAATTTCTCAATCTTCGAGCGTAAATTCGGCCCATTAGAGCGGCCGAAAAAACAACAAAAAAGCACATGGCCTGAGGCAATTGTGGCAAAACAGGACTGTACTTTTCTGTTTGATAATACGATTATATTTCGAGTATTACTTCTGTCTGTTTTTCTTGTTTTTGTGTCATTTGCGGAGATATTTCGAAAATACGGGGTTTTGTACCTGCTTAGAGGTAATTGTTACATTCAGTCTAGTATCAGGAGTGTATGTTTCTATGTTTATTTATAGTTGTTTTGGAGAGAAAGAACTATAATATTACTCCTTTTCTCATTAGCCTTCCCCTCGAGCTGTTTTTTATTAATTCTGAGATTTTATCTTGTAATTTGAGGAATTTGTGACATTAAAAGGGCGACAAGATACGATCATCTTCATGTTTATTCAACGTTTAAACAGTTCACTTTGAATTGTAATTTTTGTGATTTTTAAAAACTGGAGACAGCTGGTTACAAATTCGCAACTACTTTTTTTACTATGCTGTGTGTCTTGAGTCGTTGCCATTAGTTTTACTGTAAACAGGTTGTTATAGACATCTACGTATTGTAAGAGTATTAGACGTATTTAAATTTATATATTAAGATTTATATTACAGTACTGTGTACTATAATAAGGTAACCACACTAATTTAAGTCATAGGATTTTCAGTTTTATTGTGCTATTGTATAATTCATAATAACATATAGTTGATCAAGCTTATGACAGCTTAAAAATATTGTTGTCTACTCAATACTGGTCTATTTCTAAACTTTAGCAGAAGGTTGTTGATAAGGATATTATCAGTTTTTACTCGAATAACTTGAGAAAGCTTTGATTTCTTGTTTGTTTTGGCTACCATCTACAATTACCTGGGGTTAAACTTGTATTGGATCAATTGAAATGGAGGGTAATGTAAGTCTTTTTGGTTTTATCGCTGACTTAACCTTTCTAAGGCAATTTTAATGTAGGGGACTTGGTTTTTATATATATTTTTTATGAAGTAGCTGAGGCTTTATTAAGATGTTTTTTTAATTTAAAGTTTTTATAAAACATTAATATAAAAAAGTATTAGTGGTATGATAAAACCGTATAAATGTATTCTTCAGCTGCTCAAATCAGTACTGGTGATACTTGTAATATCAATAGCATGGACTACGGTAGCTCAGTTTGGCAAGCAGTCTTTCGTTTTACCTCCAGAGGAGTTCTTTGCTCCATTTTTCATAATTTACTTGATGCATTTGAGTGGAGCTTTAGTATATCCAATATATTTGTTCTTGAGGATGTGTTTATGCGACAGAAATATTGTCAAACATCTCAAAGAGGCTACTGACATCTACAAGGTGGAAAAGGTGAGTTAACTTTAATATTCTCTTACGTTTTGTTAAAACCGCAGTGTTAATTCATGATTTCATTATCCTAAAGCTACATGTTGTTCCAGACAGACGTCTTTTTCTCTTCGAAAATTATCAAAAACGTCGTGTACATGGCATTGCCTATGATGATGTTAACCTTCATACTTCAATATGCTTATGCTCAATCGTTACGGTATATTACGGCTGCGGTTGCCGCTTCTGTTATGAGTACGAACGCTGCTTTGGTTTGTATATTAGGATGGGTTTTCTTGAAGGAAAAGGTGTCGGTTGTTAAGGTAGGTACGCTTTGTAGCTTTAAATACTTTCTGATATTATATTATACTAACGAATATGTAAAAAAAAGTAAGATGTACTGTTGTTATAGACATTGGGAGTAATCTTCGCTGTGCTTGGAGTGATAGTAATGTCTACGAACGAATCTACAGAGGCTACAGATGACAATATGGGTATTCTCGGAGTGTTTTTGGTCGTTTTGTCGGCTGTAGCTGCTGCTGTTTACAATGTAAGTTATCATGATATGTAAGCAACGTGTTTTATTTTGATAAATCTCACCATTGTTTAGATTTGCGACATATCAATTTTAAAAAAGGTACTTTAAAATGGAAATTTAAGAGGTATTATAATACTATATTTACTCGAATTTAGGTAACATTCAAACTCATATACGGCCATCCATCAGTAAATCAGGTTGCCTTTTACACGTTTGTTATTGCTACACTCAACTTTATTATCAATTCGATACCTTTGTACCTTCTTATAACGTTCGACTATGATCATATTGTATGGGAGAAAGTACCATGGCTGCCAATTGCTGCCTATGTTGTATCAAGCGTGGGTAAGTTTATTTTTATGACAATCTTTGATACATGGGCTGGTAAGGAAAGTTTGGGTAGAAGATGTGTGTGGTTTATTTGGTGAGGGCAGGGGCATATGAGGGTGGGTGGGTGGTTGCAGACAGTGAATAAGGTATTTTTATATGACAAACATTATACCTCGTTCTTTTTTAGTGTCTTATTGTTATATAAATCTTTCAGTTTTTCAATTCTTGGTTAACATTGGAATATCATTGTTGAACCCGCTGGTGGTATCTATTGGAGTGTTATGTGCGTTACCAATGATATCAGGTAAGGGACTCTTTAACAAAACATTTTATCTTTATAGGCTTTTGCTTAAAATTTTTAAAAATATTGTTTGAATGATCGAAAATGAATATTAGATTATTGAAGCTTTATAAAGCTAGGTTAGTATACAGGACCAGAAATAGCATAAAATACCATTCTCTATCAAAACCGCTGTGTTAGACTAGTCAAATCTGAAAACACGATTTTAGCATTTGATATCGTTGTAAGAAACGAGCCCACTTGCTGGAACTTTTACATTGGCGTGGTGTTGTTTATGATGGCATTCGTATTTAGCGTGTTTCCTTTGGATTTATTGTTCAAAAAGAAAGAAACGCCAAATCAGCCTGAAGCAGTTGCTCTTAATCAAGATATTAAAGAGTAATATGTGGGTACATGGTAATGCAACGTGTAAAAACTGTTAGTTTACAGAATTTAGAATGTAAATATAGATTATTTTATATTATCTTTGTGGTATCATGTATGTTCATGATATGATGTTGTTTCATGTTGAAAAAGCTGTCGTTTGTGGTGTAATATTAAATGAACCATCAGTTATTTTTGAATTAATTTTTCGCGGTTTCTCCAATGTTTTTGAATAAATTTTAACAATTTATACAGTTAAATGAGGAACATTATTTACAAACAAATTTAAATTAATTTTCACACAATTATCCGTCAAAGCCATTTGGTACAGTCAAACCTCTAATACTAAAGAGGTTTTGCTGTAATACCAAAATATCACGCCGCATCGGCACTATCGTACTGTAAGCAAGTCGGTTGCCATTGCTGAACGTCTTCCACCCATGTTTTGTAATAATCCTCAATAAGATCTTTCTTTTTTACCATTCTGTGTCTATACTTCTTGACTACCTTGTTCTTGCGCTGAGTATTTACCTGCAGTTTGAGCTGTATCCCATGCTTGAGCGCTATTAAAAGATGACGCTTAGAGCAACATAAGCCTGTCGAACACCGAAATTTTTTGGAAACAAATTTATCTGAAAGTGAGAGGGATATTGTTGGTTTAAAGATGTACAAAGCTTGTCCAAAAAGTGTCTCACACACTTACTTTGACTCCAATCTACGTATGTGTATTGTTTTAGTGGGGTATAGTAGTTTGAGTAATAAATATTACCAGCCGGATAAACAGCGTTATTAAACTGGCATAGGCTACTACAACTAACCGTAGGTGTTAGTGGTAGTTCCCAGCACTTTTTACTTATCAGTCATTCCACTAAAGAATTTGACAATTGCACGGTGCAGTCCCTGGGAAAATCGCGCCCTTTTTTATCCCACTGCACCGTGCAGTTTCCCCCGCGATCACTTGCAACCCCAAACGATGAAAGAAAGAATGCACAGTGCAAGCACCCAATTGTCGCACTAGTCGGTTGTCGCAGGAGTCAGGGGACTTGCGACAGTCAAAAAAATTTTGTCGCAAACCTTCCATTGAACACAGTGGTGGCTTGAGCGTTGCGACACGCTGTCGCATCGCCCTTTGAATTACGACGCGACAGTTTGTCGCAAGCTTTGCACCCTGCGACACTGCGATTCCCATTGGGAAGTCGCAAGATGCAAGCGAATGTCGCACGACTCGCTAAATGTCGTGCGACGTCCCTCAATTCTCGGCGCGACAGCGATTCCTCCAAATTGGGGTTTGCGATTTTGTCAAATTCTTTAGTGGAAAGACTGATACTATTACCCACCTTTTGTATGTAGAGTTGTACGCGATCACCTGAAAGTAAAGCGTTTTAGAACTAAATTTTGAATGTAGGGTACCCTTTGATCCGAAAGCAAAAATATTTAAAATTGAAATTAATTTAGAATATTATTTCGTTTACCGTGCCGGTTTCATTGTTAACAAACACTCTGTGTGCTATTTGGAGCCATCTACCACCTTTATCGTAATCAGTAATGTCGCATAGTAGATCCCCCGTTTCTAGGCTGTATATCACCGCATTAGGTCCATCTGAAAGTTAAATCTTTAGTTACACGTCTTCTAAATATGATTCACGGTATAAGGATCGGACGCGGATCAAAGAATGGAACAGTTAAGGTAGCTGTGGAATTTTTTTCAAAGTTATTATTACGTTCAACTGGAAATCAAACCCCTTATGCTGATCTGAATGAAGACGGATAGGCCTGGAAAAATGATAAGAAATCTCCTTAGACGAAACCCTTATCTCCTCTCCCTGTCGCAATACATTTTTGGTTGATCCATTCTCCCTACCTCAAAAAGACGTGGTCAAAACGAGAACTACCGTTTCTGTTTTCATAATTCTACGGTATTCACTCGAGAAATAATAGTCAGTACCTTTAATGAAAATACTATCACTTTCGGATAGTACAGTAGCTTCTTTCTTCCCAAACCTCATCGTGTATATCACTTTCTTGCGCATTGTATCTACGTCTATCACAATAACTTCTCCATGAAAATTCAGAAATGCCAGGTACTTTATACGGCAATTGACATTAAGATTGTTTAAAAGCGTGGCTTTTAACATCGTCTCTAACTTTATGCAAATGAGGATGCCCAACGTAGTATGTCGCATTACTTTCATAACATCGCTCATGCAGTCTTGGCTTCTTAATCTATCGTAGATCCTCCCAGAATCTACATCGAGTATGATGTTGTCGTCCTCACAGTAGATTATCACCTGGCTTCCTCGATTCAATATGTTGATGTGTAGGAAATCCGACGTCACTGGAACGAAGTGGAACCATGGTATGCCCGCAAGGCCTAAATTGCCTATTAGAACATAGCGGTTGGTGATTGGGAATGCGAAGATACCTGTAAAACAACAACGCACAAATAATCGGTCTAATGCAAGGTTAATGTCCGGAAGTATACGATTATTGGCTCTGAAAGTAAATACGATCCTTTTGAATTGAATTTTTAAAATACCACGGTCAAAAATTAGGTAGAGTTTGGTAGACTTACCTCGAGAACGCTTCACTCCAGCACTCGTTCTTCAGCCTGAAGATGATGTTCTTGTAGCACAAACTTTTAAAGTCCATGTTAACCAGTTTGTAGAACTGTCTACTTACCATGGTCAATGAGCATATATCTTCGACATAAGATGTATTGTCGATGACTTTTGACAAAATCTGAAAAATTTTGGCGTTTAAACTAAATACCACTTAATTCGACAGAGGAGTTAGAATCTGCTTTTAACTTGAAATATTATAATAAAACATACCATTTTAGGCAGCCGTGAGAAAAATGGCTTGATTTTTGCATTTTTAGCCATTGTTATGGACTTCGTTTTAAAAAAAAAATAACTGTTAGCGAATAACGGTGCTGAAAATACAAGAATTACGGTAATAAACCACGAATAACTGTCGTTTAAACGGCTAAACAAGAATAGTGGATACAAAACAAATAAATTAACAGCTAAATTGCAGTTAGCTCAATATTTACAATGTAAAATGTTTCTATATTTTCTATATTCTAAAATAAAAAACCTGCTTACTTTTGCTCATTCGCTTAAAACAATATAATTTTACTTCGCAGAACACAAGACGCATTTGCAGCGTCGCAAGAGGCTTTATATTACGGAAAATTAAAAAAAGCTTTAAAAGTGTATTTTTGTATTCAAAAATGCATGGAAATGAGATTTTCTATTTATTTTTTTAAATTAACTTTGTTTTATGTTTTTATTAATATAAAATAAATTACAATGAGGTCGAGTTTTGTTCTTTTTACGACAATATTAGGCTGATCAGGTTGGTATCTTCCAGATATAATCAGTAAAAGTGAACTGAATGTAGAATATTGCGATTCGAGTTTTCGGCGTCAAGGTTCAGTAGAACATCGTCGATTTGGTTGTCTAGGTTGTCGAGGCTTTCTAGCTGAAAATAGAAATGATAAGGTCTTTATAAGATTTTGGGTGACATCAAGTTATCTTTACTTTAGGCTGATCAACCAATCTTTTAGATATTTTGTTAAAAGTTAATAGAATAAACAAGAATCTGACATAACTAGTAGTAGCCCTGTGGTTAAAACCTACCTGTTGACAGAGCAATCGCACAAAGTAAGACCCAATAGAAGCTTCTTCTTGCGTGTCCCTAATATCTATGTTCAAGATGTGTACTACATTGCCGGATGTCGGTTTGCGAGTGTGGAAGAAGTCGATTATCTAAAACGAAATTCCTTATTAATGCCATAAATCAACCTATAGGTATATATTAAAAAATAATATTGCTTTAGACACCATTTGCATAAGTTTTCAAGTTGTTTGTGTCTTACCTGATCGTATACACGTTCTTCTAGACATAATATAACTTCAAACTCTTCTTTGCAATGCTGAAACTTTTGAGGTTTTTCCTTGACTCTGATGTTTCTCTTCAGCATCTGAAGTAACCCGTTGTGTGAATATCTGAAATGAATATTGACCGTAAGACATTAAATTTGTTCCTTATACGTACTTTTGGACCAAACTAACTTTTGTATTGAAAGCTTATAGATATTAACTTACAATGCCCTATCTTTGTTGACCAAGTCCTCCCGAATGTGAAGATAAGAGATCTTGTCAAACTCGTAAATGTTAGGTTTGTCAATTGATGGGCCTGGCAGTTTAACGTAGTTTCCCGACCCGTAAGATTTGATATTAAACCCGCTGTGTGCTAATAGATCGTGTACTTCCATCGACCGATTCATATTCGATGAACAAGACACGGCGAACTTTATACGACCGATTGAAGTTTTACTCGGTAATGGTCGTTGTCGCTTCGTACCATGACGACGGTGATCGTCGCGTGACATGTCTGAAAATGGGCGTATGTTAAAAATAGGTATTTATGTACCACTTTTTTTCGATTTTACGTTACTATCAATAAACTTCCATAAAAACCACTTTAAGGCCTCAAAACACCAATTAAAAGCACTTACTACATAAACATCGTTTAAAATACAAATCCCGTGCCTGGTTTACACAATCTTCCAACATGCAAGAGTAGTAAATAAGTGACATTTATTCAGTATAAAATTAACGTGAAAGATAAGATCCAGAATAACTGAAAGAATACAGATGATATAACAAGAAAACCCTCACAAAACAGCTCCTAAAACAATTGTCATGAAGTATTGTGACATAAAACAAACAGTTTAGAAAGGTAATAAATATAGTAATATGAACCGATTAGTTAACAGCTAACGAGTTGGGGCAGAGCTTCGACGCTGGTCGATAGTGGATCTTTGAAGGATGAAAAGTATGACAATTGGATGGCTAATACCTGAAAATATATTATGATAGTTCTACCATATTTTATGTTAATATTCTTTTATTTGCTTCTAAAGCTGGGCTTTCAAAACCTCAAGGTATAAATTTGTGTTTGTTTTTTCAATATAAAAACTTACTTGTAGAATAGGGAGATCTTTGAGAAGTTGAACCGTCTTTTCTCTTCTGCCAAACTTCAGGTTGTGACTCAGCAAAGCGTAGGTACGAATTCGATAAGGATCCGAGCCTTCTTTGCAATGTTCAAACTAAAACATGTTGTCATCAATCAAAACAATATAGTAAAAAATGTTAAAGAGCGTCATTACATATAAAAATATTACATTATATAAAACTTATCATCCTACAAAACATACTCTGAACCGATACTAAAACATACCGCCATTTTTTGGCATTTCAAAAGTCGAGTTGGAATCTTTGTGCCAGCTGAATACAAACCTATCAACATTGACAAATCATTTAGGCCGTTCTGTCGTGCTAGTTGGATTGCTCTTTTAAAATCACCGTAAAGTAGAGAGTAGTATACTGGAGCGTAAAGAGATGACGGTTGCTTATCCAGCTCCTTTAGCTTTTGATCCAATTTATGTGACAATTCATTTACCACCCATTTGACGAAGCCTGATCGTTGCTGGTAGGCTGAAAAATCATAAATTAGCTAGGTGACCTTTTTTTGAATATACTATAAGTATCACAATTACAGAAAAGCCCTAGTTAAATATAACATTTAGAAGCAAACATGTTCATGCTAATAACTTACAAAACCGAATATCTTCTGGATTCAGACACATGGCCTCGCAGAATCCGTTCATTTTAGTAGCAATTTCCTCCAATGAAAAGTTGAGCCTGAGTTCTTTGAACAAATAATCATCTACCAGTCGAATCAAGTCTGAAGGCGGGTTCATCTTCAACATATCAGTGTTGACCAACTTGTCAAACAGCTCTGGTTTGCTGATTTTGTCCAGGAACAGCCTCATGTAGCTCTGAAACAAAATTTTCAAAATTTAAAAGATAAACTTAAAAATATTGCAAAGAGGCTTGAAACATTAAAGAAGTCAAAACTCAGTTGAACAATAAAATACGCACTTCAATAGTCGGTACCAATTTGATTGTCTCAATCTTGACACAAGACGATCGTGGTCTTGGGTCTTTTAAAACTGTCACATTGATGTCATCTGATTTTGAATTCATAAACCCAATTCTACGAAAACTAATTGGGTTCAGAGGACCAAACAGGCTTTCAATGTTTAGTTCCCTAAAGATAGTATGGGTAAGGTTAAAGTTGGTAATCTTGTTCGTTTTCTGACACACTACGGGATATTCCTTCTTTGGTTCTTCGTCCTCGTCAAGCAGATCCATGTTCTCCAACCTTTAAAAATTTTGATTATTTGACTTTAATAACTTTTTTAATCTAATCTCTGTAGTCATAACAAATCAATCCGATTTTAAATCCAATTTTTCAAAAACTCACTCAAATTCCATAATATCGTCTGTGAATCGCATTCTTTTCCTGTCGACGGCATCTGGAGATTCAGCTGAAACAATTTACATTAAACAAACCGAAACCACCAATCACAGAATAGATCGTTTACTTCAAAAACCCAAAAATGACAAACACAACAACGCATAATGTGCTCAAACAATATGTGGATGAGTTAAACAATACTTTGCCTCATTCAAAACGCTACTCACAGATAAACAGTCGTTTCGGGTCGATCATCGGAGCTCTCATCGACTCGTCAAAGTTCAGAAACTTTTCTCTCAACTGCAAAGCTGAGGACTTGGGTTCTGCCTCCAGAAGTTCGTCGATGTCTTCCATTTGAACGATATTCTCTGTCTGAACTTCAACTTGCTTCTGTTTCAAAGGTGCTGGTTTAGTGACAACTGTTTCCTCGTCTTCATCATCGTCGTAGAAACCGTACTTCGAAAAGTGTTTCACTTTGAACGACCAGAACCCACCTTCCGGATCGTAATCGATGAAAGAACATCCCATTTTTAGACATTTCTTTTCTAACAAAGAACTGAACCGTTTTACTTCTGGGTGATTTGGGTCCTGAAAACACCAGTTTAATGAAAAACATAATAGCTCAAAAACACTATTTCGCATAAGCAATTTAAAAACCTTCTTCCTAACATACAAACCTACCGTAATGTACTCCTTGGAAGTCCTGTCAATTGGAAACACTTTCTCCAAACAGATAATCGCTGGTCGATTCAACTCACTGCCAACTGGCGGCTTGTCCTTATCATCTGGATATACAACAACCTCTTTACGATGAAATTGTATCACCTTGGCCAAGTCAACATCGCTGAAACCAAACTTGCCTTCCCACAAAACACTACCGTAACCAACTCTTCCAACTTTGAATGATTCTGGAATGACGACTTTGTTGTTTTCTACAAATTGTGCCAGTTCTTCTAGTGGTGGCTCGGTGTAAATACTTCTACTCGAGATTCTGATACCACAAGGTCCTTCTCGTAGGATTCTGTTCAGGCTATTTTCATCGGCTTCGCTTAAAACTGATCTGACGGACAAATCATGGCCATTAGAATAAGTTGAGACATTCGCTTGATCGTTGGAGAAGTGAACGGCCTTTGGTGAATGTTGTTTTTCTGTTGATCCGGCCAGAATTGAATTGTTCTTTGTTGAGCTGAACACACTAAAACAACAAATTATAAATCCAAAATATAAATACTAAAAATTAAAAAATTGCAATATCTAAAGAGTGGCAATTATAAAAAACGGATCGTTAAAAATTAAACTCACGATTCCTCTTTTCTGACTCCATCTCCTCTGCCGTCATTGTTAGGACTTTCAATGATGGAAGCATCTGGAATCAGACTATGATTCAGGATCGACTTCCGCGACAAAACAGATTCGTCCAGCTTTGATGCATCCTTCTTAAAAATAGATGTGTCAAGCTTTTTAGGATCGTTCCTCGACTTTGATGAGTTCATAACATTAGGAATGAACAAGCCAGTTTTCAGTTCCGTGAAAGATTGAGTCTTGTTGTTCATAGACCTGCTCATAAATCCATTAGAATCATTGAGCTCCGAATTTTGACTCTCGTTTTTGCTATCATCCAGGCCGTTCTTTTGCACCAATGGCTTGTAAGAGAACACTTTAGGCTTGTTCGCTGTCAAAACACATTGATTAAACTTTCGTAACCCATCGTCCGGCTTTGATTTGTCTTTGGAAAGGTCGGCAGCTTTAGAGGCAGTGTATGTGTTCAGCAGTCGTTCTCTGTAAAGTATGATATTAATAAAATAAGTTGGTGATGCTTATAAATAATGCAAAAATAACAATCAAAAACTCACTTTTCCAATTTATTCTTGATCGCTTCTGTAGCCTGTTCGGACGTAGACTTTACACTAATCGTTCTAAATAACTCATCCGTTCCGTATGGATACATTGACATCTGTGATTCCAAAATCGACTGTTGTAAAATTTGTTCAGTATCTCTTGTAATCAACAATGGCTGTTGAGGAACTTGAAGAACCGATTGTTGAGGTTGTGCAACTTGAGCTGCTCCTAAAACAACAAAAATATATTAATTAAAACGCATCTTTCAATTCCGGATTAAAAAAGTTCAATTCAATGCCAAACATCATACCTCCTCCTAACGTGAAACCAGTAGTTTGTTGCTGTGGTTGAGCAGTTGCCCCAAACAGTCCTATCCCAGCTGGTTTGGCTCCAAAAGCTGATGTACCACCGAAAGCCGGCTGTTGTGTAGCGGTATTCCCAAACAAAGACGTTCCAGTACTAGCAGTATTACCAAACAATGAAGTTGTACCCGTGTTTTGTTGCTGTCCTCCAAAAAGTGAACCAGTAGTACCAGTATTTTGTTGAGCTGGTGCACCAAAAAGAGAAGTACCAGCAGCTGGCTGAGCGGCTGTGTTTCCAAATATAGATGTTGTTCCTGGCTGAGACGTCGCCGTTGAACCAAAGAGAGAAGTTCCTTGAGCAGGTTGAGTGCTAGTTGAGCCGAATATACTGCCAGAAGGTTGAGAAGTTGTCGCACCAAATAAAGGCTTGGCTTGCGTTTGCCCAAACAACGACGTCGTTCCAGTATTGGTTTGGCCAAAAGTTGACCCAAAACCAGTGGATGTTGTCTATAACTTTGCTCATAGAGTTAACAAAAAATTTAAAAAAAAAACTGTTTCTCAGTTGAACATGTAACATTTACTTAAACTTACAGGTTTAGCAGCACCAAATCCAAAGCCTGATTGTTGTGTTGTAGCAGTAGTGTTAGCTGAGCCAAACAAAGAATTGGTTGGTTGTTGCCCAAACTAAAAAATTTCATTAAAAAACTAGTAGAATTCAAAATGAATTGTTTTTGTAACATAAAATAATTAACAAAAAAAATATTTAGAAAAGACCTACCGCTGGTTTGTTCCCAAACAACGAAGTTCCCGTGTTAGTATTAGTCGATGCACCAAAAGGACTGGCAGTGTTAGTTGAGCCAAACAAACCTCCAGCAGGTTTATTTTGTGTGCTTCCAAACAGACTACCGCCTGTCGAAGGTTGGTTAAAAGATGGAGTTGTAGCGGCACCACCAAATCCAGTAGCAGGTTTATTCCCAAACAACGAAGATCCTGTAGAAGATACCCCCATAGTACTGCCAAAACCTGTTGATGTCGATCCGGCCGCTGGTTGTTTCCTATTAGCTTGATAATCTTCCACACGAATTTCCTAAGCAAAAAAATAGCCATGAGTATGTTTAATATTGTATAATAAAATTCTAAAATTTAAAAATAACAACAAGAAGCTTACCTCTAAACATTTACTTTCATATGGCTTCATGGCAGAGAGACACATGAGCTTGGTCTGAATCGTCTGTGTTATTCCGTTCCTCATCATGGTGTCCGAGCCCTTGACGGGCTCAAACTTTACAGTTGAACCAGTAGGTGCAGAACTAAGGCTCGAACCAAACATGATTCTACCTGAAACCCAAAAAAATGAAAAAATGTGAAAAAAATCTTCAAAAAATAGTAAAAAACATTTTAATAAAGTAAAATTGTAGCTAATTTCACACAATTTTAATAATCCTAATGCCTTAAGTAATCTGTAAATATAAAATTGTACAATTTGTAAAAAAATAAATGTCGAAACTAACAAAACGCTAAAACGCGGGCTCTGTTCTCGCTAGGTCACGGAACGAAAATATTTTCTTGGCGTGCCGATATAATTAAAAAGCGCGCTTTGTTTTTCAGGTAGCTGAATCCACATTAAACATTTCATATTCTAAACTTACATACTTAATTCTTTATGGCCATAGAGGATATTAAAAGAGAAAAGTGCTAAACGCGTTACATTTTTGTCGCTAGTTTGTGTTTAATCCATGGTTTTTTTGTTATTTCGCAAGAAAAAAAGATTTATTAACTTTAAGGTTATATTTTTATGTTGTACTTTTAGAACAATGCCACATGCGTACTATCAACGAGAGTTTCTGGAAAGTCGATTGTTGGTTGTTGGAGCTGGTGGTATTGGATGTGAATTGTTGAAAAACTTGGTGATTGCTGGCTTTGTTAATATCGAAGTGGCAAGTTTTTTATTTGTTTTTTTTTCATTTTTTAGGTAATGGAGTATAGGTTTTTTTAGATTATTTTTTCTGAATTGTTAATTTTAAGGACAACTTTTTAATGCAATATTGTTTTAGATTGATTTGGACACTATTGATGTCTCCAATCTTAACAGACAGTTCTTGTTTCGAAAAGAACATGTTGGTAAACCTAAAGCGCAAGTTGCCGCTGAAGCTGTAAAGAAGATGCGACCTGAAATTAACATTGTTCACCATCATGACTCTATTTTTAGTCCTCGTTTCGACCGGGACTACTTTAAGAGCTTTAAAGTCGTTTTAAATGCTCTGGATAATGCTGGTAAGTTTTTAAGCCAAATTTTATGGGAAGTTTTTTTAAGTATGCCTTATATTTTTTCATTTTGTAAATTTAAAAATTTTAAGATTTACTTTATTTTCTTTTAGCTGCCCGAAGACATGTAAATCGTATTTGCATTACAACTGGTACACCTTTAATTGACGGTGGTACCGCTGGTTATCTAGGTCAGTGTCGAGTGATCCAAAGAGGAAAGACAGAATGCTACGATTGTGTTGATCATCCTCCACAAAGGACATTTGCTGGATGTACAATTCGAAACACGCCTTCTGAATTCATTCATTGTATTATGTGGTCTAAAGCGTTGTTTAGTCAACTGTATGGTGATGCTGATCCTGATGATGATGTAGCTCCGTATGAAGAAGAGGAAAGGAAAGAAGGAGAAGAAACAAAAACATCCCCTGATGATGCCAAAGGGGATTTGAGCAAAAGTCAAATGAATACGAGGGCTTTTGCAACCAAACACGATTACAACCCTAAACTTCTGTATGATAAGGTAGGCTTATGATTAATTTGACTTCTTAATATGATTTTTTAGATTAAAATTAATTGTTTACCTATTTAAAATTTTGATTTTTAGTTGTTTGTCCGTGACATTGAGTATCTTTTGCGGATGGAGAACTTGTGGAAGGATCGTCGCCCACCAGAGCCTTTTAGGATTGATGATATGAACGCAGTGCCAGAGGGATCAACTGAAAGAGAATGGAAAACTAACGAGATGTGGCCTATTGAAAAGTGGGTGCAAATCTTTGCCGAATCTTTGGAAAAGTTGACTCTGCGATTCAAAGAAGCTCAACAGACTAACAAAATACTGTCATGGGACAAGGTAGGTGTTTTATATTAGTAAATTTGGCTTTTTTTACTGTTTGAAGCTGTGCTTTAAAATGCCTTTTTTTCACAGACATTTATTTATATTTAGGACGATGAAGATGCTCTGAACTTTGTCGCAGCTTGCTCCAACATCAGATCTCATGTCTTTGGAATTAACGGAAAAAGCGTTTTTGATGTGAAATGTGAGTTTTTTCTATCTTTAATTGCAAAAACCACTTTTATTAATTTTTGTTATTTTTTATTAATTATTCTGTATTTTAGCGATGGCTGGTAACATCATTCCAGCAATTGCCACAACTAACGCTATTATCGCAGGAATGATGGTGGTCGAGACCTATAAAGTCCTAGGTGATCGTCCTGACACTATTCAATCAATGGTGAGTTTAAAACTGTATTTTTAGGTATTAAAGTGACTACTATCAGATCTAAACTGGGTATTTTCAGAGATAATTTACAATTGGTTATTTTGTATTTCAGACCTATCTACAAACAAAACCAAACTTCCGAGGCAAGATATTCGTTAATGAATGTTCAACTGGGCCTAACCCCAACTGTTATGTTTGTGCTGATCAACACGAGGCTTCGGTCAGAGTAAACGTGGAGAAGATGACGGTGAAGACATTTGTGAACTCGGTCATTACCCACGGTCTAGGTTTCTTGGAACCAGATGTCACAGACATGTTGTCTGGTAGGATTGTATACAGTAGCGAGGATGGTATGGTGAAATGTAAGTGTATTTCAGAAAGCTACGGTTTAATGAATATAGTTTATTTTACTACCATTAAAAACGTACCATATTTTAAACTTTAACTTTGTTAATATCATACTTCTGATTGTTTTAATACGATTAATGTAAAATATCACTTTAGCTATTGAGAACAGCACCTTGGAAAGTTTGAACGTGAAACATGGTGCTCAGCTGGACTGTGATGACTTTAGACAACACCTAAATATCAAAGTATTCATTGTACACGATCCGAATCAAGAAAGTGAAGAATACAAGATTGAAAACAACACCCCCTCTAGTGTGGTCGATGAAAACAAAATCGGGAAACATAAGGCTTCAGATGACGTCACGAAGGACCAAGGACAGCCAGTCGAGAAGCGGGCACGCATCGAAACGTAAACTTGAAATGATATTCATTATGAGTATGAAATGTTGTATCCATAATGACATTCTCGAGTATTATGTTAAAATTAATGTTGTAATAGTGAAAAATAATCATTTTATTACTCGTCACCCACTAATTATTCTGCTCTTATAATAATATCATTTTTGTTTTCATTTTGTTGGAAAATCTTTGTTAAAGAATAAAACTACGTTATCCTTTCTATGTCAAAATTAATAATGTGATATATTAAAGAGGTGGGGTTGTAAAATTTCAAAATGGCAAACATATTTAGAGTTTATTGTAATGCAATCGTGCCTATCAATAACAATAGATACCAATAACCTGTAAGTTTACGACGATCTGTGTATGACTAAGCAATACCGGGACCCGTATTAATAGAAGTGGCATGCATTAAGTACTAATTTAGCCTTGAAACTGAGTTTCTCGTCCGCATCCTGAAATTCAATAAATTTTATGTTTAAAATACTGCATTTTTTAATTCTATTCAAATTAAATTATTAACAATATACAATTTTATTAAATTTCTAAAGTAATTATAAGTTACCTTGAAACATACGGTGCGACTGTAGCCGGTTCTTTCCGCTTCTTAGGTATTTGTTTATCCCTTTCATTCTCCAGTTCTGTACTTTCTACTGTAACTGTATTCAAGTCCAACTCCCCTAATGGCTTGTAGCCTTCGTAGAACTTGAGAAAAGCGCATTCAAAGATGGGAGACGGATCAAACTTGCGTAGAAGATCTTGTTTCCTTTCACGTTCCTTTACCATAGCATCTATCGAACTTGGTAGTAAATCTGACCCAATCGAAGTAGATGTATTTGCAGAAGGTCCAGGTGTCGTGTCGTTGGCTTCTTCATCATATTCTGGTTCAAATATTTGCAAGTCTCCATCATCACTACCATCGTCAGCAGCTGTATTTCCGATTGATGGACACACACTTTGTTCAGCGATTGTCGGAGAGACATGAGAACTGTCCGTCACCGTGGTATCCTCTGCATCTTTCATTGCGATATCTTCCGTGTCATTCAATGTCGCGTCTTCTGTAACATTGAATGTGGTATCTTCTGTACTACTGATTGTGGTATGCTCTGTATCCTTCATCGTGACATCTTCTGTATCATTCATTGCGACGTCTTCTGTAACATTTATTGTCCTTGAATCTTCTCTATCCTTCATTGCAACATCTTCAGTATCCTTCGTTATGACATCTTGTGTATCATTCGTTGCAGAATATTTTTTAACGTTCCTTGTGACAGCTAAAATGAATATTATAAAAACACATTTTAGTAAAATATAACTTGCAAACTCAAAAATAATTTACCTCGAGACGTACAGTTTGACTTTAGCGGTTTCTTAGCGCGGATTCCAATCCTTGGCTTGTTGTTTGCAGTTCTCTTTCTCGAATTCCTTACTTGCACGTGTCCATCGTCACTATGATCGTCAGATGTATTTTCAATGGTTGGACACACATTTTTGTCATCAAAGACATGAGAAGTACCGTTCATTGCAAATTCTTCAGAAAAACGAGTTTCTACATGTTGTGTCGTGACACCATCCGAAAACATTCTCAATTTTTCTTTCAACTTTTCGTTCTCAACATTCATATTCTAAAACAACATCATTATTGTAGTTATATATCTAATTTCTGAACAAATATACTAGTTTCATCTTAAAGTTTAGAACTGCAGATGGTAAAAAAACAACTTACAGCTGCCAATTTCGCCATGTTGTAAATTTTCTTTTCCAATTCACCGTACCTAGTCTTCATCTCATTGAAAGCGCTTTTGTATTGATCCAATTTGCTCTGACTCTCTGTGATTCCTTCATTAGCCAACTTCTAAAAACCAAATGTAAGTAAAAAACTGAGAATAAAAAGCCATAATAATTTATAAAATTGGGAATTAGAAACAAAAAATAAAATAAAAAATAAACCAGAGTAAGAAAAAACCAACAGTAACATTGTTGATAACATACCTTAGCATTGACTGCTTCTGTCCTAGCGGCTTCAGCTTGATACCTGTAGTTAGATACCTTTTCTTCAGCTTGTTCTAATTGTTCTTTGTACACTAATTCTCGCTTCGTTAACTCGTTGTTCTTCTCTTTCATTTCCATCAAAGATAAGTGGCGCTCTTCGTACAATTTGCTTAGTACTGATAGCTCCTTAAAAGGATTTAATAATTTACACTTAAATAACCAAAAATTAAAGAAGATAAAGTAAAAACTGAATGACAACTTACCTCTTCAACATGCGCCAGACGAGACACCTTTTTAGCAATGTCAACCACAGCTTCATGTGCTTTATAAGCATTCTCCATCATTAAGCTACAATTATGGCAACCACCACCCATTATTTCTGCGTCATCAACGTCCCATGCATCTGAAAATCAATTTAAGTTATATTACTGCTCAAAATAAACTCACATAGAAACTATTCAACTTAAGCCAAATTTTAGGTAACAAATATTTATTCAAAAGAAAAATACATTTTAAAATATTTAAAGCAATAGTATAACCACAAAATAAATTGAAATAATCTAAAAATTAAAAAAGTGAACTAAAAACCGACTTACTCTCATCAATTCGAATCATTAGGCCTGCCTTTGAAGTTGAGGGTAACTGAGACAGATCAAGCGAGCTCGTTGTCGGAGTTTGTTCTAACTGAAATAAAATAAATTAACTTTGCGTATTCATTTGCCCCAAGTTTTGATAAAAAGTTTATCAAAACGGCACACATACCTGCGGCTCTATCGCGCATTCGAAGAAGTCAGCTTGCGTACTTGAACAAGGTTCGTCCTGAACATTTTTATCGACTTCTTCCTGAAATTGACACATTTTACACATTGATATCTACAAATCTCACCTGGGAATTAATAATCTTATCCTCATTATCAGTACATGCCATTTAGCATTGAAAACTGATATCTATAATTTCGAAAAAATGTAAAAAAAAATAAAACAATTTTACGTTTGGCGTAACGTTTTGGCTAGCCAAAGTTTCCGTTTTGAGACGCACGTTTTTAATTTTTTTTCGATGGAAAGTCGAATTTAAACCTTTTTTATTAAATTTAATTAAAGTTATTTTATGTTACCAAACTCAAGTCGAAATTAATTTTCAAATTTTCTAGATTGAGGCCAAGTTTGGACAAGCTTTGTTGTCTTTGTAAGATACCCAGTTATGTTAAGATGCTCTTTCTTAGTAAATCACCAAAATATGCAATTTTTTTCTATTTTTATTTATAACATAACTCTAACAATGATAAAATAACAATAAGTATAACAAACATTAACAATGATATAAAAGAGGTACTTTAATTATTATAACCGTAGTATACTGTAATTATTATAACCGTAGTATGAACGTGAGGTATACTATAAAGTCTTAGCGTAGTAAAACCTTATTGAGCTTGTTTTTCTTTCCACTCTGAGATCCGTGTCCTGAGGGTTTCTAGTTTGAAGTGTAACATAAGGTGTTCCTTGCGACATTTGTAGAAGTCGGCGTCTGACTCGTACCTTTCGTGAAGTTCGTGGAGCTTTTGGCCTGTCTAAAAGGAATAAACTTATAGAATAATAACATACACATATTTAGATGTTTTATTTTAAAAAGGATAATTTGTTAAAATAGAACAAAATCTGTTAAATTGGTACAATACCTACCTCAATCTTATCATCCAGTTCGGCAGATTCGTATCTCTTCTTCAGTTCAGCGAATTCCTGATACACTTTGGCTAACCTTTCATTGGATTTGATGTAAGAAGGGTACGCACTCTAAAACAATAACAAACAGTAGTTTTGTCATAAACATCACATTGTTTAACTTTTAAATCGATTGCTTTAAAACACAAATTTCTAATTCAAGAAATCACTATAAAACTTTGAAATACATACTTAAAAAAGAACGAAAGTAACATAAAAGAAACTAACCTCAAACAATTGTGTGTATCGCGCACACTTCTTGGCGTCTACAACTTCTGGGAAAGCTGCGAGCCAATTAGTTGTGCATGTTATTTCTGATGTCAAAGCACCAGGCTTCGGCTTAGAGTTTGAATTCACGGTCTTTGGCTCGGCTTCTGGAGTTACAACCTTCGTCTTGGCGTCAGAATCGACCTTCTTTTCTTTATTAACTGACTTCAGCACGTTTTGAGTTGAGTTTACAACATTCTGAACCTTTGAATTACTATGGCTTCCAACTTCACTCCTCGGCGTTGTCGCGTTCTGCTTTGACTGAACGACACAATTTACTGACTTCTGAGAAACTTCTGAATTCACCACCTTCTGTTTAGGTTGTGCAACTGTTCTCAGAACGTTGTGATCAACATTCCGGCTTGCAACTTTCCTTCTTGTCGCCGTCCGAGCAGGATGTCTTGCTTTCTTAGGTGCTGGTCCCATTGGCATCGCAAAAACATTGTCATTACCTGCATTTGCCGCCCTTTTCCTGCTGTTTGATGTTGTTTTTGTATCAGTGGTTTTGGTTTGCTTTTGAGATTGCAACTCTACCAATTTGACTACTTTTTGTCGCGTGTCGGCGAAAGATTTGTCTGTAGCGTTAACAACCAGCTTTGTCTTCAATGAGGAAACATTTTGGAATGAAGTGGCGTTTTCCTGGTTAACAGCATCAATATTTCCATTTAATCTTTGTTGGTTACAAGTAAACGTCGCTACAGAAGTGTCGCTGACGCCAACTTCAATTGTAATACCCTGCAAATAAAGATATTATGATGATTCAGCTTATTGTAAAGTGTTCTATATCAAAAAGACCATATAAACCGTTTACAGATACTTTCTTATAGGTATACTTACAACACAATAAGAAATCATGCTTTGCTGTTGAGAATTTGAACCTAAACGTTAAGAACACAAAGAAAAACTTACAGTTTTCGTTGACACAACTCTCACCGGCCATCCCATCTCCACAGCTCTCCCAATCGCTTGGTTACATTCATCTGTAAGTTTCAGTACAATAGATTTGCTTGAAGTTTGACTGTCGCTTCCAAATCTCCCAACCACAAGGGATTCTTGGCCAGATGCTGTGCTAACATTGCTACGCTTCATTCTTCTGACTATAAAATACGAAAATGAAGTCTTTTACAAACAAAATAATAGCAGAACGCGAAAATTGGGCGCGATACGCAGATTTCGAAAGAGTTTTTTTTTCAGACCAAAATTAAAGTTTTAAGGAAAAATAAAAAGAAATACAGCTTTTACAATTTTCTGCACAGATAGTGTAAATTTTGGCCACAAGTTGAAATTTTATGAAGAAATTCAGAAAAAAAGAAAATTATTTTTCAAAAATAGGGCGCGGCTTGGGAAACAGTTTTGGTAGTTCACACTACCTTTTGACTGCCAAAAAGGCTACAATCTGTAGGATTTACTGAAAGATATCACAGCTGTTAACATTTTTTTATAAAAAGTATTAAAGTTATCATTAAAAGCATTAACAGCCTACTTAATACTATATCTTAAGGCAGGACAATAACGAAAAATATTATAATTAACAAATTCAAGGAGAGAAAAAGCGATATCAACCGTCTCGCAAGGATGCGTATGTTCATACTGCTCATAAAAGCATGTTGACCTTGAAATTTAATAAATCTTATCAAATGTCGCAAAAGGAAAATTGAAAACTTAACATTTTTGAGAATTTTTCATTAAAATTTAACCGAATATTTATACTTACATTTTGAAGTATATACAAATTAAAAAAACTATATTTTAAAAAATCTTAAAAAAGACACTATTTCATTCCTGCATTGTGCAACGCTTATTCCTTCCTAGAAACTTCTTTGCACAGTGCATTAAACTTCTTTTCAAATCTTTTCCCATTGCACCGTGCAAACGTTTCATCAAAATAATCTCTGCACTGTGCAAAGCATTTTCTTTTGTAACGAACCCTTCTTGCACGGTGCAGTCTTTCCTTTGTCGTCTTATTTTGTTGTTGCACAGTGCAATCTCTTCCTTATCTTCCAAAATGTTGCTTCACAAAGCAGTCATTGCTTGTCGCTTTCCATATATCGCAAGCGCATCGCAGGTTTTGCACTGTGCGGTTTGGCATGAAGAAGCCTTGTTGTCGCTCTCAAAAATTCTTGGATCAACAGTGCGACAATTGGCGATTGATTCTTGCGATGACTTTGTCAACTGATTGGATGTCGCGGAACAGAAATCTTCAAAAGATTCTGCGACATTTGAGTCGGCGACCTTTTTGTCGCTGTCTTGAAAGACAAAACGGTCTGCGACAATCTGCGATGTCTTGTTGCGACGTTTTCCTGAACACATTTCCTGTCGCAAATCGAATTTCCTCGTTGCATCATGTGAATCTTTCAGGTCGTGCGACAAAAGCGACAGATTCGTGTTGAACAAGAAGAATCCGGTGCAAAGCTATGATAAGAGATTGAATGCACTGTGCAACTTTAATAATCTGCACAGTGCAAAGCTTTTTAAAGTTTTTTGCACTGTGCAAGGGAAATAAAGGCCAATTTAAAAAGTTTTTTTGCCCAAAATTGTAAAAAATAATGAAATGTTTTTAAAATGCGACAAATTACAGTATTTACAGTAAGCTTTATTATTCTTTACGATTCGAAAGTGTTCCAATTGGTAAGTTTTCGTTCAGGCAGTTGTAAATGAGCGTGTAGTCCACCTTGGTACTCTATTTCCATGCCTAAAGTAACATGTTGTGAATTAGACGAATAAATAATGGCACAAATTTTAAGTTTTTAGTTTTATTAGAAAATGGTACTACAACTAAAAAATGGTACCGCAAATAAATTATTACTAAAATCAAAAATGGTAAGACAATTTAAAATAGTACATCTAAAGTCAAATAGTACTACTATAAGATACGAAAAACACAGAATAGTACTAAAAAATAAGATAGTACTAAAATGTAAAATGATACTAAAAAGTAAAACAGTACCACAACGTTTGAATGGTACGAAAAAGCAAAGTGGTACTAACCTGGATAAGGACTAGTTTTTGAATAAGCGAAGAATATAAATATCGATATTATAAGTAGTACTACAACAACAAATGGTAGTTTTCTATTAGGGGCATGGTGCTGTATAGTACACTCGGCTTTTATGTACATGGGGAGCATCGTAGATTATTTTATACCACAGTTACTACAATAATACACAGACCACCATAACAAAGCTTTTACATCACTTTTTCACAGTAACTTGGGCTTTAGTGACAAAAATAAGGCTTTTGAGAAAAAAATCAGAGTTTAGCGACAAAAATGAGTTTTGGCGACAAAGCGAAGACTTTGCCGGATTTGCTGGTTGCACTAGTGCCAAAACCAATTCGAAATGAGTAGCGATATTTGAATAAACCGGAAATAAACTCAAATGGCTGGAAGCGCGACACAATTCCGTCGTCGAATTATGAGATAACAGACCCCGACCTCGGATTTTAAACTTTTTGAAATGTTTCCAGAGTTACAAATGTTGTTTATTGATACTCATTTTGTGGTTTCAGAGGCTTCAAGTTTTTAACATTCAAACTTTTAAAACTTAAAATTTCTGGTTTAGATTTTTAATTTGACTGCACTGTGCACAGAGTAAAATATAACTTTTTAAAAGTTTTTTAACTTAAAAATTTAAAAAATCGGTATTGTTGTGTTGTCTTTTTTATCATACTACAATATTTTTTAATTAAGGAACTGCACGGTGCAGCAGCTTTTAGTCTCTTTACATAAAACTCACTTGTCGCGATTACTAAAAATTTAAAAAATGCAGATTTAAAATTTTTTTAATTTGTTTCATCTGGCCACTTTTAATTTCGAAAAGTTTTTGTAAAACGTCTTTTTTTTAATATCGTGATTGCACTGTGCAAGACTTTTTTAAATTTAAAATTAAGTTTTTTATGACATAACGCCAGAGACATTCTTCTAGGTATACCTACATCACAATACGGTTTTGTAGATATATTTATTATTTTATGAATATAAATTTTATTCGTCGCAATTGCTATAACGTAGTGTCATAGTTTCAGAATGTGGTTCATATCCTCACCTATAATAAGGTGGTTCCAAGAACGAACAGTCCAGCTGCCTCTTATCTATCAGTATCTCTTAAGGTTGTGTAAGTTAAAAAAATTCTTTTTCAATGTTACTATATGTACTATATATTAATGTAGATAAGGTGTATTAGGTTGTTCTAATAATTCTGTGCCTCCTAACCCCAAAAATTTGCATTGAGAGAAGGCACAGCATTATTTGAACAACCTGATATATCATCATAACATATTACCCTTTTAGTAATATATACCTTGTCGTTATGTTTCTTGGCCTTTCTCATCTACTTCTTTACCACGAGGTCGATCAACATGAGGATGTTCGAAGCGATGTTAGAGATGGACGAGTTTAGGTTAGAATTGAACAGCTATTGGACGAACTACAAAATGCAGCGACCGAGGCCAGGGACTTGCGACAACACTACCTTGTTTGTCGCTATCATGACCACCAGCGATGTAAAGTCGTACAAACAAAGAATGGCGATCAGGAAGTATGCGTTGGATAGGGTGAGGTCTAGTACTCAATATATACTACAGTAAAGATCTATAGTACTAGATGTCGGCTATGAGAAAGATGGCTTAGTACTTGACAGATACTATACCACTTGCTATAGTACTTTTGACAAACTTAATATTTTAGGTAAAAGGCCAAGGAGTTGTCGCCAAGTTCTTCCTCGGCCATCAGCCTGGCTTCAGGTACGACCTTGTGAAGGACGAGATGGAGAAGTACGACGACATGGTCTACTTCGACTCGGACGACAATTACCGTAACAACTTTGTCAAATGGTACGCCATGTACCAATACCATCAACGGTACTGCTCTCAGGCCAAGTATTTTGTCAAAATCGACGACGACACAGCGGTCGATTGGAAAAGAGTCATCAAATGGACGGAGCGACACTTCGATGGAGCTGTAGAGGGAAAGAAGGACTTCCTGGTATGTCAACGTTTCATCGGGATGCGACCGGTCAGAAACAAAGAGCACATCAAGTGGTACATCAGCCCGAAGGAGTACAATCACAGGTTCTGGCCAACATATTGTTATGGGTACATCGTTCTAATGACGAACTCTACTGTCGCCAAACTGTCGGAAGCTTCAAAAGGAATGCCATTGATTCACATGGACGATGTCTTATATACTGGACTGGCAGCTAGGGCTGCCAAAGTACCAGTTTATGACTTCGAAGGGTTCAGAGAGAGTGTAAGTGGATTACTGTAGTTTTTGGAGCAATATATTAAATTGTAGTACTATATATCTGAGTAGTTAAGTACAGTATACCTAAGAGTACTTACAACATTTTTCGTCGCAAAACGTTTGACATTCTTTGTCGCTACATCTTTATGCCCTTCCTATGTTAGTGTCTCTTGTTACATGACTTCCCTATGTTAATGTCAAGTTTAATATCTCTTTCCAGATCCATCCCCGATATCCCTGCACCGAAGATGGATTACCCTACCCAACGGCGATCCATCTACAGAAAACCCCCAAAGCGATGGCTAGAACAATTGACAAGTTAGTGTCTTTGAACTGCGACAACGACGATCTTTACGCTCCTTAATGGTCTATTGATATTGTAGTAGATAGTTTTTATTTCTTTGTATAGCACAGTAAATATATACTTATATTAACATAAAAGTGAAATTTGAAAATATTTTTTAGTCAAATTAAATAAAAAAATTGCCAAAGTTCAATAAAAATCACCAAATTTCAATAATAAAATATCAAAAACAAAATTGTCCAATGTTTTGCAGTAAAATAACCAATGACAACTTTACAATAACTTTATTCGAATAAAAAGCAACAACCTAGAGACGTGCTCGGGCAGTATGAAACGAAAGCAGATGTAAAACATGGTAAATGAGTTTGTTCAATACAAAAAAAAAGAAATCACCGAATCTTTGGTTCTTCGAAAAGGTACCATTTTAAAGTTGGTACCCTTAAATAGCACTATATTACAGTTAGTACTGAAAACGTCTTAAAAAATATCTTAAAACGTGTTATTTTGTACTCAATTCTGTTAAAAAGACTTATGTTAAGCCAATACCTTAAAAGCGTACCATTTTTAAAATGGACCTTTCGAAGTGTACCAAAAAGCAAAGTTAGAACATTTTGAGTCGAAAAAGAGTCCCATGCTAATTTGCATATTACTGGACTGCGGTCGTATTACAAAAGGCTTCAAAAGTTCTTGGACATTACTTTAGAACATATTGGTACCTTTTTTAAGAAAACATTAGCTCTGTATAATCAAAAAGTAACTAAATTAGTACCAGTTTATGCCAAAAGAAAACCTTTTTTACCTTTATCACTTCAAAAAACCGTCCTAGAACTTTTGAACTCCCACAAACAGTATAATACTGAAAAAAGAAAAACAAATTACAGCTTATTACTGTAACATAAAACAATATAAAATGAATATTACAATATTATTCCATAAAAAACGGAAATGACAATATCAATTTACACAAAATGGGTATTATACATCCAAATATAGACAAAATACAATGTAAAAAATTCTGAAATTTAATTTTTTCAAATTTTAAATAAAAAAAGTTCAAATTACTATTACAATATACAATGAAAAAGTGTAAAATAATGCAAAGTCAAAATGTAAAAATTACAATAAAATTACCAAAACAATAATGCCGGCTGTGATTCGAATGACATGCCATTTGAATTAGGCCTAAAACTTGGGCCAAGCCTAGGAAACAAGAAATAACATTGGCCCAAGAGTTACGCCACTTTAAGACCGAAAGAATAAGCGAAACAGCTCTAAAGACCTACAATAACATCGAGTTGAGCACAAGTTTGCGTTTACGTCAGTTTTCAGTATAGTGATTACTGTCTTTTATAAATTTTATCAAAAATCTGAGTCAAAAAGAAGAAAATAATGCCTAAATCAAAGTGCGCCAAAAAATTGGACATTTTCCAATTAAAAACACCAAAAAAGTGACCATTTCTTTTTGACGCGCCTTGATATAAACCTATTCACTTGACTTTTTGACCAAAATAATAAACACCAACTTGATCCTCAACACAAAAACACTTTAGCAATATTACAAAGAGTAGAATCTGTAACATTAGCGTACAATAGATCCACGATATTACCAAGTAGCAGCTCTACAACACGAACAAAGCTCTAGACAATACTAATATTATCATTAGTCAGAAATTGAGCTCGAAGATTAAAGAATCAGAAGTTGATAACCGGGAAAACCGACCGAAAAGATGAAAGCGGAATGGAACCTACACGTCAACGAAGCTATTGTAGAGTTCTACCGGAGGAAGATCATCGCCATCAGCACGGCCAAAGCTCCGAACAACGCGGGTCGAGTGGCGGAACATCTAGAAATAGCAATATTTAGTTTTATGAAAGGTAATATTAGCTATATTTATATTTTTTACTCCAAATTATATTCTTTTATCAACCATTCCCATTAATTTTTTTTCAAAAATATGCCATTTCATCGCAGAAACTCACGATACTCCAGGAGTACACTTCAACGCGCAAGTTTCGCCCTTGAAGCCTTCAGCACAAACACATCGTCCTCCGCTGAATTCGCCGTTCTCGCAGCTCTCCACGATATCGCAGTTTGGTCCGCTTAGTCCTTTGGCACACTTGCACTCGTTGCCAGCGTTCTTCCATCGACGCTCGTGCTCTTTTGGTGCCATTCTCCAGCACGCCAACCTGTCGCAGAATCGGCCGTCCCACGGCGCTTCGCAAATACATTCAACGTTCTTCTGAGTGAAGGCGATTTGACCGTTGTGGCGACATTGATCCGCGCAGACGCGGTTGAACAGGGTTTTGCCCTCAGGACATCCACGATACTCATTACAGGTGGGGCCTTGGTAGTTCTCTTTGCATTTGCATTTTCCGTCCTTCACTTCTCCGTGAACTGAAACAATGTTAATTTAGATATTATAACTTGAAATTCATAAAGCAATTGAAATGTAAAATAATTTGTTTTCAGATTTTAGGTAACAATTCGACACACAGATAAAGAATTAATTAATTCGGCAAAACTAACCTCGAAGATGCTTGCACTTGAAGTGTTCGTACTTGTTGTCCTCCTCAGTACCACCACCAGTTTGCTTCAAGAACTCATCACACTTCTCAAGTCCTCCATCGACAATCGCGTAACCTAAAATAAAATTATTTATTTTAATAACTAAAACACAACCTAAGACAAGATTTATTTAATTCATAAACTATATAAGGTTCTAAAGTGCACAGACTCGTCATTATAAACCTTTTTCTACAAATTTTCTAGCAAAACTGATGTCTAAAACAATATACCAAATTTCAAACCTTACCATTAACAGCAGAACTGCACCCGATTAGAATGTCCTTCAATGGAATCAACTTGTTGTACTCGTCGTCTGTATCTTTGTTTTTTCGCTGTGCCAAGATGGCTGGCGCTAACAGAAGCAAAAGTAGTTGAGGAGACCACATTATCTGAAGATTATATTTTTTAGATCAAAAGTTGATAAATCAACAGTAAAAACGCGTGTATACATTAAAATTAATAAGACGGTCAAAAAGTTCATAGAATTTTTAAATAATTCGTCTCGCACAATGTAAAATTTAAACTTTCTGACTTATCTACTATAATATAACAAAAACATAACAAAAAAAGTTTAAATAACGTAGAATCAAGTAAGATATATATATATATATTACTGAACATAGGATTCAGTACACAAAGTCCAGCTTAAAAAGTAGCCAAAAAGAGTTTAGAAAAAGTTGGCAAAGTTAAAACGGAAATTAATTTGAGTTTAAGTTTTTAAAGTCTATTCTATTGAGAAGGCAAAAATGTTCCGAAAACTATTAAAATATAGAGATTTTGGAGATAATTTGTTTATCATAAAGATAAAAAATAATGTAGATTTCGAAATCTTCTGAAAGTGGTACTTTTGGTCCCGACACGACAATTTGAATGTTCTAGAAATAAGTTCGAAACTGTAAAAATAGACGTGTAAAGTAGGTCAATCACTATAATTTTTTAAAGTTTTAAAAAAAACGTTTATGGAATTTTTTACTGTTAGCTTCGCCTCTTTTAGATAAACAGCAACAAATATATCACCCAAATTGTGCCTATATCGTTTAGTCCTAATATATCAGCCAAAACTGGCCTATATCGTTTGGTAATCGGTCGGCCAAAGACTGTCACTCCGCGCTCGTTCCCCCAAACTTATCCCCTGAGGCGAGCAAAACGAACGTTCTCAAAAAAATAACTATAGCACGTTGTTATAGCCCCTGGTCTCCGTGGAAACGCAATAAGCTCCCCTCCAATTTCTAATCTATTTTTTCTAATCAAATCAGACCTCTTCCCGCAGGGCGTTCGCAACATTCCGCGGCCAAAAGTGGCCCAATGACAAATGGCCACATATTACACATGAAAAGGCCGCAATTTATGACCAAAAATACATTTGAGTACGAGTTTTTTTGGTGCACAAAAAACAACTGTCTATTTGCGGCCCAAAGAAAACATTGGCCGAACATTAAATTGGGTGAAATATCTGTCTCGACGGTTTGGATGTGGCAAAGACTTGATTTATCTCTTGATTTTTGGGTAACAAATTTTTTAAAAAATTTAAAGTTGAACTAGTTTTTGGTTTTTAAAGCACGGTACCGGTCATTTTAAAGGCGTACTAATGCAAAATACTGCAAAATACGAAAACATAATGTCAAAAACCACAAAATACAAACCGTAATAACCTAAAGAAGAGTACAAAAAAGGTAAAAACTGTAAAATAATAAAAAATTAAACGTAGTAGAAGTTACATTACTATCCCTAACCACAAAGTTCAACCAATACTATAAAGACGCGGAACGAAACGCCGGTCGATTCGAAACGGGCGAACGTCCGGCTTGTGGCCAAACTTGTTTTTGTGTTGTTGGATGGTCAGAAACGAAGACATTGGCCAAGAAGCCAAGAATTTGTTGCCCAAAAACGAGATGAAAGAATTTTCAAGCCTGAGGGGTTGTTTTGCCAAAAACTAGGTCGAACTGTACGAAGAGAGTGCGGCGAACGGAGAGACGCTGGAAATTACATTCAAAGAACCTTAATCGGCTTCAAAACAAGGCCAACGGTCACTTTAGGACATTACACATGGTTGTTTTGGTGATTACATACACACATACGATGTCCTCGCATAAACCCAGACATAGACTTGTTTTGGTCACTCATAAAAACTATTTTGGTCACTCATACAGACTATTTTGGTCATTACACATACCCATATATACCTAAATCGTGCTCTTACACAGACTTGTTTTGGTCATTTACAATTTCTTTCCCTTCGTACGGAAGTCTATGTGTAATGACGGCTATAGCCAAATTATTATTGAGTAGAAATAAAAATTTGTTTTGTAGCCTAAATTATTATTGTGGCCAAAGTTTGGCACAGCCTGATATCGAATACTCATTGAGAGCTCGAGTGTTTTTGAAAACAAGGTAATTGTTTACAAAATTGAGAGGTATAGGTGCGCAGACTGTGATAAACAATGTCATTAGAAACAAAGAAAGGCGTGTTGACATTGCAAAACATGACCTATAGACAAGGAAATTCATAGAAAGGTTTTAAAAGTACTAAAATGAAGTATAAAATACACAAAAATAGGCTTAAATAACTATAAAAATTAAAAATAAAAGCTAAAAAATAATGAAAACAAAAAAGAGATAAAATCTTGAGTATTCTGCCATTTTTGACAGCTTATCACACAATTTCTAGAAAAGACACAACAATGAAGTTTAGCCCAGTAAAACAACAGTCTTTAACTATTACATACCCACAATTTCAAAATTTTAAAATGCATGTCACGATAATTATGACATTTTTAAAACAATACCCACAAACCACAAATATAATAGTAAGTTAAACCACGTTTTTACAGTTTACATAGGCACGATTGTAAATAAAAATAAAATACTTTTACCACAAACAGAATTATCATAACAGACTGAACGTTCTCCCTTCCAAAATAATAAGTCTATAAGTTCTGCCTTTCCAAATACGAGCATAAATAGTAATGTATTATGGATTAAAAAATCATCGTTTGCTCAGCATCAACACAATCTCCTCCACAACTTTATTTACTATTGACGTTAGGAATGGGAAACTTTGGAGAGAAAAATATAAGCAAAAACATTAAGCTTTGTTGTTTTAGAAAAGACGTTTTAGAATGGAAATTTCGAATTAAAAAACGTAATTTATGATATTTGAAACAATTTGACTTCAGGCCATAATACTTCAAATTTAATCCAAACCTTAAGTATGACATAGTTTTTACCCCCCCCCCTCTTATTTTGTTTTTTATCCCTCCCCCGCCCCAATATCACCCAAACCCAACGAAAACCTCAAGTATAACATATCCTCTCATAAAAACCATCTTTTTTCCAAACAACTAAACTGTTAAGCCATTTGGAACACATGGACTGCTGACATTCATCTCTTGGGCCGTTCTCCCCGAGTAATGAGGGGCCGTTCCGAAAAGCACGCTCCCAACGTTCCTCGCACATTAGAAACTTTTGCCTTTTTTGGATGTCCGTTAAACCAAGCCAAATTGGTTTTTTTATTTCTGAGGCGACGACGGCCTTTTGAATGGCACAAATCGAGGCCCTCAGGCGTTCTTGCCAAGATTTTCATGCGACAAGATTTGTTTCGGCCCAAAACACAAATATTCAATCAATTAAGTGCATGATTTAGAGGAGGGGGATGAAAGAGATGTTTTTACGTTTTTAGAAGGAAAAGGCAAGTAAGACGTCGTATGTTTGGATATTTTACTGTCAAAAACGGAGTATGTTTTGATATTTTACTGCGTAAAAGTTTCTAAACGATACTATTCTGACTTAAACTTAGGTTTTGTCAATTTGAAAATGTCATAGATTCCTAAAACCCTTCTAAAATTTAGCTCCAAACTTCAAATTTCAAAAAACCCCTACACCTGCCCAACCAAAAATTCGAAAAAAGTTGGGAAAGATAAATGATAACGAAGTGATTTCCTGGCAAAACGTTTCCAAGCCCTGTGTCACGACTTGTCATAAACGATGATGTAGCAGGTTTCAAATCTAAAAGCGTGAAACGTAGGGTCAATAGAATAATAAAGATGATGAAATGCCAAAAAATGACATTGCGACACTCAGATATTGTTATTACTATCAAGGCCAAGAAATGGGACGGATATAAAAATATTATTCTTGGCTTTCAAGGAAATAAATGGGACATTGCGAAGGAAAAAAGTGTTATAGTAGGGTTGTATGGGAGTAAAAGGCAGGAAAATATATGAAAATAGTCAAAAATATTGTAGAATATTGTAAAAAAGACTATTTTAAGTAAGATAAGTCAATAAAATTGGCGTTTTCTTAACGTTTCTCATACGAATGTCAAAGTACGAAAACCATCAAAAAGCCAATTGTTTTTTATACCTAAAATACGATCAGGTGGTTGTCGTAAAGTAAAGTGCAAAGTAATCGAGATGGACAGGTGTCGCAATCTCTACTTTTGTCATATTTGACAACTATAACTACTTTTTGTTATCTACTTTGTTTAGCTTTGTCGTAAAAGATATTTTCAATAATTTTAAAATTTTTTCCTCACTTTTTATCACACTGTACGTAAAATAGTACTAAAACAAACAAAATTTATAGTACTAAAAGTAAAAATCATTTTCAAAGTTTTTAAAATCAAAAAGTTCACAATATTGATCAAAGTTTTGCGACAAAAGAGTTTCAAAACAATGCTGCCTTTGATCCAAATTCAGAAGAATCGGAAACAAAGAAGCCCTACGGTATAAACTGGGAAAGGCAAATTAAGGATAAATAAATGAACCGCTGAGAAGTTTGGCCATGTGGACACATTATTCGCGGCCATAAAATTCCGTTTCAATCGAAAAAAGAGGAAAAGCGAAGACGGAAAATGGCATCGAGATCGTTGACAACGCAAACTGTCTTGGTCAGAAAGTACGTAGAATTAGCCCCATTGTAAAACTTTTTACCTAAAGTGCTAAACTTAATGTTTTTGCCTTTAAAAAGCTTTAACAATCACGAATATTGACAAACTTTACCAAAAATTTAAGAAAAAAAATTTTTAAGCTAAGGAAGCCAAGTTTTACTATATTTTGCGACATTTTAAGTTGACAAAGCTTCTTTTTAAAAAAATGTCATCTTTTGTGTTCTTGCAAAACATGATCTCTTTAAAGACAACCGGTTACAGTAGTTTTTTTGCTTACGAAAACAATCACAATATATCATAAATGACATTTTCTATTCCACGGCCAAACAAACTCGTTAAGCATAGTAAAAACGCTTTAAAAATGATCAAAATAGTCAAAAAGATTGGGATAAACAATGTCTATCGCTCAGTAAAAAGATTTTTGTGTTTTAAAATAAAAAAAACGTAAAATGTGGTTTAAAATTTTTAAATTGAAGCAAAATTCTGTATTTTTAATGTTTTTAAGCCTATATAGTGTGATATTAACCCTAAAATAAGGAGTTGTAAGCCTATTATACTTAGTCATACATTTTGTTACACTCCCCCCAAACTCATACCTAAAAGCCGGCTTTACAACAACTGATCAGACTTCCAAAATATTAAAACAAAAGTTTGACGGTCGAGAGTCTCTTATATTTCTCATTAAAAGATCGCGAAATTGATTTGACAGACTGTAAAATAGTAAAAGTAAAAAGCGTCAAAATCATTTTAAAAAATAACTGAAATTGTTAGTGACAGTTATTGTTGACCTTTCAAGTTGTTGAGCATTACTGCCTGAGTAAGTAAAAATTTAATTTGACTCTGGTTCTACAAAAAACTTAAAAAAAAATTTAAAAAATAAATTTTAAGTGCAAACAAAAAATTTTTATAAAATATTTTAAAAAATGGAAAAAGACAAAATTTAAAATTACAATATAACAAATTATGTTATAACACTTAAAAATTAATTTTTATAAAAAGCCCTCCAGGAAAGCCATAACAGTAATGTCTGGAACCTGTTAACGCTTGTTAGTTAGTGAGCGTTTAATCTATGTTTAGAGTTACTGAACCGTAATGTACATATGCGATGACTCAACCGGTAAAACTGTTTGATCAAAGTGCACAAAGACAGCTACAAAACCATACCTATGTTCATCCTACTAGAAAGTAAAAAGATATGCGTCTCCCTAGAGACAATTTTTTTAAATAAAAATTTTTAAGTATACATCCATTGTGTAAAAAAGTTTTTTTGAAGTTGTCTCAGTCTAAAAAGCGTAATTAAAACAGCCTGTGTAATACAGTCAAAACGTCTTTAGTATGACACTCAAGAAACTGTTTTAAAATGCCATTATAACCAAGATGTTACACTATTCAAGTAATTTTTGATAAGCATTCCAGTACCGTGTCCCGACAATTGCGGGTCGGCGACTACGGCCAGAAGCCGTCATAAAGAGGGTGTCATACTATCCAAAGTCATACTAAAGAGAGTTTGCTGTGTAAAGTATAGACAGAAGTTCAATTTTCTTTATCAAAAACTATTTTTTGCCGTTTTTGTCTTTTCCTTCCAAAATAATGCCACTCTGAAGTAGCCCCCCCCCCTCCTAATTCTCTCTGTTCTTACTACCCCCCCAGACATCTCAAAGATCCGGCCAAGCACTTTGTCCTCAAATGATTCATGATCTTTTGATCCGGCAATTACTTAATGTGACACAAAAACCATTAGAAAACATCATAAATCTCGCCGAACAGTTGCGATTGTTTTTGTCAGGCTTCATCCGTATTTAAGTGAGTCAGTCATTTTGTTGGGTGTTTGATAAGTAGTGAACACAATTTTAGTTTAAAACGCTCAAGTTAATCGGAAGAGTGTCTTATTTCCTTTCCTTGCCTTGTCGTGTTATCACAAGATGCGCCTTCTGTTTCTACCGCTCCTTGTATTGGCAACAGTTCGGGCCGAGTACGATGACTCGTTGAAGTGCACGGTCTGTGCTAAGGTTGCTAACTATATTATTCCTATGATCAGAGAAGCGGGCAATGATGTAAGTTCATATTATGATATCGTAGAACCTAACTTTACATTGAATTATCTTAAAAGTTACTATGACTTCTTAAAGCTTATGTATAAAAGAAAATTTTTTAGATAGGCTTTCCCAACGTAAATTAAAAATTTTAACCTATAAGCTACAAGACTAGTAAACAATCTAATTTTAGGCCGCTGACAACATTTGCGACACCTTCAGCAGCGACGGTGTTCGCAGCGCCTGTGGCCAAATCGTTGGCACCGGCTGGTCGATGATCGTGAACTGGGTAAAATACAGAAAAGCTGGACCTCGCGACATTTGTGTGTCTATCAACTTCTGCGAGAACGGTGGCCGCGACCTCGACCATGAAGACGCCAACCCTGATCACGCTCGCTCGCACGGTGAATCTGACGACAACGGAAATAGCAACATCGGCTCAGGAGGAGCTGGTATTGGTTCCGGAGGCTTTACTGGTCATGATAGTGCTAACGATAGAGACAGTGGTCGTGAAGGCTCGGTTGGTCGTGACAAAGACAGAAGACCAGACCACGATCGTGTACCCGACCGTAGCCGCTCATCCAGCCCCAGTCGCAACGGTGGCGGCGATGACTTAAACTTTGACAGCATTGACGCCGAAAGAGAACGTCAAGCCGAACGTGAACGTCAAGAAGAATTAGGCAGTTCGAGAGGAAGACGTAGCGCCGTTCAACGTTATCGAAACCATATGGCTCAACGAAAGTAAACCCGTTAATGGCCACATAAATCCGTTTGATATTTTAGATTATAAACCCAAAATAAATGTGGAAATGTGTAAAATAAATTTAAATAAATTTGTTTCCTAATTGGTTCGCGGACAGAAAGAAAAGCGTTAACACACGTAAAACATTCTTCGAAAAACTTATTGTTCTAGGCTCTCAAAGACATTGGCAAAACAGCGGACATTAAAGTGTTAGAATAATAGTGAAAGAAATTGTTGAAAAGTGTAAAAAACTATAAAGAAACTAAAATAACATGTCTAAATAACTAAAACCTGTAAGAATTGGTAACAAAAACGTTAAAAAACTGTTAAAAATGTAAAAAACTTTAGTACAACAGCCAAAAACAACTCAAAAAAAGTTTTAAATAATGTAAAAAAAATATAGCAAAACAGCTGCAAATCTATTGCGGCCCAACAGGAGGGCCGAAAAAGGTCTCAACCAAATTTCCGGCCGTTTCACCTTCGTATCTTGCTTCCCGTGTACACGTGCAACTACTCGACTGGAAATGGACTCGATTCGGAAATAAACGTCCATCTGAATTGATTATGAGAATGACCCTCAGGGTTGAATTAAATTTTCCGAAATGTTCTGAATATTTACATTTTATATGCGACGTGAATGTAAGAGTAGGTTAACATGGGTTTTTGGTCAGTTTTGAAAATTAAAAAAGCTGAAATATGGTGTTTTTGGTAAATTGTAATAGGTAGAAAGATGGAAAATGTCACACACTTTTATAAAAGAAACTTTTTGGCCAATAAATATAGATATAGACACTAAAGCATCAAAAATTTACAAAAAGCCTACTATAATATAATCTCTAATCAAACATTTCATTCAAAAAACCCCGAATCCAAACCCTAAGGCCAAAAACAATATTCTAGAGACGCGTAAACGCGGAGCCAATTTTTGCGCAAAAAACTTGGACAAATCTGTGGCCATCCCGCTTATATCTGCGTGGCCCTGTGGCTAACTTTTTGAAGGAATTTTGCTTCCGTCCTCACGCACTCCGACACAATGACCCCGCAGGCAGTCTTGGCCACGCTCTCGAGGGATCTCTTTAAAACAAATTAATAATTTAAACAAAGCGCGACAAATTCATTTCGTTTTCTGGTTGCAATATAATATTTCGCGGGAACGGGTGTAGATGTCAACAGCATGAATGCAGGATATATATGGGCATGTGTATATGTGAAACAATGGCTTTTTATGGAGAAATGTGGTTTTAAAAACGTGAAAAGTGTGAATGAGTATGTGTGTAAAAATGGATGGAAAACATATGTGTATGTGAATGTAAAAACGTAGTATTAGGGTGTTAGAAAATAATCAATCTTATACATTTACAATGTAAAACCCAATAGAAGGATGATATAACAAAGCACACAAAAAATAAATTTTGACAAAAATACAGCAAAAAAAATAATAAAAAATACCCACATACATGCTATACTACGGCTATTAGCCCACTAACATATTTTGTAAATGCCAAAGCCATATAAATACGTAGTAGAAAGCTTAAAGTACGTGTACATGTTCTCAATATAGATCTTTTGAATACGGATTAAGAAAACTACAATATTTTAAAAATAGAAACATGATTTTGTATGAAAACAAAACATTTTTAGTGATTTAAAGGATATCGTAATGTTTACGTGACCTAAAGAATGTCGCCTTAATGACATTTTCCTTTTAACCTTTATGGTTCGTTTAACTCTGTAAAAATATGATCGTTCTAAAGTTTCTAAGCTCTGTGAAGTCACCTTAACCACTTTTTTAAGTTTTTAAACTTAACTTTCAAATTACAGTATCTTAAATTCCTTAACACCTCCATTATAAACTTTAAAATGCCATAACATCTCTATTATTAAACTTAAAATGCCCCACCACCACCATTACAAACCTATAACCTGACTACAATAAACTAAAAGTAAAGCAATCAGTCTGAAAAACAACGTCTAAAGTATTCAGAAAACCAAAAATAGTTTAACCCGGAGACAGTAAAAGTACTGGCCAAACATGTGGCCAAGGATGTTTTTAAGTGCCGCCCTTTGGCTCCAAAAATCTTACAAATTTGTTCTTGGCTCTCGGAAAACAGCGTCGCGAGTTAAAAAAAGAAGAAAGGTGCAAACTTTTTACGACTTTATTTGTTGTCGTAAACGAATAACAATCACATAAGTGGTATTCAAGAAGTTATAACTTTTAAAAATGTCGATATTTTTAAACAATTTTAATTTTTTAACAATAATATGAATGTAAAGACAAAGAAGTACTTCTAAAGCAAAATTTGTCGCACTATATTGTACAACATCACGCCACATTAACAAAAAATCATTTTCAATAAGTTCTAGCATCAAAATTTTAAATCCTCACAACAAAAACCAAAAAATGCATTTACAGCATTATAAAAAGATCAATGACAATATAATAGTTATATGATCGAATGCTTTCTCAATTTAAAACAAAAAAGCATGAGAGCAGAGTAAAATCATATACAAAAAACAGCTTTTTAAGTGGTAAACAACAAAGTTGGCGAGGCGACAGGTAGTTGTTGTTTTAGGCCGTTACCTAAGCGGAGCCATTTTGAGGTCATTTAGCGTCGGTTTTAGTAAAAAAAAACTGTCTGTTTGGCTAATTTTGGACTATCTTGTCAAATGTCATCAAATTTTACCACAAATTTACTGTCATAAACTTAAATTTTTTTTTTTTTCAAAAACAATTTTTGGCTCATTAATATGTAGACAATTTAATATTAATTTGTTCAAGTAATTCTGTGCTCCATCTCAAACCAAATTTGCGAAGTTACGGAGAACATAATTATTTGAACAACCTACTATAACAAAGAAAGTGTCAAAAAGAGTTGTAATAGGTATAAATCCCCATTTTTATTAAAAATTCTAGCATACAAAACCAATATACAAAATTACTAAATCCGAGAGAAAATCGCTGGAAAACGGTCGAAAATCATAAAAGAGAGACAAAGCAAAGTTTGTACTTTTAATGAGAGGATGTTTAATCAGTGCGCGGTGAAATTAAAAGCCTGTTCTTTAATCAAACGTCAAATTTGCGTTTTGAAACAAAAAAAGTCTAATGAGAATTGAAAAGACGTAATTGGCTAGTCAGGATCCCGGGATTTAAGCCTAAAATCGTTTGGATAACCCTGCCATTCCTTTTAAAGCAAAATGATGTAATTTTTTAACCCATGATATATAAAAAATTCAATTTTACCAAATGTATCGTACAAGCAAATTGACAAACAAACCTTTGAACCCGCTGAACAGTAACTGTTTGTTGGTAAACAACAGTTGTTTGTCATAAACAATACAACAAGCAGGTTACAACGCGATATTGTTTATGATGAGGTGCTTTTGATGGTTTGCGACAGACTGCGATATCTGTCAACTTTTTGGAAAAAAGGTCATGGTTTATGACAATGAAAAACATATGTAAAGTGTAATCGTAATAGGCTAGAAAATGCTTAAAAAAGTTTTTTGGTTATCATAATGTAAAATACGCGCTGGCAACTACACATGTATATAATACTTTGAATGTTTTAAAATAAAAGCTAAAATACAGCAAACAGTCACGATGACTTGCTTTTAATGTCATAATGACAGCTTTTAACCCCAAAACTCAAAACCCCATTAAAGCCAATGAAATATTTAAAACAAAAAGAAGTAACATGCAGGTGGAGTGTGTGCAATGTAACTATATATCCAAAAGGTTCTTCCAGTCGTTTTTTCGAAAGGATCAAATGAACAGAGTTGGGTTTCACCGAATTCGAAGACTTAAAAGTGTCAAAAAACAAATTCGAAAAAACGACGTGTCAATATGAACTTGACATCTAACATATGCTCGATTGAAATATGACGTTTCAAGCTGTCGGCGACGTACCTTTCGATTTGCGGGTATAAAGACATAGGTATATAAGAGTGAGTAGCAATAGACATAGGTAAGAGTAGGCAAAAAAGATGGTCTAATTGGTACTTTAGAAGACATTTGAAGAAATGAAGGCTATAGTAAAATACGGCCATCGATCATATTTTTTAGAAATAAGCAGTATTTATTATGAACATTAATAGATCATGTTCTCCACGTATATACATGACTATCAGCCCACGTACAACTGTTAAGATAATAAAACTAATAATACCTTGACTTCCAAAAACCCAATAACTCTTCAACTGTCAATACATATAACATTATTAGTTTTATGAGTATCGGTATCTATAGGTACTCATAGAACTCATAACAGAAAAAACTTTTAAATTGACGGCAAAAAAGAATAGCAAATGGAACAATAACATATAACGTTTATGACATGTTTAACATACTGAAACCCTTAAAACTTAAGGCGAATTTTATAGGCTACTTTTTATAAAATTTCGAAATCTTGATGAAATTTAAAAATAAAAAAAAATTAGTTGAATTTTCAATTTTAAACGGAAAAATAGATGAATTTGGGTAAAATACAGCAATTTTATTTTTTATGTTAACCCTTGCAAAGGGCCCTTGTACTGATTAGACAAACGTAACGTAAATTTTTAAAAAATGTTCACCATGCTCTCCGGCGCTAGGACAAATGCGGTTTTTGGACATTTGCGGATCTGCGGTTTTTAGACAGTTGCGGATCTTCGGTTTTTGGACATTTGCGGATTTTTTAAAGGTTTTTTTAAATTTTTTAGTTAATTTATTTGTAGTATGGTACTAAATTGTACGAAAGTTTAAATTGGTGCGGTTTTAACATAACAGTACCTTTTTGGGCTTTTAGTACCATTCAGTACCAAAAAATAAAAAACAGTACCAATTTAAAATTTAGTACTATTTAGCACTAAAACATATTAAAACAGTACCAATTTAAACTTTAGTATCATTTAGTACCATACTACAAATAAATTAACTAAAAAAGAAAAAAATCCTCTTTAAAAAATCCGCAAATGTCCAAAAACCGCATTAGTCCTAGCGCCTGCTCTCCCCTATCTTCAAAACCCTCCCTACTATTCACCATGCTCTTCCCTATTATATAAACCCTGGCCTATAACAACCTTTGTCCGTCTCTCCACCACCCTCTTGACCAATTGACTTCCAAAAGCCGTAATTTGTTAAAACTTTATTTAAACTCATAAATTTGAGGCCGAAACGCTGCGACATGATTGAAAAATTACCAGAAAAAAGTTTCGCGAAGCAAAGAAATGTTTTAAAAAGGGGATTATACCAGACTTATATTGTTGTTGTTTCACCTGTTTGAGCGACCCCCCTCCCCATATCGAATATGAATGTACACTTTCAAGGTGGCCGTCTTTGTGGCCGGCAATTAAACCGGTCGAATGTCCATTAAATGGAAATACTCTCGCCTCATCGCTTATTCACTTGGCCTCTTTAATGTTATGGAAACCGGTGAAATTGCAGGTTGAAGAAGGTGTTGAGATCAAAAATGTATATTTGGGTTGTCATATTTCTATACCTACATAATGATTAAAGTATTAGGTTGTTCAAATCATCCTGTGCCCGTTCTCAAAGCAAATTTTTGGGATTAGGGAGCACAGAATTATTTGAAAAACATAGTATAGAAGAATGAATGTAAATAAAGACCTTTTGCAAATTAAAACTTCAAAAAACAGCTTTTAGCTAAACAACCCCTATTTTTTAATTGTTCCACCCCAGCTTTGATTACCAGAATCCTCACTCTAACTCTGTCACCAAATTCGTTTCGGAAGTTTACGACTTTTTATGACGCCGTATTTAAGCGGCATTTAAAGGTGAGGTCCTCCAACATTAGCCAAGGTCACCGTTTTAACTATCAATTTGAATTTGAAAACAGGTTTGTTGTTTTGTTAGTGCAAGTTTGCAAATTAGGTAATAAATTGTTATTAGTTTTGAAAGGGAGCACAGAATTATGTAAACAACAAAAAAAAAACAAGTTAAAAAATTTTTTTAATAATATTGATAAATTTTAAAAAAATTCTAAAAAAATAAAAATATTAAGAATTGTGGAGTAGAATTCGAAACAAAGTTCCATTAAAGTGCAAACAAATCGCGCAATTTTCACTTTCAAATCCGCGAAAAAGAAAAGAAATATATTGTAATAGATATTAAATCGACTGGAAAGTTATGCGCCGCAACTTTTAAGACGGAAGAGTTTTTAGTATTTTAAAAATACTGTTTTAATTGTTGTAAAATACGTTTAACCTAATCATTTTATTCGAATTTTAAAACCTTTAAAAACTTTACATCTTTTTCAAAAAAGGTAGCAAAGCCCTTTAAAACCTCAAGAAATACCTTTTCGAACCTTCTAAAGTCAATAAATATCTTTCCAAACCTCATAAAACGAAACTTTTTTCAAAAACCTGGTTTTTTAAATACCGTGAAAATGCAAGAATCTAAAAGAAAAAAGTTGCCCACAACAATTTACGAGGATATTAATCATTGTGCAACAAAAAAGCGAACTCAGACGGTCAAAGGTTTCTTTAAAAAACACTTGAAGAATCTCTTTTTCTCAAGTTGAAGACGTAAATAGGCAAAAACAACAATAACATAGAGGGTGAATTGTTAGTAACTTTGGAATTTGTAAAATACGTTTATGAATTGTATTTTATCTAAAAAGACAAACTATTTTAGACTAGAGAGTACTACAGACAGCCACTTTTACCCGGTTGTATGAACCCCCGGTTATGGTTGCATATTTTATAAAAGATACAAGGAAAGTCATCGAAGTCTCGTAAATTTGCTTTGAGAGAAGGCACAAAACTATTTGAACTACCTAAAATTTAAATTACCAAAACATCAAAACCTACTGTGACATTGCACAAACACTACCCCCGAAATGCCAACATATATATCGCGAAATGCCAACATATATATCGCTTTTGTTTGAATAGTGAAACACAAAATAATGTTGCGCTCCCTTTCACCCCCCCCCCCTATTTCACGCTCAATTCCACGCAAATACGAGAAATGCCCTGAGGTCAAACAGAGAAAGGCGGATTAATTATAGGTTGTATTATTTACAAGCGGATTATGGCCTTAAAGATGCTTTAATTAGGGAAAAGCCAACGCTAAATCCTCGCGCGACGGCAGATGTTGTCAGGATTTATGCAAATTTCAAAGGAAATGGACTCCACTTTCGTGTCATTTGTATTTACATGACAGATTTTATTGAAGGTCGTTAAATGCTGGCGATCATCGTATTGTGGCAAGTTTTATGCATAATGTCATTAATATTTGATTAAAAATATTTTTTTTGGATTTTAAAAAATTTAAATAAAAATTTATTTAAATTTAATATTCATTATGCCAAAAACAATAAAAAATAAAACTAAAAGATATATCACATATTATCTTACACACTATGTACAACACTCTACTCGTTTCGTATCGTAGTCATACCCCCTGACGATGTACTAGACCTGTTAGACTGTCGCTCCAGATTCTCATGGTAGATTTTGGCTTGAGCTTCTTGCTGTTTCAGATTCCTAGCATAAAGATCCCTCATATGACCATGAACAGCTTGCTTAACATCATTCACAACATCACCCAGCATCCACAATGTTATCAGTTCGGTCACAATGTCATAGTTCTGTTCAGTAAGATACGACAAGACGTTACACAAGAAGAAGACGAAACAATGCCAGACTTTATGAACCACAACACTCGGGACTTGGCTGCTGGATGGAGAATATGCTTCCATGAAAGTGATCAGGTTCTTGCGAGAGGCCAGCGGCTTTTTAGGTAACAACATGTAGCTGTGTAAGAGGGTCAAGGTTTGAGATACGTCGAGGTCGGCCAGTTCCTTCTCCATGTCTTGAACTCCAGCGACTTGGAAGTGCTGGATCAGTTTCTCGTCTTTCTCGAATGGGTATGTCGCCAATCTGATTAGAACGTTGAGGACGTGGCGATGCTGAGCACGGCTGAAATTAAAACTTTTTAGATTTGTATTATTATGTATAACATTTACATCTTTAAAAAAATGACACGTTTCTTGTATTTTCACAAATAAATAATGACTTGAACGTATTTTACCTTGTTTTAAACAAAATCCACCCCCTAAAACCTTGTCTTACCCTCTTTTCGTGTACAGATTCTTCCACTCCACAGAAATCTCTCCCAACGTACAGTTGTGCACCTCATGTTGTTCATACTTCTTGTGATTGAACTTGACTCCACTGGGTTCAAACACAAACTCTAGTACTCTTTTGCAGATCTGGAACATCAATTTAGGTACATGTGGGTAGTGACGAGCCTCTTCGTTTGATAAGAAACTGTTCTGCCACGCAAGATATGAATGTAGAGGGTAACCTCCATTGACCGGTAAGATACGAGCATTTCGAAGCACAATGTCTTCCACCTGACCTACTACTACTACTTGCTCCATACTTTGAACTGAGTTTGGGCTAAAATGTAATTTTTTCAACTCTGGTATCTAGAGTGTAATATATAAACTATTATTATATTTTACACGTTACTGTAAACTAACATAATATAAAGTAATATAACGTTTTTAAAAATTAAATATCAATAAAGGCTTACCGTTTCTCTCTGACCAACTCCAAGGCTTCAGAAGCAGTCATTCCCTCGGCCATTACCAGATAACATGCTATCAAAGTGCCGGTGCGACCAAGACCAGCATGGCAGTGTACGGCAATTTTACCTTGTTTTAGTGAGAAACTGATCACTTTTACCATATCCAGTATGTTCTCCACGGCACAGAATTGAAAGTCCGGTATTGCAAAGTTGTAGTGGTATACTGTAACAAACAAAATTAACAATTTTTTTTACCTTACTCAGTCGTATCCTTCCTTACCTTCTTTCACCCTGATCTATCTTATTCTACCCTCACCTACCTCATTCTACACTACCTTCCTCTAACCTATATGATAATAAGAGTTAGAAACCTTACTATTGTGCTTCATAAAAGCTTCTGGATTGTAAGAAAAACCAGATTGATGTAGAGGTGGTCCACAGAAAGCATGTTCATTAGGAGTTTGAAGATTGAAGATAGCCTTGATGTTATTTCTAAACGTACGAAATGTCAATATTGATTCAAGACCTTACTTTTGAAAACTTTCGATTATGTCAAACTTCTGGATCGCCTCTTCGGTAGGTCGTGCCATAGCCATGATGTCGTCAGTAATCCTAAAAAAAGTGTTTTTACAGTCATAAAATACGGTAGTTTTACTGTAAGCTTTACTAATTACTTTGGCTTTAGTTTACTGTAGCTTTACTATAATATATGCTAATTTTATTTCAAATTGTAAAATTTGTCAAATAAATTTCTTAAAATTGTAAAGTACAGTATCACCTTCACATGTCCCTTGTGCTTTACCTCATTTCCTCATTCAATCAGTACATCTGCTTTAATATCCTTAATGTACATCTGTAATAACTCTAATTGACTATCCCTACTGTATGGATACAGAACCTATCACAATACATATACACCCCTACCCTAATACCCATAAATCCTTGTTGTAATCCTTATACACCCCTATCTTAAGACCTAAAACCCCACCCTAATGCCAACCACCCCTACCCTAGCGTCCACAATCCCCACCATAACACCCATAAACCTTGCTATCGCTGTAATATCCCTGCCATCGTAGTAACACCCATACCAACGCAGTAATACCCCTGACACAACGCCATCGCGAATCCTTACCATGATGAATATAAACCGCTTATGGCCATCTGATCCTCTTTCCAGTTATTCCAACCGCAGTACTTACAATTCGCACCTCGACAGTAGAGTTTACATTTCATTGTGTCCGGAGTCAGTCGCAGTATACCACTACGGAGTGACGAGTATTTGGCCGGTGGTAGGGCGGTGGTTGTCGACGAGGTGGTGAAGTCGCGGTTAATGTCTGTTAAAGCAAGTTTAATGTTATAAATTATAGTAAAGTATTGTGTTAAACTTAAGTTATTTAGAAATCTTTAAATAATATATATGATAGATATCTGATGCAAAAAATGGCATTTTTTTAAAAACTTTAAAACATGATTGTTTTCAAACAATTATTTGATTGTTCAAATAATTATGTGCCCCTAATTTCAAAAAGTTTCCTTCAGAGAAGCACAGTATTACTTGAACGACCTAATCGTCGTATTTTACAAAATTTTATACAATTACTACGTATATACTCATTGTTAGACATACGAACAAGCTACATAAGATGACGTAGTGTTAAAGTAAATCTACATATGATTGCATAGTATTAAAGTAGATATTCACACATACTACTACTATTTGCCTCAAATATGATACGACTTGATCTACACACGACTGGTTATTTTGCACAGTAAAAGGATGTAAAATGGCTGTCAGGTGTAAGATCAACATTTCATGGTACTACAGTTATTTTACGTAATTTTACTACAAGTTTTTCATTGATATAAAAAGAAATATTCCAAAAAGTATTTTACAAATTCTAAAAAACATTTTTATATACTACCTTTTACACTCACTATAAAACTACTACAACCACATATTCCACTAACTATTTACTACTACCACCAGGGACCTCGCTACGGTTTTTCTCTGGGAGAGGTCAAAAAAACTTTTTTTTTCGTTTTTCCGCGTACAGGTACCACCTGTGGATTTTTTTTTCGGATCGGCTCTGGGGGGGGAGTCACCCCGAACCACCCCCCCCCCAAACGACGTCCCTGACTACCACATATTCCTTGCTACTACTAATATTTTATCATTAACTGGTTTACCACTCGAAACATAAGGATCAAGACAATTGTCAAGTATAATATAAAACTGTAAGTAAGTTCTTTGAAAGTTATGAATTGCTGTAAAAAAGACCTGGATATGGCGTGTGAAGTATATCACTTCTCGTTTTTATGTTTTAGGTAACAAAAAATAATTAATTTTACAAAAAATTAAACTTTTACCATAACATATTAATTACTCTATACTACTGTGATATCCGACCTTACTAATGTGGGATACAACCTTATTGTATCTAGTTAAAAAGTGTTCCTGGTTAGACATTTTGAATAACCAAAAGATACATTGGTAAGCTAAATTGTGACAAGATGTATGCCTACTACAATATCTTTATACAGAATATAATTATCAACTAAATAAAGTTACTGATTTTAGAAAAGTAGACGGTAATGTTAAACATACTGGTCACAACTATGTCGTATCTACAATCATTGACCAAAAGAATGCCAAACCTACTATTATCTACATTTTTAACATCAATAATGTTACTATTATAAGGTATAAAAAGCTTTCGTATAGTAAAATGTATCTCAACTTCTACTAAGCCCATTTTTAATATACTTTTTTCTTATCAAATGTACCCTCTAACATCTATAACAATATTACATTATGTTTATATGTACATTCTCTAGCCAATCCGCTACTGTAACAGTAAATTTAAAAATTTAAAAAAGAAAGATGTATTTTACATTACAACTGCTGTTTTTGTATTTAACCATGGTTGTTAAAGCAATTTACAAACACTTATCAACGAAATAACTAGAAAAAACATGTATCTCACGAGATATCGTGTCTGTTTATTGTCGCAATTAAACGAAAATCATCCAAATCTAAAAACAACTTTAAATTGTATTTTCTGGCTACTATTACAATATTTACAATAAATGTTCAACTTAAAAATAATGTTTGTAGAATTTATAAAACTTGATATTTCAACCAAAACTTTAATTAATGTCTACTTATGCTGTGACTTTTATGTCTTTTGGTACCGAAGTTTTTATAAAATAATTTTCAATTTTTTTTAAATTAAAAAATTATTTTCGAAAAAAATCAGTTTTCTTTTTCACCATTAACTTCACACGACTCACCTGATGTAGATGACATGTTGACCGTTCCTTGACCGTACCGTGACTTCTACTGCCTTCACATCGTAACAAACTTCGCCTTGACAACCTAAAAGATACGCACTTTGGAATGCAAAAAACGGCTTTAACCTATGAATTGAGTAACCATGACAACTTTTACAAACAAACAATTACCACCGATTTCCTGGATTAAACGGATTAGGCGACAAGCTTTATACAACACCAGACAAGAAAAGAGGTTGTGGCATTTTAAAAGTTTATTTTTAATTAAATTCGTATTTTATAAAAAGGGAAAACAATGAACGAATGTTAGATAGAACAAGAGAATTTACAAAAGAACGTTGAAAAGGAAATGGCACGCTGGAGAGACAGTTTGGCAACAAAAAACGTGGAGGCAGATGTGACAAAAAGAATACATTATAGTTAGTGATGCCAAGTTCAAAAGGCTTTAAAGTTTAAAAAGGTAAAAGAACGATTTCATTGTTCCACTTTTGAACTTAAAAATACTTTGAATATCAGACAATATAAAAGTTTTAAAATACTTTCTTGTAAGAAAGTAAAATAATAAAAATTTCAAATAATATAATTTTGTCGCAAGCACTTTCCAGACCAAAAATTCTGTCGAGAAAATGCCACAATGACGTCTTTTCTGGACATATTTTATGAAAAAATAATAATTTCGAAGAAATTTTATCGAAAGGAAAAAAAATTTTTTAACTTTATTGAAATATATTTTTATATTTAAATATTTTAGATTTTAACTTTTTCAGAACTAGCAATCAGTTTTACCTGCAGTTTAGGATGAACAACATGTTAATCAACGAGGATGGAGCTCAAGTTTAGCCATGTTTATAATTTTCAGAACAATATTGGATAATTGGCTCAAGGAAAGGACTTGATTGTTTGAAGATACAATTGAAAGTAAGTTTTCTTAATTTTTTAAAATTGTAGATAAAGTTTTTTAAAAAGCCGGGTTATTGAAGCTGTGATACCTAAAACAACATGGAGCTAATCGTTTTAATGTGTATTTATTTTGTTTTGCCGGTTTTGTTTTCATTAGCAGTTGATGTTTCAGAGTCTATAAAACACTTTGGAACAAGTGTGATATAGAAATGATGAAACAGACGCTATCAGTAACATATATTGTTTATTTACAGCGGTCAAACATTAGTTTGTTGATCTTCAGCTGATTTCTATTAACACATTTATCAGTTTTCCGAGTAAGATACAGCTGATTAACTGTTTTTTCAAGTAAAAAGAATGTAATAAGTGATAGTTTTTTAGGTAAATGACTACTAATAACTTTTTTTACTTTTGCATTTTTATAAGTGATTTTCAAGTGAAAATGGAAGTGATAACTGATAATTAGTTCAAATTTTGCTTTTTGTGTTGTACAAGGTTTAAAAGTAGAAGAAAACAAGTATTAACTGACTTTTGGTCACTCAAGGGCGTTCTACAAACTCTTACTGATTATCGCGATACATTTGTTTTTTTGCATGAAAAGCTTTGTAGTATGTTTCATCTTACTTTTTTTCTTGCTATAGCAATTGTATTTCTATATGAACTATAATTTCTAATATAATTTGGGAACTAGAAACTTTAAATTTCAATATTTGAACAGCCAAACCTTATATTTTGGCTAGTCTAGACCTAAAACTTCAATTTCTGTTTAACTATGACAAATTGCTGAAATAACTTTTCTTTTCTTGTGGTATTGTTTGTACAGTGGTGCACTTTTAAAGACTGTGTGTGTATTTGTGCTTAATATTTGACGAACACACATGTAACAGCTTTAAAAACATGTTGTTGTTGATTGCGAGGAAAACATAGATTTGTACAAACAAGTCTTGCAGTCTCGCCGTTTTTGCGTGGTTAGCTATTCTGTAAGGTTTTTTGTAGTAACCTGATGTCATTGGAGTGGTCATGTCGTATTTGGTTTTGGTAACTTAATTTTATATTGATAATGCATAGGATTGGCATATTTGGTGTTGCCAATATATTTTTGAGCAGCAAGGAACGGAGAGGAAAGAACAGGGTTAGAAAGGGATTTTTTGTCAAAAATTTTTTGAAATATATGTCATTTCATAAGTTTAGGTGTGTTTAGCATAAGGAAAAGCCAATTACCCTTTCGTTTAGAATCATGAATTGAAAAATAGATTTAGTTTTAAAAAGTTCAAACTAATTCCAATGTTTTTGCTTTTCAGAAAGCATTTTGAAGAAAAAACACATCAACATGACCTTCCAGGAACTGCAAGGTGTTAACAGTCATCTTTCCTGATTAGAACCAGGAAACACGCTAAACTTTTGAGTTTAGTCAAATAATTTTTAAAAAACTGCTTTGTAACCATACTTTCGGGCAAAAAAGTTAACATACTTTTTGATCGCATTAAGATAGTTTAAAGCATATATCTGTATTATTGTACAGGATACATTATCCGTATTAATGTATTGCTTATTTTACAAGAACCAACTTTAAATTAGGATTTTTTTGTGAATGAGTAACCCTTTCTTTACAGCTAAACATATTGTCATTCGAAACTGCAGTTCTTTCTTAAACTTATGCTGATTAGAATGTAATGGAACACGTGAGTCGAGTTCTCATGACTCGGATCTTCAGACATCTGGCTTTCTTTCTTTTTTGCGGACTTTTTATGTGTTTCGTTTGGTGGTAGACAATATACGTCGAAAAAAGACGTTTTACAAGGTCTGTGGGAATCTTTTTTACAATGTTTATTAAGTCTTGTGGGTATCGTAATAATACTCTAATAGAGACAGTAATTTTCAAGACTTGTGACTGATTTTATAATATCTTTGCGGTATATTTTTACTTTTCTCAACGATATTAGTCATTAAGACTGCTTTGAATCCATCAACGTTGTTGGTGGTTTATGACTGTAACACACTTATTTTTTCTATTAAATCTCATGACAGTTTAAACACAAGCTTTTACTATATTTATGATCAGGTATAGAAGATTAAAGACTATTAGCCACTCACAAGACCGGTCATACGTACAAGCTCCCACCTCTGATACCTTCCTTAATATAAAAATAGTCTCTAAATCTTGTTAAAAGCTTTTTTAAAAGCTGGGTTAATCTTTTTTGTTAAAACTCAAAGCACCCCCCCCCCTCCCCATTAAAATGTGATCCAAGTACGAGTCCATTTGTCACTGACATTCATGCGGAAAAGGCGTGCAGATCACTCGGTCAATGTTTCAAATTGACTCGTGATCGTCTGCAGAATCAGACCTACCTTGTTTGATAGGCGGTAACTGCTTATGCTTTTCGGCGGGGGTTTTTTGCTCTACCGTAAAACAAACGTCGTATTTAGATGGGTTGAGGGGAGGTTTATGGGTTATGTTAAGAAAAAGATGTTTTAAAATTTTTGAGTTTTAGGTAACAAATTTAAATCTTTTTGCTGTTCTCAAAAAGAAATGAGGATTGTTTTACATTTTAGGTAACATATTTTAATTTTTTTAAAATTTTATTTACTTTTAGGAAGTTAGCAAACTTTTAAAGCCTTTTTTCAAGCAAAAAAACCTTTGAAAAACAAATTAAAACAGTGTAGAATGTTGTTTACACGTCATTTGCTTACTCTATATTGGTCGCTTATCAGTAACAAACAAGACAAACCTTATACTACCTAGCACCATTTTATGCAAAAGTGCACTCAATTCCCCTCTTCCGACATTACAAAGAAGCCCCCAGACATAAAAGTGCAATTGGCCATTCTGCGATCACATGACTTTGTAATGTTAAGGGTCGCGACAAAAAAAAGAACCCTTTTCGCTTTTTTAAAGGAAAAACCGGAATAAAAGGGGGGGGGGAAACATGTGATTAGTAATATAATTGAATTAGATATGTACATCGAGAGTGGCAGGCTTTTTGTTTCTAATTTACAGGTTTCGGGATGGATAATATTTTTTTAAATTTAAAAAAGTACATTTTTTGATACTACTATTAACACTAATTATATTGTAGTAGTTCTTTCAACCTTCAAGACTTGTTTAATCAAAAAAAAACCTTTTTTTCAATTCATTTTCATTAAAAGAGACCTTTTTCAATGTGGTTTTAATCAGTTTTTAAAAGTTGCTCTGATTAGTGACTTAAAATTTAAACAGACAATCTGGAACGGTCAGGTGGTACGGCGGGCTGATATGGTTAACAAGCCGTTTCATGTTTTAACCCCAAGTGTTTTAAGTGTTACTTACAACGTGATTAACGTCAATCTATCGTTTTGTCGCTGGTTTTCGCGTTTTTTCATGGTTTTTGAAGTTTTTAAGCTGTTTTTGCTATTTGAAAGGCGATTTTTTAAAGAATAATTGTTTTTTTATCACTGTTTTGATAAAGAAGAGGTTGTATTGGGAGCTAATTTTGAAAATGATATGGTTTTGGCACACCTTTGCCTTTTGCAAAGACTTTCCTAAATTTTTCAAATTTTAAAGCAAAATTAAAAAAAAATATTTTGGGAATGCCTTTTTTATTACTATTAGCTTCTCGAAGCCATATGTTTATTGACAGTAAATATTGTGGTCGCTTTTCTTGTATGATTACACTTTACCGCGCCCACTATTGCCGGTTAACCTTTAGTTCTCGCAAATATTTGTTTTAAGACTCTGTAATTTGGGAAAAGAGATTTGAAGTCGTTGTCTGGGACGTTTTATGACCTTGTTGTTGAATATGCATGTTTATGACAGGAAATGGGATAATTTGGACTCTTTTTTGTTAATTTAGACACCTTGGTCTTAAAACATTTGAAATAAAGTTTAATTTTTTTTGTATTTTTAAGCCTAAAACAGATGATAATCATATTATAATTGCAATTTTTATAAATAATTACATTAAAAATTTTAATTTTAAACTTAATTACAGTTAAATTTTAACTTTACAGCTGTCTAAAACATTAAAAACCGCTTTTTCAGCTCAAAAACTAGCTTTATTTTGTCAAAAAAGGCTGTTTTTGATAGTCAAAACCCTTTGAATCTCGAAAACAGAGCAATAAAACTGTAAACTGGAACCG